GCATAGAATACTTCTTCGCCCATGTCTACCCCTCAGAGCCTGTCTTGCATCGCCAAAGAGCGCAAGAAGCCGCAGTCGGTATGGACCGCTCGACAGAGGCATACTGTATGGTGGTTGCACTATGCGCCTACGTCATGATTCAGGCCAACCACAAGCCACCCGTCAGCGTACTACCACGACCAGAAATGGCCCACATGTCAAATGTCGGCATCGGCCATGTCCTGCTGGAAGAGTCGGTTCGTGTACGACAAGGCTACGATCACCGCGAGAATCCCACCCACTACAGCGTGCTCACATCATGGTTCTACAGTGGCTGCTACTTTGGACTGGCGCGCGAGAACACAGCATGGACATACCTCCGGGATGCTACTACACAAGCGCAGCTACTTGGTATGCATGACGAGGAGACCTACAAACACGACCCTCTCGATATATCACGCAAACGAGTTCTGTACTGGCTGCTCTTCATAGCTGAAAGGTATAACTACAAGTCAAGATGTCTTCTCAGTGCGCGCAACTAACTGCTTGTAGGACATATGCGTTACACAAACATCGCCCAATTACCTTACATCCAACCATCCACCCGCCTTCGCTAGACGAGGTTCCTTCCGATCGACCCATTGCCGTTGGACTGGAACTTATGATCAACATGTTCAAGATCATAGACGATACATTCATCAACCTCTGGAATCGAGTGCACAACACACATGCAAGCGCGGCATGGATTACGCAAGTCCAAACCCAACTTTCAGAGGCCGTTCCCGCATATTTTGAGTGCACAGAAGTCCAAGAAGTTCAAATCCGCATCACACAACAATGGCTGCGATCACAGGCATGGCAACTAAGTGTTTGCCAGGGCCTTGTGAGCAGCGTGTCAAATGACATCCCCCTCACATTCAAATACCCCATCGAAATCGCCAGGGACCTTCTCACTATTTCGCACCAATTTTCCCAACAAGCCATGGAAATGCACGGCGTAGGACTGGTAAGCAGTTTCTCATTTTTTTGCTCGTCAGCCCCAAAGCTGGAGATTGTCTCTGTTCGAGCCCCTCCATCTCTCGCTGGAACCATCCCTGTTGTATTTCGATCGCACTAGCGCCGCACTAGGCAACGTCTATCTCTGACGTCCATGCCCTGACTAGCCAAACTGGCTGGTCCGTCCCTCCACCTACACCCCTGCCACGTTTTGCCCTATCTGTCATGCCAAACGTTAGCTAACAGCGCTGCAGATCGAGAAGCTATTCGACATTGCTTGCTGTCTGACTGATGTCGTTGCATGCACATCCTTTTCGCCTGATGCATTTGCTTTGGGCCCTCGCGACTATGTGTCGCGTTTCCTCACTCTCATATCGACCCTTCGTGGTGGACAGACTCGATACCTTCCTCTTCTCCTCGCAAAGCTCTCCGAAGTCCTACCCAACCTTCCGCTTCCCCGGTCACTGAACCTCCCCCAGACGGTTCCCGCAGGCACGCTCGGCCTTAATGCTACTGGCTCGGGGACACTTCCCTCCAATGTCGCCGATGACTATTCGGCGAATCCCAACGCAACGTCGCCCTCGTATCCTTCAAATGATCTGATTCGTCGACTCGCCGCCCAGACCGGAGCCCAACTTCCCTTCAATACATCCCAGCATTCCATGGTCAATGTACCTACTACGCATGTGGGCGACATGTCCCTGTACGACTCCTCACACAGTACAGCACATTCGCACTCATCTAGCTCAGCTCCCAGGAGCACTTCTACGACACCTGGCCCCTACGAGACTCCTATGTCACAACGGGGGTCGCAAATCGTAGGTCACCCGACCATGCAACTCCCCACCTCGCACGGGCACATGCAGAGCCACCACATGGGCGTTAATGCTACAGCATACGACCCACGTTTTTCTATTCAAAGTTACCCCGTCGACCCCATGATGTACAAGCAATAGAATCTGGGTGTGAAGAGCAGGGATATCAACAACGGCGCAGAGGAATTCCTGGTCCTGACAGCGGACCGATTTAGATTTGGTAGTATGGTATAGCTTTTGACCATTCAAGTACATGTTCAGCCTTCGTATCGGCACAGCCTTACAATCATCGAGTGACCAAAGCTTCAAAAAAGGAGCACGTGGAACACGGACGACGTTGAACCGCCTCGTCACGAACCCGGAAGCGTCACCTGCCAGGGCTTAGGACATGAATTCCGCGATTCCCGGTTGTCAGCGATCTCAAGGCTACGAACGTCAATCCTCCGGTAGTTCTTCCGACGGGAAGGAACACTGTCAGCACACGTGCGGGAGGAGGTGCTTGCATGCAGCACCAAGCCCACCGTGGATATTTTAAGCGATTGACATGTGTCCCATGGGTTAATCGATGCACCGGCTTGCCTCTTCAAGATGATGAATCAAGGGCAACCCATGCGCTTGATTACCACAGCCATGGCCCGGACCCCCTTCTCGATCTCAAAGATTACGAAAACATGGCCAAGAGACAAGCACTGTCACTCGTGGTTCTTGGAGTGGGCATGATTGACGGTCGGAACGAGGCGGTTAGGTCTGGGAAAGCCGGTTTTGACATGACATGGTCGTACACCAGTGCGGCTGTGTAGCTTCCACGGGACCCGCAGCCAGGGAAGGGAGGGTATGGCAATCCCGGCCTGTCGTTATTACAACACGAGCTCGGAATCTACCGACACGCAGATGAAGATCATGAAGCAAGGAATGCGAATCCGGATAATTGGTTCGCAAAGGAGAAGTGAGACCTAGTACGCCTAGCATTGTACACGCGTTCAAGTTACTTGCAGTAAAGTTCACGACATGGATGCATTAAAATCCAAATAGCGAAACATGATAGGTGTCCATGTAACTACACCAGTGTTAGTTACATAGACAGGTCGAAAACGTTCAAGTCGCGAAACACACGTCATGCCACATCCCACGCGACTTTCCCATATGCAACATGGTACCGACTCATGTCCATTGGGCTGCAACAGGGCTTTCATTACCACCTGGGCACCAATCACACGATTCGCGTTCAGAGTGTCTCAAGCTTTATCTCTGGGGTCGGCCCGTCTAACGTCGGAGCGTTTTGTTAGCTGCTCTTCGCAAAAGTTTCCTCCGAGTGATCACTGACAGCCGGCGGGGACGGGGGTGGACCATGTCGCGGTTCTGGCGCTGGAGGCGTGATGGGACCCTGGGGATCAGGGACGGGTCAGCCTCGTGGAAGAGGCTTGGTCTTCGAGAAGATGTCGATTGCGCGTTCCTGTCTTGGAGAGACTGTCCAACGGCGACGGAAGGCTTGGCACAACGTGATTGATGGACCGTGACCCAAGGGAAGGGTAAGCGTGGACTCGTGATTTTACTGTCATAGTGTTCGCTATCATCCGGTGGCCTTTGCATCATCCCTGGTGGAAGAGACATTGCGCGATTAGTCGTACGTTGCAGTCGCGTACAACGTTAGTATTGCGAGGTCTGGGGCATAGTTTGGTACAGCGCACGCACTGAGTCTGAGACTGGGTGTTTGAGCATTAGCATTGTTGAGATTTGCTGCAATTACACCTGGCCCAGCTGCCCAACGCGGTCTGCGACGTCCTGACGCTCGACCATATGGTCCATGGTCTTCAAAAACTTTATTCCTCTACTCCTATTGTAGCAAGTGGCGAATATACCAACTCACTCATGCCCTCCCATGTAACGGTATATTCCACTTCTCAATTTCTGTCCATGCTTCCTCTTGTCGGCCCGATTTTCGCCGCGCTAGGTTTCGCACTCCGCTGACAACCCAGACGGAGACACCGAGTGATCAGGAACCGATCGCCAGGCTCCTCGAAATGGGGCTTCTTTCCCCTCCCTGGGCGCTTGGAGGAAGAAAGGGTCTCGGCTTACGGGTTAGTCATGGAAGATGGCGGCAATCGTTCACGTAAGTTGCAGGTGGTCACATCAGGTCTTTGCACTAGTCTGATGTGGTTGTTACTGATGACTAAGATTGGGTCAAAATTTCATTGGCGGGTAACATCGCCGCCTGACTCGTATTCGCTTGTACATGCGGTATATGTTTCCCAAGCGGTGGTAGTTCTACATCCCCGGATGCTCCCATTCGCTAGTAGTTAGCTGCACAAATTATTATTGTTTAATCATATGGGAACAGGAAGGAACGAACGGCATGCAGATGTAAGATGCAATGCGACATGCACTGTCTATTCCGCTGATACACGCAACACTGGAACGCGTGCTCATTTCGCATTCCATTCTTCGCAGAATCCACGGCGACATCGGGACAGATCCCTATTTCGCAGCTTGTTCCCATTGGTGCGGAGTGTAGCTTGACTCGCTGGCTCAACTCCCTGGGCAGAAAAAACCTAAGCTGAAAAGACCTTACTACGTACGTAGTCCTTGCACCACACTACCAGTTGCTTTTGGTGGCACCGCTGCACGCCATTGCGTCTTGCAGCTCACAGCGCACCGGCTTGAATTTCGGGACGTCGTGGCTGGCATGCACATGCGCACCGTTGCACCAGACTTGCGCGCCGTCGCTGCGCAAGGCTGCAAACGTCCAGCGTTGTACTTCAAAGGTCTTGTGATCCCAGCCTCGACGCCTTGACGGGTTGCGGTATCGATCGTGACGACGCTTTTGCTTTTCAGCTTTGCATCGTCAAGAACGCTTGGCCCAATCACAACAAGGATGGCAGAATCGATCCTCGCTTGTCCAGAGCGCGTGCGTGCGACCGCGCATTGCGATCGCAGCAATCGCAGTTGGAAGAGCGATCGAAATTCGAAAGACCTCGGGATCTTCGTATATCGCAGCCAATGACACTGGCTACGAACGACTCCTCCCGTGCAATCGCCACTCCTGTGTCCAGAATATCAAACATGTGAAGTGATCGCGGTTCCGCTCCAATGCGATGAATCTGCTGCAATCGGTGTGCCACAAGCGCATGTCTGTTCCGAGCATCCGGAAGCGCGGATCGCCTTCTCCCGTTCAGGGTCTTGTCGATTTTCGCAAGCAAAGTCTCTAAATCCTGCACTTTCCTAGACGCATGCGCTGAGCCGAATCTTGTCCAAGCGATGGAGGTGCGGAAACGTTGATTTTTGGCTGATCGGTGTGTGGTTGCATGGCATGCTTAAGACAGCAATTCTCCAACTGGCTCCTGTAAGGTAAGAGCAGGATGTGGCTTGACGCGGCCTCGTATGTTCTGAATGCTCGTATGCCCGAAGTACAAAGCGACCTCACTTGAAGAGTACTTCCATATTGCTCGGAATAGGAGTATTGCTGCACGGAGATCATACCTGAAAGACACTAGACAATCTTGCTCTATCTTGAGTAAAATGCGCCTCTCAAAATTCTTGCGCTCTACCTACGTATTCAAGATAAAAAATCAGCCAGGCCACCAGCAAATCGATTCCGAATATCTCGTATGCATAGTAGTTTTCACTTGCCGTCAAGGACTAACACGAAGTAGAGCACCGGTTCCTCGATTCCTGATGTTGTCGAGTACATATCCATCCACAGATAAGAGCATGAGTCCATACTCGTTCCCGTTTTTCTGCACCAGCCTCCAATTCCTATTGTACGACTCAGTCAATCCTGGATACCACGCAGGGCCTTGCATATATCGTGATAAGACTGATATCACTGCTTATCGTGCCAATATTTCCTTTTCCCCGAAGCATGTTGTCATCGTGTTCTCGTACATTCCACCAACATCGTTGCCCTCCAAAACACACATTCCATGGCAAGACCAGACAGCGGTCATTCAAGCATTTACCCGTCCTTATTCCCGCTGCTGTTCTATCTATTACTCTGGATTCCGATTCCCCGACTGATACGCGTCCGCGGATATAAGAACAGTACCCCGCCAAGACTCATCACACAGACGTGATATCGACGTAGCACAACTTGGCGCACATGTGAAAATGGTTGATTGAGCCGCAAAATCCAGGAAACACACGCGCGATACACGGATCGACTCAGTAAAACCCAGTACCTTGTTGCCTATTGTCACTTCGCCGAGCCGCATTCAATTCGGCGACCACATTCACTCGCAATATGGAAACAACTTGCCACGTATCTCCTCCACAGCGGCCATGAGAAGACCACTCAAGGAACCTGGTCTGCCGCCCACCTCCACTTATCATGGAACGTCTTTTTTCGTTATATCCGGAATTACAATCACGATGTTGCTTTTTTCGTTTCCTTTGGGCGAATTCCCGATCCTCTTTACTCTAAGATGGAGGCAGAAAATGCTTCCAACCGAGCTGCGGAGACATCATTCACACATGTGCAGATGCTAGTTCCGTTGTATGCCGATGTTGCCGCGCCGTCGGCATGGCCAAGCGTTTGTGGGCCGTTGTTTCTGTATCTGCATGTCTCCAATGCCGCTTGACAAACGAGCATAATCCAGGCGTCGCCGAGAATTTCCAATGCATGACTTGTATACACGTCCGGCTTTGATCCGGAAAGGTTAAGACTTGCTCCGGCCTGGAGTCTAAGCGTAAAACCATTGTCTAGTCATGGGTAAGCACCATGTGAAAAACCTGAAGACACGCTGTAGACGCATCATTTCATAACCCTTAATGGCGACATACTGGGAGGTATTGCTATGTATAAGAAGGTGATTGACGTAAGCAATCGAATTAGAGGGCTGCTGAAGCATCCAGAACGATGTGTAAAATATACGAAGATATGGAAGTCGTCGAATGACTAAGGGCGTATTCCTCTACGGTCTCTATCTAGCCTCGACTGTTGCCCATTACGTGCTTGAGATCGTGGAGACTGATTATCAGTCAAGCGGCAAACTCTCTACCCACCACATTCCCCCCCCCCCCCACTGTATACCCTCCAACATGTCTCTTTCCATCAGTCCTCAGTCCTCCTTCACCTAGTACCTCATCTCCGCCCACGCCTTGCCCACGCGCAGATATGATGGAGGGGGTAGAACTCCCAGCAGTGATACGCTATCCATCGTTAATGATACCACGCGGGACGCGTGATCGCTGTCCACTGGCCCCGAGCGCCAGGTCTTGCCCCTGGACACGTCGAGCAAGCTTCGTTAGCTGTTGCAACAATCACAGCCTTGCAGCGTACGCCGAAGCTCCCTTTATCATTCTTGCCGATGGTCTTTGTCAAGACACAGGCCTTGTTCAAATCCGCCATTCCATTTCAGGCCTTGGTCTGAGTAGATCCTTGAATGTATCGCATCAGCTTTTACTAGAGAGATACCTTCAGTTCTAGGGGCACAACCTCTTTCCACTCACCGTCCAGTCGCAGAACCACCGAAAATCGTGGATCGCTTGGTCCCATTTCTCCACACTGGGACTGTTGCTCGTTGGACTCTCCGTAAAATGCTGGGAAAAACTCCTCACATTACAAGGTGAATTCCGTATACGTAGATAGTCACTCGGCTCCACCGATCTTCCAGTCATGCGACAAACATCATTCCGGGATGAGAAACTAGATGCACTAGCTAGCCTCTCAAATACTGTATCATAGGCATCCCGATTTGCAGATTCCCACACATCGCGATCCACAGTCTTTCCCTTTTTCAGGCCATCCCAATCCTGCCTTCCATACGTCCTCCGTTCAGCAGAGATCCATGCCGGCATACTCACTATCCGTACAAAGTCGTCGTTAGCGAACACTGCTTGGGAAGTCCTTTGCGAGCTTTCGATACGTGCACACTCACTAAACTGGTTCACCGTCTGCGTAGCTGTCGCAACCCTGCATATAGTCCTTCCTGATACTTATACAGCAGCTAGTTGATGTCTGCCAACATTCGCTTCCCCCTATGCTCAGACGCATACGCTCTAGCCATACTAGTTTAGGCCCTCTGCCTGAAGCTTTAGTGTTCGTTGTCTGACGTTTAGCTTGTTTCGGACTAGGTATTTGTGGTGTGAAGTCGCAGCGTCACACAGAAGAAAATTTCGATCAGTGAATATCTAGCAGAGGCAGGAGCAACCACGTGGCAAGCAGAATGGCACACGTTCTACTCAATGAAAACCAATATCATGATCGAGGGCATGAGAGAATTGAGAACCAGGCTACTAGTAGCTGCTCATGATATGCTATGTACTTTCAACCATGTTTTGTTCAAGGTGTGTGTTCCTTTAGGTGTTAGACGCGACTACCTCTGCTGGGAAGCGAAGCATGCCGCTGAAGACTTCTGCTTGAAATCGCACTGAAACATTATTGCGCTCTCCCGCCCTTGCCCACGGTCACTCAACGTGGTTACCATCCCCCACTCGTGGTGATAACGAAGATTCTACGCACCGTGCACGACCTCCAGCTGGCGCTCTGAAACATCGAGGAGAAATTGGAAGAGAGTGCTAGGCTGTAAAGATTGGATGGTACCCGCTGTAGCCGGAGGAAGGGCGAATAGATGTGACCATGCGTAACATCCATCAGACGAGGGCAGCTGTCAATACGAAGGAGCGAGGTCCGTGACGAGTATTGTGGTAAGCCTAACAAGTGCTCATGACTTTGACGTGTTACTCACTGGATGCAGACGAGACCGAGCTTGCCTCGATTGAGATCCAAGAAGTGGACATGTTATCGGAAAAGTATTGGAAGGTTGTTGTGAGCCTTCACAACATGGTTGAAGCAAGCACCGAAGTTTACCAGAGGGAAAGTCCAGTCGGAAACAGATACAATTTACGTTGGACCGGGAGAAAAAAGGCTTCGGGATTTAACGAGGTATCATGCTGGTTTGAAGGGCACGACGGACAAGATGCTTTGTAAGGTAAGACAGCATATGCTGACACTGTAGATTCTCTATTGAGGAAGGCGTGGTATGCAAGAGTTGAAGTTGATGGTAAGGCAAGCCGAAAGTCTGCCCTCTTTGATCTAGGAACACAGCTTAGAAGATTTGAAGGCAAAGGTAGCACATGCTGACTCTGTTGCTCCTTTGTTGGAGAAGCATGGTATGCGTGTTCTGAAGAAGAGTGTAAGGAAGGCCGGGGGCTCTGGTTCCTGTACTTGAGAAGCATGATATGGAAGGTCCGAAGGAGGTCATCGCGGAGGGAGAGGCTGCCTTGGAGACGGAATAAGGGCCTCAAGAGACGATCCTGGAGGAGAGGTGTAAATCTAAGGAATTGACAGTGTCCTACGAAAGGAGAGTAGAAAAGTGTGGGCTGCTCAGTGGTGAATCGAGTAATTTACGTGGAGTGTTGGCCAAATCGCAAAAATGGTTGGTGAGCTGAAAAAAATAGGTGCAGCGATACTAGGTATCACCGATCGATTGATAATTAGCCCTCTCGCTTTCAAGCATACCGTATAGATGGATCTGACAAAGGTTAGAATTGGTGTCACTAGAATGAATCCATACCGCAGATGAGGCTGTAACAATGAACTATGAACTATGAATGCTTTAGTCTGGCGGTGGCATGACTTCTAACTCATGCTCAAACTCTCAATCGCCAGGATCGTGCGAGATAAACCTCGTAGCCTTCTTTTGCTAGCGAGTCTCCGCCCCTTGTACTTCCAGACCTATCTGTTCTTAGTCACCATCTAGGTCGCCTATTCAGAATCCCATTATCCGCGACAGAGGAGCAAATGTGTCACTTCACAAATTTGCTTTTTAAACAAGCCCCAATCCCCTGTGCCCATGTTCAAACCATAACTTACAGCTTCTCAAAGGGGCACTCTCCTTGTGCATACGCTCGTCTATGCCTTCCATCAAAAATGATACTCCGATCTCATTAGTAGTGAGGGCAAGAAGAAAAGTTTGCTTGGATGTGAAAATAAGGATAAATGCCTGATCTAAAGATTGAAATTGGGGATAGAAAGAACCCTGTTAGCCAACTAGGGCTGATGTATAGCAACAATAACAATGAAGTGCGTGTCTCGAAGTTTGAGAGCTTGGACCTTGGCTCTGAGAGCCGCTGCAGCAGACTCACATCGACTGGATCCGTCCATAACCCTTACATACTGCGTCCTGAAGAATGTAGGGGCGCTGTGGCAACTGAGAACAATGACGGTTGTACCCAGATTCTTTCACCCATTCATAGCACACACCTTGAGACCAATAGGGCTCTCTTCACGATAATTTACCTGCAAGATACGTCATTCCATTCCAGATATTGATGTTTCCCGCTAGTTGTACGTATCGCGTCTCACTTAAAAACCCGGCGCATGTTGGTAATACTCCGCTCGTGTGACCTCGTCTCCACTTGGTGTTTGCTGTTGTGTGTGTAGATGGAACTGCTGCACATGTGAATGTAGCGTTGGTGCGTTTCGGTGTACGTCTTGCTGCTAGTAGGCGTTCTGAGGCACTTGGTAGCCACCCATCTGCGGTTGCTGGGCCTGAGCCTGGGCCTGTGCTTGCATCTGCGCCATTTCCTGCTGCCTCTGTGGCAGGTCACTGAACCAGGGATGCTGAAGTGCGTTCGCAGCGGATATGCGCATCTCTGGCCGCAACTGGAGCATACAGTTGAGGAGGCTGAGACCGACCTGGTCGACTTGTGGCAGTATAAGGCGTAGGTCCTGGGTGTGGTAAACAGGAAAGTTGTTCTTGTACTCTGGCAGCTGCGAGATGCCCGGCCATGATCGTTCAGATGGTGTGCCCATAAGCCTGAAGATCTTCTGAACCTGGTCCTCGTTGGTGGTTCCTGGAAAGAGTGGCCGCCCAGTGTACATCTCAGCCATGATGCAGCCTGCCGACCAGATATCGATACTTGTGTTGTAGGTTCTGCTGCCGAGCAGGACGTCAGGGGCACGGTACCATAGAGTTACGACTTCATTTGAGAAGGTATTTACGGGGATGCCGAAAGCGCGAGCGAGACCGAAGTCGGCCAACTTCAGCTGGCCGCGGTTGTTGATCAGGAGGTTCTGGGGCTTCAGATCACGGTGGAGGACGCGGGCCTCGTGGCAAAAAGCGATTCCTTTCAGCAGCTGGTACATGAAGGACTTGATGGTTGCAGGATCCAGAGCACCGCGGTCACCCCGCGAGTCCATATACCTCTTGAGATCCTTGTCCATGAATTCGAAGACCAGCATGAGCTTGTTCTCAGTATGTATGACATCGTGTAGCAGGACAATGTTCTCGTGTCGCAGCTCCTTCATGAGCGAGATCTCGCGGATAGCGGTCGAGGGCGTGCCTTCCTCCGAGTCAAGATGTATCTCTTTCAGGGCTACCAGCTCGCCCGTCTGGCGGTTGCGACCCTTGAACACCTGAGCGAGTTAGCATGCAATGTGTGAAGTGCATCGTGGCTGCCTACAGTAGCATATGTTCCCTCACCAAGCTTCTCCAGCTGCTGGAAGGAGCTGGGGTGTCTTCTGTTGTCCATGGTAGGTACAATGGGCACAGTGTGGCCGTCGCCGAGGTTGCGGACGCTGATGGACGAGTCGGTGCGCTGCGGGGCTACAAGAGTGCCGGCGTGGACTGGCTTGAGACTGCCCGGGGGCGCTCGCGAGGTAAACTTGGGGTCCCAGAGGATGGCCGAGGCGGTCGTGAGCTGGCTAGCAATGCGCAGAGGTGAGGGCGGGCGGGACTTGTCGGGGGTTGGGGCTGGTGACGCCGTTTTGGTGATGTGGGTAGAGAAGAAGTGAGCGAGGGGGGATGGTTAAACAAGGGTCCGGTCGCGATAGCAGCAAAGGTGGAATGGATCTTCGTCGGCGCTTGTGTCGAGTTCAACGTTGCGCGAGTCGATGAGTGGGATGTGGGTGGATTTGGTGGGGCGCCAGAACAGCCGCCTGACTTTGCGCTACCGCCGACAGCCACCCATCGAGCCTTCTCGCCCTGTCCGTGTGCATGGTCCTTCACCACACTAGCTGCTATTTCTAGATGCAGTAACCCACGATGGTGCTTTGGAGCATTTCCATTGGACGCTACGAAAAATGACTGAGAACAACAATGGCAACCAACGCCACATCAACGGCGCGAGGAGCGCGCATACATGGACATGCTTCAACAGGGCGCTTTAGCAATATACTTCGTTCATCATTCCATGAGTGCTATGCCTCAAGCATGCTCTTTACCCACCCAGGCACAGTCGGTCTCTTCTCCCAGCCTTCTTTCCACCCCTCCCTCCACCCTTCTTTACTGGCAGGCATAGCAAATACCGCCGTAACCAACCACGCAGTTTCCCCTTTCTTAATATCCTTTTGCACAATGGGCAACACTGTCCTACTCTCGACAAGATTGCTGTTCGCATCAGCCAGGATTACACTACCCTGTCGTTGGCTCTGGTAGATATCCGTGATGCCGACTGCGCCTGTACGGGGCGAGGCTGCGAAGGCGGATGCATGGTCTGAGGAGGCGCCTTCGGGGACTGAGGTGTCTAATTTACGCAGTGTACCGTTCCATTCAGTGAGGAGGCGACCGTCAGACTCGCGTGCGCCGTACACAGCCCATGCGCCTTCTGCGCTCTTGACGTCTCGACCCGAAATCACACGATGGACGCGCAGATGCCAGTTTGGTGTATCCTCGGCTGGCGGGATCAGATACGATGTTATCTCCACATCACTCCATGGCTTCATGCTCGACACCAATACAGGCACTCCATCGCGATCCTCAATCTGCGAATCACCGTTAAGTGCCCTCCGCATTTTCCACAGCTCGCCCCCGTCGTCAGAGAAGGCGAGTTGCGACTCTGGCACGAATTGTTCGAGTTCCTGGTAACCAGTGGAAACAGAGTATGCAAAGGCGGCGCTGTAGGCGAACTTACCGTACTTGGCGTTGCTGTTCTTGATAGCGTAGTGGCAAGACTGACCGCTCGAGAGGAGGAAGGTGTGGCCGCCGGACCGGCAAACGATTTGACGTGGATGAGGGAGCGAACGCACAACGCGGGTGTTGGCAAAAGGATGTGGCTCTTCTTTAGCAGACCAGAAGGGATGTGACTCTGGGACTGCGAGACAAGCAAAGGCGAGCATGCACCAGTATGGACTTTGCGGCGAGTTGTAGTTCTCGGCTAGGTAGTAATTGGGGTACGAGTAGCCCACTGTGAGCATGCCGTTGGACTGGAAGATGTCGTGTTGCGTTGTCCACCAACGTAAATTGCGCATCCAAATTCCCTTAACTACGCCCCAGGAAAGAGGTTCAGGAAGCTCGAGGTCGGCGTAGGCGACGGCGCCCCAAAAGGCTACCATGGCCCATCGATACGTCAACGAGCGACCAAAGGTAATGGCGCGGCCTTCAGGGTCGAAGTAATGGACAAAGTCAAGGGCGTACATGTGTGCGCGCTTCTTGTACTCTTCGGCTTGCTCCGGGTCAATGTCTGCGGCGAGTTTAGAGTAGAGGAGCTGCAGGTATTGGATCGCAAAGGAGCCGGAGTAGTAGTCCATCTGGCGATATGTGTCAGGTCCATCGTTGGACCAGCCATCACCACGATAGTACGTGTTCAGCTGCTTGATATCCTTCTCTAGCTGCTCTTTTGACCACTTCGCCCCATTCCTCTCGAGTCCCAGATTGGCGAAGACGCGGAACCAAAGCCTAGCAAAAACTTAATATCACATCTCAAGATACAGCATGACAGGGACTTGAAGAAACAAATGGCTAGCATACCAGTTTGTATCCGGCATCTTCTTATCGTTCATACTCCCTAACCACGTCTCCACATTCTTCTTCTGCTTGTCCGTCAATGGATCCCAAAACTGTTTATTCGCAACAGCAAGCGTGAATCCAATCGGGCACGCCTCCACCATCCTCTGATCTGTATCCTCCATGTACCCCCAGAACTCTGGACTCTCAGGATCCGTGCCAGAAATGAGGCCTTGAACAAACTTGTCGGTTGCTGGATACTTGCCGCCACCAGCTAGCAGCGGTGCGAGACCCCATAGTGGGCGTGCGAAACCCTCAACCTGAGCACCTGTCTCATCAAAGCGTGTACCTGTGGAGCCTACCTTGATCAAAGCATTGTCTGGAGAGAAACCAGGAATGAGGGGATCCAGCAGTGAACCTACGGCGGCAACAACATCGTCACGCGTCTTGAGCGGATTCGTGGAGAAAGGGTGCAGGTCGAAAGCCCGATTGGTATTTGCTGTCGTGGCTGTCATGCTTCCGGTTTCCGGTGCCCTAGGGTAGTTGCTTCTGCAAGTGGCTGACCACAATCGATACGATACGTCTCTACCTGGGTGGACCGACTGACGGTGAATATGCAATGCAAACTTCCGTGTCCGCTATCTCCGCTGCGCGGGCGATTATGTTCAGTTTCCTTGGCGATAAGTTTGTCCAGAAATGATCTTGACGTGAGCTGCTGATGGATTGGTATTGGTGGTGTTAAGCGCAGCCGAAATGCCCAGGAGCCCAGAACTCCAAGACGGAAGCAACCTGTACAAGCTGCGGATTCGGGCGTGATGAGGCGAAAAGGCTTAATTCCGGTATTGATTTTCGCCGCAGTCGTTTACACGAGACGAACGTTTATTCCAGTATTGACAGTCTTGAGGCTCTTCTTGCGTGGGGCTGGTGGTGCGTCTTAAGTGGTGACTGCAGGTGTTGAGTGTCGCAACTTCCACCGAGGTTCGCGACACCAAACCCCGAAGCTTCTCTTTTGCCTGAAAAGCTACAAAGTATCCATCACCCCACGACCATATTCGACAACTCGTGGACGTCCATTTTGCCTACATGAACCGTCACCTCTCCACAGCATCCACAATCCTTTGCAATCGACCCATCACGCGTCGGCGCGACCGTGGGGCATCCATGACCCCGACCACTTCGCAGGTCTAATACGCGGATAAATGGCCACAACAACCGTAGCGCCTGCTATCAGCGGGGGTCAGCATCTTACCAAACCAAACACGGAAAGGCTGGCCGTTGCTCAATTCTCCCCCAACACTCGAGAGTGGGGACACCCCAGACTGGTCTGCCGACCTGGGGACATGGCTCTTGGCAAGTCTTGTTTCATTGAAGTTGCAACGCCACGCTTCCTCGCAACTGGACGGAAAAAGGCGCGGACTTGGCGGTTCCAAGACGGCCTTTCACTGACTCCACAAATCCCACCACGAGGTTTCCGCCGAGCCAAGACAATATCACCACCATGCTCTCTTTGAGAAAGTGCGGTGCTGGTTCTGAATCGACCCCATTGGCCGGAGCCACGAGGACTCGTCCATCTAACGATCTAGCTACCTGGTCTGGGGAAGTCGGTTGGCTCTAGCGGCAGCAGTGAGAGCTGTCTGTGGAGGATTTGGAACGTGGAGTCTGGGGTCTAGTCTGGGGTTCACGATAGCTTGAGGCAAGATGGCAAAGACCGCGGCGTTGGACCAGGCAGTTACCCCGTCTTGAGCAAGGAGCTAGTGCTGCGAGGATAGCGGGATAGCGCATGGGCCGCAGTACCATCCTGTTTATATAGATGGTCATGCACATCCCACTGGGGTTTTGAACATCAGTCTGCGGAGACATCTCTCTCTTCACTCATTCCCTTCGAGCTCCATCTGGTGCCGTACACCAGCGTCTGGTCCAGGGTCAGTTTGAGGTTTAGCAGTCGCCCATCGACAAGGTATGTACTCTGTCATATGTTACACAACATCATGCATGCTAACGATAAGATAGATCTTTATAGCCAGCCGATACGGTAGAACATCGCCAACTATCCGCCGTCATGTCGTCTCCATCCGCCGGTGCGAAGTTCATTCGCATGATTGTCAAGAACGACTCCATCAAGACTGATCCTCATGAGATTTACGGATGGCGCGCCTTCGCCATGGCTGGTTCAGCCTGCTTTGGTGGCATGTTGTTCGGATTCGATATCGGAACCATTGGTGGTGTACTTGAGCTGAAGGAGTTCCAAGAGTATGTGCTCCCTCTGCACTTATTTCCGTCTTCACAACACTGACATGACATGTAGCAAATACGACATTACCAACCTCGACAAGGTCGGCAAGGCCAACTTGAACGCCAACATCGCCTCAACTCTCCAAGCTGGCTGTTTCGCCGGTTGCTTCGTCGCCTCGTGGTTCGCCGATCGCTGGGGTCGTAAGATGGCACTCCAGGTCGCTGGTCTCGTGACCATTGTCGGTTGCGTTATTCAAGCCGTTGCCATGGGTTCACTCGAGGCCATGTACGTCGGTCGCTTCGTCGCTGGTCTCGGTGTCGGAGGCGCCTCCATGGTTGTCCCTCTTTACATCTCAGAAAACGCTCCTCGTGGTATCCGTGGCGGTCTCACCGGTCTTTACCAATTGGTAAGTTGTGCCTCTACGAGATGCATGTGAGACATACACTGACTCGTATTTAGTTCATTGCTACAGGAACCTGTAAGAAATGGCCCTGTACGAACTGCATGTGAACCAAATACTGACAGAGATAGGTCTCGCGTTCTGGGTGAACTACGGATCGCTCATGCACCTCTCCGGCGGTGCGCAAGTCTACATTGTTCCTCTCGCTCTTCAAGCTCTTCCCGCTGTTCTCCTTGTCGGCTGCATGGCCCTGAACAAAGAGTCGCCCCGTTTCCTCGCCAAGCAAGACAAGTGGGAAGAGGCCACTACCGTCCTTGCCCGCATGCGAAACCTGCCATCGTCTCATGCCTACGTCCAGGATGAGATCAAGGACATCGCCGATCAGCTCGAGCACGAGCGTATGCTTGTTGCCGGTGCTAGTGTCAAGGATCTTCTCAAGGAGATGTTCACCATCCCTGGTAACCGCAAGCGCGCCCTCATCTCCATCGGACTCATGATCTGCCAACAGATGACTGGAACGAACGCCATCAACTACTACGCACCTCAAATCTTCGCCGCCCTCGGACTCAAGGGTAACTCGGTCAAGCTTTTCGCTACCGGTATTTATGGTATTGTTAAGATGGTCGGATGTTTCGCCTTCTTGATCTTTGCCGCCGATTCTCTTGGTCGTCGTCGTTCGCTCCTCTGGACCTCGATCGCACAGGGACTGGCCATGTTCTACATTGGTATCTACATGCGTGTTGACCCGCCCATCGCGGGAGAGCCCGTACCAGGTGCCGGATACTTTGCCCTTGTCTGCGTGTTCCTCTTCGCCCTCTTCTTCCAGTTTGGTTGGGGACCAGTTTGCTGGATCTACGTGTCTGAGATTCCCGCCGCACGTCTCCGTTCCCTCAATGTTGCCATCGCTGCTGCTACTCAGGTAAGTTCTGACTGTATGAGATGCATGTGGGTTATGTACTGATTTTATACTAGTGGCTCTTCAACTTCGTCGTCGCTCGCGCTACTCCCAACATGATGGCTACCATGGGTCAGGGTGGTTACGGAACTTTCTTCACCTACGGTTCATTCTGCTTCACCATGTTCATCTTTGTCTGGTTCCTCATTCCCGAGACCAAGGGTCTGTCGCTCGAGAAGATGGACGACCTCTTTGGTATCACTGAGCTTGTCAAGAACATGGAGGCTGATCGCGAGAACCACGCCCATGGCACTGAGCTCGACATGGACGGCAAGAACTCGACTGTTGTCCGTGAGGAGAAGGTCGGTCACTAGACGACTGTATGCGAGATTTGTTGCTGCCAGTTTGTTTCTGGTCGAGGCTAGGCTGTCGTTACTTAGCACTAGCATGATGATTTAATGAAGTCACGAGCTTCGTGCCACTCTTTGCACAAACACTTGTTCAAGACCGCATATGGTTATGTGGAGAATGTGACATGAGAGAGAGAGAGAGAGAGAGAGAGAGAGAGAGAGAGAGAGAGAGAGAGAGTAGCCGCCAAAGCAGCGAGCAGCAAACTTGATTCATGACGTGATGTATACTCATGTTTGCAATAACCGTACAACTTGGAAGAAGCTCAGTGCAACCTCAAATGTGTGACAAAATTCCGCTAACGCCATATGCATGAATGGACAAAGTCAGCAGTGTGACTGTCGCCGGGTGCGAAGCTCAAGCATCCTTAACAGGGGCTTCGTCAGCATCCAGAATGCCTTTCTTGACAAGCTCTTCCGGACTTGGCCTGCTCTGCAGCCCCTTCTCCAGACTATCCGCTTTCATGTGCATCTCGAGTTCCTTCTGGTGTCCCTGTAGAGCAGGCGCAGCGTTGGAGGCGGGGAGGATGTTGCGGTCGACGAGCTCGGCGCGTTCAGGACGGGAGTTGAGGCCCTTCTTGAGGTTGTCGGTTGCGCGCTGGCGCTCGAGCTCGAGGGCCTTGGCTTGGAGAGCACTGTTGCAGATTGGGCGTTAGTGAGGCTGTTGTAGAGGAAAGAGCTCCCTCCAGTAGAGCTCCATGAGCTTGCCGGGGTCAGGAACATACGGCGCAGTAGTGGTGTCTAGCAGGATATGCCTGTTCTTCAGATCCTGCGGTTCCGGACGATGCTGCAGGTGCTTCTCCAGACTGTTGCGCCTGTCTAGAGAGCGAACGGGAGAGATGGGCGTCTCGTCGACAATGTCAGTGTTCTCGGACGTCATGTTGGCAATTGTTGTTAGTCGCTCAGGAAGATGGGGTAGTAAGTGAGGTTGGTGACTTGCGATCAAAGGGGTTGCTACGGGTACTTAAGGAGAGTCTCAATGTGAGACGAGAGGGGAGAGGTGCCTTCCAAGGTTGCTCTGTTGCATCGCGCCTTGGTTGCGGGGCAGCCGCCTACCGAATCCCTGCAGCGATACAGCAGGGATCAGGCGCGTGCCGTCACCGCGTCACCTTACGTCGGATGAGCAAAAAGACGCACCCCCCAAGGCGGCAAGACATGATCGTGCTGCCTTGATTTTCGCGTCAGACGGAGCGTTGGCTGACCAGCATCGAGTCCATGCGCGAAGCGATGAGCACATGCCGCACGTTTCATTCCTAGCGACACTTTCTTGACACGGCGCCGAAAGGTTGCCATGTGAGGCGGCTTGGGCATCTGCAGTCGATCTTGTCGAGGAATGCCCAAGTACCTGGACTAGCAATCACCGCCCCACTGCTAACGTTTTTGTGTAGATTTCGCGTCCTGGTATTCATGGTATGCTAGATACTACGACACATCAACGCCAACCAAGCTGCCTTTCCCCACGTCTAGTCATTGTCGCACCTCCCAGCATCGTCAATCCTTCTTACAAGCCGTAACTGTGGCAGTTGCAGTTCCTGGGACCGTCGTAGAAACCCGGCAGCCCTACAAATGTCACCATAATCAGCTTTCCCAATCTACGATGCTTGGAAAGAGACACTCACAAGCCCTACGCCTAAAACCTTCGTCTTTAGCGCGCATCCCCCGCAGTCCGTGTACACAGTCGAAGTAGTCGTGGTTTCATAGAAGGTGCAGTTAGTCTGGCGAGGTGGCGATTTGAATACATTGACTGCGCAGTCTGCCGATGGTGTGGGCGTGGGAGACGGCGAAGTAGGGCTGACCGAGAATGCGCTGGGTTATATGTCAGGGTATGGAAAACGGCGCGGCTGGAATTATCTTACGGTTGCATAAGAAGTGCCGCAAGCACAATGGTAAGGACTGACGATAACATGGTAGGCTATAAAGGTCTCACTAATGAATGATCAAACTAGAATACAACGACACAGCCAAGAACACTTGAATATATAAGCGGACCTGAACGAGGGGATCGGGACACGCGGATCACCATTTCCATGTGGCACATCAGATTGAGTGGTTCGGCGGTAAGCCGGGACGCGGTCCTGACCAAAGTACGAGATCAATATCATTATCGCATTAACTACATACGTCCACATCATGGGCGTCCAATCCCGTACCTATTGACAAGCCCCCCAACTCCATTGATGAAAAGCTAGATCATTGAGGAGAACTACTGACTAAAAGGACAGTAGGAAACAGACACATGCCGCGTAAGCTTTTTCTTTCATCCCAGGTTCCGGTCCCATCACAGGCGAACCACTCTTGTCAAAGCATTCTGTAGTGAGAGTAATACAGATTAGTGCATTTAAGCACCGTCGTCCTCACCAATGCGGATGGCACCCTCACGGCTGAGACCGTTAGCCCAGAAGCCGTTGAGCTCAACATCGCTCTCGCGCATGTTGGCGTGGGCAACAAGGAGCCAGGCACCGAAGACAGCCTTGGCAAGGACATCGAGGATAGCGTAGGAAATGATCTCAGCATCAACGCTAGCCTTGCGGGCACCGTCGGCAACACCCCAGACACTGCGAAAGTATTAGTGTCATGAAGAGAACGGATACGATGACGGATAAACTTACATGGGGTAGGCAGTCCAGAGGATGGCAGTGTAGGCAGCGATGGAGACGAAGAAAGTGCGGAGCTTGTCACCCTTGGCGCGGGCGTTGGCGCCACCGTTAAGGCCAAGGTGCCAGAAGATGAAGATGAAGGCAATGCAGGCAATTGTGTACCAGCCCCACTTCTGGGGAGTGTCCTCAGTGCCGAAAGCAGCAAACAGACCAGTAAGAACCATGATCAAGTCGGCAACGATCATCATGATCATGTGTCCTCCAGACATGCCAGCAAGGAGACCGAGATCGAGGAGCAGGAGAGGGGTGGTGATGCTCCAGTCGACGTAACGGGCCCAGTAGACCTGGCGGTAGGTGGTGGTGTAGGTGTCGGGAACGTGGTCATGTTGCTCGCGCTCGACAATCTTGTTCAGGGAAACACCGTGTCCAGTGGCCATGGCGAAGTAGGAGAGGGCTGCGGTGAGGGTGATGATGGTGGTGATGACATGGTAGAGACGCTTGTTCTAGTAGGTGTTAGGCATTGCGTTTCAAGTCACTCGGAACGGGGTCCTTACCAATGGGACCTTCCATGACATGACAGTAAATCCAGCAGAGGCGATCAGCATAAGGACAAAGACGACCCAAAGCGTCTTCTGTCCAGCATCGCCAGCAACCTCGTAGACGGGCTCGCTGCCGGGGATGACAGTGGGAACGGGAGCAACCGAAGGCAGAGATGAGGCCGTTGCCGTGGGCAGCGGGAACATCTCCGAGGTCTTCTTCAAGACTTCCTCAATCATGATGGCGATTTGGTGTTGTGAATTGACTCCGGGACCTTGACAGCAACTGTATGTGCTGACGAGTGATCGATGGGAGAGTTGACAGTGAGATGAAGGAACAGAGTGAGACAAGGCGGAGTTATAAAGAGGAGAAGCTAGGCAGCTATGCGGTCACCTGTTGGAGCTGCGGCAGGAGCTATACGAAACAGGAATCGAGACGTCATAGCCCCTCACGGCATGCGCTATTGATTGGTTCCCGCTACGGCCTGCGTGAGAAGCAAGGATGCACGAACATCAGCTCGCGCCTAACAGCTTCAAATTAAGGGTCTGAACTCTCTGCGCGAATGCACTCATTAATGCACTGGAGCTGTCATGGCGGCCGTCAATGGCGTCCTCTGCACGCGTGGTTGAGGCATTGGAGTGACCTCGTCGAGTGGGGCTGGTTGCTACGCGAAAGAGTACCTTGGTACATCATCAATGCTTCACCGCGCCAAGCCGTCCAGGATGTTCCCCACAGCAACAAAGCGCAGTGTGAGTGCACGCCCTCGGCTGCTCGCGTCTAGCCTCACAAACAGGTTTCAGTACCACCGATTGTATTAACTTTTCGATCCCCCTCTTCCGTGCGCCGATGTTCATTTCCATGTTGCATGTCTCGATCGCCTGGATTCCATCAAGTCGCTGACATCGCCATGGCCATCGAACCCAATTGTACATGCGACGACCCCGCCCTGTCGCGCATTGGCGGGTACTCTACATCTCACCAGTCAATAGCCCCTCACGGTGGTGTGATCTGGCCCAACCATTCAGAGCTTCTGGAGAGCTGAAGCGGGCCGAAGTGCATACGTTTTGTTGTTATAGGGAGTATCCTGGACTCTTTACTGTCTGAGACGACGTGCATCTACATTTCTGTCTTTGTCGACGATGCCCGGTACATATCCTCGGATCACGCGGCAGCGCGTGAGGAGACTGCGGAGACTGCGCCCATCACCACATCAGTTGCTTCCGTCTGAACCTAAATGCAGTTACAACGAGCATCGCGACACGCCCAGCCTCAGCACATTACTCAACGGGGCCGTTTGCCAAGTTTTGTGACAGCCTCGCCATCTCAACACAAGTATCCCGCTACTTTCTCACCATTCCATCACGGCGTAGTTCATATTCTTACTTTCGCGCCTGCATCCATAGGCATGTCTTGTTGGGTGTTGAGCTCATCGGAATTTGGGTTGTACTTCGGGTGCGGACATGCTTGCGATGTTCATTTTTTTTCCCTTGGTTCGTCAAAGTGCGCGCTGAAGGTGTCGTGTTTCCAGATTTATCTCAGTTTCAGCCACTCGATACCGCCCCAGAGTTTAAAGTGGACGCGAACTTCTCCATGGTAGGATTGTTGAGGGTTCGCCTCGAGTAAGTCGAATCGCGCTAGCATCGTGGCTGACTAAGTTGGCAGTTGCTGAACGCTCGTTCGCCGCGTACTAACAACTTCATCGTCGCGCATGCTGAATACCAACACCATGGTTGACACAAATCCCACGTTCTTTTCATATCCTAATAGCTCTTCAATACGTCCCCCACGAATGACAGCCACAGTCGACGCGATAGGCCTCTTATCGATGCACCAGTGGAATATTCGCCCTTAGCGCACCATCACGGTACTCTAGGTAAAGCTCTTTTGGCATATGGCCCGTCGTCACATCCTCCTACCAGCGCTGTGCCCCGTCAATTCTTACGAGGTCCGTCAAGCATTTCCTTCTATCCATCAGGGTGCTTAATTGCCGTCAAATGCCCATTATATAGTGCTTGTTGTTGCCCAAGACTGTACAAGACACGCACTGCCGAGCCGGAACCAAGCTTCTCTGCATACCCAAGAAAGCTTACTGGATTTTGCTGCTCCGCTGGACCACTACCAGATTTCCGGGCCCGAACCAACGAGAGATCAACAATACTGGAGACCCTTTTGGTCAAAAATACCTTAGGCGAATACTTTGCAACACCGCCCTTCTTCATCTACTGCAAGCTCTTTCCATACCACCATGGCTTCTACCGCTTTCGATATTGCACGCCTTGTGCTGCGTCAAGATCAGGGTGCAGAGACACAGCCCGACGAGGTCATCACTTGCGGCAGCGACAACGAGTACGATGGCCGTATGGGTACCCGCATCTCGTCCATTTTTGTCATCATGGTGGCATCTAGCTTCGGTATGTACAACAATCCCACCTTGATCTTCGCGCACTAACACCACACAGGTGCCATGTTCCCTGTTCTGGCAAGACGTACGCGCCACAAGTTGGTACCTAACTGGGTCTTCTTCGCTGCAAAGTACTTTGGTTCAGGTGTGATTATCACTACTGCATTCATCCATCTTCTCGCACCAGCGAACGAAGCACTGGGTAACGAGTGTCTGACCGGTGTCATTGCCGCATACCCCTGGCCTGAGGGCATTGCCCTTATGACCCTCTTCCTTATGTTCTTCCTTGAGCTTATGACCATGCGCTACGCCAAGTTCGGTAATGATCATGATCATGAGCACAGCCACGCGCCTGCAGGAATCCCACCCGCGGCGCACGCCGAAGACTACAGCAGCTTCGACAACAACTTGAAGGAGCAAAAGGCGGGTGACATCGAAGGGTCCGCTGGTACCAACCCTAACATGCGTGGAGAAGATCATCTTGGCCACCAACGCGACCACGTTGACCACGAAGCTGAGTCGAAGTCCGATATGACGCCTCGCGCTCTCGTGCCAGAAGGTTACGCTTCCCAGCTGACGGCCGTCTTCATCCTCGAGTTCGGTGTCATCTTCCACTCTATCTTCATCGGCCTTACACTTGCTGTCTCTGGCGAGGAGTTCATCACGCTTTACATCGTCTTGGTATTCCACCAGATGTTCGAGGGTCTGGGGTTGGGAACGCGTCTGGCTGAGGTTCCTTGGCCAGCATCCAAGCGCTGGACGCCGTACCTCCTTGGTCTAGCTTATGGTCTCTCCACCCCCATCGCTATTGCCATCGGCCTAGGTGTCCGACAATCGTTTGCTCCCGAGTCACGCACTACACTGCTTACCAATGGTGTTTTCGATTCCATCAGTGCTGGTATCCTCATCTACACTGGACTTGTCGAGCTCATGGCCCACGAGTTCATGTTCAGCCCTTACATGCAAAAAGGTCCTGTTAGCCGGACACTCAAGGCTTTCGGCCTTATGGTCCTTGGTGCTGGTCTGATGGCGCTCCTGGGTTACTGGGCTTAAATTAACGTGTCATGCGGCTCATGGTTATCTTTTCTTCTATATGTTCATCGTTTGCTTTTTTGGATACCCGTAGATCAATGCTGGCTCTATTGTCGCTTTTCTGTTCAGATAGGGGAATATGTGATAGAACATTGCAATAGACAAACATCTTCAGACGGATTCGAAATATTCACTGTCTCAATATTCGACTTGATCTCGTCTTACAATGCTTGGTCCCGTGTACGTCACAGCTGAGCTCGGCAGGTCGCCCGAGCGATCATCGCAAAAATGGTACAGGCTCTACATGGCTAACAAGTGAAAAAGTGATGTATATATTGGCTATGTATGTGTTTGTATGTAAACGCTTGAAGCGGGGGGTATCATTAAAACTGACTGACTGCACACACAAAAGCCCAATACGCGACCCAATCTTGTCAAAGATTGTTCAAGGCCGTAGATTCAGACATTATCAAATAAACGAGAGTGTACATTGCGGCCGTGAAAAGAACGAACAATCAAAAACAAAGGAAACGGTCGTAGGGGCGTCGAAATCACATTCGACGCATTGTGCCGTTGTGCGCCAGTGGGGTGAAGATGCAGACCGGCAAAGCTATCCTTTATAGTAAACGCCTGTTCCCATGCTGCAAACAAAAGTTGGGTATGTAAGGTGGGTATGTGCAAACTGGAAGAAGCGAAAATTTATATGGTTATGACGCTTCCAGGGCGTCGATAGACGCATGGAGATACCTGATTCGCTCTTCAAATGGCGAGCCAAGTGGGCTGAGGGTCTCGTGCTTCTTCAGGTCCGTTTCACGTGTCGTTGCGTACGAGATCCATTGGCCTGGCAGTTTGGGACGGAACTCTTTCACAGGACTCCTGGATGGGCCCTCGTCCACCGGAGATGCTGCCCGAGACTGGTCGCTGTCTTCCTCCATGTGTTCGAGACCTTCGAGGTCTATGCCACTGTCTCGGTCGATGACTCGGCTCTGTTGTGGGAAGAACGGAGAGTCCAGAGCTTCTATGGCGCTGTGTATTGGACTCCAAGGGCTGAGGAGGCCCCTAGATTCCCGCTTTTCGCTGATATCGTTGTCGTCGTCTTCTGGAACAAGTACGCGGCCACCTACTTTGACATCGCTGATGTGCACTTTGTACTCCAGTGCCTTTTGACCATCCTTAATCAGTTGCTCTGTCCACCCGAGACATTTCTTCAGACTCTGGTTCATCTTCTGACTGTCGTTGAGCATCTCTCGATGTTTTGAGAGGTCTAACTGGAGACGCTTCTCGTCTCGTGAGCGATGTGTTTCATCCCGCTCCAGTTGAGCGCTTGGACTCAAAGCGCTGTCGTCGAAAGAAGAGTCGCTGCTTTCCGGGTCTTCCTCCTCCTCTTCAGGTGTTTCTTCTTCTTCCGCCTCGGACATGTCAGACAGATCTCCTATATTACCAGCGCCAATAGCCGAGGTTTCCAGGGGTTCGCCAGCCGTGTCAGCAGAAAAGACTCCAGCTCGGCTCATGCGACGGAAGCGTCTGAGCTCAGCCTTTTGCTTTCGAACTTCTTTTTCCAAGGACCGGTTGATAGCAAGAAGCGAGGAGTTACTGATCTCAAGGTCAAGCACTTTACGTTCCCTTCGTGCGTTGGCAGCAAGCTCGTTCATCATCTCGAGCGCACTCTTGCCATCGCTATTTCTCGATGGACTGCCGGATACCGGAGATCCTATAGGGGAGAACGCAGTCAAGCGTGGAGAGGGCGTAGCTGCTGCATCGCCAGGAGCGCGATTTTCAGTATGTAGCGGGCTTGGTGCCATAGCGGATGATTCAGCAGTCGGTGCCTTTTTCAAGCTAGTCACAGAATCGATTGACGACAGGCTAGAACTCTTGACATGTCCTCGCTTTATAGTAGAGGCAACACTGGACCTGCGTCTGGTGCGATCAGACACATCCGGCGTATTCGGTCCAGCCAAGATGGCCAAAGCCGAGTTTCCAGAACTGCCTCTACTAAGAGCTGGCCGGACCTGAGAGGCTCCTTTGCGATACGACAGATGCGCGAAGTCCTTCGTAGGCGATGGTGGACGCAGCGACTGTAGGTTCTCAGAAGGCGGGAGCAGATCTGGCGACATGGGCATAACTGGCGGAGTGAGGGTCGGCTGGCGATCTTTTTTCTCGGAAAGCGAGTCTGCGTGGAAGAACTTGCTCTCTGGCTGAGCCCTCCCCACGGATGATAGCGGTGGCGAAGGCACGTTGTGTTTCGGAGGGGCGTCATCTTGTCTGCCATCAGCGTAGAAGAAGGTAGGTGTTTTCTTTGGGGGTGCTGTTGCTAGTACTGGTGCCGGTTGCTCGTGCGGGCGGGCGTCGTTGGCATGGAAAAACAGCGACGAAGCGTCTTTCCTGGAACCCGTCTCGGACGGGGGGTTGTTGTACGCGCCAATCGAAGACCTCGGGGTTGGCGTGACATGGCTGCTGCTTGGTCCCGGTGTACTCCGCGGGCGGACTCCGACTGAAGAACCACCGCTCTTTCCCACGGCACTGTGTCCACTGTGAAAGTCTACCGTGGATCCTGGCCGCGAGCTGCTCGGTGTGGCGGAGGGTGTGCCGCTGGGTGTCGACGACGTGCTGTCTACACCAACGCGGGATTTCCTCGAAGAAGAGCGAGGAGTCACATTGCTGCTCAGGAAGGCCTTCACAGGCGTCACGTCGTTGTGTGAGGAAGCAGCAGGCTTGGCCGGGGTGGTTCCATTGCTGGTGCGGGTGGTGCGGGTGCTCGATGAGCTAACGGTGGAGGAAGCGGTGGGCGCAACCGCAAGTCGAGGGGTCAAGGGCGTCTTCGCAGCAGTTCGGTTACTAGCGAGCGTCGGCTTCAATGGCCGTGGGTTATTTCGGTCGGTTCGTTCGATGGGCATCCTCTAGGGAGTAGTGCAGCTATAGGGTGGGTGTTATGCTGCGTGTGCGGAGGGAGATCATGGCCTTCCGGGGAGGCTACAGGTGGTTGCTCGGGGGGTAATGGCGGTGTTGATGGTGGTATGTTGATGGCCGCTAGTAGCGTGTCGGGTGTCTGCAGGGTCGAAACAGCAGCGAGCTCTACGTGTATTGCCCCACTTCTACAATGCCAGCGGTGGAGGGTTGTAGACGGTTGGTGTCCAGTCCATTGTCAAAGGGATGGACGAGAACAGGAGAAGGGTTTCGGACTGTGCGGAGCGGGTGTCTGTGTTGGTGTGAGATGATTCTGGTGGCCCTGAATATCCTGGAGAGCACGGTTTCAGGGAGGCTAGTCCCAGCTGGGCGCAAGCGTGAAAGCGCGTCATGAGTCTTCCACGCCTCATCTCGCGTTTTAGTGGGCCATCATCTCGTCCTCTCCCGAAGATGACCCCCCACTTACCATGAGCGATGCCGCAGGGTCTGCCCATTCACTCGTACCATGCGAGCAGCCTCATGGTTCGCCCGTCTCCCACTATGGCCTCAGTAGTCCAACCCTCGACGCGTTCGATTTGCCTCCCGCGCCTACCTCACCCACCATGACCACTCCCGAAGCAGAATCTCGAGACAGACCAGAGCGTCCACAGCCCGCACGAACAGCCTCGGCCGAGCACGACTCCTTAAAGTACCACCTGCTCGGCCCCTCGCTCACAAAAGCCGGACAAGATACTGTAGACCAAACAAAGGTCTCCGAGGTCATCTACAATGCATCCAAGGGCTCCAAGTTCTTCAACAACGAGGAAGTCAAGGACAAGAATCTTACAGAGAAGATCAACAAGATCCTGGCAAAGAGACGTCAGCTGGAGAAGATTGACTTGACCTCTGACCAGCGCAGAGCCGACGACTATATCGCTGAATTGGAGCTGAGCAGGGACCTGAGTCAGGTCATTGTACACCTCGATTGTGATGCTTTTTATGCCGCCGTAGAGGAGCTCGATCGCCCGGAGCTGAAAGACGTTCCGTTTGCGGTCGGCAAAGGTGTGCTGACGACCTGCAACTATCATGCGAGGAAGTTTGGCTGCCGCTCGGGCATGGCCGGTTTTGTTGCCATGAAACTCTGTCCACAGCTAATTTGCGTCCCTATGAACTTCGCGAAATACATGGCCAAGGCAGAAGAGGTCCGCGAAGTCCTTGCACTGTACGATCCTAATTTCCAGAGTGCGAGCTGCGACGAGGCATACCTGAATCTCACAGAGTACTGCCAAGAGCACCATATGACCCCCGAGGAAGCAGTCAGCCAAATGCGCGCAGACGTCTATGAGAAGGCCAAGATTACCGTCTCTGCCGGTATCGCAGCAAATGCCAAACTCGCCAAGATTTGCTCAAACAAGAACAAGCCAAATGGGCAGTTTCTGCTCCCCAGTGACAGACAGACGATTGTAGAGTTCATGAGGACCCTACCTACACGCAAGGTGAACGGCATTGGTCGCGTCTTTGAACGAGAGCTGGATGCTATAGGCGTGAAGACCTGCGGAGACATCTATGCACATCGAGCATATCTGGCGAAGCTATTCGGTCAGAAGGCATTCCAGTTCTTGATGCAGTGCTATCTAGGTCTGGGACGTACCATTGTCAAACCTGCGGAAGACCGTGAGCGCAAGAGTGTCGGGACAGAGACTACGTTCAGGGAGCTAGGGGATCGCGATGCCCTGCGCGACAAGCTTCGTCACGTCGCCGAAGAGCTCGAAGGAGACCTGAAGCGCACTGAGTATAAAGGGAGGACCATCTGCATCAAGATCAAACTTCATACCTACGAAGTGCATACACGACAGACGACACCACCATTTGCTGTTAACAAAGCGGATGACTTATACAGATACAGTCTCCCTATGCTGGAGAAGCTGATGAAGGAAATACCGGACCTGAAGTTGCGTCTCATGGGCCTGAGAGTCACACAGATCATCAGCACAAAGAAGCCTGGAATCGACTTCTTCGGCCGTGCAGCCAAGACATCGTCGACTTCTTCAAAGGCTTCCACCTCAAAGAATGAAGGGACATGGGAGACCTGGCCCGAGGAGGAATTTGAAGAAGCCGCACAACAAGAGCGCAACGACGAGATGAATGAGTTGGAGAAGCTGTCTCAGGAACAAGGGCACCAGGAAGAGGAACGATCGGCGCCCGAACCGCAATGGCAGTGTCCCATTTGCTCCATCTCTCAACCGCCAGATGACGCGAGCTTCAATGCCCATATCGACTTTTGCCTTTCGAAACAGACTATCAGGGAAGTCGTCAAATCTACAGCGCCGTCACCAGAGAAGCAATCCATCGCCCCCAAGCCAATAACCAAAAAGGGAAAGCGTGGAAGACCGAAGAATGAAGGGTCAATTTCAGAACAACAGGCGAGAGAAAAGAGAAGGGCTTTCTTCTCGCTTGGCAACAGCAACTAAAGATAAACATGTGATACCCAGACAAAGATGCTGAAACCTATTAATGCACCGTTGCTTGACTTTTTCTGTACCCCCAGTAGTACCCAGCATTGCGACCCTGCAGTTTTGTTCTCCTTTGCTAATCCAAGAAAGAACACAAATGAAAACAAGAGGGTATATCCAATTAAAAATCCACGCGCATGCCAACTTCCGCCTTCCTACCAAGTCCACACTAATCCCACCCACTTCTCTCATGCACCCTTCTAGGTGTCCTTCTCATCCCCGTGCCCTGCATCCCTTCATTCCTGCCCTCACCTACACCATCCCTCATACCAAAGTCCATGGCTCCATATCCTTCCCCTAGCACTGTGCTCTCCCTCCCTTCCCTCCACGAATGATTGCTTTCATTGTACCCTGGGGGAACCGGCCACTGCATCTCATTTTCATTCACGTTGAAAGGGTAAGCGCCCAGATCGGTATTCAGACTGTTCGTATGACTGTGGAGACCCGAGTGGAGTGCAGGTGGTGAGAGGGAGGCTTGCTGACGGTCGATGAAATCGTTGGTGTGGGCATGCGGCGAGAAGTCGGATTCTGTGAGGCGAAAACTGTCGTCCATGCGCGATTGGCTTCTGGGTGGCGCATCGCGGTCGCGGGAACGTGGGAGAGAATCCATTCGCGGGTTGAAGGTATTGTCAGTATTTCTGTCGCGAGCTGCTCGAGGCCCGAACGTCTCGCCTTGTAAACGTGGTTTGCGATCGGTGAATTCGTCTTGTATGACTTTTTCGTTTTCGCGGCGGCGTTCGAATTCTTGACGGAAATGATTGCCAGCGTTGTGAGAGAGGTGGAGGTTGTTGATCTTCTCTCCTAGGCGGCGGATGTCGTTCTGCATCAGTGTTGCGCCGTCGAGACTTGGTGGGGGTGGAGGAAGTGCGTGCTGCGGTGGGGGAGGGAGTGCATGTTGCGGTGGTGGACTAGGAAAGTTATGACCTGCTATCTCAGCGTGTCGTGCATCTTCATGGTGGCTCGTACGTTCGCTGTTCGGTGTTGCATCGAGCTCTACAGGCGCAGGTTGCGCAGGCATTGGATCCCATGCGCGCTGCCAACACCAAGATCGTTGCTGCCTAGCTTCTAGATGCTCTATCTGACCGTTGCTTACCCACTCAGGCATGCGCTTGAGATCGGTGTTCAGGAAGTACCGTACGCCGTCCGTGTGCTTCAGGCTTTGGACGTCGACAGATAGAGTTGACAAGACTTGTAGCACGCCGTACAGAAGCACCCAACGTCCTAGACGTGCTTCGCGCGGTGTCATGTGTTTCAAGTCGGTGGTGAGCTCGAACTGTTCGAACTTGTCAATAAGCGTAGATCCTAAGGAAACGTCAACACAGCCCGACAAGTGTCCGTTTTTTGTCAATTACCGTTGAAGTTAACGTCTAGTTTCTCGATATTCGTTGCATCGCTAAAGATAATGGAGAGCTGCAGTTGTGCTTTTGCGTCCTTTGTGGTATCCTTGGGCTTATCCTTTTTCAGTGAAGAGAAGAAGCTCTTTTTCTCCTTGTCCTTGCCCGTCTTTGGTACCTCTCTAGGAAGTAAGGGGTACGGATGCGGAATGTGTGCATACCCGTTCTTTGCATCGTAAGTGACCAGCATATCCGTCATACCGAGCTCTGGCAAGTCTGCACTGAAATTGTCATTTTTTCGATGAGCCATCTCCCATTTACGAGATGCTCGCTCCTCTCGAGGATTCCATATCACGTCTCGGTCGACGAAATAATCGTACAGAGAACCAAAATCTTCTTGCATAGCGTTCACAACCTTGCGATTAAGCCATGTCTTGTCGGAGGTCGGTGGCCAATTACCGTATATGCGGGTGAAATGACCAATAAGGAACTGGCGAAACGACTGGTAGCTCTGATAGACTGGGCTATTCGCAGTTTTCAGTGTGTCTTCCCAGAGATCACTGAAGTCGAAGTTGGACAGTTTTTCCTCTGCTTCCATGACGCGCAATTGCAGTGTCTTCGCAGCTAAACCGAGGTTCCGCCTTGTGACCACAGAGAGGCGTTTGAAATCCGGGTGGTCCTCTATTTCCGGTGTCATGACACCAGCTAAGTGTACAAAGCTCTCGAGGTAGCCTTGTCGCCACTTGATAGTGTCCTGTTCTGCCCATGCCAAAAGCCCAAGAGCTCGTCGAATATTGTTGCGTAAGTCATCGATACCATATCGGCCAAGGTATTCTGTAATCATTTGGACACTACGTTCCCTAGCTGTCATTCCAGATCGAGCGTCCGTGTCAAGATCGTACATGATATGTATCTGGGGTTGGAGTGTACTCAGCATGTCATACACGTCTGCTCCAACTATAGGTTTGCCATGCAATATGGCCAGGAAATTACGAATAGCAACGTGATGGAGTCTCTGCCCCTGAGGTGTCCTTATGTTTTCGGGCGCGGTGAACCATATCTCGTGGGTTGGGTTGCGTTGGAAACTCTGTTGAAAAGGAGGTGGCGAATTGGTGTAGTGTCGATGGGAGGCTTCAGATGGATGATAAGCTCTAGAAGTAGTCCGAGAATCTATGCTATGTGACTGGTCGATGTCAAAAGGCGGCGGAGATCGTCCGCCTGGTGATGTTGGACCTAACATCCGCCGTTGTGTAGGTTGTGGAAAATTCGGGGAGAAAGGCTGCGATGGTGAACTTGCGCTCTCCGAAAGCGCCCAGTCATCGACGTCGTTATCGTCTATTTGACCGTACAACAAGGCATTACTCAGCCAAGTGGAGCCTGAATTTTGAAGGACCTCCAAATCAGCCCGGATCGAAGGGACTGGGCGATCCTCGTCTACCTGCTCCTCTTTGAAATAGATAAGCACACTACCGTGCTGCATATCTTCATCCTGAAATACTGCGTCAGATGGATTTAGCTTCTTCATGCATGCTAACAACTTACGTAGTCGAACCCTCCATATGGGCGCATGCCATCTTTGCCATCCGTCCAAACCTTGAAGTTCAGCCATGTTTTCTGGTCGGTTGGAAAGGCGTAGGACGCGGACGATTCAGACCTAAAGACAGGAGGCGTGGGCGTCGGTGCAACGCTCTTCTTTATTGGCACTCCTCCCCCTCTACCGCGAGGAGCTTTTGTATCTTTACCTTTTGCCTGGTACTTTGTCTTGTCCTTGCCTTTTGCCGAGTTGTCTGATACGGATTCGGCTCTAGAAGAATTCGTTGGCGGAGGTCGACTTCCGGAAGAGACGTCGGATGGAAGAGTATGTAGTCGTGGTCGACTGCTGCTGCCACCATCGTGCGTAGAACTGCTTCGCGATGTTGCATGACTGTTGTTGCTGGAAACTGTAAGGGAGCGTTGAATCCCACCCCTGGGATTACTAGAGTTTGGTGATGGTCGCCACTCTGTAAACGCATCATGGTTTTCCTGTATCCGTTCGGGAGCCTTTCCCTTTACAACCGCCTTCTTCTCTTTCTTCTCGACTTCTTTCTGCTGTACCTTTCGACTACGTGCGCCTCGTGCCGACATATCTTGCTCGAGTCGTTGGTAGGGCTATAGATTCGTCGGTGGTCGGATGTAAAGTTTGGACAAAGGAGATCGTTCTATATTTGCATCAAACTTGAGATGTTTTTCTATACTGAGCTTCGAACAAAATCAGGAAGAGGCAATATGATTGGCTCTGGAGTATCGTGTTGCCCGCTTTCTCGCCTATTTCGGTAAATGCTATGCCTGCCGCAAGAATCCAGGAACAACAATGAAACAAAGGCGTCGGCCGATGATGTGGTGGTATTGATTAGAAACAAGCGGATGAAAGAGTGTGGGATGGCATTGAGGCTCATGCGATCAAAACAACATGGGAACTACCACGCGCAGAAAAGAACGCGAGGGGTTAATAAGGCAGACACGTTCGCGGTACCAGGTCGTATATATCGAACCTATTCTCGAAAAAAACCCATGTCCGCTTGTCCCGGCGCTCAGGATGCGGAGCACAGGGCAGTGTGTCGAATGCGGTCTGGCTGCTGATAAGAGACTCATCCTACCGAGTTGCTGCAGGTTAATCCGCGAAGCGAGCGGCCCAGTGCAATGGCAATCCTTTTGCAGAAGAGGTGCATCCGCAGGTGGGGAGACCAATAGCGACCCCAGTGTTATGGCTTGGATGGCAGAGAATGGCAGGCTGTGATAAGGCCGGCTGATTCTTGTGCCTCTCGGCGGTCAGCAATCCCATCACCATGCAGCACGAAATGAAAAACAATCCTTAGGCGCAGACTGTGGGCTGAGGCAGAGCGGCACAGGCGAGCAGGTGAGATTTGACGTCTAGGAGCTCCACGGTGCTTCTCCATAACGTCCGGATTCACGCAAGGTAGCCCTTGCATTGGGGAGCTTGGGCCCAAGGCTCTGGGTGATGAGCGCAAAGACGTCTGGTCGGGTCGAATTTCAGGGCCAGGTGAGTGCTGGCTCAACGGCCGCTTGCTCGGCGGTTCTGCGAGGATCCACGAATGATGGCGACGCCCACATGCCGTCTAGGCTGATGGGAGCGGGTTGGGCGCCGACAGCTGTCCAGACCCACGCTCAGCTACGGCGTGTGTGTTGCTGTTCCACGCGATGCCGCTAATGCGCGTCGAGTATCGAGCCGCGAGCGTCGAGGCATGGCAGGATGCGAACACATTTTAATAGTCGAAAACCAGTTCTGCCGCCGGTGCAGGTCGTGTTTAAGGGTGTGGTCTGTCCGTCGCGTTTTTTGGCGGTTTGGTTGGCTAGAAATGAGGAAGGCACGATCCAGCCACAAAGTACCAGCCTCCCCCGCCTTCACCATACCCACCACCCGAGTAGGCATCCCACTTTAAAGTATACATCCCGGTTTCCATGCTCAATACGTCACCTTGCAACACCGCGACCATTCTGCAACCCGATCGCAAAACAAGACGCATCCTGGTCTGTCCTATCACTGTGAGATCTTAAAAGCGCGCTGCCCTGCATTTTTTTTTCGGCGGCTTGTCGTCGTCCTGCATCTCTCTTGTCGCATCGCACCTGCTTCGTTACACGGCATTAACCGACCGTGGTTCAGCTGACAGCTCGACCAAAGCAAACACCTCTTCTCTCGAAGCACTTTTGCGATCCTGCCAACTGCCATCATGTCGTTCTCCGGACTATCCTTCATCTTTTGGCGCGTCTTCCAGATCATCACCTTGATCCCGTGCCTGGGCATGCTCGCCTGGTTCGTCGACTGGTACAACAGCCGCGGCCTCCTCACACCAACGTCAATCCTCGTCCTGTTCATCGTATCGGTGCTCGGCGCAGCATGGGCTATAGGCACCCTCTTCCTCTACACGCGCGCGAAGCACTCTGCCAAATTCGTGGCTTTCATCGACCTTCTTTTCATGGGTGCCTTTATCGGAGCCGTCTATGCTCTCCGAGGGATTGCTGATGCTGATTGCTCCAACTGGGAAAGGAATGGTTCCTACAGCGCTGATCTTGGTTTATTCACTGTCAGTGGAGACAGGTGGGGGTTCAACATCGACCGCCAATGCGCCATGCTCAAGGCTTCATGGGCTTTCGGAATCATGTAAGTTCAATTTCAGAAAAGGTTGGAGGCAAACACGAATCTAATACTGTGCAGGAACATCATTTTCTTCTTCATCACTGCCATATTGGCTCTACTTGTGCACCGTCACCACCGTAATGACCGAGTCGTTGTGAAGCGCGAAGTCCACCGCTCCCGTCACGGCCACCGCTCTCGCAGCCCTCGCTACTCGCACCAGAGCCACAGTCGGAGCCGACGCAGCTATGTCTAAGCTAATGGGACATGTCAAATAATGACAGGGTATTCGGGGTATCGGAGTTGGGTTTGGAGCATCTGGCACTGGCTATGGTCAGAATTACGAATTTCTTTGGACATATTCCCCCTTGCGCCAATATTTGAAAGTATTGGCGTGTGTATTGAGATGATATGGAAGCGAAATGGTTACGACATTGGTATGAGAATACATCCCTGGACCACGGGAATTAGAACGACTCTGTAGATAATTGCTTTATGAGAACTATGGTCGCGAGCAAGTCTACACTCTAAGCAACGTGACAGAACACGTCAACAACAACAATAATGTATTGCTGCCCGAGTGTGGTAATGCTGTCTTAGTGGACAGGCTGTCCATGTTGCGAAGTTTTTTTGAACCAGGATATTCGCTGTACACGACTGGTAACGTTAACTCGGATCCACTTGGATTTTGCACCCCTCCAGTCCAACCTCTGTACCAGTGCACCGACGTGTTCGACCAAGTTTCTTCGCTGATAGACTCAGGGTCTAGGATCGTGCAGAGGTCAAGTCAAAATTGGTTGTGACTGGGGTTGATATTCTACAGTTGCGTATGGCGCGTTACTCCTATGCAAGCTCCATTGATGCAATTCCGCTCCATCATGATACTGGTACAATAATGTCATACAGTCCATAGCCATATATGCAGCCTTCTTCCACTACCACACTCTGCAAAGCGCCATACCACCCAACTGTCGCTCCACACATTCTCTTGCCTCGAGTATTCCTCGGTCTGTTGTAAGGAACATGCATTCTCCGGGATGCGTCAGTCCCTTTACGTAGCTCGATTCGCGTGTCCTCGTGATCTTGCCCAAATCCTCGCTCGTCAGCCATATCCGCCGTGTGGGCTTGGAAACTAGCTTCATGTTCTTCAATACGGGCTCGTTTTGCCAGTACTTTAGGCCAAGCCATAACCGTCTCCGCGCCGGGTTCTGAGGTACATGTATATCGTGGACCTGCTCTTGACCTAGTGGTGCCTTCTCTCCAGTGCCTGCTGGTGCATCAATGGGGTATGCAAGCCATGGCTCCTCCTTCAGCTTCTGTGCCATCATGTCTAGTTGCTCGGGATCTTGCTGTGTCTGGAGGAGAAAGGGCTTTGGTGGTGTTGGCCCGCCGAGTGTGACTGAAGAGAGGAAGCCTTCGCGTTGCAGACCTAGCGCAATGTTGACGTGCATCTTGGAGACTGGTATTGATGTCAATCCAAGGCGAGCTTTGGAGGCGTTCTGCATGTGCGAGCAGACATGTGCGAGGTTGACGAGAGACATATTGGCTGCAGTGGTGGTGGGAATTTGCCCTCGACGGGCTGCGGCAGCAGGCGGGCGCGATGGCCGATGTGATGATGAGAGCGACCGTGTATCTGGTAGCGAGTATCAACGGTGAGGCTCGATGCAGCCTCCAGGTACGATTGCGCGTGGTGTCGTCGGCGGATGCTCTACGCAGCAAATTTCTGGATTGGCTCGGAGGTCCGCAAGTCACGAGTGGATCGCTGCTGCCCGCTCCATTCGGCAGAGCTTGGACCGGCGCCTACTAAAGTCGACACTAATGGGCGGGCGCTTCGAGGACGACACAAATAGAAGACCGCGCAGCTGTTGGTCGGAGCTGTCGTCGGCTTATATGACAGCCTTGCGACCCTATATATGCCTTTGATCTCTCCTGATGATTCTCCAAGAGTACTAACTGTTCGTCTTACTACTTCTCTACAGCGTCTCCACATCCTGGGACATCTTGGGCTGTCAGACATCTTGGACGCCCGATAGACCATCATCGTACACTAACACAATGCCTCCACAGCAGGGCGAAGTGTCCCTCTTGACGCTGTAAGTAGTAAGAGATGCTTGGGCCTCGAAGCTGTACTGACATTTAGATAGCTTTGCAGACGTCCATTACTACATCTCCCCACCTACCCAGCAACCCCCACATCATCGCTTCGACAAAGGCTCCTATGTCTACCTTTACCACAATCCCATGCGCCAGAGTGGGCGCATAGAAGTAGCGAACCATGCGGGCACACCCAACCAGGATGCCTTTGCCGGTCAGCTGGACACCATCAAGATTGAGCAAACATACAAGCACCCGTGCTTGTTCACCCTCACGGTCGATGCCTTTCAGAGTCACACCGGCAACGCGAGTCCGCATCATGACACGTCACAGTGGCACCTTCCCACACCCGATCCCTCGAACCAGGGCAAATACATGTACAGGCTGCACACGGTAGATTTGTATTTTTGGACACCAGAGGATGCGAGCCTCTTTCTTGACTCTATTCGGAGAGTGCTACAACCGCACCAACTGCAGATTACGCGCAACCCCAATGCCACCCCAACGCACTCGGAACACAAGAACGATGCCCTGAGTCCTGTCATCGCGAGGCTGGAGAGTGCAGCCATATCACACACTAGTCGGACTCCGAGTGTCAGTACAACGCAGTCATTCCCTGGCCCTCCTACCGCACCCGCACCAACATCACCCCCTCCCAGCGAGCAGCCGCCCAACTACGCTCCAATGGCATACAACCCGGCAGCTCCAGCCGCGCCAGAGCCTATCGCGCATCGTGAAAAGACACCACCACCGCCAGACGCAAACGACGGCACTGGTCTTGGGTCTGCTGCTGTACACGATCAGCATGCCGCACAATACAGCAACCCACTACAAGCTTCATTTGCGCCCCAGCCGACATCAGGATCGTACTTTCCAGGACCACCAGCGCCAGGCCAGGGCTTTACTGGTCCACCGAGTGTGCACCGTACAAACACGGCGGGGTCAGTGCCGAGTGCACCACAAAGTCCGCCGTCGTTTGCACCACCCCCATCTGCGCCTCCACCAGGCCAATACAATGGCCATACCCCACCACCTCCCGCCATGAAGCGAACATCCACCATGCCAGTTCAGCAGTACGCCAACTACCCGAACTCGCCCGGATTTCCGCCTGCCCCCCAATCGCCGCCTGCGCATTCTGCTGTACCGTCTCCTGGATTTCCTCCTCAGCAATATCAACCAATGGCATCCCCGGGCTATGCACAATATCAGTATGGTAGCACAACAGCTCAGCCTCAAGGACAAAATTTGCATCAACAACTTTACAGACCAACGGAGACTGAAGCCGCGGTGCAAGATCACGAGAATCCCAACGCGCCGCAACGCAACTCGAACATCGGAAAACGGGTAGATAAAGTGGAGAAGGGTATTGGCAGTTTCTTGAAAAAGCTGGATAAGAAGTTCTAGTATAGTGTCAGTGCGCCAGTTCTTGTATCTAACTTGAGTTTTGCCAGCCAGCGTAGTCATTGACGACTTTGGAGATCGAAGCATATACCCTTTTGAATAATTTACGGCCACTATTACGACCAGCGTCGTCTGTGCCACTCTTGTAGATCAAGCATGTGAATGCGATCATTATGCAGTACGAGCTCCAATCAGTGCCCGGCGCTAGCGTATCCTTGAATCTGGGAGAGACCCTAAAATAGTAGCAGGTTTCTGGAGATGACATGAGCTCTTGCTTTTGCCTCAACCGCTGTGAGGAGCCTAGCGGCCATGGTACAAAACCGTTGGGAGATCGCTAGAGGCTCAATTATTGCAGTGTTGCCGTGCTACACTTTACTGTAGATTTAATGTCTATTTGCGCTCGCAGCCGCCGCCTCCCCAGCCACAGAGCCCCTGGTCACTGCTCCCCATCATCCCAGCATCCGCATTAACCCTCAGCTGCCAAGGCAAGCATCCGGGCGCAGGCCTAGCCAGAACATCACTCGCGGCTTTCCCCCCATTGTTGTTAGTCGTCTAGTTATTCCCAGACTATATACCTGACACCGATCCCCAATATCCTAACCACATCTACGACTCGCTCACCGCCGCTGCCGCTGCCGCCGCCGCCTGCTTAGACGTTTCGACGCAACGGTTCGACAGCTCCTAGTGCGAAACAGTAACCAAGAACGCGGGCCTTCCGAAGCTTGGGCGATCCACCTTTGTCCAAACAAGTGATCTCATTGTGAAAACAAGGCTTCGGCAACATCCTTTGGTTGAAGCATTTGACGTTTGACATAACTGGTGTATGGTTGTTTTGGTATCATGTTGTTACCTGCGCGGCATGCAAGGGAAGGCGCGTTGGAGCGGAGAGAGATCTCCAAGCAAGGCAGGACCTTTGTTGTTGTAAGTTCTCCGCGTGCAACCTTTCCGTGTTACCCTGGAGCCCTGACTGACCCTGATTGCCTAGGTCGGAGTCATCGCCGTTGCCATCTTGGTTATACTCATCATCACATACTTCTCGACCCTCAAGTTCCGAGCACCATACCGCGCCGCAAAGAAAGCACAACAGTCGTCCAACGACAAACTACCTTCGTTATTCTCCTGGAAAGCGTTCCGCAAGCGCCCACGCCGAAATGACTACTCGACGAGTCTACAAGACACGGAATACCGGGGCAGTACAAGTAGGGCAAGTGGTGAGATGAGCGGAGCTGCGGCTGGGGATCCTGAGAGGCAGATGAACAGCACCACGGCAGCTGGGGTTGACAGGAACACGTCGATTCGCAGTGTTATGACGCTGCCCGCCTACTCCTCCGCCGCACGAGAGAACGAGAGGGTATTGGCTCGCGAGGGTGAGCGCGCGGGCGTCGACACGGTCGTTGAGCTCCCAGAGACACTAGACGAGGAAGAGAGACAACGAGAAGAGGAGATGGAATCCCTATACCAAATACGACTGGCACGACGTATCGAAGCAACGGATCGAGAAGCACGCCGGCAAGCGCGAAGAGAGGCACGCGCTCGTGGAGACGTCCAAGCACTCGCAGATATCCGACGAAGGGCCGAAGAAGCTGCAGACCTCTCTGTATCACAAATGCTCATCGCTGAGCACCAAGCCAGAAATCGAAGCCGCGAACAGCGGGTATCTGCCGTAGCCTACGGCGACCTCGGTGTTGCAAGGCACGACGGCACTCGACTAAGGGCCAATTCTTCCGAAAGCGATAACCGACCCCTCTTAGATTCTGCGGCGTCATTCTCTGGTCAAAGCCGTGGCCGCGAGGCACACGCACGCGGTCTTTCCGTTACCTCTCTCGCACAATCAGTTGATTCACACGCATCCGACGACTACGACTTTGCAGATGCCTCGCGCTCAAACTCGCACTCAACCGGCCCCAACAGCGAAGGCTTTGAGGTCGTGCCGCTGAACCCAGAAAGGAGTCATAGTGGAAGCGGCGGACCGTCGCCAGAGATACCGCGAGAAGATGCGCCCGCATACGAAGATCCGCCCAACTACGAAAGCCCCATCAACACCAGGGCGCCACAATTGCCAGCACTGAATCTGGATCTCGAAAGACTACCTAGCATCCAAGTCACAACGGAACCGACTCCTGTAGAAGGTCGAGCACCATCATCCCTTACATAAACTTCTCGCATAATATCGCATTTCCAGCCTCGTGCTATTGTACACATTTGGGTATAGCCATTTCGAGCCATTTCGAAACAGCATTCATTGTTACTCGTCAACGATCTCACGAAGTCACCGCTGTTTGAACAGCGAGTTGTTGTTCGCACTATTGCATTTCCTCGGTTATTATGGCGTGGCGCGATAGGCGCACTAGAGGGAGCATATGTACACATAGGTATTGCTCAGACCTTGAATGTCCCATCCCATTCTCTCACCTATATTTGTGTGATTGCTTTACATGTGCCAAGCTATTATCGTGTAGGCAGCAATAGTGTACTAGCACTTGTTCTTTGCATAGCACAGAAGATCCAGTGTTTCAACTTCCATGTAGGACAGTCAACACCTGAGAAGCCGATCCATATATATATATATATATATATTGAGATCATCCTGGACAGACATTGCAAGCCCCTTCAAACCTGCAGCACCTTGCCCTCACTAAATGTGCATCTCATATGGACATGATCATGATACCACCGATGTACTGGACTTTGGAGATCAGTACCGCACAACTCCGGTTATCCTCGAAGGGTACCGTAATCGCCTATCCACTTCCTATGCCCGTACAAGTTACCTTTCGCCCACGATATTTCGCCGCAGCCTTCACTGCCAACTTCACGCTTGCAGGGATGTTGAAAGTGTTGACTCAACAGCGATCTACGAATCACTCGTTTATATGGCAATTTTTGTGTTCAGTAAGTGGCTTATATTCGATGCTGGACGTGTTGTTGTGACTGAAACCTGCTATTCGCGAGTTGCTATAGTAAACCCAAAATCATCCTCTACCTTTTCCGTTGATTCCCCTTGCCCAAGATCCTTCCCAAATCATCTGGAGAATCAAAATTCGAAAGGCTCTTCGAACCATCCGCTAGCACCGGGCCTTCTTCACTAGTGTGATCGAGAATCTCCAATATAATTAATGCTCGAACCTTCTTTGATTGCAAGGTGCATGCATACTAGACAATCCAACCAACTCAGCAAGATAAGTAGAACAAGATAATACTAATAACAGTATCAAGCCGAAGCTCAAACATATAGCTAGTACAATCGAGAACTAAGAAGAACTGAAGGTGAAGTGATCCAGCGAAGGATAGAAAGGTGAAGGTGACAAAAACGATCCATCGTAAAACCACGAGAAGCCGTAAGAGATAAAGAGAAGAGAGAGGGGGTGAAACAGATGTCCTATCCTCGGCTTCGTGGAAAAAGTGCCTCCCAGTTTGTGCCACCTAGCCTTCCATGAAGTCAATTGCAAAACGCCACAATATCGCTAAGCGCCAGAAGAAAGAGAAGAGTTTTACCAAAGGGACAGGCAAGATCGAAGCAGTATCAGATGCCCTCAATAGATTATCTAGCGCTTCAATGGCCAGAGTCGCTTACACGTCTTCTCCGCCCACGGCTACCACCTTCGGGTCGCTGAGCAAGGACGTCTCGGAGTTGAGGGTCATCTTTGTCCTTATCAGTGTGATGAACACGTACGTGTCTACAGCTTCTATTAGCTTGGCTCAAACTGAGTTTCTTCAGGAGTGTACACACCTTTGCAGGTTGTCTGGCCTCGGATACTTGTGCTCGCGGTCTGGACAAAACGGGCATACGTATCCAGGTGACTGATGCACAAGCCCATGTCGTATCATTTCATTCTTGCGTTTGAAACCTTTGCCACCTTCGCCTCGTGGACAGTCTTTGACTGGACAGTAATGTGGTCTATTTGACGAATGCACGTTGGTGTGCGAGCTGCATAAGTCAGCACCTAGAATTTTGGCAACGTTGACCTGAAGAGCGAGACAACTTACTTGAGAAGATATTGCGTCTGGAAAGGTGCAGCAGTGCAGCCTGGATAGTCGCACTTGAAACATCCAACGATATGTGGGGTTGATTGCTGCTGTAACCCAGAGTTCAATGGAGGTGGAAGCACTCTCGACGCGAGCGCACCATCTAAACTCATATGCCTTTGCCTTGGTTCGATGGGCGTTGGCTGTGTACCAGGACTGAGGCCATCCGAGCTCTGATAACTGTCACTGGTGGATGTGGAGTGCAATGTGGCTGTGTAAGGACTGTTGTCTGATGCTGCATGTGATGGTCTCCGAGCATCTGTGCCAAATGCACCTCCCCCTGAGGTGCGTAGAAACAGATCACCTCGGTGTGGTATCTCATGAGCACTCATGGGCGAAGAGGCACTTAGTGGGGGAAATGGCGTTGTCGGAGAGTGAGAGCTAATGGACAGAGCACGCACTATCGATGTTGGCGATTGTCCTACTGAAGATACGGATTGTCTATGTGGGAAGCTGATGCTGTTGGATCTGGTTGCTTCGTGATCACTCGTTGCAGACCTCGCTATATCGTCCATATGTCGGAATGAGGGTAGTTGCTGACTGGGCGAGCCTGCTGCTGCATCACGCGCAGGAGATGGCGCCTGTAATGCTGGTAGGGTATCTGCGGAAAGTCCCCCTCGTTGCGGAATGGTTAATTGCCGTAGACCAGGAGATGTTGCTGAGTCATGCTCCTGGGAGAGACTGTTTGGCAACTGATTTGGTGGCTGCAATGACACGTTGGACAATGCGGTTGAGATGGATGGCGTTCTATTTGTTCCGTTTATGTTAGATCGTACACCATTCGGTGCTGTGTGGACTGCAGATGGTTGAGAGGTGCGCCTGTCTGCTGCCGCAAAGCCAAAAGGTCTAATGACTTCGTCTTCGATCACGGAGTCTCTGTGGGTAGCTGTCGCTTTCGGATCAGGTGCTGAGGCAAGTACTTCTAGCAAAGTAGGTTGCTGGTTGGCAGGACGAGTAGTCGACGGCACTGACTGACCATGATTAAGAGGAGACTGGGCAGTTGCCGTGTTGGAGGTTTCAGCATCTAGCATCTCGTCGTCCCCAGAGCCAGGTCCTTGATCAGATTCAGAGTCAGAGTTCAGGGCCTGCTCGCTTGCTTTTTGGGCAATATCTGGGCGATTAGGATCCATTTCACGAATGAGCACCCAGTCTCCTTGGGTCGGCCGGGTTCGGATCTTGCGAGAATTAGATTTTTTTCGGTTGCGGGATCGAGATGGACTGACACTCTGGCGAATGAGTTGATGGCGGACGACTGTCGTTATCTGGGGTGGTGGGGTCGGAGATGGTGTTGCCTTTACAAATCTGGCTTTCAAGAGGGGTGATTTTGGAAGGAATTCGTCGTCCTGGTAGTATTCCACGGATTGGATGGCGTCGAGCATTTGGACAGCGGGTTCCGCGGGTTAGGAAGATGGTTATCGAGATGATGGAACAGAGGGATAATTATCCCAGCGAGCGCTCAGCGAATGCCCCTAGAGAAAGACCCAGGCGGCGATGAAGAGAGCGTGTGGCACAGCAAGACCAGTCTTGAATAGCTGTCTGGAGGAGAGTCAGCAGGGCCATGGGCTGCATTCTTCTCGCGACGATGGAAGAAGAAGGGTCCAGAGCAGCAAGTCTGGCGGAATGGATACGATAAACAGAGATGAGAAAAGCGAGGTGCCGTCGGAAGCGTGCCAGGCTAGAGACGCTCGGATCGAGCGAATGGGGCAAAGCAGGGGTGACTATGTGGAAAAGACGGGTTGTTGGTCATCGGAACTGAAATATAGCGAACAGTATCATGAATCGCGAAATATATGTGGAGATATGATGCAAAGTAAAGACGCCAACGTTGAAGCGGCTCTGCGCGGTGAAAACATACCCGAGGGTGCCAGTGCGACGGCTCTTTTTCAGCCTCAAGGCGGTGTCGAAGGGCTCTGCCGATCGCAAACATCAACTCGCGCAGGCTGCGATGGGGCAGGCGTTTGTTCACGGATGGCATAGATGATGGTAACAGTGTGCGAGCCTTGTCTGCCCTTACGGCATGCAGGAAACGGATAGCTCTTGAAGGGGGGGAGACTGCGGCGGGTGAGGAGGCTGACTTGCGGGGGTTGTTGACTGGACGGCCCTGTCTGCGGACGCTGGAACAGGCGGAAGGCGGGTTAGGTCAGCGGTGCAAGATACAACAAGCAATTGGGCAGCAGGGCAGCGAGGGTGAAGGACAGCGCGTGCAAGTTGGATGCTCTGCAACGACGATGGATCTAGACGGAATCATGACCGTCGCGCCAGTCGCCCTTCTTTGGCTCCTGCGAGGCGCAGCCCCAGCTTACCACCAGCGCGAGCGAGGCTCTAATCCAATCCAGTTTTTATGAGGCTCCCACCGAAGTTTCCATCCCCGCACAGATAGCCGCTAGCTGCTCTTGGACCCCACATGCACTTCTAGCTACTCCACGGGGGACCGAGCCCAGCCCCGCCTCTTTCACGCCTAAAAGCCTCCATCGGCCCTATTGTGACTTTTGCTCTTTAGTCCGTCTCCTAGACTTCCTGAACTATCCTTCGGCAAGCTTCGTGCTAATTCTCTCTCTCACGGCCAAATTTGTCAGATTGGCTATTCGCGGAAACTCATGCGGCGTGGTGCCATGTTGCCCTGCTGCGGCTTGCTGTTCGCTTGACACGCCGCACCTGGATTGAGCTACCCTCTATATTAACTGCCCAGTCTGAACGCCAGACTATGCCAGAAATCCTCCTATTCTATCTACCCGGACACCTGTCGACTACATGTGCATGCGTGGCCGACTACAGCATGCAGTCCACATCTGTCTTCCCCTCTCCTCCCGCTGTCAAATGCAACCGCCCTATCCTACAGTCTTGTGCTGCATGCTCTCTTGTCTATTATTGTGCCGCTCAGAAATGCTCCAACAGAATTGTGACAGACACGCCTACCCCCACAGTCACTGCCAACTAGCGAGTAAAAACATGCTCCTTGGTAGATCAACGCCCCAAAACAACTCGTGGCTGATAAAGCTGTTGTTGGCGCCAGAAACGGTATCCCGCCCATAAATTGGCCAATCCCATTTTATCCCTCACCCGTAATAACGCACATCGGCTAAGCACCTGCATTGATTCTATCACGCTTCCGGCTTCTTGCCGAATCCGGGAATCCCACTGAACTTGCTGCCGGCGGGCAACTTGGGTCGGCCAAAGTTCTCATCCAGGTCGAGGATTACCTTGAGCGCGTTGCGGCTGCGCAGGTACGGCAACGGCGCCGTCGCTTCCTCAAGCCCGACTGATGGCTCCAGACTTGCCGAATCATGGCTAGATCCTGGCATCGGCAGAGCTGTAGATATGTTAGTCGGCCATGTGCGCAACAAGGTGTCATGCAAAACTTACCTCGCTGTAAAACTTCATAACCAGCCAGCGTGAAACCGAATTGTGGAGACGATCGCATGATACGGGCAGGCCCGCCCTTGAAGAACGCCTTGAAACCTTCTTCCTTGAAGATGGTTGTCGCCGCATGACGAAGACCAGTGTATGCCACTTCGCCCTTTCGTGCCTCTACCTGTAACCTGGTCTTGATAACGTCGCACGGTGTGGTCAAGTACGCTGCAGGCATACCAGCGATGGCACCAGCGCTCAGCATTTGTAGTACGCCTAGTGACTTTTGTGGACTCTCGCCGAAGAAATCTCTCTTCAGATGGCTGTAGGTAGGGAAGTAGATGGCGGAGAAGGGAACTGATGGACGGGTCAGCGACATCGAGATGCAATAGCAAGCAACACGTACCGTCACGCAAAAGACATGCGCTAGCACCCTTGTAGAGACCAACGAGACCCAAGTTGCGGACGATCCACATGGCGGACCGCCTAGGAACACCCTCAACGTTCTTGGAAAGTTCACCCTGGATCTGTAACCGAATCTTGACAATCTCGAGAGGGTTTGTGAAGACCTGAACATGGCGTGTTAGCAATCGTTGTTACTTGAAATGATCAAGACAGGGGACAACGTACAACTTGGCAGGCACCAGCAGTACCACCAGCCAGCATCTCAGCGGGAAACTTGATCTGGCCTGTTGCCTTGTCTGTCATCTTTCCACGAACGAGGTCGTTGACTGTGAGCTTGATAGCTTTCTCCGGTGCTACACCAACAAGCTGAGGCAGGACGCCAGAGTAGAGTCCCTTGAAACCCTCATTCTTAATGACCTTCTTTGCACAGTCGAGCGAGTTCTTGTAGAGGACATGTCCAACACCTGAACTTCTCTGGTTCTGCATTCTCGTCTTGACCAAATCAATAGGGTAGACCATAAAGGCACCAAACGCACCAGCCAGCGAACCGAGGGCGAAGTGGTGGATCGACTCAAGAATGTCGTGCCATATAGACTTTGTGGTCGCAAAGACCTTTTGGCCAGCTTCGGATATGCCGGCGGCCGCCAAAGATCCTGCAGTGTGCCACGACGGATCGAGGACGCGGGCAAAGTCTCGCAGACCAAGGCGTCCGGAAGCCTCATCCAAACCAGCAAAGTGGAAGAGAATGTCTGCTTCCATGGGCGTGTAGAGGTTGAAGCGACTTATCCGCGCGGCCTCGTTAAGGAAATCTGTACGGGTGATCTTGCCGTCAGAGCTCTTCTGTGTGGCATTGCGGATGATGAGCTCGATCATGTCCATCTGCTGGATGACGTTCTGGAAGGCGCGCACGTTGGCGTAGGAGATCTTGCTGCCAACCGAGATGTTGCAGAGAGTGGGCAGGTTCTCGAGGAGGTAGTCGGAGAGCTTGTGGCTCGCAGTCTCGCGTATTATGCGCTGGAAGTGCTCCGGCTCGATGAAGCCGTCCTTGTTCTTGTCGAAATAGGTGAAGCCTTGTCGCACACGCTCTCCCTGTAGCCCTCGCAGCAGCTGGGCAAACTGGGGGTAGGTCATGGTGTGCCTGTGCTTCTTGGAGCCAATGTACAGCGAGGCCCAGCCGCCCTCCCAGTCGAAGGGCAGGCTGTCCTCGGTCTTGTGCGCCTTCCATGTCTCGTAGAAGTCGTCGAAGTTGATGTAGCCGGTCCGCTGCTTGTCGAAGAAGCGGAAGACGACCTCGTACTCGGCGTCGGGTTTGGCGAGCAGGTTCTGGAAGACGGACCAGTCATGGATGCTGACCTTGCCCTTCTGGTCGCGATCGGCGACCTGGAAGAGGATGCCATACTGGTACCGCTTGATCTTGTGCTGGAAGCGGGCACGTCATTAGCTTGGATGACTCGATACTATGCAGACAACCCTGCTTACGTAGTCCTCGCCCTCGGGCGCGACCGCTGTGATGAATTGGTCTTGGTCGAGATAGTATTCGCCTGACTCGTCCTTTTGGGCGTGTTTCATAAAGGCGGCGCGCGTGAGCTGCGACAGCTGGGGCTCGTCGGTGGTGCCCAGCAGCACCTCGCGCACTTCTTCCGTGACGGTCGCCATAGTGAGGGAATGACAGCAGCCCGGGCAGTTGAGGGTGCAATTGGCCTGAGCGAGGTCGTTGGGTCAGTTGAGGGAAGGTAGAGAGGGACACAGTACAGGGTGAGTCGGCCAACTCGCCGTCGACAACAGCTCGCGGGTGGCAGCGAGCTCGGAGGTAAGCTAATTTTTAATTGCGAGCCATTGGCGGGGGTCGGAGGAAACGTGGGGAAGGCGCGGCTGCGAACAACGCCCTGAGCTGAGCTACTTACTGCAGGTGTCCAGGGGGAATCTTCTGAATTCTCAGTACCTAGTGTAGTGCTGCCTTTCACCCTGTGTCTTGTCCGTCTTCACACAAAGGCATTTGCCGCCTGCTTCCGCCTCGCTCCCGCATTACCTGTTTCTCGACATCGCCTCATCGCCTCATCGCCTCATCGCTTGTAGCCCCTGTCAGATTCTATTAAGAGAACACTCTAATCGAGAGCCTCATGCGCCCATCGAGCCACATACCGCTCTCCAGGGATAAGTAATCAATCTAGCGCAAGGGCGAGTTTGGTATCACTGAGAAGGCCATCTACCCCGGACTGGTGCGCGCTGTCAAGCTTTTAGCGTCGCCCATTGCCCAGGCACACGCGACCCTTTGCACTGCTTCTTATGCGTCGTCGAGCACCGGCGGCTGTCAGAAATCCGTCCATCAGAGACTGAAGCATTCCAATCAGTACCAAGTCACCTTGTTCGGCTCTGCGACATCGCTCTCACAAGCAGCCAACATACCCGCTTCGACCCGGCACTCGGATCACTAGTTCCATGTACAGAGGCACCTCGGGAACCATGGCCAAGAATAGTCAAAATATGAGAGAAAGGCGACCGTTATAGCGCGCGCATCCTCAGCGCAGGTAAATCTATCTCGGTGGCCTTTAACATACTTTCCAAGACACTGCAGTGGATGCACACGACCAAGGAGCCCTATAGCATGAGCAGGCCTGCGTCAGCTATGACGACACGGCCAACGTCGTTGCATCGACTCCACCTGCACCTTCCCTCCAAGCCCACGTGAAGGCTTCAACTTCGCAATCACATCCAACATCCACCAGCATATACAGCAATCTCGCCTTGTGCTGATGATGTGATGTCGCGGTTTCCTACACTCTAGGCACTACCTTCCTATGACGAATTCCACAGTGCTAGAATATGGCCTCTCTTAATAGCTGCTCTGATTGACCCCACAACTGCGATCCCAATACACGGCCAGTTACAGACACTTCGGAGCACGCGCGGCCTTGAGAGCCAACTGCTTCAATGCGTGTTTGATGTATACAAGTCTATTGGTAGAAAATTCCTGCACCCTGTGGTCCTCCAAGGCGGAGACAAGACAGCGGAATTTCTGGGCAAGTCTCATGCACTTGGCGGATCCTCACCACGAGCAGCAACATGGTATCGAATCCGCACTCCAATGGCTGAAAGCAATATATCTGCGCTCCGACCCGTCACCAGATCCTCGGCGCCCATCTTCCAGTATCTTGTCTTCTGGGCACGTCTTGCCATCCTAAGCCCGGCGTCAAGCCGACGCCCTGCACTGCCATGTGCTACATACCTACTCGGGTTATATAAGATTGACCATGTTCCCAGGAACCAGGATTCTGCCAAACACAGCTCTACGCCTGCACAATCAAGATGGCGCATCCAGTCACAGCCAAGTATGATTGGATTCTTGCAATTACCACCATTGCCTTCGTCTTCTCCGCCTTCGGAAACGGTGCCAACGATGTCGCCAACGCCTATGCTACCTCAGTCGCCGCTCGTACCTTGACCATGGTACAGGTTGGCCCGCTTGCCGTAATAACAGAATTCATCGGTGCTGTTGCGCTTGGAGCTCGGGTGACCTCAACCATCAAGAACGGCATCATCTCTATCGACCGTTTTACAGGCAACCCGGGCGCGCTCATGTTGGCCATGGGCTGTGCTGGTGAGTATTTTCACTCTGTATCAGGAGCTTGAGCTAAACATGGACAGAGGTTGGTAGCGCCTTCTGGTTGATGCTTGCCACGCATCTGGGAATGCCCGTATCGACTACTCAAACAGTCGTTGGCGCTCTTATTGGAGTCGGATTTGCTAGCCAGGCTCCTGTCAAATGGGCGTGGGAGTCCGGCTCTGTATCGCAAGTTGCTGCTTCTTGGGGTATCGCACCTCTGATCGCTGGTGCATTCTCTGCTATTATCTTCGGCACCGTCAAGTACTCAGTTCTTGAGCGCAAAGATCCTTTCAAGCACGCCATGCGCCTCATTCCCTTCTACTTCGCCATGACAGGAGCCATCCTAGCCCTGTTCATTGTCGTTGAAGCACCTACAGCACCATCCCTGGAAGAGTTTGGGGCTGGCAAGGCTGCTGGAATCATCCTAGGAGTATTCTTTGGATGCTTGGCCATCTGCTATATCTTCTTCATTCCATTCTTTAAACGCAAGCTTATCATGAAGGATCCTCGTGTCCGAATCTGGCACGTCATCTTGGGCCCCCTGCTCCTCAAGGAGACTACCACTCTTTTCTGGCCAGGCAAGGGTAACGAATACGTCACCGATTACTACGAGGATGCCTACGGCGAAGTCCATGCTGGAACGAACGCGAAGCAGGCTGTGACGAATTCGACTAACGACGATGAGATCAAGAAAGTTGATGCTGGATCCCCATCCGGCTCAGTGAACAACAGTGGCGTTCTCCCTAGCGATCCAGAGAAGACAAAGCTAGAGGAGAGTGTTGGTGCGCCTGTCCGAAAACTGAAGAACCCAGAGCCTTACGAACGCTGGATTGTTCCCGTCAAGCATCTCTCATGGGTTAACCCTCAGAGGTGGTGGTCATACACCAAGTTCATCTTCCTCCGAGGTGTCACGTGCGATGTCATTACGCACGACAACGACCTTTTGCGCGCTATTCACTCCAAGGCCATTCGTTACGATGTTCGCGTCGAGCATCTATGGACGTACTGCCAAGTTGTCTCCGCTATGATGATGTCCATCGCTCACGGCTCTAATGACGTGGCCAACGCTGTCGGTCCATGGGCCGCTGTTTACCAGACATACCTAGCTGGGGAGGTTGCGACACGCTCCCCTACCCCCGTGTGGTTCCTGGTTGTCGCTGGTCTCTTGCTCGGTCTTGGTTTCTGGTTCTACGGATACCACATTGTCCGTGCGCTTGGTAACAAGATCACTCAAATGTCGCCAACACGCGGTTTCTCGGTCGAACTGGGCGCTGCCATCACCGTTTTGCTTGCTTCTAGACTTGGGCTTCCAGTATCAACAACTCAGTGCTTGACCGGTTCAGCGGTCGGGGTCGCCTTGATGAACTACGACCTTGGTGCCGTCAACTGGCGCCAACTGGCTTTCATCTTCTCAGGATGGGTAAGTTTCCTTCACATTACTTTGACTTCTCATCTCTAACAATTCTAGGTCATGACCCTACCCGTTGCTGGTCTTATTTCCGGTCTTCTTTGCGTCATGGCGCTCAACGCTCCGAGCTTCTAATCAGCTTCGATATGGCATGAGTCCAGGTCGATTTTTGATGTGTTTCGAAAGCACATTCCTGTAAATCAAATTGTGAAGGAAGTACAAGGATACCCATAGGTGAATACCATCTGTAAAATCGATCATTATGTTTTGTTTTATCATCTGCTCGTACGCCTCTTGCTCTTAGCATCTCCAGAGAGCGTCACAAATTCGCGTGACTTCTTTGCCTATGGACACGAGGGACACTTATCATTCCAACATGACGACGTCTCCCCTCCTAATTTCGTCCTTTCGAACGGATACCACAACACCTAGCGCAGAAATGCAGCTATGAAAGCAGGAAGCATGGATTACAGTAAATGGCAGATTGTGGCAAATAGTGTACGATATGAATCCATGTTCTGGAGATATTTCATGACATAAATACGATTTCAGAGTTACACATTTCAAAAGAGAACTCCACAATCGTGAGAAAAGAAGCACGGTATAAATTCGCTTTTGCACTCTTCTAATGACTACTCATCTAATCTTACTTCAAAGAACACAACAATGCCAGTCCTCCTTCCACCTCTCTATCTCGCCTTCCTGGCTACTCAACTGTATGCACTGAGAATTCACTGCCCGCACCCACCATCCGGCCTCGTCTATCCAACTTCTATCCAAGTACTCAAATTCTTCTCGGTCGTAGCTGGATCCCTTTCCTGGACGCTGATCGTCTCGCTTCCAACTTCCACGGCCATTGGCACTACGGTTGTCATTGCCTTCTTCCCCAGCAGCTCACTGTTGTTAACATGGACTGCACTGACAACACTCTCCCGCACCTTCTCCGTAATCTTTGGCCGTGTGACACCAAAGTACATTGTTAGCACGGCTCCATTCGCACATGTTAGGCATCCAACGTACATCTCTTATGCATCGGAGTTGCTGGGCGCTGTCTTTTTTATATTGGCTTCTTACCTACCTACATACTTTTCCAAAAGAATCGATATTGAGGGCACCGGGCTGTCGATGCCCGTTCGCTGTGTGGGTCTTGTGACAATGGTTGCGGGGTTTATGTGGTTGTATAGGAGATGAGCGAAACTGGAGGAAGAACAATTTATGAGGAACCAAGAGATTGCTGGTGAAGAGAAGACGGTGGAGGACATCGGATTGGTGTGTTTAGCGTACATCAGGAGGGTGAAGAGTTGATGGATTTCGAAGGTGGTTTGAGGTGGCTCAGGAAGCGGACGGAGATATACATGCTGTGTCAATATTGTATTCCATTAAATTACTGTACAATGCTATCTATACAAATGTGGTAGGAATTATACTTTTGGTGGGTCATGCAAATTCTCACCTTTCGTGCATATCGTCAATCATGCCATCTGACTATTTCGGTGCGCTTCCATCCTCGCCTCGCCCTCTTCCTGCATCTGCTGTTGCATACGCGACTCTCTTCTTCTACCCATCTCTTCTTCAATAGCCTGGTTGGGTCCTGGTACCAAGCCCCATGGGCCTTTGCCAATCTTAGCACCCTTGTACTTGACGGCTATTCCGACGCATACAGGTCCAATGATTGTGTTCAACAAGATAGCCCAAATGGCTGTTATGAAGCCCTGCTGAGAGACGTAAGGTGTGTTGTTGTAGCCAATTTCTACAATTAGCAGACCAATCTCTCCACGTGCGACCATGGCCATGCCAAGCAAAATCATGGGTGAGACGGAGGATTGTATCGCAGCTTTGCGGGACGGTGAATCAGGAGATGATTTGACTTTTTCGAGCGAATTTCCGTTCTCGGCCGCGGACTCTGCTTGTGCTTCGTGCGCTTTCTTGGGGTCATGCTTTGCGGCAGCCCAAATGGGTATCCATGCACCCACAATCGCCTTGCCAAACAGCATGAGTAAGGTATATACAACGCCTCTCCAGATGGCTTCTCCAGTCCAGAGGTCCAGGAATGGAATTGCGAATCCTATGCTAGCGAAGAAGAGGGGCGCTAACACGTATTGCTGTGCGTCCAAACAGTAGACTTCGAAAGTATGCACGAACGTTGGAGATTTATCTTTGGAACGCTCGCCTTCCTCCCTACTCATGACCACGAACGGACCTTCCGGATGCGTTGAAGGAAGATACGTCAAGAATGCACCGGCGAGGAAAGCTCCGAACAGAATGGAAGTCCCTGCGTAGGCAGCAATCGAGATGAAGGCTGACAAAACCAGAATCATCAGTATGATGTTGGACAAGTGGTCAAACTTGTGAAAGTGCTTCTCGATGTATCTCCGGAAGACAGGAGCGAAAAACCATTTGGTGAGGACTGGGGTGAGTATCGCCATAGCCGCAGATGCGACGATAGGTCGGCCAATCAACCATCCCAAGTTGACGTCGCCTCCAGAAGCGATACTACCCAAGTCATGGATAACACTGGACATGACGAGACCTGTGACATCGTCGATGACTGCAGCGCTGACGAGTACAGCGCCGACTTTGGTTTGACTGAGATCGACGTCCTTGGAAGCGCTTGAGATGACAGCAAAGGTAGTGCCCAGGCTCGTGGCACTCAGAGCAGCGCCGATGATGAACGTCTCAACAGCGCCGTAGCCGAACCCAAGATACAGCAAGAGATAGCTGAAACCGATTGGACACAGAACGCCGGTGGCAGCTCCACAGATCGACAATGTGAAGTTGGCCTTGAGCAGATCCAAGCGAGTGCTCAAACCACCCTCAAAGATAATCAAGATCAAGCCAATGTAGCCAAGATATAGGAACGTTTCTAAATGCCGGGGTACAGATTCAGTAAATGTCGCAAATGAGCCATCTTCTGCAGCAGGGACACGTACCAGCCCAATCATGTTGGAGAATGTTTGCCAACGGCTCGCCGTATATGATGCCTACTGCAATCGGCCCAATGATGCCGGCACGGATAGTCTTGGCCGAAACGTACTCGGCAAGCCATAAGAAGGTGAAGAAAGATACCAGGATAAGAATATCGACGACTTAAGCTTGCGTTAGTTGAGATCGACATTCCAGGGAGGAAGGTGGACAAGGCGACGCGCTTACTTTCGGGCTCGTGATACTGCAGAAACGGCGCGGCGTCAGAATTCGAAGACGACATGCTAGGTTGGAGAGGGTGTTGAGAGGCTGGGAGGTCAGCAAGCAACTGCTAAGCCGTTGGGAAACTCTCGGCTGGAGTGAAGAAGCAATGGACCCTGGTGCATTTTGACGACGTCATCTTGAAGGCCCGGTGCTGACCACTTCCAGCCTACAAGCTATCAAAACTCTCAACGGCCAAGACCACGTGCAAGGACTATAGTGTCATGATAGTGACATCTCGCCCAGTTCGCAGTAAATCTACACGCGGCTCCGGCATCTCGATCCACACTTTTCTTCACCACCGCGTCCGTGCGCCGGGGTATCTCCGCTCAGTCTCGACTCCGCCAACCTGCACGATGCACCCCCAGAGGACCACTCACATTCAAGTCGGACAAGGCTTGACGCTCCTGATGCGAAGCTTGAGTCTGCGAAACGCGTATCGTCTGCTCCACCGCGGCATTGAAACGACAGGTTCTGCATGAGGCCAGTTGAAGAGGCAGGACCAAGAAGATCCTGAGGTGCCAAGGCCATGAATGCCGCGTAGCCGTGACCTCACAGCAAACCCCCGTAATGTGATGAGCACTCAATGGCCATCTCCATCGCCAAGGGTGGAGAAAAGTTTGCTCGCTAACTTGGCAGTGGCCCTCTGAATACCTTGGCGGGAACTCTCGTGACGCTTGGCATGTCTTTGCAGAGCCGTCTTCCCACACCGACTTCCCCACTGCTCAACATATATCTTGAAGACATCTAGGACCTTTCCACGTTTCTTGCTCTTTCCTACCACCAACCTCTCGTCGGTATCTTCACGTTCTCGCTCCAAGTTTGCTCCAAACTTTGCCAACACTCTTACATCGTCAACTCCAAACCCACCCATACAAACCTTACAACTCGCCAATCACGGCGTTGAATTAGGAGGAGTCTGCACCCCCGCCCCGTTCTGAAGTCCTCTATGTATACTACACTCAACACCCAATCCAACAAATTTGTCCACGTGGCCATAGTCCGCGGGACAAGAGTACGCAGAAGACTAGAGCGTTGATCTCAGTCTCGTCTGCCGATATCCGTATACACGCAATCACCCCATATTTACAACCCGACTACCGAAGACCCACCTCTTTCAAATAATAAAAACAATCCTCGGTTATGGGGAAAAAAGCAACGACCCTGGAGGGTCACGTCAGTGGCCAATGCAACAAACCCATGTCACTGCCCGCTCACAGCCTTACGCTCGAACAAGTCAAGACCGAGCTGAAGACTGAAGAATGGCATGGTCTGGACGACGCCGAAGCCAAGCGCCGTGTCGATGAGTACGGCTCCAACGAACTTGGTGAGGCTGAGAGCGTCTCGCCAGTAAAAATTCTGATTGCTCAAGTCGCCAATGCCATGACTCTAGTTCTCATCATGGCTATGGCCGTCAGCTTTGGTATCAAGTCTTGGATTGAAGGTGGTGTCGTCGCCTTCGTCATCGGACTGAACATTGTCGTTGGCTTCTTTCAAGAGTGGTCTGCCGAGAAGACTATGGATTCTCTACGATCACTCAGTTCACCAACCGCCCGTCTCATTCGTAGTGGCCAACAGGTCACAGTACCCTCCGCTGAAGTCGTTCCCGGAGATGTCATTGAGGTCAAGGTTGGAGACACCATCCCTGCCGATATTAGGGTTTTTGACGCAGTCAACTTCGAGACTGACGAAGCCTTACTTACCGGAGAGTCCCTTCCTGTTCGCAAGCAAGAGGACGCTACCTTTGATGAGAAGACTGGCCCTGGTGATCGCCTTAACGTCGCCTACAGTTCGTCCTCGGTCACCAAGGGCAGAGCCAAGGGAATCGTTTTCGCGACTGGCGCCTACACTGAGATTGGCGCCATCGCTGCTCAACTCCGTGAGACCAAGTCGAAAGTTCGACCAGTCAAGCGAAAGGAGAACGGAAAGGCAAAGCCACATCGTTACCTCGAGGCTTACACACTTACCACTACCGACGCTATCGGTCGCTTTTTGGGTCTCAACGTAGGAACACCTCTCCAGAAGAAGCTTTCCAAGCTAGCAGTATTGCTCTTCTTCATCGCTGTTGTTTGTGCCATTATTGTCCTTGCAGCCAACGAGTTCAGTTCTCGCCAGGAAGTCATCATTTACGCTGTCGCGACAGGCTTGTCCATGATTCCAGCTAGTTTGGTCGTTGTGCTCACAATTACTATGGCAGCGGGCACCAAATCCATGGTCACGCGAAATGTCATCGTCCGTAACCTCAAGTCCCTGGAGGCTCTCGGTGGTGTTACCGATATTTGCTCCGACAAGACAGGAACACTCACCCAGGGTAAGATGATTGCCCGCGGTGCTTGGGTTCCAGGCGTTGGAACATACACTATTGAGGATTCCAATTCTCCCCAAGACCCAACCGCTGGTCACGTCCGCTTTGGCTCCGCAGCTCCTAGCAAGATGGACCTCAAGGCTGGAGGTGATGCTTGTGGTGAGCGTCTCTCTGTCGACAAGCTTGAGGCCCACAATGTCGAGGGCTTCGGCGAGTTCCTCAAAGTCGCATCTCTGGCTAACTTAGCTGCTGTCAAGCAAAACAACGAAGGTGCGTGGGAGGCCCACGGAGATCCCACCGAAATCGCTATCCAGGTTTTCGCATCTCGATTCGGTATGAACCGTAGCCATCTCGTAAAGGGCGATTCTGCTACGTGGGAGGATCTTGTTGAGCTTCCTTTCGATTCCGACGTCAAGCGCATGTCCGTTATCATGAAACACGCAAGTGGCAACTACGCTTTCACCAAGGGTGCCGTAGAGCGCGTTATCCAGAGCTGTACCACCTACCTCGCCGATGGCAAGGAGCAATCCCAGCCTGTCACTGAGGAGTTCCGTAACGAAATCCTCGCCCACATGGCATCTTTGGCCGGTCTTGGTCTGCGTGTCTTGGCTTTGGCTAGCAAGAAGTATCCCGCCGACGTCGAGAAGGGCGCCGAGGTTGAACGTGCCTCTGTAGAATCTGAGCTTGTCTTCCGTGGTCTGATTGGTCTTTACGATCCTCCCCGCCCCGAATCCGCTGTCGCTGTCCGCCAATGCCACGAGGCTGGTATTGAGGTCCATATGTTGACTGGAGACCATCCAGGTAAGCTTCAACTGTACAAGATCCTTGCGAGATATACACTGACGTTGTACCTCTTCAGATACGGCGCGCGCAATCGCTATCGAAGTTGGTATCTTGCCATCCGCTGAGCGTTACAAGAAGATCTCTACCGATGTCGCCAAGAACCTTGTTATGACCGCTTCCGAGTTCGACGACCTTTCCGATGACCAAGTCGATGAGCTTCCTGTTCTGCCATTGGTTGTGGCCCGTTGTGCGCCTAGCACCAAGGTCCGCATGATCGAAGCTCTCCACCGCCGCGACCGATTCTGCGCCATGACTGGTGACGGTGTCAACGATTCTCCTTCGCTCAAGCGTGCCGATGTTGGTATTGCCATGGGACAGGCCGGTTCAGACGTCGCCAAGGAAGCCTCCGACATCGTCCTCACAGACGACAACTTCGCGTCCATTCTCGCCGCCATTGAAGAAGGTCGTCGTATTTTTGACAACATCCAGAAGTTTGTGTTGCACGTCTTGGCTGAGAACGTCGCTCAGGCTGGTACGCTTCTCGTTGGTCTCGCCTTCAAAGACAGGACTGGTCTTTCCGTCTTTCCTCTCGCTCCTGTACAGGTTGTCTGGATTATCATGGCTACTTCAGGATTGCCAGACATGGGTCTCGGTTTTGAACGTGCTGTGCCTGACATTCTGCAACGCCCACCTCAATCTCTCAAGACAGGTATCTTCACCTTGGAGTTCCTTGTCGACATGGTCGTTTATGGTCTCTGGATCACTCTTCTCTGCTTGGCCAGTTTCGTCCTCGTTGTCTTTGGTTTCGGTGATGGTGAACTTGGTACGGGTTGCAACGAGACATACTCCGAACAGTGTGAGTTGGTGTTCCGCGCCCGCGCTTGCACATTTGCCTGTTTGACATGGTTCGCTCTCTTCCTCGCCTGGGAGATGATTGATATGCGTCGGTCTTTCTTCCGCATGCAGCCTGGCAGCAAGCGCTACTTCACCCAGTGGATGTTTGATGTATGGAGGAACCAGTTCCTCTTCTGGGCCATCATGGTTGGTTTTGTTCTCCTGTTCCCGCTCATCTACATCCCCACGCTCAACACAGTCGTGTTCAAGCATGCGCCTATCGACTGGGAGTGGGGTATCGTTTTCATCGAGACCGGCATCTTCTTTGCAGGTATTGAGTTCTGGAAGTGGTGCAAGCGCGTCTACTTCCGCCGCAAGGGAGCCAAACACGGTACCGGAAAGGTTGACAAGAACATGGAGATCGAGGACCGTGTCTTTGGTCGTTACTATAGCCGCGACTCATCCACCACTGGCAACGAGAGCGTGCAGGAGAAGGCTTAGGCGTTCAGTCTGAGATATTGTAAAGAGACAAGGCTGCAGATGCGTTCCACCAGCAGAACACCTGCCCAGCACAAAAGTTAGTTACCTTAGTATATAGAATGATTAGAAATGACCACGACAACGTAGCTTGCGTTAACAATAAAATGATATTATATCAAACCCCTGCCTTTTATACACTTGAATCACATTGCAACTCTTTCACGCTCAAAGTCGACAGTATGTAGCGTTCCTCTATCCGCTGCATGAGCGACGAAGTTTCCTCAGTCGCCCGTGCTCTGGGACCCATCCATTACACTAGCCGATTTGGGCGACACGTAGAACGAATGAACTCGGGTTGAGGTGGAAATTCGAATTCAGTGATAACGGCTTGGAGATGCACAGATGGGGAAAGTTGGTGCTCTTGAGCACTTCTTCTGTGAGGCGCAGCAGCCAAAGGTAGACTGCGGCATTTTGTTGATGTGACGGTAGTGGTTGCGGCATTTTACTTACCACCAGGCCTACATGAGATGAGATCGTCAAGAACACCATGTCTACGCAAGGAATCATTAGAGCAGCGTTATGGAAAATAATGGTTGATGCACTATGTGAGCGAACCTCCAGTTGAGCTACTGGGGAAACTGCAAATTACGTGGTGAGGATGCGAGGGGAACGCGATTTGTGTACGTCAAGTGAAAGCCTATCAAAGGAGCTTGGAGATTCTCGCGCTATTGTGAGAGATGGACATGGATGAAACGCTCGTCTAAATATTGGTATTCATGGTCAAAGTGTAGTGGGGATGGCTACCTCCTCTAAGCACCTCTCGCCCAAGGTACATAATGATACAGATCGCGGTATTTGAAAGGGTACTTGATTGTCTCCTACACGACCAATCGTCCTGGCTCAACCTCGAGGACGGTCTTGACGCGCTCAAGGAAGATGCGGCCGCGCTTCTCGTCGCCTTTGGGCACGCTTACGCTGAACACATTCAGGGGTCCAGCAACGCCTGCTGCGCCGGTTACGGATTTCCTAGTGGAAGCCTTCTTGCCAGCCAACATGTCAAGGATGTCGGACTTTGGTGCTGGGGCACGCTTGCTAGGAATAGCAGTCGGGGGTAGCGCAGTCACTTGTGGGACGAAATTTCCCTGCGAGTACTTTCCGGCTACCTTGTCAAGGCCAAGGACTGCATTGAATAGCTCGTCGGCAGATGGCTTCGCGACTTTGGATCGCGGGAGGTCTTCGTTCGCAAGCTCGGCAGCACGCGCAACAAAAGTGGATAACGGTAGGAAGACGCCTATCGAGTCCTTGACGCGCTTCTGGCACTCCATGACTGCGGTGAGAGAGACGGGCAATGCCACCTCAATCGAGAGGTCCTCAACAACTGCAGGCGCTTCAGCTGCAGTCTTCTTAGGCGCCTCCTTCTTTGCCATGACCTTGATGTTGGAGAGATCGAGGTGGGAGAGCTTGGTGAAGCGGCTCGCGAGCTCTGAGGGGTATGCGTTCTCGATCTGACCAATGTATGCAAGTACATCTCCCTTGAGTAACCTGCCACCAGGCCCAGTCGCAGGGATCTTGTCAGCCTCCTCCTTGGGCAGCCCGTTCAGTGTGAGCAACTGCTGTACAGAGGGGTATAATGGATATGTTTGCTTGGAGGCCTTGCCACTGGAGGCTTTCTTGGAAGCATCGGACTTTGCAGGCGGGGCAGAGGTTCGCTCCTCCTTTGGTACGGGTGCGGGCTCCTTGTTGGACTCTTTGGGCGCTTCAGCCTCCTTCTTGGGTGCAGGGCTTTCTTCGGCGGGTATCTCGAGGGTGCTCAGGTCGTCGCCAGGCTCTGCAGTGACTGCTATCCGTGTGCCGACCTGGACTGCTTTGGAACCGTCTTGGACCTACGGCCTCGATTAGCCACGAACTGAAGCAATGCGTCTTTCCCACGTACAGTGATCTTTGCTAGTATGCCGTCATCCTGCGCCTCCACGTCCATCTGCGCCTTGTCCGTCTCGATCTCGAGGAGCACGTCGCCGGCGGAGAAAGAGTCTCCCTCCTTGATCTTCCAGCTCGCGATGTTGCCCTCGGTCATGGTCGGTGAAAGTGCAGGCATGTTGAGGTTTTGCGCGGCGAGCGCGGCCTGGCTTGAGTGAAGTCCTACCCGTCGTGTCAGTATATTTGTGCATTCTCCGGTGTTTTGGCGTGTCTTTTGTACCTCTCCGGGCGCCATGGCTGCGCAACTGCTGCGAGGCAGCCCGCGCTGAGACCCTACATACCGCGGCGAGCGAAGCCATGTGGAATCAATTGGCCGGCGGAGACAATGGCAGTGGGAGGGTTGTTTGGCGACGGGGCTGATCTGCTGGCGGAAATGTTGGGCGGAACAAGCTTCGGAGGTGTCTGGCGGGACGCGCTTGGGCCCGCTTTCTGGTTGGACTTTTTCCCGATATATCGCGACTCCATCCACGCTCACATAGCGACGCATTGACTTGCCCGAGCATGCACGCCTCATAGCGGTACATAGAGTATCCCATACTAATACAGACACCATGCCCGCCTTTTCCCGGGGCTTCGACGCCTTCATGCGCCAGAATTCCTTCCGCCTCCCCTCCTCTCTCCGCGCAGCCCTCTTCGGAACACGAGAATCCTTCTTCACACCCACCACGCTTCGCCAAAATCGCTCCTTCACCTCGTCCGTACTTCGACGCTACCAATATTACAAGAGTACTGTTGTCACACCAAAAGCCAGTGGATTTGTAAACAACGACCCAGTCCTACGCCAAGTAGTCCAAACCCGTCAGCCTATCCTACTATACCAAGCGCCTAAGAACAAATGGTACTATCTCAAGGTATACGGAACGGGGGCATTATGGATAGGAGTTGGGGCATATTCCATCAAATTCAATGACGACATCAAAGACAAGGGATTGTCCTTCTTCGTACGACCAACGTATATCGTGGTAGGAGTGAGCTTCGTTATCATCGGCTGTTATATCTGTACAGCGCCTAGCAATCGCATGCGAGCGTTGGAAATACTCCCAAGTTTGCAGGGCGGGCCCATGCAATTGCGCATGACTGTCAAGCCAGTGCCGTGGCTGAAAGAGCGCGTCATATACTCGAATCTAGGAGCAGTGACGATAAGTGAGAAAACGGAACCCATGGTGCAAGAGTTGCTTGAGGCAGAACGTTTCAGGAAGCAAAGACTATGGGACGACTTGGGACATATGAACATTGCGGCCCGTGTCTGGGAAGGATCTGCGCGCTGGGTGCATCAGAAGTGGACAAACTTCTTCTTGAAGTTTAAATTCGCAGTACTGAGGTTCGGTATCGCGAAGGTCAAAGTGGGGGGAGACGAGTGGAAGATCGACTGCTCGGGCTACTTGTTGGAGAACGGCAAAGGTACGACTTCATCATCATTGTTCTCAGAGTAATTCTAACGAGACATAGCGGTCGACCGAATCATTCCCGAAGATTAGGAAAACCGTTCGCATCCTTCTGGAAGTGATCTTACAACACACTTTGAAAAGTTGCTACCTATTTACGACAACGAAGGGCCCGCTGAGATAGTGAAAGCACTTGTCGTACAACCAGTAACAAATCTTGCAGGCATTGCAAGTCACGTTAGTCCATAAACTGACCACATAGGAGTTGTTGCACTCCTTGGAGGTAGGCGATCCATCTGTATATTAAACGGCAGACAGCTGCAAATTTATGTAAGATACGACCCCAGCCCCAGCAACGGCATGGTATTGCCGAAAACACCTGTGCAACGAACACTCTCATGCAAAGCTGGCGAACGCAGTTTCAGCCTCACATGCTTTATGTCTATCCTGAAAGCAGTCGTCTTGCCTTTGGTGAGAGATGCAGGGAACTTGGGCAATCCACTACTCAAATCACGAGCGATCACACCTACACTGTCACTTCCTTTCGTCCACTTGTCACGGCCGGTTCCGCAGCCATGCCTGTAAGTACCAGGTCTGTGCTTGCATACAAGGCTGAATCGGTTGCAATGACAGCTAACGCTGCACACGGCATGACTTCGTAGGCGGGCTGAGCATATATACCATAGGCGAAACCGCCTATTGTGGATACTACTACTGTCGATCTCATTCCTATAGATTCTATGTGGGAGGATAAAAGCTGTTTTCCAAAAGTGTCTGGGAACAACAAAATGACGACTTAGAGCTCGTTCAAATTTAAGGGTAGAGTTTGCGTCTTACGATGCAGACTCTCGAACTCAGGAACGGCGGGCTCCGCTGATAAAAACATTCTTGCCATCCCGTATACACTCGGGACTCTGCAAAGCGCAGCATGGAAAGGTTACTATGTAGTACCAATCATATACATCTCTTCGTAACGTCTGTCACACTATGCACACTACCATAATCACAACGCTATCCAGTACGCCACACCCCCAGTCCCCTTGTAGAATTGCGTGAAAGCACCGACCGTCGAACTGCACCATTTGTCAACAGCCATTCCAGAGTTCATTGTTGGCCAGAAGAGACAACTTACCCTCTCATCTGCTCCTTATCCTTTGCTTTTTGCCAATCTTTCCAGCGCTCCTTCTCACTAAGATTTGCATCACGCCATCTCTCTTTGCCCGGTTCTGCGGATTTCGATCGCCGTGAACTGGAGTGCGAGGAAGAGCCATGAATATGGAGTTTTGATCGCCAGGATGTTGCAGAGGACGGACGTTCTGGTAAAGGGGATGGAGGCTTGAGGGTCGTTGACGATGTTGTGGTAGTGGACACACTATCCACGTTTACAAGAGAAGTCGTGGACTTTTTCATCCAAGCAGAAGGCTCGGAATTTGTTGTTTTGTATGGATCAGTCATGGCTGTGATGATTTGTGCAGATATGAATGCGCAACTATGGAGTTGTAGACGAAGATGTTCACGACAGCGTAAAAAGTGCGCAAGATGAGAAGATACAAGGCGTGTCAGTAGTTGAGAGCAGTCATTGTTAACCACATGTAGATCAAGGCGCAAGCATGTTGTGTTGAGAGTCGGGCGTGGCTGTGAAGTCGTATAGCATGACGGGCGCAAGGCGTCCACTGGGCTGAGCTTACTAGCATTTATCCGGTATTGTGGCGCAAGCGCCCAGGTGTGGCGTTATACATAGCTACGTGGAGCCAACCAGAAATTTGCGGTAGAGATGTCCAATTAAACATACTTTACGCTGCTAGCTCTACGTCGTCAAGGTTCTTCCGTATGAACTTTGTTACAGCATCCAGTCCATTTTGAACAACATCTGTCTGGTTAACATAGCCGATCCTGACGTAGCCCTTGAACTCTTCGCCGAAACAGGTACTGCCAGGTACGAACATGACGCCTGTCGCTTCCAGCAGCTTTTTGCAAAAGTCGACCGAGTCGACGGGCTTTCCCTCCCTGTGAAACTTGACGAAAGCTGTAGTGCCAGCAACGGGCTTGACCCATTCACACTCGTCTTCGTTTTTGAGTTGAAACTTTTCCAGAATGGCCATGTTTTTCCTCGCAAGTTCGAGGTTGCGGGCTAGCAGCTGGTGCACTGTTGCCGAGTGTAGCGCATATGCTGCGATGCATTCATCGAAGTAGGAGACAGAGATGGTGGTGTAATGACGCGCTGAAGCGATTCTCTCAATGATCTCAGAGCTACGAGAAGCTATCCATCCTATGCGGATACCGGCAAGTGAATAGGCCTTTGACATGGAGCCCGTGACGATGACATTGTCGTAGCCCATGGATAGGAGAGACGGTGGAAACTCCTTGTCCAAAGGACTGATGGAATGGAACAGTGGCCGATAGACCTCGTCACTCATGATGGTGATATTCTTTTCAGAAGCAATGTCGATGAGTTCTTGTAGGAACGTCTTGCCTAGGATGGCACCAGTAGGGTTGTTGGGGTTGTTGATGACGATGAGCCTGGTGTTGGGCTTGATGAGCAACTTGAGGTCGTCGATTTTGGGTACCCATTTGTTCTCGGGTGTAGCTTTCCACAAATCGACTTCAGCGCCCAGTTGCTTAGGGACCTCGTAGAGAGATTGGTAGGTGGGGTAGTGGCAGATGACATGGTCTCCAGGGCCGGCGAGAGCGTATGCAGTCAGATAATTTGCTTGGATGGCACCAGGAGTGATGAGGATGCTGTCCGGGGAGAGTGGGTTTGTGACTTTTGCAGAATACAGTCGGGCGAGGTTGTTACGTAGCTCGTCACTTCCTCTAATGGTACCGTATGTGAGGACACGCGAGGTATCGAAAACTGGTCGGTCTTTGTCCTCGGACAGCTCGCGTAGCTGATCGACGGAGATTGAGGCACAACATGTTTCAGCGACGTTGTACTTGCACTTTGTCTCGTATGCGTCCATCCACTGGGGACGTTAGTTTATATATTCCCCACGTGGAGGAGATGCGGGGATGAACCTACGGACTCGACGGCGAACTCGTCGATTTTGACCATGTCGACGGATGAGAGGGTTGGTCTGTTGTTACAATGAGAAGAAAAACACACAAAGGCCACTTGTTCAGCCTGGAAGTTTAAAATGTCAACTTGGGGATTGACATAGGGCGCACATAGTCTCGAGATGGCTCCGCTGGAGCGGGCGAGCTAGCAGCTAGAGGGCTCCGGCGGCCAGGTATGCCCGAGAAAAAGGCGGCTCTACAGGTGTCGCGCGATCACGTTGATCACGTCGCTAGAGATGAAGGCTGAGGCTGCTAGTGGCGTGATGCGCGTACCCATGATTTCTCTTCTGCATGTTGCAAGTCAGATATCGATGACGAAGACCATGGTGTCCACGGGTGCCTGTTGGCTTGTGCCTCGGTCTAACGGTCCGCCATGATGCTTGGCTGGAGACAGCCCAGCCTCCACGAATCATGGTCGGGCAAGGCCGATGATAGCAGCCCTCATCTGGCCACCATCGCCGCGTCGTGTCCCTCGTCACTATCACGAGCTGCCTAGCTCTGTTGCCGTTCCTTTGACAGCTGCTCTCTGCCATCGCGTTACTGCTGCCATACAACGAGACACCCGACGTGTCATCGCAGCTATCTAGCATAGCTTGCCTCGCGCCGCAGACACACCAAGATGCGCCAACGAGCGTGGGCGACGTCGCTCGCCACCATCCTGGGCCTGGCATCGACAGGAGGCGCATACAAAACGTTCGCAAACTACTCCATGGCCGATTCGCCCCAGGATCTCTTCTCCATCTACGGCGACCGACCCGACGGCTGTCCCCCGTGCTTCAACTGCAACCTCGAAGACTTCAAGTGCAAGCAGTTTGCTGATTGCAGCAAGGCCAACGGACGATGCAACTGCGGCCCAGGATTCGGAGGCGAGGACTGTTCAGAACCCCTTTGCGGCGCGCTGCCCGATGGCAAGAACCGCTCACCACGAGGAGGCGCAAAGCAGTGTGAATGTTCAGAGGGCTGGTCAGGCATCAACTGCAATGTCTGCCAGACCAACAATGCCTGCAACGCCATGATGCCGGATGGCGAAGGCGGAGTCTGCTACAAGGACGGCCAACTGGTCAAGGAGAACTTCCAGATCTGCGACATCACCAACAGGAAGATCCTCGACACACTCAAGGACAAGAAACCCCAGGCGACCTTCTCTTGCAACGCCGAGTCAGAGGAATGCAATTTCCAGTGTAAGCTTCACACCCACCCTCTCATTCATAGCTAACCATGGCAGTCTGGGTCGACCAGAGGGAATCCTTCTACTGCGCCCTCGACACGTGCTCCTCCCAATTCACCGCCGAATCCGATCGCAACATCACCAAATACCGATGTGAAAACATAAAGTGTGAATGTGTGCCCGACAGGATGCTTTGCGGAGAGGACGGCTCCGTTGACATTGGTGACTTCTTGAAGGAGTCGATCAAGGGACCTGCTGAGTTCAGAGGCATCTCAGCTATCAACACCAAAGACAGCGGAAGCGTCTTCTCCGAGCCTGCCATGAACGACCTCATCTCGAGCGTCTTCGGCGACGAGAGTATTTTCCTACAATGCGACACGGGCGAGTGTTTGTACCAGACCGAGGTACCAGGCTACGAGAGGCCCATCAAGAAGATCAACACGCCTCTGATTGCTGGTGTCATCGCTGGTTGCGCCCTGTTCATCGTGGCTGCCATTCTGGCTGTCTGGTATCTCACGCACCGTGCCGAGAGCAAGCGATACGGTCCCATCCACCTATCGGACGATGAGGAGGACGAGGATGCGAAACTGCTAGCAGACCACAAGCCAGCTGCTTTCCTCTTTGAAAACGTCGCATACAACCTCAACGGAAAGCAGATTCTCTCCGGCATCTCTGGCGCAGTCCACCCCGGAGAGCTCCTGGCTATCATGGGTGCTTCAGGTGCTGGAAAGACTACCTTCCTCGACATTTTAGCTCGCAAGAAGAAGATCGGAACCGACAGTGGCGATTTCTACGTCAACGGCGAGAAGGTCCGCGATGACGAATTCAGAAGCGTCATTGGTTTCGTCGACCAGGAGGACACTCTTCTACCAACCCTGACTGTTCACGAGACGATTCTTGACTCTGCTCTGTTGCGCCTGCCCAAAGAGATGAGTCGCACTTCCAAGGAGCAAAAGGTTGAGGATGTTGAACGTCAACTCGGTATCTACCACATTCGCAACCAGAAGATTGGCTCTGAGGAGAGTGGTCGTGGCATTTCTGGTGGAGAGAAGCGTCGTGTCGGTATTGCCTGTGAACTCGTCACATCGCCCAGCATCCTCTTTCTCGACGAACCTACGAGCGGACTAGACGCTTACAATGCTTTCAACGTCGTCGAATGCCTCGTTAACCTGGTCAAGAACTACAACCGAACCGTCGTCTTCACTATCCACCAGCCACGCTCAAACATCGTCGCCCTCTTTGATCAGTTGATACTGCTTGCCAAGGGTAGGGCTGTCTATTCTGGACCCTTCGAGAACTGCCAAACCTATTTCGATGAGCTTGGCTACACCTGCCCACCCGGTTTCAACATTGCGGACTACATTGTAGACCTTACTATGCACGCAAGCACTGCACGTCAGCCTATCGACGAAGACAGCTCAATCTTCAACCGTGACCTCAACCGTGATGGTCTCACCACAAGTGCAAGTAGTGCCATTGCCGTCAAGTCTATTCCTAGTATCAATACGTCGGAGCTCGAAAGAGATATCGCTGGTAGCCCTAGCAATTCGAGCATCTTGCGACCCAAGAGCAAGAGAAGGACGTCCATCAAGCAGCAGCAAGAACGCGAACTATTCACAAGAAAGAAGAGCTCTGCTCCTGTTAACGATGGTGCAATGTCCCCCAAGACTGACGACGAGGCTCCTTACGATCGTCGAGGCGCTATCAAGGCTCAGTGGTTGAAGCTCACACGTCAAGGAGGTAGCGTACCTCCCCAAATCCTCGAGGACCCAGATGAGCTCCCACCACCCGCCAACGGCGCCACCGGAACGAATCTGGATCTCTTGATCAATGCTTACGCTTCTTCCGACATCGCCGCTACAATCCGTCAAGACATTGCCACTTCGGTGGCCAGCGCAAACCAAGCCAACGGCACTAACGGAGTGCACGAGCAGAACGGCTTCGTTGCAGCAGGCAAGTTGAAGGGTTTCAAGAAAGTTGGTCTCTTTGGCCAGTTCAGGATCTTGTCTCGACGAACTTGGCGCAATCTCTACCGTAACCCGATGCTCATGCTTACTCACTACGCTATTGCCATCGTCCTAGCAGTCTTCCTCGGCTTCCTCTTCTACGGTCTCACAGACGATATCAAGGGTTTCCAGAACCGCCTCGGTCTGTTCCTGTTCGTCTTGTCGCTCTTTGGCTTCAGCAGCTTGACCATTCTTACCGTATTCGCTCCTGAACGACTACTCTTCACCCGCGAGCGTGCCAAAGGCTACTACTCCCCGCCTGCCTACTTCGCCGCCAAGGTCATCTTCGACATCATTCCTCTCCGTCTGCTTCCTCCCATCATTCTCGGTATTATCGTGTACCCAATGACTGGCCTCATTCCTGCATGGCCCAACTTCCTCAAGTTCACGCTTTTCCTCGTTTTGTTCAACCTCGCAGCCGCAGCCATCTTCCTCTTCATTGGTATTGTGTTCCGCAACTCTGGCGTGGCCAACTTGATTGGTGTGCTAGTCATGCTATTCAGTCTTCTCTTCTCTGGCTTCTTCCTCAACAAAGAGAGTATTCCTGCCATAGCCAAATGGCTGCAATCGGTAAGTCGAAGATCTTCCTTCCTTTTGATAACGCACCTATACTAACAGCATTCAGTTGTCAATCTTCCACTACGCATTCGAGGGCCTCATTGTTAACGAAGTCAAATACCTTTCTCTAATTGATCACAAGTACGGCCTTGATATCGAGGTGCCTGGCTCTGCCATCCTCAGCTCGTTTGGTTTCAACACGCAAGCGCTATGGAAGGACTGTATCGGTCTGGGTGTGTTTGGTGGTGCATTTGTGCTGCTTGCGTACCTAGCCATGCATTTGCTGCTTGTGGAGAAGCGGTAGTGGGGGGAAATATGCTGGGGTGTACCTCGTGTTCAGTGTCTTTGTTAGTACATTTCATATCTATCGTGGAGGTGCATAGATCCTGTTTTGCATATGCGGCGTTTGGTCAATGGGACCTTTTTCCTTACGATACTAGAGGCTCTGATATCTTACTACATGCAATCTTGTCGACCAAGGCTGGCCTTGAGCTTGGTCAGTGCGGCCAACTGAACCGTAATGAATAATGTGCATGCATGCATATGTCTATTTTGTTATATGTCATATTGTGCCATTTCTAGTTCTTGCTCTACAATCGCCCACACACGGCGAATCACTGCAATCATCACTCTCCAACAACCTTTCCGTCTTCCTTCCCACCTTCAATAGCCGCTCCGCCCTTGAACTTGAATCTCTTCAATCCCCGCACACCGACATGTATCTTGAAACAGCTGCCCGCGTGCTCGTCAACAGGGCCTCCGTTCTCTCCACTCGTACCACCGGAGCTAGTGATGAAGAGCTCTTCGCCAACGAAGCAAGGGCATGTTGGCTGGCTAGTAGGCACCTTGATCTCGGCAACGATCTCACCTTGAGGCGAGATACGTAGTACATGCCATCCACCATGAAGAGCAGTCCACATGTAGCCCTCCTCATCAATGCAGTGACCATCGGGCACGGCATCCTTGCCATACCGGTTATCCTCCGGCATGGTAAAGAAGGGGCGCTTGTTACTGATCTCACCCGTCTTTGGGTCGAAATTGAACTGGAAGATAGTTTTCGTTGGACTGTCAGCAAAGAACATGGTATCGTCGTTCTTGTTCCATGTCGTGCCATTCGGAATCGTGATATCGCTCATGGGTCGATCAAGACTCAGATCGGGGTTGAGACGGAAAACAGCACCGTCCTCTCTCCACTTGGAGACCATGGGATCGAACATGAAGCCCGCCCAGAAGCGGCCTGCTGAATCAACAGCGCCGTCGTTGCCGCGGAAATCTTCGTGCTTGTTGGCTGATATCTCGGGCTCGGACCAGACTTTCTTGATCCAGCGGTACTCGCCGGTTTGCTTGTTGGCAATGCCGAAGCCATACTTGCCGCCAAAGATGAATTCCTTTTCGTTGCCTTCGATGTCGGCGGTGCAGCCCATGGAGATGTCGTAGTCTTTGATGGTCGTCAGGCTAGAGGGGCCTTTAGACATGTCTACGCGGAGTAGCTTCTTCTTTTCAATGTCGAGAAAGCGGATTGTGTTTGTCTCTTCTTCCCAGAAAGGACCTTCTCCTAGTGAGTAGTATGTCTTGAGCCATGGCTGGGAGATGGTCAGTAAATGTACATTCCTATGAAACAGAAATAAGTTCGCTCTTTTGTGTCGAAAATGCGACCGTCTGATAAGTAACTGACCAAACATTGAAGCTGGCTGTCACGATGCTTAAGATGCGGTTGTATGACCTCAGCGGGGCTAGGCCATCAAGTACCCCTCTGACGCCACCTTGAAGAAGCTACAACAACGAATGCAGGTCGACATACCTCTGTAATCTCATACTTTTTGATTTCCGACATTTCTGTAGAGGTATTCGCAATCTTGTTCAGGGTGGGAGTGTCGCTTTCTTCGTCCTTTTGTTGGTCGCTAGTTTGTTGGTGTTGTTCTAGTGTGTTGTTGCTTCCCGAAGCGCCCGTCACGGCGGCCCTCATCGAGGACCACAATTTGGATAGCGTCGCTCCCATTTCCCGTTATGACGTCCCGATGAGCCGCCAATGAGGCTAGAAATGCCCGTTTTTCGTCTCCACTATCTTGCCTTCCGCGTCCAACCTTACTTTAGCCCAGCGAACACGCAACGTATCTTCCTGCGATTTAATCACTACGGAGAATTGGAAAACTAGGAATATGGTTTCCGAGGTGAACTAAGCAAGAGATGTTTCTGAAAATCACGGACGCATCAAATACATATGTTTTTCCAGGAGCGACGTTTCTTGCTGGGCTGCAAGGTTTACTGCCGTTCGTGCGGTTACCACAGGCGCGCCCTGACCACAGCTGCACATCTCAGCAAGAGCACCGTCTGGCAGGATAGGTACACAAGCAGTATAGTGAGCGGTATTACTGATGAAATGTCGCGTTGATGAGGCGACGATGATGAGGATTTGCCGGCTAAGCGGTCCGCCAACGCCTACAAGAAGAAGGCACGTTTAACGATAGAGCGGGAATGTTGTATCTTTGTTCCGGCTGAACAGGGCTAATCTAGAGACGCAGGTAGCTTTGTCACGGGCCTCTGAAAAATCGTGCGAAATTTCCAATTGATTGCAAAGGACGACTTGGGTTGGTTTTTGATAACAAGCTGCTTATAGGTGATCTGGCCTTTTTGGCGACTTCGAACCCTTCGCACTCGTCGCTGTTTTGAAGGTTTCTGTTGGCACTGCGCGGGAGCCTGCATGATCTTCCGCCTACAGAGAGTCCGTCAGCATCAATCTAAAGACGTTGTCTTCCGCACCTGGCCGTCCGGATAGCAGCTCATACATACTGGCAAAACTCTGGCACGTTGAAGTATCGGAGATGGCTTCTAAAGACGACACACTTGACATGCGTGTGTATTTCGACCTAGCCAATAGTATCAATACCCCTAACGCTCACCTGAGATTGAGGGTTGTCCACTCAGCCATAGAGGCACAAGTCACATCGTGGTGCATGCATGGACCGAAAACCACCAGTTATTTGTTATCGGTACACACCTTATTCTTCCGTTTCGAACTCATCTCACCAGAGGGAGCTATCGTCCTAAAGTACTCCACTTGGTGAAACAATGTTCTCGCTGATTGGTTGACCGCAGCCTTTTGCTGCAAACTAGCCGACGTCTCTGAATTTACCAGCTTCTGGGGATTTTGATATGTGTCGGTCCGTCTGGTCCTTCCTGAAGTTTTTTGTCGACACGTAAGGCATCTATAGTCTTATTTGGCAGCAGCGTCAGATTGAGAGAGGTTCCTCAACGACCTCGTCTACTCGTCCTTCGTCGCTAGAACCCTCTTTGCGAGTGAAATCTCTATTGAAAACTTTGATGTATCGTTCCTGCATGTCTGGTTCAGGGTACAATTCCAGGAGTGGACGCTACCTGGATTCGATGGTGTAAGGGAGTGCTTCTCAAAAGGTTTGGTAATCAGAATACTCCGCATATTCGAAACATGCTTCTTAGGCATGTTCAATCCAGTCTTCTCCCAACAATGATGGCTCAGGCTTTGTTCCAATGCCGTTTGGGTTGCCATGGCCCTCGTGATACACGACAGAACTTCTTGAAGCGATATTAGCTGTTAGGCATCTGAATCTTTGCCCTGTGCCTGACAGCTTCTCATACGCATTCAGACCTTGGACATCCTCTATCGGCGCCCCAGTACCTTAAAGAGAGAAACTGAACATCTCTTTAGAGCAAAGTACTTATACCTACTACAATAAAGCGTGTCAAAACCTTCCTAGACATAGATAGAGAATCTAGAAGTCTACAATGCTATTAATCTTTCTAGAATTTCTTCTTAGAAGCTAACGTGGGCGGTAAAGTAGGGCTTGTTATGTCTATACCCGTTCGAGTTTTTTATTGTATAGGGTGGCGCTGTAGTAGTAGTTCTCGAGAGTTCGATGGATTTACTAGCCTCAGTGCAGTCGCCATAATGAATGAACCAAGGGTTTTCAGGATGCTAGTCCTCTGTGTAGCTGATGCGTTGAGACTAGGCCGGTTTGCATCTTCCAACAGCGTTTCTGGTCATGAAGAGGGTGAATCACGACGACCATCGCAAGACTGCGGCATGGGCGGCGGACTTGTAATTGATCTGACCTTAAGCAGCCTCTCATCTTATATCTAACAGTATCACGCGTCTCTGGGCCTCTGGAGTATACCCTATGATCTACTGTGATATCTCACTTGGGCCTACACGTATAGAAAGAGCATATCTTTATACAGAATTGCTGGAGCCGGGTGCGCTTCACAATCTGTTGCTTCTAACTTCGCGACATCACTGAAGCAGAAAGAAGAACAGCTCGATACACTGCATGGTCATAACCACACCAGCTCGGATAGTAGTCGGAAGACTTCTGCATCGGATTATCGCGTGTAGTGCTTGAGGTTTGGGTCTGCTTATATAATTAATGATTGGTGAGTACACTCGTTTTGCCAATGTTCATCTAGGTAACATTGGTGACTCTCGGCACCATGAGAGCGATGGAATTTTCTGCGACATTTCATGCAGACAGACCCCCTTGTAATTGATACCACTCAATTGCGGGTGCACTAGGTCTAAGTGAGGAAGTAGTTAACGACAATGGTGAAGAACAACTGTCGCTAACCCCTGCAATCTTGCTACGACAAAGATCGGCGAACAAAGACAACAGCGGACAATGTGTACTGCACGATCACGCGTTGCGCCTGCCTGTATGATCATGGATGCATCAGCAGTCCGGGTTCAGAGCGGCGGTGAGCTCAATAAGACTATTGGAGGTCAACATGGTGGTCACCTTCAACGTAAGTTTCTAATTACTGAACTTCGCAGCAGACATAATAGATGGAATTGTTCCATTAGTGAGAGGTGCTACCAGAGCGGTTGCAGTCTCCCGGTTTCCAGGGTCATGGACATATTGCAGACTACCACTTAGGTAATCCTGCTAGGATTAATACATCGTACAAGCGAAGATGCCTTCCAGTCTAGTTAGGAGACACATTTTTTTCACGCCATTCTACGATTCAACGATGATGTTACAGCCACAGTATACCTAACCGAGGAGCACATCAATGTCACTGTGAGTGTATGACCTACGCTGTACTTACCGCAACTTGGAACACTTGCAACCCGTTACTCAGAATTTACACGTGTGCGGCGTAGTCCTGCTGATCTCTTGTTCGCACCTTTCCTATCGGGGTCTCACGTCGGCGACTAAACATGATCCTGAGGCATCCGTATCGCGGGACGTTTGAAAAACATGGTATAAGGCTCACGACACGTCCCGGCGCACGCAATCGATCGAGAGGACGATACCCTGCGGCTTCTATTGCGTGCGAGTTACATGCTCAGGATTCTGCACGTTGCTTCAATCAGTGACCAACTGCGCATCCGAGGCGTAGAAGGATTGAAGGGAGTTGGACATGAGAAGTGATGTGGAGCGCGTGTCTATGCACGCCATGCTACGTCTAATTTGCTGGTTCTTCGAAGGCGGAAATATGGGATCATTGTGGAGCGGCAACTAGGCAGTGCACCTCTCCTTGCTTAAGGAAGTGGGGATACGCAATGCGGCACAGTTCGGGTATTGAAGCCGGCCGATATCCTTCTCGAATGTGTTGGCGAATCCGCGATATAAGATTGTATTTCAAGCAACCGAAGATGTGGATCTTCGCTACGGTGAGTCATGGCCTTCGGTGATGATTCGCATCGTCCTGGCCGAAGCGCATCCTTCTCTCGCGTATGTAGCGTGTATACTTCTGAATTGGGAGTGAAGCGAATGAAGAGTACGCGTGACAACGAAAACCAAAGGATTCAGGAGGCACACACAATGTCATAGCGACTTGGTTGAACGTCGTTCCGAAGACCTTGAAGAGGAATGTGGCACATGTCCATTTGCAGTAGGCTTGGGCTGTAGTATGCGACTATGGTGACGAGGTACTGTTCATCGAGCATGAGCACGTTACCGAAGAGTGTGATGAACTCATATGTTTCATATGACATTTCAAGAAGGACGTGAAGACGCCGAACTTCATATCCATGCCGAAGACGTGAGGCGACTGCTTTTGGGTAGACCAGGCTTTTTTCTATGCAGCATTATGGGAAGTCGTATCTGAAGTCCATGGCCGTGTCGTCATTCTTCTCAAGCTATCTCACGAAGCTGAGTTGGTTTGAAGAGAGATAAAGTACATCCAAATGAACGATTGAGAATCTGATCAAGGTTTGCATAAACTTGTGGTCAGCGTTGAAAGTTTGTTGTTGAGGTTCCAAGTCAAAAGTACTACAGTCGCGGTACAAGTCAACAAGCGCTGACTCAGAACTGGTCAGACTTATCAAGCGGTGGCAGAATGGGCGGTAGGGTTTCGGGGGTAAGATAGTTTTGACAAAGGGTTCTCGGTTATTTCTATTCGCCTTCCATGCGTGTAAGAGGATATACAGGCATGGTATGCGAGCAAAGAAAAAGGAGATAATTCGATCGTCCTGTGGGTGCTTGTCGAACAAAGGACAACTGGATCTGGGAGGGGTATTACCGTACGCTTGGAGATGCAATATTGGTGAGAAGGGCCGAAAGATCACCACCGACAGATTGGTAGTGAGCAGGGTAGTGAGACTGACAGTCGGCCTGACTACGGTTGTCCGGAACTTTTATGCAGCTTCTAGCGTTTTTTGACATGCTAAAAAGGTATGCTGATCTACTAATGTCCATCGAGTAACCCGCATGTGTGGAGTTCATTCCGTGTAAATCGTATCGTACCATTGGGTTGAAGTTCCTCCGTATGTAATGGACGATGAGCAGATGTTTTGACAAACAGGATTATTGTGGGGGTAGTTCCTCTTCTTCAAAAGCCAGATGATGCCATATAAGTGACACTCGTCGATTCGTTTGGCCAGCAAGAGGGAAAAGACCCATCTACACAGGCTCCGTCGCACTGTCCCCATTGCTCTACGTATCAGGAAGCTATCAATGACTGACCCGTTGACTTCTGTTTTATGTGGGTCTTGAATGTGTTGGCTTACCAGCTGGGTGGTAAGTTCATGTATGTTTGTGCCTTGGAAGACGACATGCAGGGCTACGTGCGAACATTTGTCAAAGCTCACTTGCGCAGGCGGTCATTGGATGGCAGAGATACCCGAGGAAGACGCATGTTTGACACATGATAGACTGAATGATCAGGACAAGGACAAGGAAGTGCGAGTCGACAGTGCACGTCTTCCTGGGAACACGACCACCGTAGGACACATACTCAAGGGTCAGCGAGAATCTGATGCATGTATAATGTCTTGGAAGATATGCAGTTGCGATGCTTACCTGTGGTAGGTGCCGGCGATGCAGGCCGAGCGGAAAGTCATTCAAGAGAAGAGCACAAAGACCGTACCAAGCAGGAAGCGATGAGAACAACCATCTGGGTTGAACAACCCAGTCAGGATCCGTGTGCATCAGATAGCGCCTCATGTATTATGTGCAGCAGGGTAAGAAACGTCATCTCCCGCTTCTGGGCTATATAGCGGATAGTATAGAGTGATCCGAGTAACGAGAATGTTACGATGGTGAGCCTTGCGCAGGCGGCTGGAAGGATTCTCAGCTCAGGGTTTTCTTTTGTGTAACAGAGAGCGTGTGAAGCGAGCCCCATGATGCATGTTTCGATACGAATCTGCTACAAATGTCAGAAGTCTGTCTAGCGAGGACAAACCCATATCGGGAATGTTGTGAGAAGCTACGTTGTGGTATATGCTGCAAACTGCGGGTGTTCAAGGGTCGTAAGAACCACACCCTATTGGGCTGCGCCCCTCCGTGCAGGAAGCGATAGACAAGCACTTCAAGGCTGCGAAAGCGCCCACAGCGAGCGCGTTCAAGAGTATCAAGGCGGTCGTGCTGAAGCTTGGACCGTATGCGGATTGTCCACTGGTTCGATCTCTACCACAGGGTATCCCTTTCACTTCAACATGACTGGACACGTGCCTGGAGGAAACATCGTGGAGCATCGGTTAAGTGCCGAAGGATTGTCGCCTCGACGAGCACGCGCCGGCACCTGCCACCATTATCGCGTGCTGGATCTTCACAACGCGCTAAGCTTGTATGTGACGATGTCGACATGGTCGCGGAAGGAAACGGCAGTCTTGCCGTCTCTGTCGCGTAGGGAGGTGGGGTGAAGGAACACAAAAGTGGACGCAAAGTTCACCTGGGTACCCAGCTTCACCGGAAACGCCATCTACGAACAGGTGCAACTGCACCGAGACTACGAGTCATTTCCGTATCTCATCTCGTCTGGATCAGTCTTCTAGATTGAGATGGCGATATGATCCGGCGGGTTGGAACAGGAACCAACCGCTGTGCGCGGCTGTACCGTGTATATGTGATTAGTCCATCACGTGTGACGTAACCTCCTAACCCGGTGCAGTCTCCCCTGAACTACCATCTTGGCTGCGCAACCGACAGCCTGGAGCCGGAAACTGGTGGAGAAAATCAGCCAACCGAAGGCTGAGATCTATCTGTGGCGCCGTGTCCGACCACGGTGCTGGTCGTAAGCTATGACGATTTCGGAACATATCCCTGGCCAAGGCGCTCGCGAGGGCGTTCAGTTTGCGTCCAGAAGCAAGCGGCCTCGACAATTCTTGCAAAGGGTGTCTCTTGGAGTCATTAGGAGCACCATACCTTCCGCGATTGCCCGGAAGAAGGACTCGTCCCCGGTGGCAAGATACACGCCGTTGTGGCCATCGCACCTCTGCTCGAATTCCAGCCCTACACAGTGAGAAACGAGAGCGGATGAGATGTGCGGCATGGAGATCGTCTTCATGTCCTGCAACATGCACGCCGTTACCAGTGCTTCGGGTATAATTGTCATGGAAAGGGTTCGAGAAGCAGGAATCACACATGGATTGACGCCAGCTAATTGTTGCAACACGACACGAGCTAGCCCTGTTTAATATGGTGTGCGTCTGTAGGATCTCGAGGCGGACACCTGACGGAATTTGCAATGCGACAGGGGCCAGAAGTTGAAGCCCAACGTGCTAAAGTCGAGCGCAAACTCGAAGTTGCGCTGCAAACGAGGCCTCGCATCGAAGGCGCCATAAATTGCGCAATGCTGGTCTCGCCATGCCAGCCCGACGTGTATGGTACTTGCACACTCATGGCTGACGATCAGACCCATCACAAATCTTGTGCTGGGATGCGGCATCTGTATCGTGAGGCGCTCCACATGCTCACCACCCCCACGGCATGCGCGGGGAACTGTGACCGAATCCTAGTCGTATTGCTCAATGTTATCACCACGGCAGGCCGAGGGCTACCATGTCACTGATTCGATCGAGTTTCAGAAGGCCGTCATCCACATCAACAAAGGCAGAGATGTCTATCATGCCGTCTCATCAACTTGTTGCTACCCCCACATGGCCACTGCAACACGTCCACATGAGGAGCACGTTCTCGACACGCACGTTTTCCAAGGCGGAAGCGATCGCTCCTTCGTGGCTGCATGGCTGCATGGCTGCATGGCGTGGGTGAGCCAATTTCTTCTGTCATCCGCAGCGAGACGAGGCGTTGCCGCCGCTGACCGTCCCGAGACGTTAGTGGTGCTGGCCGGGTCGGAAATGCAGGTGTACAAGAAGCAACCCACTGATGAGATGAGACATGCAGCAGCGGTGCTATCGATCTCTCTGGCCAAAGCGTGAGCATGGCGATCGATGCACGAGCAGCTCGGGGCGAAGCTGTGCGTCGTGTTTTGTGCAGTGCGTGTAGCGCGCGAGGCACAAGCGGCATAGAGGCATGTTTCGGGGATTTTAAATTCGCGATTGGCTACCAATGAGGCGCGCTCAACAAAGCAAAATGAAGAGCGAGCACAATTCATTTCACAACGAGCGGCAGGCGAAGGGATGATGTGCTGGGGCACATGATGAGACATGGTCGTGCGCATCACGCACACGGTGCCCGCTACCGCTGGCTTGACCGGCCCTAGCAGGGCTCGAGGACATGAGAGCGAGCCAGCCACCGGTGGGCTTTGCAAGTGGAGGAGGGAGGGCCGGCGAGCTGCAGATGAGATGACAGGACGTCTTTCCGGACTGTCTCCCGCAGGTCAGTGCTGGAGGCTGCAGGGCGCGGCCACCTCGACGTCGTTCCTTGGCCGCCGCCAGCTGCGCGTTGTTGCGGTGGGGGGATTAGTCTCTCTTCCGCTTCCGCGCATCGTCACTGTCGAACATGCAGTAGCGCGCAAGACGTGCGTGCGTAGCTTGCCAGCATATCCTGGCAAGCACGAAGGCACCGCCTAGCGCGTCGTCAAAGCCGCCGACAAGGCATGATGTACTTGCTGCCCTTCCTCGCGCAACATGGACCAGGCTTGACAGGGGCATATGCACTCTCGATGGTTTGCTGCCCGGTCGGCGCTCCTCCGACTATTACACCGCAAAAGCCTTATATCACACCCGGTCCTGGCGCGACCACTGCCGATTGCGGGCGTGCCAGATCTCGACTCCCAGACTCTTTACCAGTTCCCTCGACGTTGCCTTGCAGCTTCATTTCCTCCTCCACGCTTCACTTTACCACTGATCTCCAGACCTTGTTCCTGCAGCGCCCGCCGCTCACGCCTAGTATAGCATGGACGTCAGCCCCACACTGCCTCAACTGCCCTACTAGGAAATTTATCCTCGCCTCGTCCTCCTGCTTCACCGTTTGGACTGCCGCCATTCTCTGCCATCCACAACCTTTTTCGCCTCCAAGACTGTTTATTACCTTGACGTTTTCTGGGTTGTCTTCTAGGCGACCCAACCAACCAAGTCATCCTGGCTACTCAAACTCTCCCCGCTATTCGGGCCCCTCTCCCTCACTACCCACGACGCTTCCAGCCCTCTTTGACTCCCCCATACCACAACGATCCAAAACCGGACGGCCCATGGTCCAGTCAGGGCGGCCAAGGGGGCTCTGGCGATAATTATTCCATGTCCATCCTGTCGGCAGGAGAGCCTCGTTCAGAGAGGAACACCCCACAAATGTCACCCATTCAATCCTATCCCCCAATGCAACCACCGTACAGGAGTCCGCGGGAAGCCCCAGTGAATCCCCCTGTTTCACTGCCACCTCTTCGCCATCTTTCAAAGACTCCACCCACTCCGTCTGACCGAAGATTTGGGAATCCTTTTGGAGTCCACTCAATTCTGAACCCCCAGGCCGAACTTGTCGAACAGCAACGAGCTTTGAGACGCAGTAATTCTCAGATGGACTCACCATCCCCAGTCGATACACAGAATTCCCAGAGCCTGCCCTCTATCAGTCGACCCAACAGTGTAGACTCTACTCAATCTACGCAGGAAGGGCAGCAGCATGCCAGGCCATTCCAGCCCCCAGAGCGTCCTCCAATACGGTCTCTCTACCCCGAGAAAGGAATTAGGACCCACAGCTTGAGCAGATTGAACCCGCCCACGGGTACAATCGATGCACAGCAGTCGCCCTTTTTAACTGCAAGTACCCGCCCTTCGGAGATGATGACGACACAGCCTGCTTTGCCTACACCTCCAGCTGGTGGCCGGACGCACTATTTCCCAGCTACAGCTCCGACGCCCCCACCGAACATGATGCGAACAGAGATCCGCCGACCAAGCGTAAACTTCCCCCAATCTGGTAGTGCTAGTCCAATCGCACAATACTCTCCTTACAGTCAGCCCGCCTCCGTTGCGTCGAGTCAATACGACAACAACAGTACTCAAGGCCAATATGGACCAATGCGTAGACATACACCTACTCACGATTCCCGCCAGGGATCTGTATCCATGGAGAGTGAGCGTAATAGTATGATAGCCATGGCACCATCCAACCAGAGCAGTGTCCAGCTCATGACAATTCAGAGCCAGGATGGGTCTCTACACAATATCCAAGTAGAAACACAGACCGCTTCCAAGGGTGCTGATGAGAAGAGAAGGCGTAATGCTGGTGCTTCCGCACGTTTCCGTGCCAGAAGGAAAGAGAAGGAACGTGAGGCCTCTATAAGCATATCCAGATTGGAGCAGAACGTCCGCGATTCAAATGAAGATGCTGAGTATTATCGCTCCGAGAGAGATTACTGGAGATCGATTGCAATGCAAGCTCAGCCAGAACGTCACATCACCCGACCACCATCGCCTCGCCTAAGGCGTGTATCGGTAGCGCCGTCACGGGCACCGTCTTCTACCACCGGGCATGGCTCAGAAGCTTCTTATGACGGCTACGAGGAAGAGATGCGCGAAGAAGAGCGCAATGTTCGAAGAAGAACTAGCAGCTACCATCCGGCCATCGGTCCTCACCACACCGATGTGTCTGCTCCTAGCCATGAATCACGTGGTTACCCTACATCTACCTTTGGGTCAGTAAACCATGCTCCTGCTCAGGGACATCAGTACCCACAGCATCAACAGGCACAGTCCGCAGGTCCTCAGCCCACAGCCAAACGGCCAGCCTATCGCGATTCATTTCCTCCTGAGGCGAATCGGTATGAGCACCGCACCTGAACCCAAGAGAAGATCCAGGAAGGGAAGCAGTGATGCTTCTATCCTATCACATTACTTCTATATTACTTTTCTGAAACTTGTATCCAAGATGCATGTTTCACATCGCGCGGGTGGTTTCTTCCAGCTTCTGCAATTTTGCGAGCACAAATCTGCGTTATACCCTATGGCTTCTCGTTTCTGTTTTTTTTTTATCAATACTATGGACAAATTGCATCTAGATATCTCCGTCCTCGCGGACGTTTTGGTTGTCATCGTTATAATCGTACCAGGATTGAGGAACTTCGTTTCGCCAATGTACAATACTTCGTCATACGTACCACTTCGTGGGCAGCATTATTGTTTTATTCATCCGCTCGCGGACACCAAAGAGAATGAAACACCTGTTGTTGTACAAACTAGTTCCAACACCCACTATCTACCATATCAAACTACATGGTGTCTTTCTCAATACAATCTAAGAAACGCCACTGCCTAGGCCTTCGCGCATAATGTATTATGTTTCTACAACCCATTTCCCTCTGGCCTTCCACCCTGAGACTTGCTTTGCGAGGGCACCTGGCAAATCCAAATCACAATCTCACATTCGTATGCGCCCAACGTATCACAAAATTCGACCAACGAGCCTATCTCCGCTACGGTGTTCGAAAACAGACGGTCATCAAAACTGAGTTTCGGATGTGGGATGACGAACTAAGAAAAGCCGCCGTCAACTCTCCAAAATCCATATCAGGAACCGGCCCTAGCGGATGAGGCCAGAACCATACCGAGTGCAGCCTCAGGCTGCTGTACACGGCCGACAAGAAATGAGCTTAGAACTGACGCCTTCACATCATACAACCCGCATTTTGCACATAGCGTCTCTGGTCAAAGTATCCGTCGAAAGTTTAAAGCTCACCGTAGGTAAGCGACCCGGAGCGATGGACGTTGACTCCCAGACTATATGGTTTAGCAGGTCGGCAATCTTCCGCGAAGTCCAGGCCGCCGTACCCGAGTGTGTTATGATGCCTTTCTCTTGTTTCAGAAAAGTGCTTCACGTTGTTCACAAGCGCGTGGCATTGGTCGTACGCCCTCGAATGTCACCAGACATGCCACGTTGAAAAGGCGCCCACATAGCATAAACTATTGTAGGCTACGCAGACACGTGTACAATCACAACCTCGCGCTCGAAAGACCGATGTTGATTCCACTGCGCACAGTCCACAAAATCCCGTCAGAGAGGTCCGTAGCCACCTGACCATCGTGCTGGAAAGCAGCCGAGGATGTGAGCTGGCCAGAATTTAACTTCCGTGTTTCGCATACTAGATGCCGGAGACGCCTCCGGCGCGGTCCGTTGGACGATTCGGCGCATTCTCTGACCCACGCCGGAACTTTATGTACGGCATTATAGCGCCTCTATAGTTGAGGCCCTTTACTTCTCTCAACTAGGAATTGTATTATCAGTCCGCCACTGTGCGCTACTAGTCCCAAACTTCAACGGACGCCCGTCTTCCTGTCATCTTACGCGCTAGCTTGAGAACTCTGCGGATATTATTTAGAAGCCCGGTGTTGACGGTGTCGAGTGGAACTTCTCCGGTGGTCGATTTTACCACACCACAAAACGTCCCACAGTCGCAGTAGCTTGAACCTTCCTCAAAACGGTCCGAATCTCGCCACCTCCTTAGCACGGTCCAACTAGTAGCTATCCCGCTCTTGTGCACATCTTACTTCGTACAGCGATCAAGGGAACAGGATACCGCAGTCGGCCGGATTAGAAGTTTCTCCAAATTGCGGAAGCCGCATTAAGCTGACCAGAAATTGCCTACCACATTGTTTCCTCAATAGGAAAGTCGACGGTGAAATAGAATATCGACGGCCTTTTCTTCGAGACTAGGGACTGACATGTTGTTAATGATGTCCAGGCATACACTATGACGCCCTGCAGGTCTTGGACACTCGCATGACAAGGCATGTCAAGACAGGTAGGGAGTAGCCGACCTATCGCAAGCTGCTCAACTGAACATTAGCCCTGCACCAAGGCAGCACAACAAAGAACGATGCCGCATTCGTATTATCCATATCGCTAATCAATCCGACCCTTCACTTTTCCATGACGACCAATCAACACCCTCACGGATTTCAAGACTAACTGTTGTGCCGCTCTATGCACGACATGCCCTTGATCACCATCCTCGTCATCGGGCCTAACCTTAGATTTGCCGGGCCCCCGAAGCGCGCACGGCGCACGCAACATCTTCACCGCCATATCTCCACCTTCGATTCGATGCCATCACGTCCGCGAACGCTACCAGCATCCGGTGTGATGCTGACTCGCGACAAAGTTGCGGGTGGGCATACAAGAAGAAGCACTAAGAAAGTCTCCACGCTGCAGAATGTGCTGCAAGGATACAACCTAGCTTGCCCACGAGCCAGCCGCTTGTCCCGTGATCCTACGTCGTGAAGAAGAACTACCTAGGCAGAGCCGCTGTGGTGCATGGGTACTGATTGATGACATGCCGCGAGTGGGGACAGATACCCGCCCAATCAAAGGGAACTGTGTATAAGATCAGCACTCACTCACCGTTTACCTCTGCGGCGGGTAACAAGGCTGTAAGACTGCGCATGCTGCAGCGGATCCAACCCATGATCAGCCTCTGCTGTGCTTACCCGATTTCTGTTCGCTACTCGGGCCGAACGTGCAAGACAGGATAGATCTCTCGGGCTGCGTAAGCACGTTTTGATTGCTTCTATGCAACTGCCGATGGTGTTTTCACGTTTCTTGCTTCACCACCACCACCACCACCGTGCGACCTAGTCATGTTGCTGGTCGCGGGATGCCATACCCTACTGGGATGCGGTTTCCGGACTAACTTCCTCATTTTTCAGCCTTTACAGCTGATGTTTCTTTGACTTGCATGATGGAATCCATTGATGTACATCCGCGGGACTTAGGGGCTCCACCCACATCCAGATGACCGACTCTCGACACGTGTACCTATAATTCACACCGTATCTTCCTGTCATGTTGATGCAATACCATCGACGTCTTTTCTACGGGATTCGATCTGCGCTGCGCGAACGTTGTCTCTCTCGGCAGTGCGTGTGTGTCTATCAAATTACCTAGTCACGCGTTGAGTTCGCGCTCCTCCGTCTGCGCGCAATATTTGCTTTACCACATGACAATGTATCACATTCAGCAAAGCAAGCATAGCTAAAACGCTCACCGGATTGTGTGACTGACTCAATGACCTTGTAGATGCAGCGCTTAGGCAGGCACTGTGATCTTTTGCGCCTTCGGTGGCAGACAGATCATGCACATATTGCACAGCATCGCCTTCACCTCAGCAATCAAACCATGCCTTCATGTATTCACCGAATGCTCAGAACAGATCTTCTGATGTCCTACGACTTGAACAGAATTGGTTGCCGTACCACAGCACAGATACTCGCACCCTCAAAACTTCGAGGAACCTGCGAGAGTGCGGGGTAGAATTTTCTCTGCCACCCAACTATATGCGCAAGTGCTGGGTCTTCGATGCGAGTTACACAACCGATGTTAAGTAGTTGCTTGATTGCAACAACTTGGTGCTACGCATCCTGTTACAAGAAGACTCGTCGTTGATTTACCTACTGTATATACCTAGGTAGGTGGTCTTCGTAACTGGCACGGTTACCAAGAACCAGAAGAAGATGGGTACCAGGTACCAGGGAGTGAGTCATGTACAGACAATATAGACACCATCTACTCATGTTTTCTCTCAACAAAGACTGCTGGAATGACAACTTCAGCTTCACTATCAAATCTTACATAACGCACCGCACCCTCGCCAGTTCCATAATCCCGCACATACCCACACCTCATGATGCAGCTAGTCCAATCGCCGAACCACACTGCCGGGCCCCGCATGCACTTGCGCCAGCATCATCCTTGCCCGGTATGCGCATCGCCTTTCCCAGGACTCTGCACTCAGAGCCCAACCATGCAAGCCACGCGGTACAACACACACACACACACACACACGCACACACACACCGTGCCCATGCATGTAAGCAGTGACAGCCATCCAAGGACGTGACGAGGACCCGCATCCCCAATACCGTCACGTGGGCGCACTAGTCTCTTCCAGAAATGCGATGCGAACAAGGGACGGGGATGCAAACGTGTTGGCCCCGCGCTGCATATCATATCATATCAGACATCTTACTCGCAGGAAAAGCAGACCCCGCCAATCAGATAATTCTACGCAAAGTCTGGATTGGGCAGGGTAGGGATGCCCGCCAATCGCTGCGCTCCCCACACGCATCTTCTCCGTCCGTTTCGAGGGGGTGGGACATGTGGCCCCATACTATTCTTAGCAGGTGTAGATGGGAAGTTGAGGCGAATAAACCATCATAGGGATTTTGGGTTTCGGTGCGTCGTTGGACGTTCCGATCCGTTGTTCCGTTCTAACCCGCCCTTCAACCAGGCGTGCGTCATCCGCAAGCATGCAGTGCGGTCACAAGTGAGGCCATGGGACGCAACACACGCATATGGGAACGGTTGGAGGCTCATCGTCTCCATCGGTTTCACTACCTTGTAGATTATGTTATCTACCCCACACAAAATCGCATCTCGGCACCCAGGACACAAGTGCTTTCCGTCCCGTAGAGATTAAGTTTGGGGGGAGCAAGAGCATAACGCGGCTCGCGCGAATCGCTACAAAAGGGCAACCGACACGAAAATGGCCATGCAGGGTCCTCCAAAACTTTCCATAATGGGTTTGCTTTTGATAGCTTCCATGTTTGCCATGTGGAAATTAATATGCATGACACAACGCACAAGTGATCGCTTTGAGATAAAGGCGCGATAGGTGATGCTTTTGGTGGGTGGGTGGTAGAAGAGAATACACGCGCGTCGACTCCGTTTAATCCCGCTTCACAATCAGGTTCTGTGAACATCCCACGGACAAGTATTGTTTCCGGAAGCAATATGCCACTCCGTACACACCACTAGATGCCTCTGTACAGGAGTACTCACGCCACGTTTGCGCACGCAATGTGAGACTTGCAGCCAAGCGGCACTGCTACCCGCCCGTGAGATCTCGCATGCTGTGCATGTCGCTACAACCGCTTGTATATGCCGTTAGACGAACCCAGATATTGGACAGCACAGGCTCTCCAAAATGGGAACGAACAGGCCCGTCTCACACACACGGAGATTCGCGAGACACTACAATTCGCCACTGGTGTGACGGCTGATGACGGGCGGCATGTCGTTTAGTAAACTGGCGCCCATGAGGCTCTCATCGGTGTGCAATGCTGTGTGGACATGCGCAAGTCGACGTTGTATTTTTCATATGGATGTTCTGGGAGAATGCAGGCATGATCTGATCTGTGCAGGAAAGTCAGGCGCGTGGAACAGCCACAAGGTTGCATACACACCAGTCTTCAAGGCTGTCCTAACGCGGCCTTTGAATACCGTCGCTGGTATAAGGTCACTGCGACGGTGATGAGTATTGGTGGTTGAAGTAGATAATGGACGTAAGACAGTTGAATCGATACGGCTTAGCGTACTACCAAAACAGCGAAGTGGATGATTCTCGACACCTTTCTATCCGCCTGGCCTTACCAACGATCCTGTACCAGATGTGCTGCAAGATGCCGACGTAGCTAACGATTTCTAAGTGTCTATGTCGCTACATCTAAACAATTATCGACAATCAAAGCCAGTGAACGCCTTTAGCTCAAACTACTGCAGGGTTACGCGCTCGTCGAGCTCAACCACCATTAACTACAGGGGATGTCTGAAGAACTTGGTCCCTGAAAAGGCTCTACTAACATGCCGATGGCGCACGATCGAATTGTTGGCTTCTACGAAGATCCCGTAGACAGCTTCTCTCGCCCCGTAAATACTGCAGAGAGCTGGGCGGCCTACCATTTCGAGATGCATGCTCGGAGATGTGCATACTGTCACAATCCTTACGAAGTTCATCGCAATCACGAACAGTTATGTGACGTGGGCCATGGTCTAGCCCAACAACTAGCCAGGTAAGTCGATGGCTTTGAGGCAACAGCTTAGTAGTTGACATTATGAATTATAGATACATGTACATGATATCCAATGGCAAAATTTACGGTACTGTTGAGGAAGACAACAAATTGGTTCGCCTCGAGTTGCATGCCGGATATGTAGAAGTCCAAAGTCTCCTCAAAGGTATCGAACGCAGTATACGTCATAGGTCGCGGAGACCCTTCGTTAGTATGGACAGATTCTATTATGTTTCTCTGCAAACGGATCTGGTCTCTCCAAGAAGGTCTCACACGGTCGAAGTTGAGCAAGAGTCGACGAGTAAACAGAGTTCTCAGTCGCGCGACAGTGTGATCGTTGATTGGCCATCCACTTCGTCGCGGCAACAAGACTTGAGCAAGCGCCACCCCTCTATGGAGCACTATGATGTGGATACCGGTGAAGAGATCCCACCAGATACCTCTGATCAATTTGAAGCTCAAAACATACAGGAGGATTCTGGGAATGGATTCAAGGAACTATCTTGCATTGGTCAAGATCTAGACTCGCGTTCGACCTACACAGCGAATACAGATGATGAAGATGAATCGGGTACACAGAAAGCGACGCAAGACATGCCTTCATACGGTTCAGGCCAGTCCGTAAGCTATGATCATGAGGACAACGTATCAGTTACATCGTCTGACGAAGGTTCCGTGTTTTCCGTACCGTCTCTTGCTTCATCTGCTAGCGAAATATCCAAGGGTAGTGGATATTCGGCAACACAAATCGCCATAGCAACCAAGGAGGTTCTGTCCATATTTCGAGATGATGGAGTTCTTCAATCGCTCTACACAAGTGCAATACACGGTTCTGTTGGACCACGAAAATTCAAAAACACATTCAGACGGCTGCTAAAAGAATTCTCCGAAAACCTCAAAGACGAGGCACAAGATCGCTTGGACTTTCTCGCTGCTCGTTTGGTGGCACTGAAGGCACGAGACATCGCGGACTTTATATTGGAAAGATACCAATCGGGCCATGCACCCACACTAGATGCAGCTGATGGGGAAGGACATTTGCCCTTGGAATACCCTGATCAAGACTCCTCAGATGGAGATGAACAAGATGAGACGTGCGTTGACGAAACCATATTCGATGATCTTACGAATGTGCGAGAGTTTCTGATCCAGAGTACAGCATTCAAGCTACTTCAGATTAACCTGCAGCGCTTTGTATTCTCGAAGAAGCCGTCACTTACGGTTTCGAATAAGCAGGACTACAAGATTCACTCAGAAGAGCGAATAACTCAATTCCACGAAGTCCTTGACCTGCTCTCTCAACCCTCAAGACTTAGACAGACTGCCCTAGGCGATGACTGCATTGGCATACTACAACATAATCACGCCCTACGCCAGCTCCACACATACACCTTATCTGTTTTGGGGGAGGGCTGTTTCGTTACTGAGTACTCCGAATTACTGTCCTGGAGCTACAATGTCCAAAACAAGAGTATTCAACACCATTTGAGCACCCAGATGACAACAGACTGGACGCCTATAGTATTAGACATTGTTAAGTACTTGCAAAATGTCGACACTTGCAACTCAGACCCCAAGGGCCAAACGCTGGATAGGCAAGCAGACACGAGTTTCTTTCAGGATTTGATGACCGAGAAAGTGAACTCCGATTGTACTACAGTTCTAGATCTTCTTAGTGGAGATCTCGCACTTTTGACTTTACGCAGACCACTACGGGAGGCCATTGCGTCTGCACCGGAAAGTACTATAGAATTGTCTTCCGGGAACAACACATCTCTCTTGAACAAGGCCAAGGCCTTCTTCGAGGATTATACGATGGCAGAGTGGGATTGGTGGCCTTTGACCCCTCGCATACCTGATGTTGCAACTGGGGACCACCGTCTCCAGTGGAAGGTATGTTTCTTGCCTCTCGAGAGCAGCCGAGTAAGATCTCTAAGCTATGCAGTTTGGTGGAGTCCGGCTATATGAGATCGTATCCTCACTCGAAAGGAACATTATCCAATTCGCCATGCGCTCATTGCCGCAGCATCCAAGCCAATGCCATTGCCGTGGTGTCAATTGCCCTGGCAAGGCTTCAGATACCACTTCTCAACAAATTCCCGATTCTATTCCGAGACTGCAAATTGTTCCAAGACTATGGAGCATTGCAGCAACGTTGACCAAGTCCACTGCTAGTCGATCGTCAAGCTCTTCAGTATCATCGAAAGCCAGTCAACGCTATACTCCCACAAGTTCCTCTGCGGTGCCGACGTCAACGAATAACTCTCAGACTGCTGGTGAAACTGATACTAACTCTCTGGCAACTGGCAATGACAACTCATCACCACAAACTTCTGGTCAATCAGCGACGGTTCTCCCAGCCACTTCTCCAGACCCATCAAAGCGTGTCCTTTTTGCCGTGCAAGGGTCGCGGTGGTCTTTGGAAGTTGAACAGATCAGCATCACAACTCTGCTGAATGATCCTATGTTCTTTCGTGAGCTCAAAACACGGTACAGAAAGCATCGAAGCTGGATCAAACGGCTCGCATCACCATTTCGCTTCCGGTTCTGTCGATTCGTAAAGGTACCGCGTCTTCTATTACTACACCTGCAAGATACCACAAGTCTAACTCTTACAGCTGGAGAAGTTTGATACCGGGCGCGTCCTTTCCCAAGGCGAGGACCTCCCAGACTACCCCGGTTTCGAGAACGACTACGAGTACGACCCAAGACCAGGCACAAACCCCATGATCTCTCCCAAGACATTCGCGGTCTGCCTCAAAGTCTGCGATATGAATTGTAGATGGTCATGGCTCAACCCGTGGCATGATTGCGTGAGCCTGCCTTGTCGTTCATACAGACTGCGCTGTATTCCAAAGAAAAAGAGCGAGTTTGACATACAGTCCGACGACGCCATGGCTGTTGCTTGGGGCTTGGAGGCTGAGCATGCGATATCCTTTGCGTTCATGGCGGTATATCATCTCGTTCCGTTACTTGCTGCGTTCGGCTTCTGGATATATTGGCTGATGAAGTTTCCTGGCGATTGGCAGAATGCAGCTGTGCCGGTACTCACGGTTTTGGCGCTTTTCGCAGTATTATGGGTGCCTTTTGGCAAGCATCTTGGGACATCCTAGCACCAGCCAACAGTCTCGCCTTGTTACATGTCACTTGTCTCGAGCGAGAGTGGGACCATGCACACTTTGACACGCGATCATACCATAATGATGTGATAGCCCCGCCACACAAGCCCCTTTACCGTTCTGACTTAGGTCGGTGTTCAACATGCATAGATGATCGTGATCTGTTTGACACACATGGTCCATTACACAATTACGCATTGCATGCATATTGCTGGGATCCAAAATCCCTGGCGCCACCAATGCATGCAATAAGCCTGTTCAACCGACATGGCAACGGAGAAGGAACGCGTGGGGGCAGCCGAGCCGAACGTGCATAGGTTACACGGAGGCTTCCCCCGCTGCACGCAATATTTCATTAGGATAATATGCATGCAACGTCACAGCAATGTGGTCACCGCGGAGATGCTTGAAACACGTGGATCGGAGTAAGGCGATGATAAGATAACGTCTTACTTGCTTCATCCGCCACCCACACCGAACCGAGTTCGCAACGTATTGAGCCGCCGCAGCGTCTCGGGCATGTCGTTGTTGCCGCTTTCGGTGCGCGTCAAGCGGTAAGCCGAGTAATCCCTGTTTTCCTGAAGGAGGGTATCGATGAGAGTAAAGTCACCAATTACACATTGACCGGAACTGAGAAGTTCAACAGCGTCCATATGGCCAGACTCAGAGGATGGCAACAGGGCATCCTCCTCGTTGTCGGGATCTATGCCCAAATCCGACAAAGTATCGGTTCGGTGTAGCACACCTCGCTCCTCGTCATCGGCATCTTGGTCCCGGGCCGCGTTGTCATTCACCGCTGCCGAGTCTGACGTGGTTCGGGTGTTGGTGGTGGTGGTAGTGGTGCTTGGTGCACCCCCACCAGCTGACAGCTTCGCTAGCTTCTTCTTCAGCTCCCGCCTCTTGACGTGTACCGAGACCATAACGAGCTGCAGGAACAAGATGCACATGTCAAGGGCCCCAAGCTTCCACCTGCTCGTGGGTCCCTGCTGCCCGATGAAGTCTATCATCAAGCCGCCATGCAGATAGCCTCGGGTGTCCTCGCCAGCCGAAGGCGCGGGATATGTAAGATGCAGGAGGAAATTGACTCCAAACGAAAACAGGAGCAGCGGCAGAAAAGGCCGCGGTTCGTCTGGTGGGCGGGTGAGGGTCGCGGTGTCGGGGATCGGCGTCAGTAGAAAGCCATGTGTAAAGGTCTTGAACAGAAGCCAGAAGAATGAGCAGCTGCGGCCATGGTTAGCGCAAAGAAGCAGCAGCAGCAGTGTGCAAGTGGTAAGCGTACTCCAAGTGGTAGAGTGTGATGAGTTCCAGGTAGACGACCATGTCCAAGTCGCGTAGAAGCTCGCCCAACATCTGGATGCGCTTCCTCTTCGCATCCAGTCTTCTCTGCTTGGTTGCCTTGTCCTTCTCGCGCTGTTCAGCCTCCTCAAAGCGTGCTAAGGCATCCTCCAGATCGGCCAGGTGGGATGCAGCATCATTCTGGCGCTGTGGAGCTCGAGACGACTCGGCCTCATCGTTCATGGCGCAGCGAGAGGAGTTTTGCCTGCCGCCCCGTCTCTCATTGAAGGCGACGTGGTAGGTTGGTGTTGGTAGAGATGCTTGACCCAGGCAGTCGTTGTTCGCGAAGCTCTGGTGATGTAGGTACAGCTGCGCGCATCGGGCCTGGAACATCAGGAAGGGCCGATGGCCGAAGTGGTGAGATAATCGATTGCTCCGCATCTTGAAGCCATACACAACCCACTCTGCACGTGTGATAGCGCTTCCAGAGCTTCTGTACAGCCTCAGTTTGCGCATCCACACATAGCGCCGTGCTCCAAGACTGCAGGTTCGTGCAAAGAACCTGCCACTGTATTCACATACCCACGCGACTCCTCCGCCACCTCCGCATCTGCATACCACCCACCATGTCTTTTGGACCTCCAAACAGCGCGCCGCTTCCCTCTTCTTTCGATGAGAATGCGTATGTAGAGACTCAGACATTGAATCATGTGCACATGGAATTCGTCTACTAACGATTTGCTCAGCGACTTTTACAATGAAAACACCATCGACAAGATATGGAGACGCCTTCGCGAAGAGCCCCTCGTTCCCCTCGGCTGCGGTCTCACCGTCTGGGCCATTGTCGGCGCCACCCGCTCAATGCGAAAAGGTGACCACAAGATGACCAACATGTACTTCCGCCGACGTCTATATGCTCAAGCCTTCACAATCGCTGTACTGGTAGCAGGAAATATGTACTGGCAAAAGGATCGTGTGAAGCGCAAGGAGTACGAGAAGCAGGTTGCTCAGAAGGAGCGCATGGACAAGAGGGACAGGTGGCTGAAGGAGTTGGAGATGCGAGACGAGGAAGACAAGGCCTGGAAGGAGAGGATGGCCAAGAAAGCGAGGGGAGCAGCAGAAGAGGCCAAAGGTGTCACTGACATGGTGGCCGAGAAGACAAAGGAGCTGAAGGATCAGACTGTCGGCAAATAAACATGAGAGGTCATAAAGAGCTCAGCTACGGTTGAAGATGGTAGCATCACGGGGATTGCTTTCAAGAGGAGGATTATAGAGGGACGAAATGGAGTGCATATCGCCCTTCGAACGACACACCCTCGTTGTATATATACTGCACACTGTACGAGTATGGTCTGGGAATTTGGGACCGTTCCATCATGAGCAATCTGTCACTTCACGAACTGTAACATAAAATAACACATCATACCCAATCACATATTCACATTTTGTCTATACTGCCGCTCGCCACTTCAAATTGACATTGAACAGAGAGAACAGCATTTCACCTCGTTGCTGTGAACAAGAGTGGTCTATATATTGTGGCTTCAGTTCATTGTTCTCTCTGAGTCAACCCCCAACGTCTGCCATGATACTGTCCAGACTCGAAATAGCAATGTCTTCTACCCCCTTAAATTCAACGCCATGCTGCGAGCAGTGCGATACGCCCCGAACATACGATCAGTTCATCGCAAACCATACGACTAGCAAGCCACTAGGACTGTTCGAAGCGCACGACGTCTGTGCCATTTGCCAATTGCCCTACGGCAGCGAGAATCTCGCCTTCGAAATGCTCGACATGCCACTAGAAATCACGAATATCTTGGGCTGCAGACACGTCTTCGGATCTGCTTGCGTCAAACAAATGAGTTGGGATAACATAGATGGGCGCCACCAGTGTTGTCCACTCTGTCGAACAGAATGGTGGCTGGAACCAGATCCCTTGAACTGCGATATAACCGACGCTATAAACACAGGAGATCCGAGAACATAGCCAGAGACTTTCAAACCGACTATGGCACAGCTAGGCATCTTCTGTACAACGAGCCTGAGTATGCTGATTCGTATGTGCCGTTCGGACTCGAAGAGCTGTGGTCGAAGCTCAACCTCACCCGTATGATAGGCAGTGCTTTGGCCACGGAGGCGATACAGAAGCGTATACAAAGACTGCAAGAAGGGCGTATCATTTCCATAGCTGAGATCGCCTACCACCCAAAGAAGGTCCTGGAGGGAAATTTAATGGTTGATCCTTTTACATTCAACAACTATCACCTACCGATAAACAGTATGAAACATGCTATCCTCGGGACGCTGGGGTCGATGCGAGGTTCCCGGCTCTGGCAGATGTATAGAGATGTGGTGCCTCAAATGAACGGGGTTAGAGATGAGTCCTATTTGGTAGCTATCGAGGATGAGTGGATGAAAATGTTTCCAAACGATCAAAGAGATTGGGTTGGACTGGTACTCAATATTCTCTGGATAGTGGATCTGGTCACTCTAGAAGAAGACGCTTTAGAGGACACGTCACAGGAAGCTTGAGTGAGATTTGAGAATATCGTAGCGTAGGAAACAGGTCCCCAAATATCATTGACTGTATATATGAGTAGTTCTTTGAGACAGCAACGACGAGAATGATGTCTTCCTGGATATGTTTGGTGACCACAACGTAGTTTGACCGATGTACTAAGTCTGACAGGTTGTGCTCGCCATAGATGTGAATGCATAGGAAGGAAGAGAAACTCGAAGCAAATTACTTGTTTGAAAACAAAAAAAGAAGTTGACCTAGCATCCTGGTCGCGATAATAATGGGCGCTGAAAGTCTGTAGTAGCCAAGCTGAGGAAGAGCATGGAGAACTAGCGCCGGAACATGCCGCCAGAAGTCTTGGCAAAGGACACGCTTACGTCTGTGTCGGCGCAGCGTTGACAGCTCCGCGTTCACTCTTTCCGAATCAGCAACGATGAGGGTTCTCCAAGGTTTTGTTTCTTCCCTCTTACTCTCGGGCGCGGCCATTGTGTCTGCAGCTTCTTCCTGGAGCTTTGAAGATGCTACCGTGACTATTTCCAGCAAAGGTGCTGGTGTTGGCGGAGGTTCAAAGGACAAGTGAGCTCAAGCTTGCATTCGGTGCAACGGTTGCAGGACTAACCATCATACAGACTGAGTCCCTCGACACCGCTGGGTAAATCTGTATCTTTGGGCGCGACCGATACGTTGAAGCTTGTCCTCACAACCCTCGACGGAAGCACTGCGAAGCGACCTCATCAGGCGTTCCTTACTCTGACTGAGCCAACGACGGGCTTGGAGGAGTCTTTTGTGTTCAATGTGAAGGACAGTGGCAAGGGAAAGGTGGATTTGGTATGTTGTACGTGCCAATGGCTGGCAGCACAGCTAACATCTCCAGTCTCACAAAGACCTACCCCACCAATTCTTGACCTCTGAGAAGCCTATCGTCGCATCGATTGTCATCGGATCGTTTGGGTCTTCCGCACCATACAAGAGCAAAGCGTTCGATCTCGCCGTTACCCGCGACCCTAGCGTCCCCCTCAGCGTCCCCGCGCCGCCCGTCCGCTACGCCGCCGAATCTGAGATTCACCACATCTTCCGCGATGACCCCAAGTCTCCACCCAAGATCATAACGATTGTCTTCGCGGCTGCTGTTGCTGCTGCGCTACCTATCCTGCTTGGCGCGTGGGCTATGCTGGGCGCAAATGCTAATCATCTTAGCAAGGCGCTTGGCAATGCACCTGTCTCGCATGGCCTCTTCTATGGCTCCATACTGGCCATGGAGGGCATTTTCTTCCTATACTACACTAGCTGGAACCTCTTCCAAACTTTGCCAGCGGCAGCTGTCGTAGGAGCTGTTGCCTTCTTGAGCGGTAGCCGGGCCCTGTCGGAGGTTCAAGAGCGGAGACTCGCTGGACAGAGATGAACAAAGCTCAAAACTCGGTCTGATCATGTACGTTGGATGTATAAAACTTAGATGTAAGAGGAAACGCCAGAAGAGGGAGACGTCACTCTGAGGTATGAGAGAAGGCAATATTGCGAGTACTACCACAGAAAAGCATAAATGTGGAGTAGTCTGCTTAAAAGTTATAGGCTGTGGCTTCACTGCGATTGCAATCAGTCCACACATGATTAACATACTCGAATTCACATTTCCTCCCTGTATTTTCTCTCACTCTCTGCATGTTTGAACGAAGCTTTGTCTCGACTGAGGGGTAAAGCATATACTCAGTGCGATTGGCTACCCAGACGTGTCAAGTGCTTCTTGTATGCAGCCTCCTCGTCACAGCGCTGCTTGGGGAAGGCGCAGCTCGATGCAGCTTCAAATTGCATCTCCCCGCCGTCACATCCGAAGTTAACACTCATTTTTTCCCCAAGTTAACGTTCCTGACACCTTCACTCGTGCGACACTCCAGTTGCATCTTACGAGATACTTTAGTGGCTACCAATAACCCGAAAAACGCTAGAAACGATGGAGGCGCAAGGCTGGCGCAATACGTCAGTCTCACTTCTCGCGGACAATATCCGGGCAGATAATGCATCCTCCCCTAGCCAAGACCAGATTAGGATTATGGATTGGTTTCAAGAAGAAGAAATGTTACTTTTAAGAAACCTTTTTAGCGTAAAGCAGACATTCTGCTAATATAAGAAGAAACAAGCCCCTACTAGTAGTTTATAGTTATTAGCCTATGCGGGTTTTCTGCAAGTGTAGGCGCTACCTAGGACAGAGGAGAGTCTAGTAAAGAGAGATTACTAATGAGAAGTTAAAATCAGCATATTAGCTGAATCCGCAAACTACGCATGCGAATACCGAGAGGGAAAGCTTCTGATTTGGAAGGCAAAACCACAAATATCACTATACCGCATTGCTTTGAACTCTTTGGGTAGACTCACTCTTTATAGTCCCGCTAAGAATGGTTGAAAAAGCTCTATTGACTATCTCGAACTGAGGGCCGAGGTCTTTGCTTTCTAAATCCAGTTCAGTAAACCATCGGCATTCTCTCGTCCTACAATACCCTCTTCAATTATCTGATCCAACACCTTCGGCACATCTGCACTCCTCGCCTTCCAAGTCTCTCTCGACATTTCCGAACCACTCGCCACCGTCTTCAATATCTCTGCTACAACTGCCTTGGCATCTGCCGTGCTCCGCACTCCAGTCGCACCAGCTTTCTCTGCGTAGCTTCTACCTCCTCGATAGAAGACGCCAGCATTGGAAACCAGAGTTGGTCCGCTCTTCGCCCAAGCAGGCTTCGCGTTTTCGAAGAGCGAGATCCGGAAGCGGAAGAGATCGGTATCACCTCTCGCTATGAAGACATCGGCCAGTCGCGATGCGGATAGGATGGAGGTGTACGGTGCAGCGGATAGCTTTGTAAGCAGATTTTGGGTCTGCGTGAGAGCTGTCCATTGGATATCGATATCTGTGCTGAAAGTGGGTGCTGATGGAATGTATTGAGTGCCATCCGCAAGTGCTGAAGCGAGATCCATGAGCGCGTCAGCATAGGCGGACTGAACGTTGGTTGATGCGAGATCAGGACTTGAACGTTGTCCGGCGTTCTGTACCATGTCGCTGAAAATTTGCTCCACGGTTTCTGCATACTCTGTCGATGTCGTTCTGCCACTACGGTATTGTACTTCCGCTACGCTGGCCTGGAAACTGGCAGACGCGAGGATAGCGTCATCTTTGGGTGTTGTTGTAGCTTCTTCTGGTGTAGAACCTATCGAAAGTGTTGGGCCTGCTTTGGGCTCATCGACAGCTTTCGGGGCTGGTGACTTGTCAATAAGGTCTATGAGCGTCGGAATTTTGTTCGTCGCTGTATCTATTCCATCTTGGGCTTTCTTCTCTATGTTTGGTAGGTCTGTAGCGGAATTATACAGTCCTAGTAATGTTGTCAATGCACTAAGTTGCGCCGTGCATGTTTCCAAAATGCTTTCTGGTGTCAGCGGCTCTTCAACAGTGGCCCAATCGCCTGGGGCCTCCGAACCCCCCGAATCGGTCTCCGTGTCTTCTTCCTGCGTTTCTGCTGGCTGTTGTCGCTCACCTTCCCAGGCCTCCTGGTACTCACCGGATGCTTGGATCTTGGCAATTTCAGCTTGCATCTGAGAATACTCTTGCTGTTGGTTTTCCAAACACTTGGTAAAGATTTCAACCGCTTCCTCGAGTAATGGTCTTGCATCATGCCTTGCGGTAGCTTGCGGGCTAGCTTCCAGACCGGCTTCCGCTAGTGAGGTGAGCACCTGCGCGGCGTTGAAGAGGATGTCGGTGTTCGTTGGATTTAGTGAGATGGCAAAGCGATGCGACATCAAAGTCTCCTCTAGCAAGGCAATCCTATTTCCAAAATGTGAGATAATGCGCTCATCTTCGGAAATGGTGTACTGGAGATTTGCTCTAGTCTTATTAGCATTAAGCATACAATTATATGAAAAACGCCTTACTTATTGTAGGCAAGGTCGAATGACTGAGGATGACGCTTTAAGCCTTCATTGTAGGCGTCAATCGCTCGGTTGAAGAAGCGAACGGCTTTCGCGGCGTCGCCTGCGCGCCATTTCCCTGCCGCTTGCTCGAATTCATCTGCAGCCTCGAGAAAGTCATTCTCGGTCTCTGGCTCCGGCGGCTTTATCTTGCCCTTAGGCTTCGGCTTCAGAAATTTCTTCGGTGGCATAGTGATGGTTGGACGTAATAAAGAGGTTGATGTAGTGCGGGCCGTATTAATAGCTAGGTATACGTTGGTAATCGACGTCTAAGTGGCAAATTTGCGCAAGTGCGACAAACGATTTCTCAGCAAATGGACATTGCGCGAAACACAATTCTCAATCAAGCGACCTCGACAGGACTGTGCCTATTGCCATATCACTAGGTCGCGAGCTTTCTGCTGCACCAAATCTTCCCGATCGCCCCGCCCCCACTTGCCCGAGCCTCACGAACCTCGATGCTTCCACAATCTTCACCTCAACTTCTCCACGTTGAATTCATCCCACAGCAAGGTCTTGTCTACCAGAAACCCATTGTCGTCAAACACCACCCCCTCGTCTTTTAGCAGCTGCAATTTCGAGTTTTGGTTCTGTCCGCTGGGGGCTTTCTCCCAGTCACCCTTGTATCCGCCAACGAACTGTCAATATTAGTGCCGACGCTCGCATACTGGAGCAAGCATACGTACACCAGTACTGGCGATACATCGATGACACGGCACCTCTGGACAAAACGGATTGACACGCAGCGCGCCGCCTACCGCACGAGGGGAGCTGTTCAAGGCCTTTGACATGGCGGCGTAGGTCGTGACGCGTCCTTCCGGAATCATCTGGAGGGCTGTATAGACGCGCTCTTGATATGGCGTAACCTTTTGCTGCTTGGACATGCTGAGGATGCGATGCAGTTGCATTGACGCGTCTTCGGGACGTTTTACGTTGGCGCGCTCTCACGTGGTGTGCTTTCAAATTGACCACTCACAGACCAGAGTCACATGAGCTACCCAAATCGGATGTTTTGCAGGAAAAGAAAATCACTGAAGACACAGCAAGGACAGAACATGAAAAGAACAACAAGATCGCTATACAATTGGGAATCTTGCCCCAAGCGGTGCTCTCAAAAACTCGTACGAATACACACGAAAGTTGACCAGGAAAAGTCAAAGACTGATTGGAGTACTGCGTAACAAATCCTTCAAAAGGATATGAGACTCTGTACAAAGGTACCAAGTGAACTTCAAGGAGCGGTACTCCGGCACATACGCTTGGCTACCACCCCTAAGATCGCCATCAATGCTGCGACCAAGAAGTGACCAGTCTTACCTGGACTTCAGGCGCCTCGCAGGACTTGCGGTTCTCAAGATGTACATTATCCACGCAACGATTTTCTCCGCTATCGGGACCTTTTGCCATTGTGATGGGCATGAGAACAAAAGAATGTACACTCGACCGCACGATCGGCCTTCTTACTTCGCACAACACACTTCAAAAGGATACACGTCCGACGAACTGCAGCTAGCAACATCATGAGGCGTCATTTCTGGCAACCACACTCGATGACTGCCCTATAGTCTCACAGATGTCTCAGGTCGGCTTGACCACCAGCGCGGTCCAGCGTCTTTAGGTTTGGCACTAAACAGTCATCATCAATTCCGCACGGTCACCTCGCAACGACTTGCTCTGATCTGGTACCGCAGCGGGCCGAGCTCCACCAGAGCTCACAGGGCTGTATAGCACTTACGTCTGGTGATTCGTAGACACTGAAGTAGTCGCGCCGTGCCGCCCTCCCTTATCCTTCTTGCTCCGTTTGACTAACGGGTACGATCAAAGCATGAACCTGGACAGGGTCGTTATGGCCCCGCAGTGTTCAGTCTCTTACAAACACATACTGTCAACGATGTATGTCATATCTGTGATATCTACGTCGGCGGCTACCAACATCCAGCGGTTAGATTGCATGCAACCAGCAGCCTAAAAGACTAGGTCGATTCTAGATGCAAGGCATCTCAACACAACGGCTAGTAACGTCAGAATGTGTCCGGCACGCAGACGGTTGCTTTTGGGAAAGAGTCTAGACTGGATGACGATGAGGAGTATGGAAGAAACACGACTCTCTCGAGGTTCCACCAACAAAACTTTGACAGTCCTCCAAACGAAATGGACCGTACTCTGGCATTATGCTGATTATAATCATCGCAAATTCAGAACGGTCAAGCTTCGCATCGCAATCATCAATAGGTAAGAGGTGTTTGCTGATGAGACCTCTGACCCCCCTGCATGTAGACGCGTTCAGTGTCAGCGTGATATGCCGATTTTGACATCTCATTGGCAATCTCCCTTCACTAGACTCTCCTCTATCCCAGGTGGCGCCCACACTTGCAGAAAACCCGCATGAGCTAACGACCACGTGACTACTAGTAGGGGCTTATTTCTTCTCATATTAGCAGAGCACGAATGAGCGTGCAAAACCAGGATCAGCTGGTGTGGTGGATTAAGCGCGGCTCTGACGGTGGAGGGCACTATTGAGAGACCGGCCCTCCGCCCGACTCGTAAGTGAGACCGTTGAGATTAGCAGAAAGGAATATTTTCACCGTCGTGAACAAAGGACATGTTGGAATGTTCCTGATGAGTCGCGACTGGCGAGGCTTTTGATGCGTTGTCAACGTGGCGAGGCCGATCAAGCGCTCAGCCTCAAACTAACCTGAAAAGAGCCGAGGTGATGCACTTAGCCACACTTCAGCTTGCTGAAGACGGACCTTCCGGCTCGACGGCATAATGCCACAACCCAAGAAGCGAACCTGCAGGATTTTCGTCAATGCATGAAGATGGTCACGAGAATAGCAACAGGAGTTGCAGGAACCGTTGGTCGTGCCTCGCGAAAATCGCTCAGAGAAGCATGACTCTTCTGCATGGGCAGGCCGCCTGTTGCCCTGCGGGTCCTGATTGAACAGTCAGACAACCCTCGACTGTGAAGGCTTCTCAACGAATGTGCTTTCTGGCCTGTTCAAGACAGGTGCATGCGAGCCCTGAGTGCCTGTATCGGTCCTTCTCGAGTGCGATGGAGTATCCGATGGCTGATCATCGCGTGCTTTGAACGGCTGAATGCACTCGGGGGGAACACTGGTGTAGCTGGACGCATATTTTTGCAAACGAGTGTCGTCGCGACTTGACGACTGCATTTGTAGGCCACTCGCTAAGTCTTCAACTTCAGCTCTCTATCATGCCAGCCCTGTCACGAGACGAGTGTGAAAAATTGATAGCAAACACGAGGCTTCTGGCAAGGGTTGCTGAGCATCTGAAACGGCATCAAGTTGGTGGGTAAACGACGGGTAAGGGCAACCTGATAGCCAATTGGGCATTCCGCTTGGCTGGCGCGCTCCAGGTCTGTCTACGAATCGTCACCCACCATGGCCGTTCAGCAACTCAACTGGCTGCCCCCAATCTTCAAGCCAAAGACCTCCACCCGCCTATCCAGGCGCAAGCGCCCGTAATAGCCCACCATGTCTCCGTGCCGGATCAGCCCAACTTTGCAAGGCCGCCGACGCCGGTTCTTTGCAAGAATAAGTCTGCGCGTATTGAATGCGTCCGTCGCGACGTTATACATATGCAAGCCTACGCACCCCGCAACCGCAACAAGCGTCAAAACGCTCCTAACCAACAGATCGCGCCGTTGAGCTTACCAGATTCACTATACTATCGCATCAGCCAGGACTGCTTCATTTGCGCATCTGGACTGGTCCTCCGCTTTCAAGACGGCTCATCCGCGAAAGCCCCACTGAGGCGACTCACGGAGGAAGCCCCGCGCTTGGACGGTTGACCCTGAGGGAAGAATAGACGGGACGCGTGAGCAAGCTCGAGTATAATATCACTCGTCGTCTCGTTGCTCCCTGTACGCGTCGTTGTCGATTTTCCTGGTCCTAACTGCGATATCCCTGCACAGCCCCAGCTCGGGCTTTGCCGCTGCGCCACACCCATCTACGATCCTCGGGCCCGCCGATAGATGTGGCACACGAGAAAGAGTCTGAAGACCTCACCGTAACTCTGCACGGGGACGTAGGACTGCATGTACTTTGTGGCTGGATGACTTATATTGATGGACTTGCAATCTCACGCCTTTGTAATATTCCGAATCGCCACCCCCGTCCCGTTATTCTAGTCTTCCCGCCATCAGCCGCTCGCACCGTCAATTCGCTTCACGGCTTCCCGAGCTGAACCAGCTGACAGTTCCGGACTTTCGACTTTCTGGTACCCTGCGTTCAAGTTACTCAATTCAAGAGTCTTACAGGTGGAGAAGCACATGCTTTCATGAGTCTCTCGGCGCACACAGGGTTCCGTTGTACATCAATCCGGGCTACACAGGGTTACCCGAAATGGCTTCCTATAAGTCACAATACCCTCCACCTAGGAGGACGGAGGACCGGGCGCCTACTACTCGGTTGCCTCAACGATCTATTACTCCTACCACTATCACCACAATCACATCCAACCCACCTACATCAAGCCAGTCTAAGCTGCAAAAGAGAAGGCCTTCAAGGGATGACGAGTTAAGCTCAAGAGGTCTTACAGGTCAACAAGGCTCTACGCAAGCAGCCAGCTCTCGTCCAAGGAAGACCAGCCGGTCTACACCTATGTTTCCTCAACACCCAAGTGTCACAACCTCGAAACCTTCGCCACAGATCTCGACCTCAAGATTACCCAAGCTTGAAGTTCCTCTAAGTATACGTACGCCTTCGCTCGCCTCGGGCTCATCCGCGTCGACCATTGAAAGCCCTCGCTCGAATGTACTCAGGAGAAAACAAACAAGTGTTGGAGCCGCAAGTGGTCGGCAAGCCACGCGGATAAGAGACGACTCTATATCGTCCCAAGATGACAGGCAGTTGATGGAGGGCATACCTGGAGGATATAAAGATCCTTTCTCGGAGACAGTCCTGGGAATCTCTTTACCCCCATCTTCGACTATCCTAGCTCGTTCAGAAGGACAGATCGACTCGTACAGTAACCCGCTCTATGATTATGAGATTGGCCCTACAGACATACTTCCCCTCCCAACACCGCAGTACGCTCTCTCTGCAACACCCTCGACTCGATACTCAGATTCACCTGGACCTTTCAGTGTATCATCCACTCCTACGTCGATGTCGTCCTACTCGCCGGGGACAACATTATCCAGAGCCTCAAACCGAACTCGGCAAGCCAGTCCACTGCAGAGCAGGCCACCAGTCACTCGGCACAAGACTCCAGATGAAACCAACACCCGTCACCCTCACACACTTTCTACTGTCAGGGAATCCTCCACCTCGTCATCATCCGCGTCTACCGTTGTTACGGATGTAGCGAAGCACAAAGATGTCCAGTCCCCTAACGGTCTCGCCACCTTACCCCAAAGTCCTCGAGTATCTGAAGTTATGTATAGCGCAGAAGAGAAATCTCGTATCCAGGCACCTCCGGAGTTTGCTCATCTTGCTGATCAGTCGCCTGCACCGGTACCGACTGCAAGGCGACCTTCGAGACCTAGTAGAGATGGTACTCCTGAACTATCTGGACTCCGCGGTCCATCACCAATAATCCAAAGCAATATGCTCAACTTTCCGTCTCAACACAAAAGAACTCCCTCGTCTGAATCTAGGACTGGTCTCACTTATGCGAGATCTAAAAGCAATACATCAGCCAAACCTTCATCACGAAACCCTTCGCCAAATCCCGCTTCGGCATTGCCGACAGCTACCAGAGCACAAGTTCGTGGACCGACACCTGATTTCCAGCATGATCGAAAGCCACGAAGGACCAGTACCGGACCTGCACCAGCGCCCGCACCTGCTCCAAGCCCGAGTAAAACCTCTAGATTCGGGTTCTTCACGCGTCGTACCAAGACTGAGCCTACCCCAGTAGCGAAGTCTGAGAGCAAGCTTCACAGAAGAGGACCAGCTGCCGGTACTGGCCACGAAGGCTATGGAAGATATGCAGTCAGAGGTCGCAGTGGAAGCTCAGTCAGTACCAACAGCATCGGACGATCCGCTAGCGCTGGAACTACCTCTGAGAGCTTGGACAAAACACCCTCAACTCGCAAAAGTAGTATGACTAGCACAACAAGCGGGGAGGTGGATGACTTTTTCCTCAATCGCCTCGCTCCTGTCGTTATTCGAGGTACGGGGACTAGCTCGGAACTCTCAAGAAGCCCAGAACCAATGCAATCTAGCAGCAGCCTGGATGTCTCCATCAATCAAGGATTCGAACTAAACAAGACTATGAGCAACTCATCACAATCGGTATTGGAGAAGAACCGGCCAACACTGTTACCGTCCGCGATGCCAGACAATGTACGCAATGGATCTCCCATAAAAAAGATGACTCTAGGACTGCGAAGGCCTTCTGAGAGCGACGATGATACAAAGAGATCATTCCTACCTGCCATGGCCTCAAAGCGGACATCACGGGCTTTGCAAACTGCCCAGGGCCCTAGTGTACCATCAGGCTCGACAAGTCGGATCGCTGGAAAGGTTCGCAAGAACTCTATAAGTGAAGCTGCCGCTGAGATCAAGGAGGGTAGCTGGTTGAAGTCCTCAAAGAAGACCAAAGCTGAGAAGGAAGCCCCCAAACCTCCGAAACGATGGAACTTCTTCCAAAGGGCCCATGCCGGACCTCGCACGGCGACACCAGCGGCTCCTGCTGTCAGTCCCGTGAATCAAGCGACTGCTTCCCGCTCCGTTGCGCATTACGCATTGATGGACCAGTCTGGTCTTGAGCTAGACGACATCGAACAGCTAATGCAGGAGGTTGACGAGGGAACCGAGAGCGCCCTCTCTGACGATGAACCAGGAAGAAGAGAGCGAATGCAGTCTATGCTGCTTCCGCCCAAAGCAGTGATGCCGTCCAACTCTGCAGCAGCTGTACGCTCGGCTTCGCCTAAGGTCTTTCTGCGCTCAGAAGCACAACCACAGCCGGAACATCAACAAAGTAAACTAGGTATTGATACAAGTTTCCGAGCGTTATCCCGAAATTCGGAACGTTACTCGCTGGCAGATTTGACTCCGGTCACGGATCTCTCTCGACCCTCATCACCCTTTGGTGAGCCACCGCCAGTTCGTGACGAAGATCCTGCGCCACCTCTCGAAGCAGTAGCTCCCTCGCAGCCTGAGCCTGAGTTCGCTCCCGAGGTACCTGCTCAAGATGAGTTCGTACTTCCTCAGGATCTCCCATCACCTGGTCCACCGCCTATGAGCCCACCGCCTCGCCCAAGTCGCTTGGCTCAGGTTGGGCGTATTCCTCAGGTCGTCTCAAGTCGTCGTCAGCCACACCAGCCGTCTTCACAGTCATTCTCTCGACCCTTTGTATCGAATCAACCTCGTCCGGCAGCTCCTCCCCGGACATCTTTTGACTCAATTGGTTCCGTTGTTGCCTCTGCCGGTCCAGTAGAGCCATACCCTATTCTGCATGGCTTGAACGCCCTCAATCATGGGTCGGCTATAGCTACGATCAGTCCTATGGAGGACGAAGCCAACCGTCGAAGCGAATTCTTCAAGTTTCCACCTCGCAAAGACTCTGAAGTATCATACTCGAGTAGCTCAGGCATATGGAGCTTCGCCCCCGCTATTGGTACCGCTGTCGTGCCAAGTCCCAGCGCCCCGTTGTCAGAAGATGAACTTTGGAACGAGTATGACGATTTGATCGACGAAGTGCTCTCGCCTGTCACCTCTCGCACGAATGAAGACAAAAATAGCCTTCGCAGCCACCCGTCGCTCGAACCAATGCCCCTGCGACCTAAGGTACCGCGTAACGTTTCAGCATCAGACAACGACGATGAGGTTACGAACCCCTCACTTCATCTTCGTCGCTCTCGCCTACTGGCTGTTCTGCATTCCACGCAGTCTCCTACTTCGTCGATCTCTTTCTCAGAATTCATCTCAGACTACGGCGAACGGAAGATCAGTGTCATTGACCCTGTTACCGGGAGGTTGAGTTTGCCTTCCAGTCCTCAGCTATCGACTGGTACTGCTACAAAACGTTCGACTCGCTCCAGTTTACCAGCTTCGTTGTCGCAGAGCGCCCGACAATCCAAAGTCACTATTGCGTCGAAGTCGAGCAAAGATCGTGAAAGTATCGCAACAAACCGATACAGAGACACGCGCCTAATGGATATTGCCGAACGTCAAAATGATGGACTCTTGTCTATGGCCAATCTTCGTTTCGGTGCCCTCATGACGAGCAAGTGGCTCTCATTTGGTCGTGTCCTATTCAGCCCCGTACACTTCGAGTTGAAAGACCCGAACGAGGATCGCGTACTTGTCATTGATGGTCTTGGCAAGGACTGGTCGTACTATTGCGCTCTCACTTACCCTGAGGCGACTGTGTATGACATGGGCCCTGATCCATCAACAAGTACGTCATCCGAGGGTGCGTCTGAACCATGGTCAACATTGAACAACCACCGCCACATCTGTCACCCCTCTCTCGGCAAAGCGTTCCCGTTCCCCATGCACTTCTTCGCTTGCGTCGTGCTTCGCTTCCCAACTGCACTTCCTTCGTCAGAGCACCGCTTCATCTTGTCTGAGGCCAAGCGCGTCCTGAGACCCGGCGGCTACCTTGAATTTAGTGTTCTTGACATGGACTTGGTCAATATGGGCAACCGTGCCCGTCGCGCTGTCCGCGGTTTGAAGATGAGAATGCAAGTAGCGGACGACAGCATATCGCTTCGAAACATCAGTGACGAGGTCATGGCCGGTATTGGACGCAAAGGCTTTGTCGACTGTAATCGCTGTGTTGTTGGCGTTCCAGTTGCCGGCAAACTCCCCAGCCTCGACGACGTCAAGCGTACAACTACGAAGAGGAAGGGCAGCACAGCAAGCTCTGCCAGCAACACAAACAAGACTATGCCTCTGCCCAAAGGACCAAAACCGGAATTGTCCTTCTCTGACCTTCTCAATGCCTCTGCGTCCTCCGATTCGACCGACAACGGCATCACCGACATGGTGGCGCGCGTAGGTCGTTGGTGGTACTCACGCTGCTACGAGTCGCTTGTCCTCCCTGAGGCTGGCGAACCTGGTGCCGCTGCTTCCGGTAACCTCCTTGAGACTAGTATCTGGCGCGATGAAAGCCTCATCAACGAGTGCGAAAAGCGCGGAACGAGCTTCAAACTCCTCATTGGCTACGCGAAGAAGCCTGAGGTTGGTGTTCGACGAACCGTCAGCGTCTAAACATCTTTTTCGATTCTCCTGAGCTGTGCTCCCAAAGCCCAGTGGGTTGTTTCCTTCACTACTGCTCGTAATGAGTCTTTGTTTTCTTCGGTTTCACTGGCGTTCTGCTGCGTTCAAGCGTTTGATTTCCCTTATACCCTCGTTCTGTTCTTCTTTCACTTAACTGCATAGCAAATGGCGGCTTAGCATTACAACTACTACTCAGAACGGCGCAAGCCTGGAAGCATCATCACGACCACGACACGCACAAACATCTATGTAATATCTTCTTCGACCTGGTTGATAGATGCTGGCATTGGACAACATTTGGGACGATTTGAAATTTAAGGGTAGTTTGATGGAAATAATACCCGGGGATGTCGATATGATACGAAGCGCTATGTAGATACGAATCACGGTCGCTGATCGATACGAAGAATGAACATAATCTATTCCGAAACTTCTGAGCGCAAACCCTAATAAATCAAGATGGTGAAAGAACTTACAGGCAGCCCTTTACTACGGGCTCCAGGTGCCAAGACCGCCAATCTCAATGCCTACAAGCGCCCCGTGCTTAAACCACTTTCATCAACCAATCACTTCCACCATCTGCAAGCACCTTCTCGCTTTCACCTCGCCCTTCATTCCCCTGCTAGCACTCTGCAGTCGCCCAGATCCGGATCACTATTTCTTTGAAAGAGTTGGAACGCAAGCGAAAGAAGTAGGAATCACGAGCAAAAATGAATCAAAACTTCCAGGGCGCGCCTGATCGGGAAGATATCAGGCTGTTGGATCAGCTTCGTAGTCAATTGATGCCGATGATCAAGACTATGGATCGATTGCAGGCGGAAATGCAGTTTAAGATGAGCCGCGGAGAAGCCATAGATTGGTAAGTGAGAAGCGGAAAGCGGCGATGTTTACGTTGAGGTGTGGTTATGTTTGCCATGCAGCCTTGTTTCGTGCACGCGTCTCCTGGTGTCATGGTGACTAGATATGTCTCCTCGATGTTCATGACGGTATTTGTGCCGATTCCATAGTCTCTATGAGCATGCCTAAGATGCGCCGCTCTGATGGTTTCCTATTTCACAGGACACAAGCTAAAGAGACGCCAGGCCACAAATTCACCGAACAACACAGCTGGTAACATCTTACCTAAATTCAATACATCTTCTTATAAACGGTGGCTACCGTCATCAATCCAAACTCATCACCCAGAAACACCACGTCCCTTCAAAGGACGCCGCTGGTAACCCTGTGGTAGACAGCGCCGGCAATGCAGTCCTCGTTGAGCGCGACGTCCGCCGGAGAATGACCAGCATACAGGCCTTACCCCCCAACACAGCAAAGTTCGAGGCTCTTCATCCGTTTCCTAACCCTTCATTTCCGATGAACGCTGGTGGCGGCATGGCGGCGGGTATGGCAGGTACCTTGCTACGAAAGAGGCTAGAGCCCATGGAAGAGGGCTGGGTAGAAGAACGTATTCGCAAAGCATCAGAATGGTGTTTCGTGCCTGAAGAATGGGGCATTGGTCCTCGGAAGCCTGACGCAACAAGTGCGACAAAGCAAGACGCAACCGAAGACGAAGACGACGAAGATCAAGTCCCAGAGTCGGAACGTCTGGACTCGGAAGCTATACCGACTACCCGGGTCAAGAACCCACTATCTGCAGACGAGATTGTCGATTTATGGAAACATGCGCATCAGGAGGTCTTTGATCAAAAGTATCTGAGGCAGAAATACCCAGCTAGTTACCCTGATCCAGGTGCTCAGGACGCGGGTGAAGGCGAGGAAGAGGAGGAAGAAGGCGACGAGGAGGAAGAGGAAGAGGAAGAGGAGTTTGAGGATGTCATGGATACTTCTGGTGGGGCGGAAACAGCAGGACAGGATGCGGTAAAAGCGAAGGTGGTGAAGAAAAAGGTTACAGTAGGGAAGTTGCCGGTACATGAGCCGGTGGATGGTGTACCGGTGCTTTCGCTTGGGTTTGCGCACAAGTTCTCGGAAATCGGTGAGGTGTAGATGAGGGTTGGAGCAGTTCTGATATCACACGACTGAGGTTTATGCAAGCATGGTAATTGAGTCGATTCATCTAAAGTCTTCTGGGGTATCATAGTTCCTGCGCCTGACACCCTAACTCACTAACAGCAGGACTGCCTATGCACCTACTCGGGTCTGAGTGCGTACATCCTAACGGGGAATAGTTCCCTGGGCATTCCTCTTTGTTGCTCCGTTGCTACAATCTTCAGCCCCGCCTCTTGGAACAAGGCTCTGAACTTTTTGTCTGACCGCGTGACGCTCGAGTCCTCATCGTCGTAGATGTCCTTGTGGTGGATGTCGGTAGACATGTTCTCCTTGACTACGACCCAGCTCTTGCTTGTCGCATCTCCTTGGGCCGCCTTTTTCAAGCCCTCGCTACAACGGCGTAGGTAGACAACGAGTTGGGCGTCGGTCAAGTGTCCCACACACCACTGGTTCCAAATCACGTCGTACGCGCCGGGCTCAGGTATCCAGTCCTGCAAGCCTAGGTTTATGACCTCGCCCACCTGACCCTTTCTATCTTTGCTCTCTCCGTCACCGGCGTATTCTCCGTTTCCGAGGCTCTGCACCAACTCGTCTGTGAACTTCTTCACCGGCTCTACTATGTCCACCTTGTTGCTCACACCCAGCAGCAGGCCCTTTGTTATTCGTCCGATACCCGCACCGCAGTCTGCTACACGTTCCAGAGGCTGCAGGGGTTCTTTTGAGGCCTGGGATTTGCCACGGCGCAATTTGGTCAGGAAGTTGGAAGAACCCTGCAGGTCGATGCGCGAGGTTTGAGGAAAGCCGCCCAGCATGCCATTGACGTCTGGCGAGACGCTGTTCCAGTATTCGAGCGAGTGAGTAACGTCTATCGAGGCATCGGGGCGTTCGGCGTCGGGAGTCACCAGGGGTGGCTCTTCGGCCAAGTCCATTGTGGGGTCTGAAAGGGCGAGAGGGAGTTTGGAGAGAATCTGCGGAAGTTTGAGTAAGTGTGCTTGTTTGTGGGGACGAGTCTCGGTGCGAGCGTCTCGCGACATTGTGTGACGAACTTGAGTTTGGGCCGGTGCGTGGCAGCCAAAGACGTCAATTTGCGCAGGGCGGGAATAAGAAGTTGTTGGATGCGCGCGTCGAGCTTCTCATCGTGGTGGGGCGGGGTAGCTACAGGGCTGGTTGTAGCCGACTGTTGACGCCGACGCGTCGCGACTGTCCGCTACGCCTGCTCACATGATGGCGCCTGCCCCTCAACCTTCCGCGATGGGCAGGCATGTCGCGTCTCTAGTCTTGCGTGATGAGTAATTCAAACCGCCGCGATGCTGTCGATAGGCGTGTACAAGGTGGAGTTGCAACAGTCGGAACAGGCAGTTGCATGCGGATAAGCTAGCTAGCTATGGGCATTTGGTGGGCACACGCGGGGTCCACACTATCAATCGAAGCTACCATTGTCCCCGCGGTCGTCATCAGCATCTTACATGTCTGCAGCCTATAGATAGCGAGCTGTCTCCTCGCCAGCCAAGGACATGTCCTGTCTCTTCTCCGCCCTCACACGCGCCTCACTTCGCTCCAAACCATCTCCTCCTTTCAAACCCTCAATACGCAGAGCTCCCACAAGTAGTTGCCGTCCTTTGTGGAAATACTACAGCACCCAAAGCAACATGTCCGACCTCTTCGTTGAGCTGACTGCGCCCAATGGTCGCAAGTACCAGCAGCCAAGAGGTCTTTTCATCAACAACGAATTCGTCAAGTCCAAGTCAGGTGAAACCATCACTTCCATAAACCCGAGGTATGCCTGTCCGTTTTCTTCCTTGGAAGTGGTTGACATTTGGTAGTGATGAGAGCGATATTGTATCTGTATATGCGGCTGGGCCCGAAGATGTCGACGATGCCGTGGCAGCTGCACGGAAAGCCTTCAAGAACCCAGACTGGCGAGACATGGACACTAACGCGCGAGCTGACCTTCTCTACAAGTTTGCCCAGTTAATCGAGGAACACAAGGAAACGCTAGCGACGATTGAAACCTGGGACAACGGCAAGCCTTACTCCGTCTCACTGAATGACGACTTGGGCGAAGTTGTCGGTACTATCAAGTACTACGCAGGATACGCCAACAAGATTCACGGCACAGTCATTGACACCTCACCTGCCAAGCTGGCGTACACAGTCCGTGAGCCACTTGGTGTCTGTGGCCAGATCATCCCGTACGTAATCATCCATGTCGAAAACATGCCCTGCTGATCACGGCCAGATGGAACTTCCCTCTTGCAATGGCGGCATGGAAGCTGGGACCTGCTCTCTGCACCGGCAACACAGTGGTCTTGAAGGCCGCCGAACAAACACCCCTTTCTATTCTGTATCTTGGAAACTTGGTCAAGGAAGCTGGCTTCCCTCCTGGCGTTATCAACTTTATCAACGGTGAAGGAAGGAAGGCTGGTGCCGCTTTAGCCCAGCATCTCGACGTCGACAAGATTGCCTTTACTGGATCCACCGCTACAGGAAAGGAGATTATGAAGATGGCAGCTGTCAACATGAAGAACATCACACTTGAAACGGGTGGCAAATCGCCACTAGTAGTGTTTGATGATGCAGATCTTGATCAAGCAGTCAAATGGAGTCACGTCGGTATCATGTAGGTCATCTCCTTTTTTTCTAATAAGCTAAGCTGACACTGTGGAGGTACAACCAAGGCCAGGTTTGCACGGCGACTTCAAGAATTCTTGTGCAAGAAGGCATCTATGATAAATTCGTTGAAGCTTTCAAGGAGCACGTCAAGACCACCTCTGTGGTTGGCGACCCCTTCAAAGACGACACATTCCAGGGACCTCAGGTTACCAAGACGCAGTTCGACCGCGTTCTGTCATACATTGAGTCTGGCAAGTCAGAGGGCGCCACTCTTGTAGCCGGCGGAGAAGCGTACAAGAACGTTGGCGGCAAGGGCTTCTTCGTCTCGCCTACTATCTTTACTAATGTCAAGGACAACATGAAGATCTACCGCGAAGAAGTGTTTGGTCCGTTCGTCGTCATCAGCTCGTTCAAGGAGGAAGACGAGGCGATTGAGCGTGCTAACGACACGACATATGGTCTTGGCGCAGCAGTCTTCACTGAGAACATCACCAAGGCTCATCGTGTTGCTAGGCGGATTGAAGCGGGTATGGTCTGGATCAATTCAAGCAACGATTCTGACATTCGCATCCCATTCGGAGGTGTGAAGCAGTCTGGTATCGGCCGAGAGCTGGGAGAGGCTGGACTCGAGGCATACACCAACAAGAAGGTACGTCGCACCAACAAAGAGACATTCAGGGCCGGCTAACATAATGACTAGGCCATCCATGTCAACCTAGGAAACAAGCTATAGTGGACATGTATACTATGCAAAACCAAGATGCCAGTGACAAGCCTCGAAACTGTGGCCAGGTGCTATGTGTGGAGTCTTGCAAGGACACCAAATAAGGTCACATGTGCACCCAAGATATCCGCCCTTGGCGCCACGGCTTGGGCTGTTGACGTGCTAAAGGAAGTGGAGAAGGCACAAGTCAACATGAATGCAAATGTCGGTGAAAAGTGTTTGTCGTAAAGCCATGGCTCTCCTGACACGTGTGACGTTCTGCAGGTACGCGCTCAATACCCCTTGGGCAGCGAGAGAAAATGTCGCAACGGCGGGATGTGGAAAGTGACCTTGGGCGCATGTGCAACAGTGTAGTCGCGCCGCCTAGCAGCGGAGCAAGAATGCTTGCGTAAGCTCTCGAAGGCGACTAGCGGAGAACAGGGCTCCGAGGAGCGTTGGAACTGCAAGTTTATTTATTCCCACAGCTTGGGCGAACTGCTGATAGTGGGCCCATGATGTCGTTCGTGGGGTCAGTGTGAGCGGCTCTGTGAACAGGATTGGCATTTTGCAGGTGTTTCCATGGGCACGTGAAGGTGTGCAGCGGCGCGTGTACGCTGTCCATGGCAGCGTCTGTGATGTGTCGCTCAGGATGTGGTCGGATATACCGAAAAGAGGCGGTTCGCTTTGGGTGCCCAGTCGTCATCCTTGTCCTTATCTTGGCAGCCTGCTCTCTCCAACTTCGCTACTGTCTGCGGCGCACTCTCTCCACTGTGTCTGCCCCTCTCACGAGAATCACTCGAGCTGTTCCCTTGTTGCTGTCGCCACCGTCTTCTCGCAGTGCAGGTTGTGTACTGCCTCGACTTTGTGGTTGTCTGGGCTCCTGCTAGTTTGCCCTCGTTGATGCGCTAGTGGTGCTTCCAACGCTGCTATTCACCGGTCCGCAGAGCCCGAACGACGCCAGCTCGCCCACCAGCGTCACTGCCCATGCCCTGGCTCCAACTAAGGTTTGCGGCTGACATCGCAACTAAATCCCCGCTCTGCTCGCGTAGAGGCTGATATCATCGCTGCTACTACTACTATTATCACTACCACGACACCCAGTCCCATCAGCACAGCCACTGCCCGCACATCGTGAGCCTGCCCAACCCGCCCACAGCCCGCACACCATCGACCTGGCGCGCACGCTGGAAGACGATCGCTCCCCCGTCGCCTCGCCCAGCCTCGCCTGCCAGTCTCTGAGGCAGATAACGACAGCGCCGACGGAGGCACGCTTCCTTGCTTTTCTCGCTCGCCTCTACCGACCGCCCTAACGCCCTCTCTACGCGTGGCCTACCTACCTTTTCTACACATCACCTGAGAGCGTGCTTGCACTTGGCATCGTCGCTTCCGGGCATCTCTGGAAGGAACCAAGCGCACCATCGCCGCGTCTTTCACACACCAACAAACACCGCCGCTGTCGCTTTCCCACTGTATGGGAACAGACACGACTGCTCTCTTCCAAAACATACACACATACTAGACTTGTATACACGCTCGCTTAGTCCACAGTCGCCATCATGGGCAACCAGCAATCGAGCGGCAAGGACAAGAAGGGCGAGAAGGGCGGTGCTGACGGCGTGCCCCTCGGTCGCGAGTACTACCGCTCCTTCGAGAGATCGGACACCAAAGACTCTACGCGCTCACTACGCAACTCACTACGGAACAAAATACCAGGGACCGGCAAATCCGACAGCCCGCGCAACTCAGTCGCTGGTCTTAACGATGTCAACGGCAAAGCTGACAAGTCAGATGCAGCTTCCACCAAGTCGAGAGGTTCGCGGCGGGGCTCCGTCGCTTCAGCTTCAGCAACCGTGCCACCAGATGCGTCTCCAGATGTTGCTGATAAGGCTGATCAAGATCAAGACGAAGACGAACCGCAAGCGCCGCCTTCGCCTGTCCACGGTGCAACTCTCGGAACAGGACATGAAGGCGTGAGCAAGGCTCAGCGAACCGGTGAAGTCGACCACGTCTCTGACGTCCCTCCAACAGGAGCAGCACAGCCTTTGGCCTCTGCTCAGCCGGGAGAGTCAATTCTGCAGAGGAAGGACCAGCCAATACCTAGACTCCCAGAGCCCCCCGCGCCCACTGACGGTTCGGGCTCTCCCATGGAGCTCACCGCGCTCAAGACCATGGATCTCGACGATATGATTCAGCGACTCTTGGACGCAGCTTATGCCGGAAAGGTCACAAAGACAGTCAGCCTAAAGAACGCTGAGATATTCGCAATCTGCTCGGCCGCTCGAGAAGTCTTTCTCAGTCAGCCCGCGCTGCTTGAGCTCGCTCCACCTGTCAAGATCGTCGGCGACATCCACGGACAGTACACTGATTTGATCCGCATGTTCGAGATGTGCGGATTCCCACCAAATTCCAACTACCTATTCCTAGGCGACTATGTAGATCGCGGCAAGCAAAGCTTGGAAACCATCCTACTCCTTCTCTGCTACAAGCTCAAGTTCCCCGAGAACTTCTTCCTCCTACGCGGCAACCACGAATGCGCAAACGTTACACGTGTATACGGTTTCTACGACGAATGCAAGAGGAGATGCAATATCAAAGTCTGGAAGGCTTTTGTGGATACATTCAATACACTCCCTATCGCGGCTATTGTTGCGCAGAAGATTTTCTGTGTGCATGGTGGATTGTCCCCAAGTTTGTCACACATGGATGATATCAGGCAAATTGCGCGACCCACCGACGTGCCCGACTACGGCTTATTGAACGATCTGCTATGGAGTGATCCTGCGGATATGGAGAATGACTGGGAGTCCAATGAGAGAGGCGTCAGTTATTGCTTTGGAAAGAAGGTCATCATGGAGTTCTTGGCAAGACACGACTTTGACCTTGTTTGCAGAGCTCACATGGTGGTAGAGGATGGTTATGAGTTCTTTACTGATCGAGTGTTGGTCACTGTATTCTCAGCACCAAATGTAAGTGCTACTGAAGCTCTCACTATTAGGTTTCTGCTAACACTGCCTAGTACTGCGGCGAGTTCGACAACTGGGGCGCCGTTATGTCAGTCTCAGGAGAATTATTATGCAGTTTCGAGCTTCTCAAACCCCTCGACTCGAGTGCACTCAAGAGCCATATCAAGAAGAGCCGAAACAAGCGTCAAAGCATGCTCAACTCACCAGTACGTATCGCAACTGAGCTTACTGGATCTTGTTTGATTCAGGGCTCCCCATTGTATCTATAGCAGTACTGACTTTGGCTTGTAGCCCGCACACTACGCACCTCAAAGTTACTAATCTTGTACTTTGGTGTAGGATGCCGACGGTTTCCCTTTCCCTGAATCGCCAATTATCGCAAAAACGGCAACCATACCACAAGAACAAAACTTTCAAGAGTCTGTAGATGCTGTTACTACGATGATGGCGATGACAATGACGGATGAACCGGTGAGGCGAGGTCTGTCCCAAAAACTGCGACGCGTGCGAAGGAAGCCGGGGTTGGAACAACTGGGCAGTCAAGATGATGGTGCTGCCATAACAGCTCCTCACAAACAAGGACACAACAGAGCAAACACATGGGCAAACGAATGGCGACAGGCTGTTACATTGCCCACGAGCCTGAGCGAGCCACAGCTTTTGCGGCGTGCACAAGGATACATCGCAGACGCTCCGAACACGGAAAGACGGAAGCAGAAGCTTGGAGAGCAACGGACGTTGTGGGAGTCGACTTTGCCTAAGACTCCATCGGATCGTATGGGCTACTTCTCAACCGGGCATCATCTCGACCATGTGCACCCTGATGAGACGCCGCCGCTGTGAAGGACCTTGCACAGGCGTTTCAATCTCATTACCTCTTCGTTTCACTATATGTGTATTCCGCATTGACAGGCGCCGGCGCACAGCGGCATGAGGCATGAACTTTGGTAGCCTTATCGATCATTGGACTATGGATGCTTGAATTGAGACTTTTCTTTTCTTGCCATGCTCCGTTTGCAGTATTGACAGACGAAGCGCGTTGTATAGCATATAGCATACTGATGACATATCATCGTCTTCAAAGTAATCTTGTTCTTAGAGCTACCATCTTATGTTCCTGTATCCATCAAGATACTATTGCTGCATACCCTTCGAAATAGTCGTTGCTGAGATTTATGATCATGTCGTCTTCACAATGAAGCCGGACTAGGCGGTAGCTCACCCGTTGCCCAACGACTAGGACTGGTTCCCATCACATACTCCATCGTACCACCCTTCTCAAATACATCTTCCCAAGCTACCCACGCTTTGTCCCACGTCTTGCCGTTGACCTTCAGGCTCTGCACGTAGGGTGCCGAGTTTCGATCGCCACCGTCACTGAAAGTGGTAGTAATGATAATTTTATTCCCATTCCCAAGGTCGAGACTAAGCTGAGGGAACCAGGGAGAAAGCACAAGGAAGGTAGTTTGACCTGTCAGTGGATACAGACCAATCATTTGCCACTGTTCGGAACGTTAGTCACGACTCCAAAGAAGCCTAACCATGAGAATGAGATGAACTTACAAGAAGATTTCCTTCCATGGCACCAGCATCAGAATTCCCCGGTAACCCTTCCACCCCAGCGTTGTACAGCCTGCCAATCGTCCTACTTCTCTCCACACTCCGCCATTGCTCTCCGACCACAAAATTGTACAAGTACGGTATCGTGAAACTAGGTTCATTCCCCGCGTCGAAGAAACCCAATTCGAAAATTTTGTTCAACCGGTCGATGAAGCGTTCGTCGCCGCCAATACGCCGCTTTAGCTCCGCGACGTCATGGATTGCATTCATGCTGTAGATCCAACTACTGTCTTCATAGTACGCATCACCCCAGTAACAACCACCGCAGTCCGCAGGATCCTGCTTTGCGAATGACCCATTTGTATAACGCGGGACCATGAAGCCAGTGTGGTTGTTGGACGTAGCTGCGTCATCCCAGTGGTTACGCCAGTTGCGGGATCGGTTGAGGTAGCTAGATGCTTCTTGGGTTCTGCCTAATCCCGCTGCGACAACATGAAGACCGTAGTCGTTTGTGGAGTATTCGACAGCGCGTGAAACAGCGCGGGTGAAGCGAGGCGTGATGTACCCGTGCTGGAGCCAATCTGGGAGGGCTCCCCTTCCTTCTTTCGTTGAAGAATCAGGCGCTTTAGGGTCGAAATTATTTGGAGGTACGACTTCGGCGTCGGTACGCATTGCAGAGTAGCCATCTTCCCAACTTATTGCTCCTCGAACGCCTTTGATGTAGGCGTCCGCGAGCACGTTGTCAGGGTTGGAACCGCCCTGGACCCGGCCGTTGTAGTTTGAAGATCGCGCATCAGGCATGAAGCCGTCGTGTCGCCAGATGTCAATGAGGGAGCGAATGAATTCTCCGTATGCCAGGGGGTGGATGATGTGAAACAGAGCTGTGTGGCATTTGCTTGTGTCCCATAGAGAAAAAACGTCATCGTAATAAGGTTCCCCTTCGTTCCAATCGGGATTTTCGCCTGTTCGGTTTGAGGGAATGAGAAACATGCCATAGAGAGAGCTGTATACCAGCTGCAAGTCTTCTATGTTTTCGGAGGATATCTGGACTTTGCTGAGTATCTCCTCATTCCATCTAGTTCTTGCAACTTCGACTAGGCTATTGAGCTCGGTGTCTTGTGAGATTTCTTCTAGGTTCTCGCAAGCTTTGTCGGTAGAGAGGAATGAGATACCAACACGAGAAGTCACCTTTGATGTGGGGAATGTGAAAACACCACCGAGCCGTGCAGTTCCAGATACCGGCTCGCTTGTGGCGCTAGCGTTTCCGATGAATGTCCTTGATCGCAGAGGTTGCTGGTTGAACTTGCCGCAGAAGTAAATCGTCCAGTCTGGTGAAAGATTCCAACCATTGTTGTAAATTCCAGATCCCTCATAGTGACCATCTTTAGAGATACTAAAACTACCGCCTGAGTAATGTTGTTCCCAACCAAGGCCTCTAAAGCTGGAGAGTACACGCGAAACATCGACTACGATAGATGACGATGTGTTATCTGGAAAGGTGTACAAGTACAAGCCGGCATGCTGAGTAGCACTCAGCTCTACTGTGATCCCATTTGCCAACGAAGACTTGTAGTATCCTACACCTGCTTGATCCGGTGATGCTCGCGGTTGTGACAAATCTGCCAGAGGGTCCGGTACATCACCCGTAACGGGCATCTGACTTACAACACCGTATTTCGGCGCGCCTCCAGTTCCGGACTCGTGCATCATACTGAACCCGAAGATATTGCCTTCGGGGAGGTAACCGGAGTAGGCGTCAGCATTTCCATTCTGAACGTCTGGTCCAAGCTTGACCATGGCGAACGGAGCGGCAACTACGCCTGGAAACCTGTTTCCACCACCCTGTGTTCCTTGACTAGTGGCTGTGAGTATCTTAATGATGAAAATGGAACGTGTTACTTACAACACGTTGACATGTTGGCTGTAGTCATTCTGTGCCTGCACGGATACAGCTGAGATGAGTATCAAGGACCGACAAACAACCGTAAGGACAGATAGTCTCGCAAAGACCGTCATAATCGCAGTCTGCAGAGGAAACATGCTGTAAATCATTCTGTGATGGAGAGCCTGTCAAGCTGGGTAGGCTACAAACATGCGCCGTTTTGTACGTAGCTAATTACTAGTCGCATCCACACTCCCAGCGTCACTGGTACCTCGAAAAAGAAATTAAACAGGTACCAGTCAATGCTGCCCAGAGAGCTCGGATTCCAATGAGCGGTATCCGCTTGACGGTATGTATAGCGCAATATCTATCGTGTGGCTAACTTGTGGCTATGCGTGCCGTATGTGCCGTGCATGCCGATCGGTCCGGGCGGTTCAAGCAGTATAGGGGTACGAAGAAGATGAAGATAGACCAAGAGTACGAATAGAAACGACCGACAACCGTATATAATGGCCCATGTTCCGCTGTTTGTGCCGTGCTATATGCTGTACCTTTGGTTATTGTGGGGTGTAATGAGATAGCCAGCTGACCAATGAGATCTCATGATACCAACATGTGTGAGCGACAAGTCGCTATTAAGACTGTAACACCTGCGTCAACCGATCAACGATTAGGAAGGAAGGTGTATCTGACGTAGATGTTGGGAGACAACGTAACTGATTGGAAAATTACCACCCGCCTGCTCGATTACTGAGCAGCGGCTGAATTGTCTCAGTGATTTACACCTGCCGGGCCGTATGCAAAGCTACCGTCATGTAGGTAGATTGTACAACGCAACGTGCAAAAACATCATCCGAAGTCCCGATATGTTCATGTTCATGTTCGTGTGCATAGAAAGCTCGCACTAAGACTTGTTCTGAGAGAGCCTTAGTCCTTTGACCAACCCGCGAGATTCTGAACGATAGGGTTCCTGCCACCCCTTGTGATGATCCAAACGACATCCTCGTCGCTCTCATTGATCTCTTGATGCTCTGCATACGCGGGTATAAGTGCAAAATCTCCCGGTGCTAGCTCTTGTCTCTTGTTACCATTTGATCCGCTCACGATGGCGCCATGGCCCTTTGCTGCGTACACAATGGTGTCTGCCAAGTTATCAGATTGCTGCTTCTGTAAGATTGCACGAACGCTGGTTCGTGTAGAGCGGATGATACGGGTGCACGATTCGAGACACACCTTCTTCGCCGTGATGATGGACTGCAGAGGCTGTATGAGGTTTCGCAATCATGACTATCGCCGTCAGCAGTCGTGGAATTAGTAAACTATGTCGGTCCTACCAGTGCCACATAACTGATCTGACATGTTTACGATTGCAGGCATGCGAATCATGCCATCGGTCTGCGGACCATCCGGAGCCTGGATCTCGGATCCTTTTTTTACATGCACCTCTCGAGACATGGCGTATTGCAAAAGTACTGAATCGCGAACAGCAGGCAAGTAGGAGGTTTCATGACGAAGTAGTTGGAGGCGTCGAGCTATGACGCCGGCTTGATGCGGAGACCCCACACGCGACGCGTTGGAAGGATTGCCAGTCAACTTGGTCTGGGGTCCTAGCTTGACGACGTGAAATGTCGCGTCCTACCCAGGATCAAAGTAATCATGTCAACGGGTCGTCAAGCATCTGAATGTCAGCCTCTGCTTGTCGGCATGTGAAGAATGCGCGCCGCGGAAATGTCGACACGTGAGCGTCCCGATGCAGCAACCTTGAAATGACCTCGGCATCTACGCGTATGACGTTAAGTTTCAAACAGCAAGTCACCCGGTCAATGACGGCAGCGACCAATTGCAGCGCTCGCAAAGCAGCGCACGAGATCATCAGACAGCGGCTCGCTGCACTCCGAAATGCGCTATATGCGGCCGACCTTCAGCAGCTGGCGGTTTCCCCGGATTACCTTGGCGCGTGGAGCAGTTGCTGGCATGTGAAAGGATCCCGAAACTTGCTAAGCCTCTTATAAGTCAGTAAGGGTTGTCTTGTGATTAGTGACACCTCATCGTTCTGCTCTCCTTACTCGCACCCTCTCCTCCCTCTGCATATTGACAGATCAACATGTCGAAACGCTTCTCAGCAGCTGACGTCGCGTCGCACAAGACAGCAAGCGACCTATGGATCATTGTAGATGAGGATGTCTACGATCTGACCAACTTCCAGGAAGAGCATCCCGGAGGCAAGAAGAGTACGTCGGCGCTTCTTCTGCAAACCTCAAACCCAAGACTAACTATTCCAAGTTCTTTCGCGCGTCGCAGGAAAGGACGCCTCAAAGCAGTTCTGGAAGTACCACAATGACAGCATCCTCAAGAAGTACCAGAAGCTCCAAGTCGGATCGCTAGACACCAAGGCTGCTCCCCCGGCTCCTCCAGCAGCGGCTGCCCCCGAACAGAAGGCGGAGAAGAAGAAGGATGTGGTCAAGCCAGAGGCCAACTCTGGTGTTATAGCGCCACAGCCAACTGAGGCTGCTGCTGAGGAGGCTGAGCCTTTCGATGCTTATGGCGACCTAATCCCTTACGCAGACCCATCATGGTACCAAACGGTACGTCAACCTACGGACGACACATTGGCGTCGCTAACACAAAGCCTAGTACCACTCTCCCTACTTCAACGATACACACGTAGCCCTCCGCGACGAAGTCCGCCAATGGGTCGAAGAGAAACTTATGCCCAACGTGACTGAATGGGACGAAGCAAAGAAGGTACCCGACGAGATATATCAGGAGATGGGCGAGCGCGGGTACCTTGCTGGTATGCTGGGCATCCACTTTCCCAAAGAATTGACAGACCGGAGAGTTCAATGTGTGCCACCGGAGAAGTGGGATCACTTCCACGAGATGATCATTACGGATGAGCTGTCAAGAACAGGCAGTGGTGGTCTTGTCTGGGGTCTGATCGGAGGATACGGCATCGGCGCACCGCCTCTGTTCAAGTTCGGCAAGAAGGAGCTTGTTCAGCGCATTGGACCAGACATCCTGAGTGGAAAGAAGAGGATTTGTCTCGCCATCACTGAGCCTGGTACGTTCTGCCGACCTGGTTGAAATTTCCGAACAACTTACTGATCGTGACAGACGCTGGTAGCGACGTTGCGAACTTGGGCTGCGAAGCCAAGCTCTCCGAAGACGGGAAACACTACATCGTAAACGGCGAGAAGAAGTGGATCACCAACGGCATCTGGTCTGATTACTTCACCACCGCCGTACGCACAGGCGGCGAGGGCATGAACGGTGTATCGGTACTCCTGATTGAGCGCAGTGCCGGTGGTGTCTCCACACGCAAGATGGACTGCCAGGGTGTATGGAGCAGTGGCACCACCTACGTGACCTTCGAAGACGTCAAGGTCCCCGTGGAGAACCTGATCGGCAAAGAGAACCAAGGCTTCAAGGTTGTCATGACCAACTTCAACCATGAGCGTATCGGCATTATCATTCAATGCTTGCGCTTCGCCCGCGTCTGCTACGAAGAGAGCGTCAAGTACGCACACAAGCGCAAGACCTTCGGCAAGCGCCTCATCGACCACCCCGTCATCCGCCTCAAACTGGCACACATGGCCCGCCAGATCGAGGCGAGTTACAACTGGATGGAGAACCTCATCTACCAGTGTCAGAAGATGAACGAAATGGAGGCTATGCTGAAGCTTGGTGGCGCTATTGCCAGCTTGAAGGCGCAAAGTACCACAACGTTCGAGTTCTGTGCTAGAGAAGCAAGTCAGATCTTTGGTGGTCTGAGCTACAGCCGTGGTGGACAAGGTGCCAAGGTGGAGAGACTATATAGGGATGTCAGGGCCTATGCCATCCCCGGTGGCAGCGAGGAGATTATGTTGGACTTGTCAATTAGACAGGCCTTGCGGGTACATAAGGTGCTCGGCATGAAGCTGTAAACCTTCACAACATTAGTCTAAACCATATGTACCAATACCATACATCGTCTTCAGTTGCGATGTTTGAGCCTGTTGCAGAGTGTCAATGTTCAGAGTGATGGCGCCAGCCGCGAGAGATGACAGCTAAAATCGTTTCTATGATTGGAGAATCCGTCATCACTCCACAACATTAGTTTCGCAAAGCAACTCGACGACTACCACAAACATTTGCGACCGTTCATACCGGACACTGCAGTCAAAATTCAAGCCATCCGCGACATGCCGGCAGCCCTAAGTTCTGGTCGAGGGCCCCCGCGGAAGCCCCACCAGCTGCAGTTCCATCTACGGCAGTTGCTGCCCAGCTGCCGATACTATGGTTGAAGCAACTTGTGACTGCATAAAGATTACACCCCATTATCTCACTGGTAGTCTCGCAGTGGCGAGTAGTATCATTACGCCATATTTGTGGTATGTCCAGGCGTCCTGAATATAGGTCTTTACCCATACAACGTATAGATGACCAACGTACAGGGTACATCATCTCCACGTGTATGTTGTACACTCTCTGGATGTATTCGTGAGGCGTTGCAACGCGGAGAGAAGATCGTTCTAATCAATCGAACAGCAGAGTCCACTCCTTTTACACAGCGTGCTACAAGGCTGCCCCTGTAATGGGTCATCTTGGCTCTAGATGCCGACCTCACCGTAGTACTGGTAGCTACATAGGAAGCGGGGTACGAAGCAACGCCGTCAAAATTTGGGTCAAGAGCAACATGGCTCAATATATCACCATCTCTGCATCTGGAAACGAAACAGATGATGTATCATCGAGATGAACACCAATTAACAGCTGACCGGGGACGACATCTCAGCTCGCATACAAAGCATGTACATCAAATACTGGTATAAAGTTTGAATAGAATGTGTAAAAGCACACAGTCAACCACCGCAGTCTCGACAAGATCAGACACACCAGATCCTCCGTACAACACCAAATCACACCAACAGACAACATGGCTCCCGTAACCGAAGTACCCCGAAAGGTCGAATGGAACGGCAAGCAGGTTCCGGTCTACCCTATGGAGACAATCGACTTCTCTGCGATCCTCTCCCAAGAGCCTGCCGAGCTGGAGAAGCTTCTCCAGTGCTGCAAAGAGCAAGGTTTCTTCTACCTGGATCTCAACAACGTTGATGGACGTCGGTTCATTGACGACCACCAGGAGCTGTTGAAGCTTATGCATCGATTTTTTGAGTCTCCTCTTGAGGTTAAGAACGAATATGGACTGATAGCTCCTCATCTTGGGTAAGCTTAGAAACCCAGATAGCATATGCCCTCTCCATATACTTACAATTTCCAGATACGAGCCAGTTGGTTCGCGCAACGGCGTTCTCGAGGACACACGGGATGGCTACGAGATGGTGAAGGTATCTCGCGATGAGATTCAACGCGAGTCCCCTCACATTCCTCGCAACATCAAGAATAGCGGTGATCTCAAGATCCTTGAGAATGCCATCTCTGGCAACAACATCATGGGGAAAGCCATTCTGGCAGCTCTCTCGACGGCGTTCGGCCTTACTGGTGCTGCGCGCTTTGAAAACTTGCATCGCAACCACCGCCCTTCGACAAGCACTTTGTCCATGATGCACTATATCCCGTCCAACCCTGCTAAGGACGGTAACGTCGGTCACCAGAAGCATACTGACATCAGTTCGTTGACCGTACTCTTTACTGAGCAGTGGGGTCTCCAAATCCGCCCACCCGGCAGCAAGGAATTCGGCTTTGTCGAGCCCAAGAAGGGTCAAGCTATCATCAACGTCGGTGATTCATTGCGCTTCGCTAGTGGCCACACTTTCCAGTCGTGCATTCACCGTGTTGTGCCGTACAACTACAGCGAACATCGCTACTCCGTTGCATACTTTCTGCGCGCTGAGGACGAGACCATGTTCCAGGACAGCGAGGGCAGATTCGTTACAGCACGCACGTGGCACGATGAGAAGTTCTTGGCTTTCCTTGCATCGCCTGCAGACCAGGCTGCTGCTCCAAGCTCTATGTTGTTGGGCGGCATGCAGGAGGATGAGACTGATGTTTACAGCCTGCCTCAACCAAAGCCTGTTGCTGCGGACGCGGCCAAGAGCTCTACTGTCGAAGTGACCACCGTTGAGATTAGTGCTTAGTGGAAACCCCTCTGGTCCATGTGTTCCGTGGCACGATCTTACGAAATGTTCCAGATAAATTGTATATAGCAAGCAAAATATCTTGTGCAAAAGTATATATGGCTATGTGTTATCTTCAATGTCCAATGGTATCGCGATCACAAGTTGAATGTTAATTGCCTGAGAAAAGACGTGATATTCCCTATTACATCATGATTCACGCGCATACAGACACTAAAGTCAGGGGTATAAGTGCGTATGGGGAATACTCCACATAAGGCGGCATCGAAATAGAGTACATTTACTGGGATGTGTCAAACCCTGGATATTGGCTAAAAAGCGCATTTTCCGCCACTTGGCACTATACGTAACCTTCGAAAAACCTGGGTGAAATACCAATTTCACCGTCTTCAAGTACAGCATTGAGGCGACCGTCATGCTACTCATTTTGGCATTGCTTTATGCTCCCAGTGTCCACGCATGTGACAAAGAACACCATTACCGCCACCACGATCGCCATTTGGAACGACGCGATACTGCTCCTGTTTTCCCGCCAACTTTGACGGTGAATGAAAAGCTTTTGGCATCTTCCTTTGATAACACGTCTATAGCATCGTGGTCGAGCTACTACTGTAAGAACTGGTTTGCTGATCTGCTGTTCTCGTCCTTTGAAAATGCTCATCAGGTCTCACAGCACATAGACGAAACCTCGCAGGCGAAGGCGAAACGGTTCCAAAGTGGACTGCAGAACGCTGGAATGAGCATGGCTTCGAAACAAGACTAGACAGTTATCGTAGGTAGCTTCTATTGGTTGCTCAGACATGTGGGCTGATCGAACCTAAAGACGTCTACCTTGATTACCCAGTTCATCTTTCTCTTTCTCTTGACCATGGAAACGGTAGTACCTACCACGCAACACTCGAAGAAGAGATACTCGAAGAGGATGGGCCTACCGGCGATGCTGACAGAGTTCCTGCTTTTCATGGGTACTCTGGGTCAGGTGATGCATCGGCTGAGTACATCTACGTTGGTACGCGTTCCTCCAAAAAGCACATGCATGAGATCAGAAGCTGAGTTAGTTAGGCCGAGCTTCTCAAGAGGACTTCAAACGTCTTCTAGCCCTTAATATCACCCTTGAAGGCAAGATTGCTCTAGCAAAATACGGTGGTCCATTTCGCGGCCTTAAAGTAAAGAATGCGCAGACTTTTGGCATGATTGGAGCTGTGATCTTCACCGATCCGGGAGACGACAGGAACATGGCAGCTGGAAACTACGCTACGTATCCCGATGGACCTGCAAGGAATCCAACAAGTATCCAGAAAGGCAGTGTGATGGATTTGAGCACCTACCCAGGAGATCCCACGACACCGGGATATCCGTCTAAAGAGGGCGTAGTGAGAAAGGAGAAGAAGACTGTACCGAAAATTCCGAGTCTACCAATCTCTTGGCTTGAAGCAAAACCACTGCTGGTCGCTCTGAACGGTCATGGTTTTGATGCAAAGACTGTGAATCGACTGAATTGGGTGGGTGCAATAGATGGGGTTGATTACAGCACAGGACCGTCAAAAGCTGTGCTGTCGATAAGCAACATTATGAGGGGCGAGACTAACTGGATTCATAATGCTATCGGTATTGTGAATGGTACGAACGAAGACGAAGTTGTTATCGTAGGCAACCACCACGACTCTTGGATGATTGGCGGGGCTGGTGAGTCACAAATGCTGAAAGGATGCGTCGAGCAATTCGTTGACGTGTATAGCTGATCCACACTCCGGTTCCGCAATTCTTATTGAGTTGGCTAAAGCCATTGGTACTCTACTGAAGACTGGTTGGAAACCAAAGCGGACCATCGTGCTCTGCAGCTGGGATGCTGAGGAGTACGGTCTAGTTGGAAGGTGAATTACCTATATCAGCCCAGCTTAGAAGACTCTGACTAAGTTTTTCAGTACCGAATGGGTCGAGGAGTACATCCCCTGGTTGACATCATCTGTTGTGTCTTACCTGAACATTGACGTTGGCATAGCAGGCACCATTCCTGACTTCAGTACCACCCCTGATCTCCATGCCCTCACCACTTCCACAGCCCGGAAGGTCATCTGGCCGCATGGCAAGAACCGCACATTATACGATGTCTGGGAAGAAAAGACTGGTGAAATTGACACATTGGGCGCGCAAAGCGACTATACAGCTTTTGTACATCGGGCCGGCATCTCCGCTATCGACATGGGCACCACGCGAGCGCCTCTCGATCCAATATATCACACGCACTCGAATTTCGACTCCTTTCATTGGATGACTAAGTTTGCGGATCCAGGTTTCGTAATGCACACAGCCATCGGAAAGTTCCTTACGTTGATGCTGTATTGTTTAGTCGACGAGGAGATTGTACCGCTCGAGCCGGCGAACTATGGGGTGGAGATGCGAGCGTGGCTAAAAGAATTGGAAGGTATCGTAAAAGAATCGAATACAAAGGTAAATCTTGATCTTGGAGAGCTGGAGAACTCCGTTGCTGTGTTCGAGGATGCAGCGCGGCAGTTCAATGCTGCTCGCAACATGGCTGTCAGCTCAAACAGTTCGGTGCTCAAGACACAGCTGAACCACAAGGCACGCGATTTTGGACGTGGATTCGTCAGTGAAGGCGGCCTCCCGGGAAGAGAGTTTTATAGACACCTTGTCTTCGCTCCTGGAGTTGACACTGGATATGCGCCGGTTACATATCCAGGAGTGACCGAGGCCGTTGTTGCAGGAAATACTACTCTAGCAGAGGAGTTCGTCGGAAAGACTGCAAAGGCGATCTTGGCTGCTGCAAATATTTTATTGTAGTAGATGAACGTATGTCGAACTTGAAGAGCAATGGAAAAAAAGTTTGCAAGGGCGCGTCGTTGCTTCGATTATACCATACGATTGAAACTAACCTCTCCATTGTACTTGAGCCATTTCACATCCTCCATATATGAAGCCGTCGAACTAGACAGTGTGCCAGTATATGTTCACGTCATGAACCGTGTTAATTCCCATGCTTTTCTGCGACTTCTTTCTGGCCCTTTTGTACCCACTCTTTAAACGGATCTTGTACATTCGGATCCTTCCTTAGTCTCTCGATCTGATCTTCACCCGACGGCACCAAAAGGCCCTTTTTCACAGCATCCCTCTTCTCGACCCCTTCACACCACTCTTTCAATTTCGGAAACTCCTTCAGCTCAATACCCGCCCATGGTGCCCACCGAACCCAGGTAAACGTCGTTATGTCCGCGATACTGTACTTGCCACGACCCTTGCCTGCTAGATAATCTCTATCTTCAAGGCGAGCTTCGAGTATAGAATAGAGCCGTTTCGTTTCGTTCTGATATCGCTTCACCCCGTACTCGATCTTCTCGGGTGCATATCGCACGAAGTGGTTCGCCTGCCCTTGCATTGGGCCCACGCCGGCATTCTGAAAGAAAAGCCATTGTATCATTTCCATCGCCTCATCACTGTCCTGGAAGCTGAACTTGAAATCTGTGTCATAGTGCTCGGCAAGATAGAGAAAGATGGCCCCAGACTCAAAGACAGCATAGGAGTTGCGGGTGTGGTCTATGATGGCCGGGATGCGACCATTAGGGTTGACTTTGAGGAAAGAAGAAGACTTTTGTTCGTCTTTGGAGAGGTCAATTGAAGTGGTCTTGTAGGGGATGCCGAGTTCTTCGAGGAAGATAGAGATCTTTTGGCCGTTGGGAGTGCCTGCTGTGAGGAGTTCGATATTGGGAGAAGTCATTCTAGTTTTATTTCCTGCTGCTTTCTGAATTGTCTTCTAATTGAGCAAGAGTAGGGATTGGGAAGAGTGGATGTTGGGGCGTCGATGTTGTATAGTTGCATTATACTTGCGCACTCATGTATCATGATGACGTGCGCTTCAAGTAGCTGCAGATCGCCGTGAGGGTCTGCTCGTTGCACATAGTATTGAATATCTCTGTTCTACCACGAAACCTATCGCGAAGGGAACAGAGATAACAGTTTCCTTAGCCGCAACTGTTGTAGCACCCAATCTCGGAAGTGGAGAATCGTTCATGATATCCAACTCATGTTGGGATTCTGGTTAGCGCCGCACTAGTTGCGTGCCTCCCAATCTTAGGAGCCACCATCTCAATACCGAATGAACTACAACGTATCGCAGGGGTTAGTCTGCCGCAACATATGAACACCGTTCCTTCTCTTCCACGCCGCGTGCTTGCACATAGTAACATCTTCACAATCGCCGATAATGCGCCGGTACGTCGATGCGTAGACATGCCGTTCGTTTCGCGCAGCACTGAGTGGTCTGATTTTCTTTCGGGCCTTAGTCCATTTTGGCCCAAAACAGCAACCATCATGCCACTTTCAAGACCAAGATCCAATCGATGTGTAAGGGGAGTGATGCATGTGACTTTACTTTGAGCGACTTTTGGAGCCTAAAATGTTGCTTCGCACGCGGAGTTGACGGTCTTCTGCTGTTGTACTCCTCTTTCTCACTCTCCATTCTACTCCTTGTCTTCTGCGTAACGTTACCGTCCAGCTCATTACGACCTGTACTGGTTTCATCTCCCAATTCAACCCTCCTTTTGGACCAACAACCTAGTTCGTCATACCGAAAGAAACAAGGTCGCAATGATGATAACACGTACCTTTTCCCTCACAAACTTCCTCATCGGATCATCGGCTCTCTGCTTCCAGATATTCGTCCTCTACCCCTGGCACGAGAAGCTAGAAGAAGAGTTCGTGGAATTGAAGAAGGAACATGCGAGACTACTAGAAGAGACGCACTCGAGGCACAGAGATGAACTGAGAGGAATCAGGGAACAGCTGGAGCTGGCCAACGAGCGAAGGAAGACGGGAAAGTTCTGGTAGAATCTTGCTACACGAATGGGAGGACAGGGAGCGGAGGAGTCTAGAGACAGATTTACGACAACTGAACAGGAAGAACGGAGGATTCGATTGCCCATGGAACGTCTAAAATGGTGCACCACAGCGCACCACTGAGCGGAACCAGCTGAGCCTTGCTACTCAAGCTTACGATCTCTGCTCAAAAAATCGGAAAAGCCTGGATCTGGCGCTCTCATAATCCGATCTACAGAACAACATCATGCTATGTTTACCAAGGGGTTAGCATCGGGCCCGGATGTTCGCGGAATGTATTACCACTGGTCTAGGATGTTTTCGATGGTCTATATATCTATTGTCAGCTTTCGCGCTTCTATGCGTGTCTGTAAAAGAGAGAGCGGGCTGAAATCATGAAACCCGAGAAGACATAAGATGAGCCGGGAAGCCGGCTACAATAGGCTGTGTGGAGTACATTAATCCAAGGCGCACGCATAATTTCAAAACGTGAGACGCACACGTGAATTCATCAACAAAACCTCATAAATGAATCGTATTCATCCTACCCATGTCTCTCTTGCTCGTTCATGCCACATCTACCACGTCTCCCAATGTCACTTTAGACTTCTGGAATGTGGACAAAAGCGCGTTGCAATGAAGTTTTCAATGAACTAGAGAACAAAGCGCCAGTCTACCTTTATTGATCAATAATTACATAGCTCCAACGGTCCCTCGGATGTCAAAGGCTTGTCAGGTCTGTCAAACGCGGAAGCAACTCCGATACAGCGGTAGTGGCCTAAATGGGCGGAAGCAGGGACGATCAAGAAGGGACGGGCAGCCCCTTACCCATCCTACCCACAATGACGTTAAGAGGAAGCGAAAAAAGACAGTGATCGGCACCGAACAAACAAAGGGATCAACAAACATGCATGTGCCGAACCGTCGTGACACGTTTGATGGCGCATCCAGCACGCAACCTAGATAGTGGCACAGAACTCGTAATGGCAGGAGGATTAGTTGAAGACGCGCGTTATGCGTTCGTTCAAGTCCCACATCCATTTTCACGTGCATCGTCGTTGAGAGGAATTTCGTATTCATTCGATTCGATAATCAAGCGGAAAGTCAGACGGGCACAGAGATAAGCCCGTAACAGTGCAGTCGGAAAGGAGAAAAAAATGAATTAGTAGTAGGAAACGCAACGCCTTGGTATAGTGGTAAGAAGTGTCAATCCGAGCCGTCATGCCCCGAGGAGCGATAATAGAGCACTCTTGAGTAAGCATCCTGGAGTCGTGGTGATGCTCTGCTAGATGCTGTGACTGGGTTCTTGACTGCCACCGGTGTGTAGCAATAGGCCGCCTGGCCCCCCCGTATGTCTGTTTGTGTGCTCGCTCGCTCTCCAAAGGATATCTCGCATGATGAACCCAGAAATTCGTGCCAGTAGAGAATAAGACCGCATGTATAACCGTCGTGGCTGCGAGCAGCGGTCGAGTCTCGGCAGGCGACGAAAGATGAAAGTGTCGTGTGCCGCTGCTCGGGCTTATGTCTCAATCTCCTTCTTCTCGCTGACGCCCTTTGGCCGGAAGACGGCGTCTTGACCTGACATGCGGCGGGCAAGTGCGCGGTCAAGCTTTGCTCCCAGCGCCAGCTTGCTCATGTCGTCGGTCTTCTCGTTGGTGAGGGCGTACCGTTGCTGGACCAGGCGCTTGTCTTCGAGGCGATCAAATCCGGCATTCCATGTCTTGATGTCTTGCGACTTGGGGTCGCCGGCGGTTGACGAGGCTGCCGAGAGGTGCGAGGGTGCGATGGAGGGTGTGAGAGTAGGTGTGGCGCTGTAAGTAGACATGCGGGTGGAGGCGCGGTTGGCGGCCGACTGTTGTTTCTTTTCGTTAGACTGTGCTTGTTCCGACATGGTCGCGGCGTGGTATTGGGTGCTGGCGTTGTAGTGTCGGGACGGGACGGGGAGGCGAATGGTTATATGGTGAGTGCAAGCGGAAGGGCAGGCGCAAAGGAGTACGGTCGAGCAAGCAATGTAGGTGCTGCCCGGCGAGCATCGACCACAGGCAGGGGACGTCTGAAACGGGCAGTGGATACGGGAGAATGACTTACGTTGGCAAGCATGGGCCGCGACGACTCTAGAGAGTTTGTCATAATGCGCGCCACGGCGTGTCCGGTGGTTGCTATGTGGGCGTGGGGTAGCGGGCCTCTGCGACGTCGATGTCGTGCCTATGGTAGATGCGCGACTCAAGGCTCTAGGAGAGGGGGCGCGAAGGCAAGTAGAACAGACAGATGCCCGTGTCTGTGCCGCGTTTGTAGAGAAAGGTGAACAGACGGGTGTAGTCGGTCGGAGTCCTGTGCTCAGCCTGTCTTCGTCGCGCGTTTCAAAGGGCCCAGATCGGCAAGGGGCTGCGTGAGTAGTAAGATGGACGCGCAGGGGGAACGATAGTTAGCGAGTCGCAACGGGATGCCACAAATGTTTGGTAGGGTTGATAAACGTCAGCCTTGCAGAAGGATGGTGCTATGTCGGTCTTGATGGCGCGTTATCCACCATCTCACCGAGTGTACATGCGGCGGAACACAGCATGGTTATGTACCCGCGGCTGTAGTCATCCACAGAGCCACCCTTTTAGCAGCAGCAACATAGCCAGCACCAGACTGCTCTGAAACGCTCGCACGTAAGGATGCTGCATGTAACGACACTCGCATTTCGATAAAGTGACTTGTATGCATGCAGTCAGCCTCCAGGACAAGCCATTCACGCCGCGATTGACAGCCGGCCAATCCCCTTTAGCACCACCCACGCTTGCATCGCCTATGCCACGTTTTTTCTGCGGGAACCCACCTTGGCCGCTACAGGGCTCGGTGTTGCTTAGGTCAGTTGGTCTCCGCTGGTGCGCGCGCCCATTGCCGCTCCTGGTTTGGTCTTGACGTCGGCTCTGCAGTCGGTCCATCGTAGACCAACTCCTTGCGTTATCATGAGACGTACCTCAAAGAGGCCCTCACTGCGGCGGAGAACACTGCATGTCCCAATCGCCGTCAGCCCGACTTTCCTAGAACGCTAATTAATGCATTCTTGGCTTCTTTGATGGAACTGCAGCTAGTCCTAGCACCAGATAGCCAGCACCTGTTGTGGCGTTTGGGTACCCAAGGATGCTGCCGTCCTACGGTACGATGAGCAGCCAATATCAAGGCACAAGCAGCCGCCCCTTTACTTCCAGTTATTTCCGACCACAGCATTCAACCTTTAACGAGAGAGCCAAAAAGAACATAGGTCGTGATGATCTAGAAGTCGCTCTGCCATCGAGCTTGCTCGCCATACCATGCCTACCAGCAGTTAGAAGCAACCCCAGAGCAACCCAGACTCCATCAATTTGCAGACCATCCCCATCCATGTTCGTACATGCGCAATCGCCTCCCCCACTCCATGCACCCTCCCGAAACGGCAACATGACAGCGCCTTTCATTCAATGTCCGAGCGCCTGCATGAAAAATGCATGCTCACCACGTGGCCGCAACGTGGGTTCCGTGGCATGCACGGCCCTCCGCAGTCTGGCAATGGCGGAGCACAGATGAAGGGTCGCGGCTGCATCGGAACAATTCTCCTCGATAGTGAAACCGCAGTCATCCCGAGGTTCAAGCACGGGGTCGCATGCATGAGCAAGTGCGTAAGCATACTGTACACCATACCACACCACGATGAAGTCGCATTGCATGATACGTATGCCTTCTTCATGGGCTGAAGATGGCGTTTCGGAGGTCTGGAGAGAAGAAAAAGCATCCTTGGCTTGATGAGACGCGATGGCATCGCCTACCATCAAGTCTAGACTGCAACTGCTGCGACGCAACCTGTCCCGCCTTCGTTGACCACATCTCCGAGGAAATAACATGACTGACAGAAGGCAATAATTCCGAAACGACTGAATGTGTGTATAGCAAGCCCGAAAGCGAATGTACCGTACAGTCTGGTATTGCAAGAATAAAACAAGCGCCCTGTCTTCTGCTACTAGTCGCTACTCTACATCGCCATACCCGGTAGATGGTCGAGCCCTGATGGATATTGTTAGCAGATTGTCAACACACACGCACAGATTCGATGCCCTTACATCCATCCAGGTCCTCCTTGATAGCGCTCTTGACCTGGCACTTATTCATCGCTTGAACATTCTGGCTCTGCGATTACTTGTTAGCAGCCATTCCATACTTCGAGAGCTCATGTTGCATCACTTACCTTCAACGGTCTTCCATTCTCACATGCCTGAAACATGCAGCTGTTGTCCATAGCCTTCTGCAAACTGTCGTCCTTCCAGCCAAAGAGGTAATCAGCGTGGGTACCGTAGCCTTTGTTGTCATTGTAAGAAAGGAAGAAAGGATTGGAGCCATCCTTGGGCCACATGTTGTTGAACTGCGTAGTATCCCACAGCGTCTCGTAGGCGACTTGTGGCATGCGGACTGGGTGAGAAGATGGGCATGCACCTGCGGGACTGAAGGCTTCTTTGGCTGTGTTGTACATGTGATCTTGGTGGTTGGGAGAGTCGACATTCTTGCCGTCCCAGCATCTGGATGTTGGCGTATCAGGTTAGTATCTGTCCTACATACAGTTTGCATAGGAGGCTGCTTACGATGGGAAGTGATGCACAGTCATGATGCCGCCTTTGCAGGCCTTGGGTGGGAAATCTGGGGACTCCGGGAAACGAGTGTTCTTGTCTTGCAGACAAACAAAGCGAAGACCGGGGTGCTTCTTCGCGTCTTCTACAGTGTTGGTGGTGGGAGATCCCACGGTCATGCGGAAGCCCTGAGAAGATTAGCAGTGCATGAGCTGAATGAAAGGTATGACTGACCTTGGGGAACGCGGTTATCTTCTGATTACCATTACTGTTGAAATCTTGTTGCGTATAGTAGATAGCTGCAGGGTAGTAGGTACAGAGTCAGTGCATAACTCATTTGTGATGATACAAAGACACTCACTCATGCCACCGTTGATGCCGTTGGGCAAAGCACTGTTCTGCATAATGGGTACCCGTTTGTAGGAGCCGTTCGTATGCTTAAAGAACATGGCTGCAGTCCAGTAGTTGCTACACCTGTTAGAAGCTATCAGCAGGATATTGCGAGGGCTATCATACCTGAAGTCTTCGGAGAATGTGCATGTAGTGCAGGTAGCTATGGTAGATGGATCTTCCTGCATAGTCGCGTTGAATGCATTGCCTCCAACGATTTGGTGAACGTGAGCGGAAGGAAGTTTGCCTGGCTCAACGAGCGGATCAAGCCGCTGAATGCTCAATGTCGAGCATCCGAAGCGTAGTGCGGCCTGCGCGGGTACGGCGAAAGTGGCGATCTGGTACCACTTCATCTTCCTATGTTTTTGCTTGGCTCAGTGAGGGCGTACCTACTGCAGAATAGGTGAAGGACGAGTTGTCATCTTAAGCTGCAGGATCATCACTCTCTCCAAATCTTGGTGTAGGCATACCATCCTTGCTACATGGTGTTGATGGTCCGTGATATCGAGACGCTTTACCCATTGATTAATCGTCTCTGTATGGAACCAATAACAGCCATAATCGTTAAATTTCCCCGCATTAATGTTCGAAAGATAGTCACAGTGCGACACCAACGCAATTAAGTCCAGATTTCGGCACTTGCTTCCCGCGTAAACCTCCGAGAAGCACGGCACTTCTCGCTTGCAGTGGACACAGGGATTCTTTCTATCGCCATCATTGAAAGAGGCCATCAAACAGCGCTACATGACAGATGAGAGTAAGGATCAGTGCATGTGAGCGCAATGCGTGTACCTATAGAGAGTTGATGTAGCGACGCCACGCTATTAGGTATTCGCTACCTAGGTATCTCTGAGTGTCGACCAAAGACGCGCTAATCGACTCCCATCCAGATTCGCGCGTGACATGTCAATGCAAAGTGAAGTCGCACAGGTACTATGCGGCAAATAAAACGCCCATCTCAGTGTTATGGACGCCTTGAGAAAGATTGTATGACGTCGATCAGCCTAGTGTGGTGGGAGCTTCAACTGAGCGAGAGGAAACAAGAATCGAAAAGCTTGGGACGCCTGGTAGAGATCGGTGACATAATAGCGAAGCTGTTAAAACAGTCGAAGTCTGTGCGAAAGGATGCTGGGTATTGGCTGTCTATACACGGTTATTTCATATAGTGCGACCTGCGAGACTTCGTTCTGAGGAATGGCAGGCTCGCATGGGGCCAAAGTGCAGCGTCGGACTTCTGGAAAGCCATCAGCGGGCGGAAGTGACAAGGGGAAGAGGGGGAACGTAGGTGAAAGGCGTCTTCATAAGTGTTCTAACTTTGAGTAGCACCAGTGCCCTTGGAAGTCCAGTATTGTCAGGTAGGCCCAAGCTCCGCGATTGGCAACAGAGCGTGTCGATAGTGAAAGCGTACCTAGGTAAGCACAAAACTCATGAAGCCATCTAGACCACGATCGAACGATCAACCTTGAGTCGTCTCCACACTAAAGTGAAGAGGTGGGACGCTTGACGTAACCGCGACCGTTAGGCGTGCTTCCCGAAAGCTTATCGGGTGCCTGACATGGAGGGGTTAAGGGCGAACGACGTTCGCTACAATCGACGGCTTGGCACCCGCGCCTGCCTATCACGGCCTCTTCATCGCTCCCGGTACCCGATACACACCTTTATCGCAGCCTCCAGCACGAAGCGACATGAGACGGAATGCCCACACGTAGAGCAGCGATGCCTGTTGTGTTTACATTGCAGTTGTTGTGAGCTACTCACACTTACCTCCGACAACAATACTACAGGTCTCAGGTACACCTGATGGTCGAGCCCTTGCGTATAACAGTGGCGATTGAAACGGGAACGGTGAGTAAAGGGATGAGAATTATTTCCAGCATGATACAGGGTTACTGGTATGAGAATCGGATGAGATGAACATTAATTTTCGCGCTACGCTTTAAGACCTGTGCCATCGTCATGCATGTATGCACTTCAGATGCCACTTAGGCTGGCAACACTTGCCCCGTATTCTCTCCATTTCCTGACATCAATATCATGCTCAAACTTATCCCGCCACGCCAGCAAAGTCGACGAGTTCGACAAGCACATTACACACACCATCAGCCCACACAGCGAAAGCCTTCTCCCTCAGAACGCTATACCAGTCATCGGCGTTGCGAACATCGCGCCATCCCTGAGGACCAATAGACTTGATGGTGTAGCGGGGAAGAGACCTGATTTCCTGATGGCTGTCGTTTGGGAAGATGGGGTAATTGTTGAGAGTCGAAGTCGGGTTCGGAAGAACAGAGTGGGGGCCGTCTGCTGACGAAGACTGAGAGAGACAAGCAGTCGATGGAAGTGCTTCATGCTGAGCATGCTCCGTCTGTAGCGCGTTGGCAGCAGCAGCAAGTCCGCGAAGATTGTCTGTCCCAGGCTCAACGTCCTGAAATACATTTTCCGTCTTTAATTCAGGGTACTTGTGTTTGGCTGCTTTGAGCAGAATGACTGTCTCTCTCATGAAGTCGTTGTAGTCATACCACGCCAAGTGTGCTTGTGCTTGTGCTTCAGCTGTGATGCGCTTCTCGTCGAGCTTGTTACCCGGTCTACTTCCCGACGAGGGGAGCACAAGGAAGATGTTGATATGAGAGAGATTTGGTTCTGTAGGACTGTTTGTGGGCAACTGGTCGGCGGGTTAGCAGTGTCAATCATTCCGATAAGATGTACGAACAAACGTTACCTTTGTACTTGATTGTATAGAGTCCACACTTTCTCTAGTATCTAAGGTTGCTTCCGGTTTTGGAGGAAAGTCCTGAATAGTTGTCGTCGGAATCGGGGTCGACGAGACAATCGACCGTGACGAATGCGGATGATGAACCAGGTTACGATCGAAGACTGCTCGCGGTTGCTGCTCGACCCCATGCCCTGTATCGTCCTCTCCTTGCTGAGTCACAGCTTCGACACTACCTTCTTTGTCTTTTTTCTTTGTGCCACCCTTCCTGGTTTCGATCGCGTACTGTCGCTGCCGCTCGTTGGTGACCATGCGTCGCATTAACGGGGTAACGAGACTGATAATCTTGTTGCCATCTCTTGGCCATGTCAATCTCTCAGCCGGATCAGGGGTCTTGTCCTCCCCTAGTGCACGGGCAGCTTCGATTGCGTCCTTCTCGCCTGGCTTCTCAACGTCTTCGCCAAAGAACTGTTCGCCGACTCCGTCGTTTAAGAAGTCGCGAACACAATTGAACAGCCGTAACTTGACCATGTCGGTATCACCTTTACCACGGTTACCTACGCAATTCTGCCGTTCCGGATGCGATGTGTCGAGCATGTAGACTTTTGCTAAAGCCTGCAATTGAAGAAAATTTTCTGGGCTGAGCTGGAGGGACATGAATAGCTTTGACATTGGAGGACGTGTGTACTTCCGGGATGTTCTTTCAGAGGAACGACGGAAGAGGGCAGCGGCGGAGTGTACGCCTGCGGCACGAGCATCGTTCAATAGAGACTCGCTGGAAGGCGGTACAGTTTCACCAACACAGTCGCCATGTATATCTTGGCCATGGTCCTGAAGTTGAGGATCAGTAGGTCCACCAGTTCTACGTCGCTTCAGGTGAACGAGCCCATCAGCTTGGTGCGAAGTATCTTCAGTTGGGGTACTGGCACCTCTCTTTCTCCTACTTCTGTCGCGTGATGTAAGAGTCCCTGTCACAGCATGTCCAGTGTCCATAGTATACGCTACCTGACCCGCGGCGGTCGCAGCCTCCAGAAGCTCGACAAGGTTATGGTTTTCCTCCAGTATGTGTTCGTCTGACGTCTGACGAGCAGTGGGTTCGGAGTACAGGTGTGGATTGAGTTGATGTTCGAGCGGCGATGCGACAGCAGCGGGACCGGACAAGTTATATTCATCCTCGTCGGACACGAATCGGGGCGGCGCAGCGTTTGCGCTGTTGGACGTCGTGACGAACTGGCCGGAGCGCATATGGTAGTATGGCGCGTCAACGTTTGCCTTCATCGTGGTTCGTATCCCCCGAGATCAGACGGATCAGACGGTGGGAGCCAAACAGGACTGGGAACGGTCGGATAAATGAGCTGTCAATACACAAATGGTAAGTCTTTGGGTCAATGTATGAGAACAAGAGAGCAACTGAGGTCATGCAAGTTGTGCTACGAGTGAATCCGACTCGATGCGTCTGGTAATCGGACGCGACACCGAATCTCTTTTGTATGCAAGCTCCCACGAGGTTTGGTTTGACACCGAAGCATGTACATGGTTTGGTTTGGGCGCAGTAGAACAACACTTGCGATTCGATAGAGAGAGCAGAGTATAGTTTGGCCCGACTGGAGAAGAGGGCGGATTGCAGTTTGACCCATCTCGGCGACGTAATCTGGCGTAGAGGTGCGGAGATTGGGATCGTGGTTTGGTTTGATGCGAAATGTAGGGAAGCAGATCAGCAGACACACCTGATTGCTGTCGTGTACGAACGACAAGCGGGGCCGACCAGCGGGCCAAAGACGTCGCGATAGAAGGGTTTGTCTTGTTTGCACAATTGACACGCGCGCATGTGACCGGGACGTAGCGACGATTAGATAAGCCATCTCCTCTCAACACGCGTCGATGATCAACATGAAAACAGGGAAAAGACCATGTTGCAAGTAAAGCGATATTTTGTATCATTCGTTTCCTCCGTCTTCAAGTACGAAGCGGTGTGTCAGACCCAGATAGCATGCCAGCAAAAGCCCCAAAGGCCATAGACACTTAACGCCAGATGCCATCACACCCAGATACGCCTGCAAAATACCCAGGGTATCTATACAAAGAAAGAAAAAGCTAAAAACCGTCGCCTTCATGCCACTCCCTGCCAGCTTCCAACGCTCGATTGTGTGGGTCTCGTCCCCGAATTTCTGCATCGTGTTTTAGGCTGTCCACAATTGGCCTCAACCGATCAATCTCTCTTCTGAACTCGTCATCTTTCCCTGGCTCGGGGATTGTCAACTCCTGCAACTTTGCCTGGTCGCCGTTCTTCTGTGCCTCTTCTATCTCCTTCCGTTTCTCCTCCCACTGCCTGAGATCCCTCTCCCGATCGCTGAGTTCGTTCTTGAGCGCCATGAAATTTTCGTATGCTTCTTCGCCGCCAAAACAAGATCCATACTGGTCGCAGAAACATATGTGTTCTTTGGGGCAAAATATGTTCTGACCTGTGAAGACAAACTGCCACACGTACTCCCAGATTCGTCCGCTCAGGCGATCGGGGAGTCGCGTGTTGAATAGCCAATCTCTATACCAGACGTATTGCGCGTACGGCTTCGCTTGTATACGTTCCCGCGAGAGGGCAAACTGCGCACAGCAGGGTTGCGCAAGGACGGTAGGTACTTCGTCGAGAGGGAAAAGCTCGCTCCACGATTTCGCTAGGAGCACCTCTTCCTGCTTCTGAGCATCCTGTTCGGTGTTTCCAGGGTGCATCCAATCGGGACAGCCAGGATGCCAACTGCATCTCATGTTCACGAAGCCTTCCCTCCAAACGCGGTGTCGATTCAGTCGGGTTATGAGGAGATGCGCATCGTTGCCCAGAATTTCGTCGTTGTGCCAGGACAATTGATGGGCGTGCATAAAGATAGCGACGTCGGGGAGATTGTCGTAATTGTCGATGATCCACGAAAGATACACCATGACTTCGTGTCCCTTGTTCTTGGGCGGATGCAGCGGCGCGGAAGGATCATCGGCGACATAGACGGCTGTCTGCTGCTCTGGCATCTTCTCCAGTATCCAATTGACATTCTCATGCTTCGTCTTCGCAATTATCAGTGTCGAGGTAAAGTTGTGCTCTGGCGGCATTGGCGAGCCTGGCTTGAACACGGGTCTCGGGTTCCAGTTTGCATAGTCTGGGTCTTGGATCGTGTCTTTGGACGGCTCGGCGCCGCCGGTACTGGAGGGTGGCTGCTCATCAGTCCCAAAGTGCTCTCCCAAACCAACATGTTGTGGTATGCCCCGCCATGCTTGACTGGTGTCAATGCCTGAGTACAAGAATGCGATTACGAATAGCGTGAGGATTAGCGCGAGGACAGGAATGACGTTTCGACGGGTCATGCTGGTGAAAAAGGTGGGAGCGAGCGACTGGCAGGGAGCGAAGGGCGTAGATCGCCAAGATCAGTTTGAGATCTGGCGTGTCTTATACTGTTGCACTGTCAGCCGGCCATATTTGAGGTGTCGGACTTGTCAACCCACGGTGGAGTCGCCGCGCGGCAACTGGGGTTCAGGGAAAGCTCCGCAGTGACGAACGACGATGGAGATCGCGCAGCGCATGTGAAAGACAAAGATGGAGTCACTACCCAGAGATGACATATACACTGTGAAAAGGTGGCTAGCCACACAGAACATGACACACAAGACACAGGTGTTGCACCTTGCGGCCCCTCGGCGGGCGCCGCACCGGTGGTGATGATTGACTTGGGCTGAGGTTTGGTCGTGCTAGATGCCACAGACGGGCCGCTAACAGCTCCCTCTAACCCTGCCTATAGCCCTGCATCGGCCTTCCATTCGGTGCACCCCACGACTCCGCGGTTCCCGTGCATCATCCAAGAACAGCTTAAATGTTTAGCCAGGTACAAGTGTTACGACAGCATTTCGCGTTCGCACTGAAGACAAGCGTTCTGTGAATCAATTTTGCATTCGAGACTATGTGTGAACTAAATGGTCGTGCAAAAACTACAGGAACTAAAGGCGCTCAGGCGCATTACCAGCTTGTCAGGCTCATGGTTAGTTGTTTGATCAATGGTTATGGACGCTCCAACACCAGCAGTGGTGGCCCAGGGATGATAGTCGCAGCCCCAGTCTACGTGCGACAAAGGCAGCTGAGCCTCCTTGGTCGCAAGGACTTGGACGCAATACTGGAGCCGAGCTGTTACGCAACGACACAATCTGTGCGCGTCCTAGCACGACCAGAATATAGTTGGTCATTGAAAATTCTGCTCTACGTCCTCAAACGGTAATAGAACATGTCGCTTGTTTTTACCTTTTTGTGTGGAGTCTACACTCCGGCGGTGAGTGTCATCATGGGGAAGGCACGTATGACGAAAAAGGAAGTGACACAAACGAAATTGGAGGGCACGCACCTTCGGTTGTACCTGACTCTAAGAGCCCAGACATGCATGCACCGCTTGTCCGTTTGCATAGAGCAATCGCGACTCGTCGGCAGGCAACAATCACGGGCTCTGGCATGGAGTGACTTTTGGAACTCGTGCAAGCTGCTTTGTCTCTGCTTCTCGACAAATGTTCCTTACGTAGTTGGGCGAAATTACATTGCGAGATTGCTGCAGTAGTCGGGGGTCGGTGAATGCAGGCCCTTCATGTTACTGGGTTGGGGGCTGCGTTGACATGGATTGCGGTCATGGTGGATGATAGTAAGAGTATTTAGACAGTGCTGGTCATGCGGAAGGTGGTGTGGACTGGTTACTGGACGTCCAGGTTGCATCGTGAGGCAGTAGATAGAAGTACAATTTGGTGTCGATCAAGATGACTGGTGCTCCCAAGGGCTATAGACGTTGCCCTGAAAGCATTTACCGAAGTGCTGAACCGTTTCTCCAAGGAAAATACCGAGCCGACGAAGGCTAAGACGATGTCGCGCTGCAAGACGGCAGACCATGGTGTGATCCTACCTTGCGCTGCTGCGAACCATATCGAAGAACTTTTGTCGACCACATTTCCTTTGTATGCGTGTGAAAGCCGTATTAAACTGAACCCAGTGAAGTAGCCATAGGATTACAGGAATGAAGTGCTGAGAGAGAGGCGCCAAACCGAGGAAGCCATACGAACCCTAACTTAGTACCGCTTGGGTTCTGCCTGGGTTAGCGGAGAGCTAGCGGTATGAGCGATCGTAGTCACCCTCGTACGAGCGTCCTCCGCCGTACGCCTCACGCGGAGGAGGTGCATCGTAGGCGCCAGCAGCTGGGGGTGGGGGCCTGTCGTAGTAGCCACCTCCACCACCCCGACGATCATCGCGTCCGCCGTCGCGACCGCCATCCCTGCCACCGTAGCTGCGATCAGAGGCATAGCGATCGACACCACGAGGACCGTAGTCATCGCGGCGGCCGCCACCTCCGTAGCCGCGATCATCGTATCTTGAGCTACGGGAACCATAGTCATCGCGTCGACCGTATCCGCCGCGGCGGTCATCAGTGTATCGATCGTTGTAGCGAGGGCCGCCTCGGCCACGTCCGCCAAACTCTGAGTTGTTATTAGCACGGCATGTAAAGTGCAGACAGTAATCAGACTTACCACGCTTGGGCGGTCCGTAGTACTTGCCCGGAGTGGGAGTACGGGGACGCGCACGGCGGGCCTTCTCAATGCTGAGTGTGCGGCCCTGATGGACCTCTCCTTGAAGACCCTCCTTCGCTGCGTCAGCCTGCTCAGAGGTGACCATCTTGACGAAGCCAAAACCACGAGACTCCTTAGTGTGAGGATCGCGCATGATGTTACACTGCTCTACCTCGCCGTACTTCTCGAAGAGACGGGTGACCTCTTCTTCGCTAAGAGTAGGATGAATTCCAGTGACGAAGAGGTTGGAGCCAGAGTTACGGCTCTCATCGTCATCATCCCTACGCTCTGGCGGCGGGCCACTGAGCAAGCGTTAGTCAACAGTTCCATCAAGGCGAGCAAGCAGATACATACCGGCTGTCGCGACCGCCAGGTGAGGCACTGCGGGCACGCGCGCCATCGTCGCGACGGTCACCACGCGGAGACCTGCTACGATCGCGCTCATAGCCGCGAGGCTCGTCTGCAATCCAGTCAGTATTCGCGCGATCATCACACAAGGCGAAAGACAAACCATCGTAGCCGCGCTGTTCGTTTTCGTACTCCATGGTGATGATGTTGTGGTGGGTCGGGTGAGTTGATAGTTGGTTGGTTGAGGAAAGGTGTTTGCTGAAGCTTCGAGTTGGGCGATTTTTTGGCAGGACTGATCGACAGTAGCCGCGTCTCTACTTAGTAAGCGTCGCGCTAATGGCCAGCAGCGCTGCAAGTGAGTGGAGTAAAAAGCGGGAAATGTGATGAGAGAGTGGAGGTGCCAGGCGAGCCAGATGCTATTTGTAGGCGACTACCTGGTACTGACACAGGAGCTGTCCTGGAGGCAACTGCTCGCCCGAAGTGAGGCAACTGCTAGGGGTAAACGTCCAGCGCCCTGGCCGCCTTGTCTTGCCCATCAACGTGCGTCAACATCACTAGTGAACCGCCGTCTCTCACAGAACAAGGCTCTATTTTACCTGTCCAAGACTTTCACAACACACCGCATCACTTATCAAGACGCTACCAGTGGTGCGTGTTGTAGCCAGCTATGTTCATATTCAAGCCTATCGCAATCGGCGCTTCGTTAACCGAACCCCGTCAGACGCCTTGCCACTGGCTTCACCCAATTACTCCTACTAAGATGCTCTGCTGAAACAACCCATCGAATGCGGTATCTGTTGCAGCCCTGTAAGTGAACACCATGCGCCAGTTGCACCTCGTCTACCCAGTAAGGTAGGTATGTTACAAATGCCAATGATAATACAAGACATGCCTCCAGGAGTGCATGCCAAAGAAAATAGTGAAAAGCAAAACTAGACCCATCGTCTACCATCCTCTCGACCTCTTCTGCCTCTTACGTGCAACTGCTTTTTTGATCGCCGCCACATTGGAGTCGGGTGTGTCAGTAGGCCGAATAGGATCCGAGTCAGCCAGACCGTCTAGTTCGTCATCATCGAGCTCGCTAAGCTCCTCGCTCATGTCTCGGAGTACCTCTCGGCCAGTGTACCGTTCCTCATAAACAGTAGTACCGTGGACGTCGAAAGTCTCAAAATACCAGGGGACACCGCCATTGCCGAGGGGGTTTAATAGGTTCTTCTCAGACCTTGGAGGCGTCAGAGGCTCGGGACGGCCATTGGTCTCGGCATGAGATCCTGTTACTGCACTCTGAGGCTGGTTGCTAGATACGTGAAGAGCATCCTGTCCGAGTTGAATAGCAATGGCTGCCTCGTCCGCCGCCTCATCATGCGCATGATGTGCATCTGCAGCGTTTTCGTCAGGTGTGGGCGCCATCTGCATCTCCTCGGGTTTTTGGTTCAGCACAGCAGCTTCTTCCCCATCAACAGCCTCTTCTTGAGCTTGCTCAACAGCCGTCGGGTCCGTTTCCGTCGTTTGTCGAACAGTCTCAGCCTGTGAAAGAATGCTAGGTCTGCGTTGTAGCTTTTCATTGAGGAGCGTCTCCAGATCGGGCAACTTCTCGTAAGGACGACCAGCTAGCTCAGACTCCTTCCTAAGCGCATCCTCAAAGTAAGGTTGCAGAACTTTGGTAATCCGTTTTACGATCTTCTTCATTTCCTTCTGCTCAGAGGTCAAACTGCTATGCGAGACCTTGTTCAGTTGTTCTTCGGCCTCGCCAACGTTTGTGACCGCGGCGAACCCGAGCTCTGCGCTCAACACCGCGGCTACATCGTCATTGAACGTCTGCACTGACGTGTAGTATTTCTCGTCGAGTTTTGTCTGAAGATTGTTAAATCCTTCAGTAAAATACCCTCTACTATCGAGCCTATTGAAAGGTTAGTGAAAATCTAAAGCCAGCAACGTGCTACTTACGCTTGCGCTCGCACCAGAATAGGCTGAAGGAGTTGAGGGATCGGGAAGTATATGCAATCGACGATCTGCTGCAGTATCAGGACGTCCTTGAGCTTCTCGGCTTCTCGCTGTTTGACCATCTCGCATAAAACACGGATCTGCTCCATGTCATCCTCGAGGCGTTCTGCAAACTCAATGCGTCGCTGTAGTCGGGGCCTGCCAGCTGCGCCCATGCCCGCAAAATTACGGCGAGTAATCTCCATGGACGAGAAGGCTTCCATTTGCAGCTGAAGGCGCTTTAGAAGAGCAGCACCGCGTCGAGCCTCACGCTTGAGCGTCCAGTACTTGCAGGCCTCTTGCACAAACTCTTTGCGCTTACGCACATTGAATTTGATCAGCGTGTTCTCAACGTTGTGGTAGACAGCTTGGGGAACAACGGGTGCTCCTGACGGAAGTCTCCAGGACTTGGTAGATTGCCCGCGCTTCCGCTTGTTGGATCCGGGGGTATCGTCTTCCGGCCCTTCGATAGAAGGCATTGCGTGTGAGGAGCCGATGGAGAGGGCATAGGCTTGGCTGTCTGGCCATCGAACATGACGCATAGTGTGGCGATAGAAAGCTTTGGCATCTGCGATTGCACTCTCAACATCATACTCGCGCTTCCAATCTGATGGAGTATGACGATCGCAGTAGGCTTTGAGTACGGTCGTATCTTGTGGGTTTGAAGAATGTGAGGACTTCATGCGCAAGCATAGCCTGGCCCTTCGTGCACATGTGACATGAAAGGCCTCGAAACATGACTTGTGGCCGCATTGGATGCATGCTCCCATCTTCTGTTTGCATATGTAGCAAGACTGTCTGGTAGTTAGTGAGCTGTTCGTGCGGTGGGGCATGTCAATTCTTACCAGCTTCCACCTAGTTTTGGGAACCTTTTCAACATCCTGTACTGGTTCTTGGAACGTCGCATTGCCCAGTGATACCTCCGGTATCCACATGGCGCAGAGCAGATGTGCCCACTTCATCGCAGTGGTTTGCTTGAACGCGCCGTCTATATTTGGACAGAATATGCAACCCTGTGACTGTCAGCATGCATCGAATAAAGCAGACAGGGCCAGGACATACCGGAAGCTCGCTGACAGGGGTGCCGCGCCCCACCAATTGACATCGTCTGCACAGCCATTGTCCTTCTGGTATGAAAGGCACTCCATAGCACTCTTGGTGGACTGCCAGGTCACAACCATCGCAAAACACTATTGCATTGGTATTTTCGCAGTCGCCATCGTCACAGATGGCGCACTTTGTGTCCTGCTCTTCGCCTTGGCCAGCAGGCTCTCCGTTAACTGCGGCTGCGCTACTGGAGCGTGGTCGATGCGTCTGAGGTGGTTTGGGGTTTGGTTTGGGTATGCCTTTCACATGTCAGCTGTTGTGTCCAACATGGCAACGCATCGGGCTAGACTTACGCTTCTCCAACGCATGCCACTCTTTCTCGATCTGTGTGATGGTTACTTCGAATATTGCAGGTTTGATGCCTTCAACCCCTTCTTCCTTGCGTTGTATATTGAGTGCTTCCAGCCACCGATCGTCTTGCTCGTCCATATCATACTCGACACGGCCGACGGCAACAGCACCGGCAGTTCCTTCAGCTTCTGTCTGGAGAGTCAAATCCAGATCCTCTTCGATAGAACCCTCGGGTAGCCTGATCAGGCTGTTCTCCGACGGCCTTGTAAAGATCTCGCTTTCCTGGTATCCAATATTCGCCATAGTCTTGTCGACATAGTTGACCTTGACTCCCTCGCTTTCTTCATGTTCTTTGAACGGATCGACTTGGCGCACTGATGGCTTTGGCAGATTAAGCTTCTCCCTTGGGTTCATGGTCGGAAGGGGGTTGACTCGTGGTCGAGGCGGCGATCCAAGGCCAGCCAGCATGGAATCTCTATTGCGAGGAGGTCGGCCTGGACGTCGCTTCGGTGTGACAAAAGCGCCTGAGCCGTTGACGGCTAAGCTGGCATCCTCTTGCTCTTGCGCAACATTCTCTGCTTGTTGCGCCCGCAGACCGTCAAGCATGGCCGAGATGCCACTGTCGACGGCATACTGGCCGGTAGATGAACCGTTCAGCGGAGTTCCTGGGGCGCTGTCCCGAGGGCTGATGCCATCGATCTGGTCCGCGCTGTAGACAGGGAACTCAACGTCTATGTCCAGGTCCGGATGAAATTCATCCCAGCTCCGCTCCTCGCGCGGCTTGTATCCATCGTTTTGAGCCACTGCGGCGGCGACTGCGGCGGCCGAACTGGAACGCGGTCCAGCTGGCGGCCTTTCGCGTCGGGGTCGGGTGTATGAAGGGGAGGGTGCTGATAGAGGCAGGCCTTGCCGTTCGGCGTTGATGCGTCCTACGCGGCCACGGGGACCAGTGTACGCGTATCCTCCGGGACCAGTTCCTCCTACAGGTGTCTCTAGCCCAGCGTCATCCACGTATCTTCCCCCGCCTCCTGGTCCGCCTGGAATGTACTTGCGCCGCTTGCTGGCTGGCGCTGAGTCAGATATGTGTCGCCGGGGCGGTCGTGTGCTTCTCACGCGTGGTAGTGGTGTGTCGGGAACAGGCGCCATGTAGACAGAGCGAATGTGTCTAGAGGCCCGCAAGGGTGAGGTTGGGAATCGCGAAATCACGCGCCGGCGCCGGTGCTGTGTCGTGAAAGCTACGGCAAGCGCGTATTCACCCGGCAGCCAGAATGCACCGTGTTCATCGATTCGGGGGCCAGCGGTAGGCGATGTGCGGAGGGGCGTTGGCTGCGAGACGGGCGCGATACCGTGATGCGCCTGCTTGGAGGTGCAAGCCGGGGTCGACCAAACCGGTTAGTGCGCCAAGCACCATGTGGGCTGGAGCTAGTTCGCAGTTCCCGTTCACACCAGGCTGCACCCTACTGTCTTGTTGCAGAGCCGATCGCTAATTACCAAGCCCATCTTCGGCAACTCAGCTGTGTCTGCGGTCTCCCAACGACTATCCTGACTGCCATTTTCATCATCGCTCGGGTATTCCTCCCACGCGCCGTCAGAGCTGTCTACGTTCCGGGCAATCACCCTGCGTTTTTGCCCAGCTCATTCTTGCATACCACACTGGCACATGTTTTCACCATTACCGAAGCTTTGCTCTACAATCAAATTCTTGTCGTGAGTCGTGCATCTCCGGAAACTTGAGCCAACACGACATCTTTTGTCAGACCAGGGCTGCCGATCCATTACCCCAGATTCCGCTGTCACAAGCGAAATGGTTCCTGCATGGACACAGTCAGTACGGCCTTGCTCGGCAACTTGGGTGCTAGCATAGACGGCACACTCTCCAACGACCATGTCCACGGCAAGCTTCGCAGTGATTACTAGGTTTACCTCACAGCGGTTGGCGAAGCGCGGTTATGTATTCTGGCAACAGGGTGTCTCACACTTGCAATCATTGTTACAGGCCGTGTAGCAATCATTCTTTCACTGTGGTCAGCTATGAAGGCGGCGTACATCTTTCGCAAAAGACGTTTCCCGAACACTACACTTGATGCGCATACCTCGAGGTGACAATAAGCTTGTTATTGCTAACTAGATGATCCTGACATTGTTCTATTGTCATGCGCCAGACACTGATGTCAGCATCTACGGAGTCCAGATATGGCGGCGCCCTTGGAAGTGTTCGGGATGGTATCACATGATCGAATGCCGCGTCTTGAGCAGTCTTGCGATCCTCAGATACGAAGCATCAGCACTAGCAACGAGAGTAGCCATACAGAGGAGTTAGCATTGGGTCTGGAGAACACTGAACCAACAGCAGTTCATGCTTGGCTAATGAGGCGTAGCAAACCAAACTGTCGATCTGGCGGCACACGTCCGCCAAGCTTGGCTCACAGAACAATAGGAAGTATTTTACGAATAGGTACTAGTCTTTTCGAAGGTGCATATATGCAGTGACGTTCCTCCATGTGTCTAGCATCGCTGTTTTATCCTCACGACAATAAGCTTTTCCAGATCACAACTAAACACCTGCAACGTACCGACAGCGAATACCTGGATCTGATTGTACTATGGCTCAGCCAGACTCAACCACTTCGAAACCGTTCAGAGTCATCATCGTCGGGGCCGGCATCGTCGGTTTATCGCTCTCCCATGCCTTACAACTAGCCAACATTGACCACGTCGTTCTTGAAAAGCATGATAAGATCGTTTCAGTAAGAGGTGCAGCACTGATTATCTGGCCCCCGGTCGCACGCATCTTTGACCAGTTCGGCATTCTCGACAAGATCGCCAGGACCATCACGCCTGTAGGCAAAGAATATATAAGATGGCCAGACGGAAGTGTGAGCCGGTACGATCCTGTTCAACAGTATATGAGCAAACTGTAGGTTGATCTCGTGTTGTCGCATTACCTGAAAACCAAGATAAAGGACGAATACTGACCCACAAAAGCTTCCAAGTACCGAGTATCTTGTTTGATCGCCAGGCTCTGGTATCACATCTATACGAGGGGCTACCAGACAAGTCGTACATTCACACTAACCGGCGGCTTGAAAGGATTGAGCATACTGAGACTGGTGTTTGTATCCATTTGGCGGATGGCTCTGTGGAAGTAGGCGACATGGTCACGGAGCAGACGGTGTGCATAGCCTTGTGCGACAGCTCATGTGGGACTATGCCTCAGAATTTGAACCAGGAACAATACCTGAAAATGAAAAAGAAGTCATGAGATTTAGCGAGTTCAGAGGTATCTTCGGTGTCAGCACAGTGAAAGACTCGTTCAATCTTGGACCTGCAGATACACATGTCGTTCTCGGTCAAGACAACACGAAAATGGTTTTTACTCAGCATGGGAAAGTATATTGGGGTATCACCTTCAAAGATGAGGCCCATCTGCCAGAGAAGAGAGACAAGGCTACAGAAGCAGACATCGAGGCAGTAGCGAAGAACTTTGCCGACCATCCTATCACGGAGAAGATCAAAGTAGGAGACTTGTGGGGAACAAACATTAGGAACGGTCTTCTCACTGTTGAAGAAGGTGTCCTAGGCAAATGGTATGCTGGGCGTATAGTTCTCGTAGGCGACTCAGTTCACAAGGTACAAATTCCCTTTGTCCCCGCTAGCAGACTCTTACCTGACCCAACAAAAGATGACCGCAGACATCGGTATGGGTGCCAATATAGGCATAGAATCTGCAGTCTATCTCTGCAATATCCTCCACCGCGAGTTTGGCTCCACGCCCACTCGACAGATCACGGATAACGAGCTTACTTCCCTCTTCGCCGAATATCAAGCTGGCCGCCACGAGCGAGCGAGCGCTTTTGTCCATGCGAGTGGTCAGGTGACACGTATGAATAGCTACCAAACCTATCTTGGTCGCTTTTTTGTCGGGTATCTGGCGCCGTATATCGTACCCTTACAGAGGAAAGCTACTGCAAGGACGTTGGCTAAGGCTCCGAAAGTGGATTATGCGCCGACGAGGACAATCAATGAGAGCGCCGAGGGATGGCGTCTGAATGAAGAGAGGGAGAAGGAGAAGGAGAAGGAGAAGAACGTCGATTGGGCGAAGTATGTGTTCTTGACAATTATGCTAGCGGCGAGCTTTACGTATTTCCGGCCTTGATGTCGTTGCAGTCTGATAGTCGCTCATTTCCATTAAACGTCTTATAGGATGATCCTCTCAGCTTATGGAACGTAAATCAAGCACGTTGTATATAACATTCACAACACTTTCCTCCACCCGCATCCCTTGCCTGTCGAGAAACATCGGAACGATACGGTAGCAAACACGCCCAACAAAAATGAAGACGGCATTTCGTACCTACGATTCAAATAAATGTTAGTCTCGTTTTCCAATCCCTTCTACCCTCCTCTCTTCCAGAAGCAAGGTTGACTCACATTCCACATGATCACATCCCATGTTCTTCTCAATCGGTCTCTTACACCCAGGACATTGTTTTGTCGTCGCCGCCAACAACTTCTTACTAGCTTCTTCCTCCTCAGCTTTAATATTAGCGTTGGTTCTGTAGTCGTATTCCCTGCATGTTTCGCCTTTGTGCCATTTCATATTGTGGACAACGCAGGAAGTCCTTTCGCAGCCGTCGCACCGAAATTTGGGGGTTTGAGGAAAATGCACTTGGCCGGATTTACAGCCCTTGAGGTTGCACCATCTGAAGCCCGGCTGTGCTTCCTTCCTTGTTCGGTTGTAAAGTTCCACGTAGCTGGGGGTCTTGTCAGTGCATCGAAGGGGGTAGGTTGTGGATGGAGAAGGGGTCTCGGTACCGTTTGAATATCTCCTTCGGGGCAAAATCTCGCATATCCGCGCTTTTCATTGAGATTAAGCAGCTGGGACATTTGATGTCGTCCCACATCTTGGTACTGAATTCCGATTTAATCCATGTACGAAGACATTTCCGGCATACATCGGCCCCGTGCTGACAATCCCTAGTCGGAGGCCGATCGTGAAAATGATGCAAAGAGAGCGTATCGGTACAAACCATACACTCTCTCTTATGCTTATCCTCGGATCGATACATTTCGCGGTGAGCTTGGTGGCTGTCTTTTCGACTGACAGAGTTGTGCTTCGTATCCCTTTTTTGAGTTCTATTGCTCTTAATACCGTCGGACTCTGGCTTTTTCGGGGCCTCTTTAGGTTTTCGATTCCTGTCCGCCACTAGTGATCCTTCTTTCGTTGTTCTTGCTGCAGACTTGGCATGAAGATGATGAGGTAAACGTAGAGGAGTCTGCCTGTGATCGCTTTGGTGTGATCTAGGAGTGGTGCGGTTCGAAATAGCCTGGCCATCGCGGCGCCGTAAGTGGGAATTCGTACGAACTTGATGAATGTTACCTGCATCGGTTCGGGTATTCCCTTTGTTTCGTTCCGATTTGGAAGCACTTTTCCTTCTACGTCGCTCATAAGTCGGGTATTCCGCTGTTCGACTACTCCAAGACTGGCCCATGATTGTACCTAATTGCAGATGAAGATTATGGAATACTCTACGACTACCGGAAGTTCAATCCAATCTCCAGATATCTAACACTTTGTCTGGTAGCAGCTGAAGCTGGAAGCTCGTGACGAACGTAACGGTCCTTGGCGTGGCTGGACTACAAGTACGGGCGAAGTGCGAGGGTTACGTTACTGCAAACATAACCTAACTTGTGAGAAATGCATAAAATCTTAAGATATCTAGCATGGCGATGTTATCAGGCAAGTGCATGTTGAAGAGGATAGCTTTGTGCGCGGGGTCAGCCCATGGAACCGGTCACAGAACCGGTGAGTAAGCTGATTCGTAATTGGTTATCCTCCTCAGAGGACTGGTTGCCCTCCAAGAAGGCTGAGTACCATCTCAAAGACACCCATAGAAGCTTTGTGGTAGGTATCCAGCCTATCAAATGACTTCGATGTACAAAAGAGTATATCTGTACCCGTGCCTCGCTTCGCTATCACGCACCTCAACGGTAGTACCAACCAGATTCGTAACGGTTGCCATAGCAGTCAAGTTCGCCAGCTTCTGAGTTTACTGGCTTCCTCAGGACCGTAATGTCTCCAGGCCAGTATCCCTCCACATCCGGTTCAGCCTCGCCCATCGCCATTAAATTGTTATAAGCGGCTTTCCTTTCTCTGCGAAACTTTCCTATCTCTCCTGCCACATCAAGCAACGGCCCCGTTTCAAGTATATTTTTGCTTGGCTCTGCCGGTACGGCAGGATGGCTAGGTGCAAGTTCTAGCCCATCCATAGCTGCTAAAGGAAGGGTGCGATCTGGCTCACGACCGGGTTGCCCGCACTCTTCGTCATCGAAGAAGGAGAAGTCATGCGCTGCAGCGTCCCAAAATGCTTCTGAATCTCTGTCCTCTGTAGATGATTTCGTTGGATAAGCCCGCCAACTACTGGTGATCTTCTTTGGCGTTGGCTGCGGGGGCGCCATCTCAAGCACCACTCTTCGAAGGGCGAATTGGTTGCGTGCATACTCTTCTTCTGCAACAATACGTCTCCGGCCCGGTGGAAGTACGTATGTATGTCTAGCGCGCTTCCTAGCAATTGAGGCTTCCTCAGCCGCGTCTTGGATGTATTGTATGATTCGATGAATAATCTTCTTCTCGATTGTCATGGTTGGTACGCCGGTAAGAACAAGAGTGTGAAGCTTTGGAAGCACTCCAGGATGTAGTCGAGGCTGAGATGCTTGACGAAAGTCCAAACGAGCTTTCCTGTCTTCGATGTAGTAGAAGGAGCTCGCCCGAGACCTAATCGCAGTATTGCCTGTCAGCTGGGACGGCATGTTACTATCACAAGTTGTTGTGGGTGGTGCAAAGGTTCCTCGTGTGTTGGGAACACCTTCAACTGAGCCAGGCTGGTAGTTCTCATTGATCCTTAAGGGGCTAAGTGGAGTCAACGGCGGATCTACAGGCATGGGCTCTGGGGCATATGCAGGGCCTCGATTGATCTGTAGTGGCTGCAGAGTAACGCTTATCTCAGGAACGATTGTGGCGCTCTGCTTGTCATTATCAGCGTTGCCCGAAGTTGACTTGATAGGTGCTGAGGACAGAGATGCTATTGGCGAGCCAGGAAGCTCAGCCGGGTATGATGCATCCCCAGGCGCCTCAAGAACAGCCGCAGATTGCGAATCAAGCTCAGCTATCGGTAGTTGGACAGCTTCGAGTTCATGCGCACCTGTAGGCTTATATATGCCAAGGTCCCCGTCGAGTTCCGCGCGTGGCGATCTGGGCACTTCGAGAGGCGCATCTTCTGTTACCAATTCGTAGTTGATCCTCAGATATCTCAGATTACCCGAAGCATACTCATTCAGAACGGGAGCGAGTTTTGATACGCTAGGCAGCTCTAAGTCGTCGTCCGGTGATCCTGGCGAGACGGCAGTAGGATTTCTCACTACAGCAGGTAGTATGCCTACATCCAGGACCTGCAAACGCCCAGACCGCAGTAAAGCCGATATGCCTTCAACAGTTACGGCGTTGCTCGAGAGAAATAAATGTGATACTCCGACATCGCTGGTTTCTTCTATTGCAAGGCTACCGACGAAACCCTCAGTGAGTTTCTTGCGAAGATGACCCACAAGATTTTCTGACTCGAACGCCCCCGGTTCGTCGGTAGGGACTGCATTCTGAACCGGCGGCAGTGGGGCACGAGAGGTATGCGCTGCAATAGTAGTCTCTTTCAAGCATAACTCGAGAAGGAGTCGGACGCTAGTGTCTGTCAAGAAGTTGTTGCTTATGTCAAGACTTCTAACACGACTTCCAATTGCGTGCGCAACTATCGAAAACTCTTCATCCTTGATTCCAGTGCCACGGAGGTTCAGGACTCTTAGATTCCGGAGGTACTTTAGGGTGGATAGAACTGCCTTGTCTCTCGCAGCTGCAGTTTTTGATAGATCCAATGAGACGAGATCTGGAAAATGTGGTAGGGCTTCAGCAAGACCCATTGATGTTGCATTCATGCAGCTGGAAGCGTCGAGTAGGCGTAAGCCGAACACTGGATACGCAGTGGGGCGAGCTGACCTCCATCGCAGACTCGAGTGTCGCAGGCTCAAGAGAGAAGCATGATCGAAGAATGGCAGGCTATCTACGATCAAGCACTGTAGACGAGGCAGGTGCTCGAGGCAGTCTCGGAGCCATTCTGCATGCGGCCCATCATACAGCTCCGCATGGGCTGGCGGAAAACGTAAAGTATGCGTAAGCTCCCGTACGGAGGCTCGCGCATAAGGCAAAGTACGCTTAAACCGTGTGAGTGCCACTATCAGGCGTTAGATAGTAGACTAGCCTTCATGTTGTAGTATCTTACCATAAACAGTATCGTTCTCGACCCCAAAATGTGAGGCTGGACTACCCCAGAGGTTCGGTGTGAAAGTTTGGTGCCATTGCCGACAAACTAGAGCTGCAGAGCACAGATCTTGAGAGGGCAGATATGGAGCGACGAGCACCCAAGGATCGCGTCGCATCACGCTTTCGTAGGATGGAAGAAGGTCGTCCATAGTGGCCAGTGGACACGAGTAGCATTTAAAGAGCCGTAGTGTTGTTATGGCATATCCGTTCTATCGCCACTCAAAAACTTAGTGGAGATGAGGAACGGGAATACAGACACGAGTACAAATTTCGCCCACAGCAGGATGTGCACGCGCATCGTTTGGTAGACGGTGGATGGTAGGCTGAGTCGTGAGGCTGTGTTACGGTTGATCGGCTCACTGCTGCAGCCCTGCGAATGATGCAACATATGGCGGGCCTGACTTCCTAACCCAATTTGGCGACCTCGCTATCAAAAGATTGCCTACTTGCTTGCATCTGGCGACAACACTCTATGCCTGCGCGAGTCGGCGTTTTGTCTTCTGATGCTGGCACTCATGACCGAAAAGTCTTTCAGCCGCAGTAAAAACGAGATATTTAACTATCGAAAAGCTTGTCGCTATGTATTCTGATGCTGCCTTCTCACTCATCAACTGGTAACATCCATGATTTCGCTTGCAAATTTGCTTCTCGCTCTGATCCTAGGACCATAGAAGACCAGAATCCAAGGTACTATGGTTAACAATGCGCCAATTCCTCCCAGCAGACTACTCGCTGGGCCGTAGCCAAGTTTATTATACATTTGAGTTGTAATAAGTGGGAAGATTCCGCCTGTATCGAAGTCAGCATATGTCCACTAGTAATCAACGAAGACGACTCACCAAGCATGTTCCGGCAGAAAGACTGCGCCGCTAGTGCTGAACTCGCATAGCGATGATACGTATCTGCGAGAAAGTTGAAGGTCGCAAGGTAGATGCTGAAGATTCCGATAGTAGCAATACCAATTGCGATTGCTGGTACAACCCAATGAATATCAGGGAAGCTCGTCCAACCAAACATGAAAAGACCAATAGGCATACAGGCGCTTTCTATGCAAGCAAAGTAGAGGCGGCCTTCGGGAGTGCCTGTTAGTTTTCCGTTCCTCTTCGCAATTTTCTCTTGGTAAATTGACAATATAGTCGAGAAGATACTAGCTATTCCCATAGACGCGAAGACAGCGTTGGCTTGTTGTAGTGAGAAACCATGGTTGCTCTGGAACACCAGTGGAATGGCCGCTAGAGTGAGATAAAGTACAGCCCAGGAAAAGGCCACCCAGAGCGAGAACCAGAATACTACGGGTTCGGTGAAGAGAAGATGGAATGGTCGGTAAAGAGAGACTCCTATCATCTTGCTGAGAGAAGCCCGTTCCTCATCTGATCGTACTTTCCATCTCAAACGTTGCGATACCATGTTCTCAGGCTTTTCGGCATCGTGGATGTTGAAGCCATAATATCCGGACGCCTCGCGGGCCTCGTACCACTTGTTCAAAGCTTTGGCCTTCTTGGACAGAAGAACTGATCCGCGGGTTTCTTTAAATACAACACACATCAGCACGACCACTGCCGCGCATGCAATAGCTTGTACGTAGAATATCCACCTCCAAGACGTGTTCTGTGCAATAAAGCCACACACTAATGGCCCCCAGGACGTGCCGAACAATGCAGCGCCCGAGAACAGAGCCATGGGGGTGTTGCGATCCTCAGCATGGTATATGTCAGACACCACTCCGCCAACCATAGTCGAGAATGTAGATCCACCTACACCCAAAAAGAACCGCGCAACGAGCATACCAGCATAAGACTGCGTGAGGCCAGAGCAGAGCTGACATATCACAAATAGTATACCAGAAGCGAGGAAAACTGGTCGTCGGCCATTGATCTCAGAGAAGGGGGCCAGAACCATCGGCGCGATGGCGAAGCCGGTCGTAAAGGTCGTGATGCCGACAAGCGCTGCAACACTGCTGACACCCCATTCCTGCGTCATTTGCCCAACGCCCGGGCTGTAAGCTCCGGCTGAGAACGCAGTAAGCGCCGTGATGAAACATGACACGCATATCGTGAATCTTTTTCTTGTCTCGGACCAATCGAAAGGGTTCGTATATTTGGTAAGGTTTGGGGGCCCAGGTGGAGCTTCCTGATCGGGTTGCGTCGGATGGATAGTTGTCGGATGCGGAAGTTCGACGTCGAATGTGAGATATCGCCAAACGACTTCTGAACTCTGAATGTCTTTTTGCGATGCGAATTCGCTACTGGCGCTGTTCTTTCCATAATAGTATTCTTTCTCTGGCTCGTTGTCTGGTTCGGTTGTGGAATCGTGACTTGCGGGTTCCTCTGCCGAAGTCCTGTGCATGTCCGGCAATATGCTTATTCCCGCTTGGCTTCGCGAATCGGTAGCTCCAAGCTCAGAGGTCTCTGGAAGGTTGATCTCTGGATTGGCAGCCATGCTGCCACGAACTCCTTCTCTTCAATAGAAAGGCCAAAAGGGTGTGCTGGAGATATCGTAATGAACGCGTCAGAGTTCAAGAGCAAGCGTGAATCCGGTGACGATGAAAAGCTCGACCTTCATAGCTTAAGCGGCGGGTTAGGTCTGGTCCGCTAACCCACACACCCGTAGCCGAAATGTATCCCAACGAACAACTGGACGGTGTGAGACGCCCGGTTCTATTCCGAAGTGGTGGACAAAAGTTGATTGTATTGGTCGGGAATAGGAGTACTTCTCCATCGTCCAGGCCCGCCTTGCATGGGGCGTCCCGCTTCGGGCTAAACTTGGGAATTATCGTGCTCACCGACACGCCAAGGCCGCCTCAAAATCTTTGAACTGGGCGGAAAACAGGGTCGATCTGATGCGTCATGCGGGAAGGATGCTGATGTGCCTCGAACAGAGACAACTCAACCCGGACGAGCGAATGGCTCCCCGACCAGCGACAATGCCAGCGGGAAGTACCGGCACTTTCCCAAAAGCAAACACTTTCTTCGCTCTCCGATTCTGCGATAACCGGTACAAGATGTAATGTCTTTGAAAAGTGGGGATAGCGGATGTTTAGTTTCGGATGTTCGGCCTAAATGTTCGATGAACCGCCAGGCGCAGAGCAATTAGGAGCTGCGCAAGGCTGCTGCCAGGGGACCGCATGGAGGAGTAGAAGTAGTGATGTTCATATGTAACACATGAATCTGCAGCCTTCATGTCGCACCGGCTGCGAGAAGCTTGAAGCCACGACCATGATGGATTTCGCGCGACATGACAGATGACAGCTGTTCAGCGATGCATTGACAAGGGCACGCGCTGAAACAGAGTTACCCAGCCTGAGAGCGGACCCCATGCTTCCGTGCACTGCCCTAGGAGCATTGTTTGCCGAAGTGATATATGGTGAACCGGTGATGAACGAAACTTCCTTCAATCGCTTTGCCAAATACATAGGTACCGGGGTACGCAGTCGAGCTACCCGCCATGATACCTAGGTACCAACACCAACATAGACAAGCAGACAGTACGCACATTGCAAAGCCTGACGTCCTTAGGATCTCGCCTCACATGAACGGTGGTCTTCTCGTTGAACGGTTCGCGAATAATCTGACCCGATTTGGAGGATGCTTACCCAGCGCATACTAGAGCAGCGATGAGGAATTTCCTATCTGTCTCATTGGCTTTTATCAGCCTCCAATTGCGACAAATGCTCGGCAGGAGGGGCGACTCATTGGCAGCGCAGCACCGCCGGAGATATCGAGTCTATGATTCGCCTGCTGGCCAACGACGTGGAATATTCGAGCGGCAGAAAAGCTTTGGTGGAGATACGTGACATGACGCCATATACGCTAGCTAGAAGTGTTGCTTGTCGATTGTTAGGTACGGCCTTTACAAGAAGACAGATGACCCCACTACTTCGACTCTCCCTCTGACAAACCTACAGCTTCTTAATCAATCGCTCGGAAGATACTTTGACATCTTCTTCAAGCCCACTTGTACACGGAACTAAGATTCAGGTATGGCAACTTGCTTTCGCCTGCCCCGCCACTTACCCCACATGTTTGCGGAGTTTGCTTGGACACGACTGACATGAGCACGAGCACAGAAGACACAATGAGCGACCGACCAGAACCCCTCAGGCTCGGCTCCAAGGCCCCCAATTTCAAGGCCGAGACGACCCAAGGACCCATCGACTTCCACGAGTTCATCGGCGACAACTGGGTTATTCTTTTCTCTCACCCTGAGGATTACACTCCTGTCTGCACAACTGAGCTCGGTGCTTTCGCCAAGTTGGAGCCTGAGTTCAGCCGTCGCGGTGCCAAGCTCATTGGTCTCTCAGCCAACACAGTAGAAAGTCATGGAGGCTGGATCAAGGACATTGACGAGATCTCGGGAAGCAGCCTCAAGTTCCCCATCATCGGCGACAAGGACAGGCAGGTCGCCTTGGCATACGACATGTGAGTAGGAGGAATCACACGATGCTAGTGACACGCGTCTGACAATCGCCAGGATCGATCACCAAGATGCCACCAACGTCGATAGCAAGGGAATCGCCTTTACAATCCGCTCAGTCTTCATCATCGACCCCAAGAAGACCATCCGCCTCATCCTTTCTTACCCAGCAAGCACAGGCAGGAACACTGCGGAGGTCTTGCGTGTCTTGGACAGTTTGCAGACTGGTGACAAGCACAAAATTACTACTCCTATCAACTGGGTTCCAGGTGATGACGTTATCGTCCACCCCTCTGTTAAGACCGAGGACGCCAAGACCATGTTCCCTGATATCAGAATTGTTAAGCCTTACCTGCGCTTTACTCCTCTCCCGTAAGTTTTATAGTTACGAAATGCTTTCGAGACATGCGCTGACTTGATAAACAGGAAAGAGAAGACGACTGCGGCATAGACGCAAACATTATCGACGATAAGATACCTTGAGATGAGACAATCATGACAGCCTATACCAATATTGTGGCGATGGCTGTTGGGATCCATCGAATAATTATAGCCCAGACTATGCTTAGCTGTGAGAATAGACAAGGCACAATCATGAGAATGAAGTTGGTCTACCTTCGCATGCTTTCCAGGTCGTGTCTAATAGCCATGCTATGCTGATATCACTTGCGACTATTGGTCAACAACGTCACGTTTCGTGGGCCAAAGTTACCTTGCACCGTATACGAGGGAAAAACCGAACAGGTGTAGACATAACAAGCTTTACCTTGCAGCCTACATTATCTTCTAATAAGATAACTTATCAAGATTAACAGTATTATAGTCTTCTAGGTTTTTCATCTATATCTATATAGCTCTCTGTATGCTCTTTTGTAGTAGGAAGGAGTACTCTTAAAGAGGAAGTTTTTTTTTCTTTGATACAGTGTTGCAAGCCGTGTGTTGATAAGACGTTCAAGTGTATTCTCTAAGATGGCTCTTCAAAGCCACCAGAGACGGTGATACATAAGAAGCGAGACGCGCCAGGACTCTGAGCGAAGTCGTATCTAAAGATTCCATCTAACGACTGGAGAGACGGGCACACCCGGAATAATAACAACAAAGATCGCTCATTCCTGTCTTCGCCAATACCTTCTTAACATAACCTAGCATTTTGTAGAGAATACCACAAAAGTGGCCGCGGGCGAATCTGAAAGAAAGCAGAGTCCCTCAGCGCGACTCGAGGTACTGATAATCGGCAGGAGTGAAACCGTAGTTGCCATCAGGGAACATGGTACCGAGGTGGGACTGGCGGGCTTTCGAGTGGGCTGGCGGACCATGCGAGCGTGTCCGCTTACCCTCGTATCCATCATCACCTAACCTCTTGGAGTGATTCCTGGAGCCAGAGTAGCAGAGTCGTCAGCGTTGAAGAGAATGTCAGAAGAGTGGAAAGGTGAAGAAGAAGAAGAGAAACAGGGAGTGAGCGACGGGAAAGGCGAGACTAAAAACGGCGGGAAAAGAGCAGTAAAGGTCTCAAAAACTTAATAACAGACGAGAGTGTTCCGAGGTTTACCAAGCTCTTTCTTTTGCGATGTACCCGAGTCATGCGTTTCGCAACCATACGCGTCCTTTGCGAGACTCAAAGCAACGCGGTTTGGGGAATATCGATTAGTTTCTCCATGTACAGTGTTGTAACAAAGGCGCGATACTAGGTCGTCTTTTCGTCGGCTTTGAAGCGCACTGCTAGTACCTGGGCTCCAATTTGAAATTAAGAGCGACGGTGCGAAATAGCGAGAGGCTACGTCTCGGTCCAGTCCGACGCACTACCAGGAAGCCTCCGACTACCATAGTAACTTCCAAATACCGCTTTCCCAGGTACTAGTCCAGCTTCACCGATCATCCGATATGAACATCCAGATGGGCCTCCTACGCTAACAGCGCCTCTAATCTTGAACATACGATTGTTGATTTGTTGCCCCAACATTCATTGCGCTAATTTGTTTTCGCGACCGTGCTCTTGCGTCGATGAATCCTCTTTGCAAGCCTTGCTGAGCCAAAAGTGTGCGGTGCCCTCGCATCTCGAGAACGGACGTCAGTATCGCTGGTATCGCTGGTATCGCTGGTATCGCTGGTATCGCACACTGACGTCCTTGCGGCCTGAAATTGGCGCCTGTGGCTCGGGGTACCCTCTAACGGTCTGATTGTCAAGTCTCAGCCTATCATTCCAGCTCGGATCTCCCTCCGCCTCCACACCCTCCGTCGCCTGCCCTGCCTACTACTGTTTCACCCCACCGGAAAGTCTTCAGCTATCAGAGTGCTGCAGCCGCTCTGCCTCTGAATACGTCCAACATCGATACCTTGCTAGCGAACCTGCAGGCGCCAGGACTGACGATTCTCGCCAAGGCTCTAGTCCATTTCCAGCGTAGAGGCCTCCACACGAACCTCGCTGTCATCTGTATCGCGCGAGTTCAGCAGCACCACGCGTTGAATACCGCCTCTTCCTTCTCTGCATACGTCTACCGTTCCCCTGGATCATCTTCCCCGCTCGCTCCCGTGTGTGGCGATTCTCGCTCAAAAGTAAGGCTCGTCTTCCTTTTATAAGCCTGCACCCCTCTCTTTGTTTCGTTTGTCGATTTTCAGCCCATGCCGCCAGCATCAACATGTTGTGTCGTTTTCCCTTCCCGTATCCTTAGCCATTACATCTCAAAAAGAGCTGGAATTTTTCATTGTCCTACCATAAGGCGCTGCGTCGTAAGATCACTGTTCGTATCACGGTAGCAAGTCGCACTGCAGCAACATGCCCTTCCCTAATGTGTAAAGATGGCTTTTCAACTTGCGGTAGGGCCTTTCTTTGTAACCCGCACCTTGCAAAGACGCCTGCATTGGAAGTATGTTGCAGCCCATGACAGATCATTTCAAAACCAGGCCATTCCTCATCTTTCAGCATTACTTTGCATCTCCAATCTCATCCTGCATACTGGTCGCTAACCATGGCACTGCCTCTAGGTTTATTCTATCCCTCTGTCGGTGCTAGTACCGAGCGATTGGGCGACACATCGTTGTTTTGGAAAAGACCAAGAGAAATAAACATCAGACAGGTCTTGACCAGAAAGAAACGTTCTGTCGACTCTACGGGTTCTCTTTCCAGCACTTATCGCAGGGTCCACTTGGAAACTCCACTGGAATCCAATTGGTCTCGTCGAATCGAATCTAAGCACGTGCCCATCGTCCATGATCAGATTGTAACACCTAAAAGTCTCTGTACGAGTTTTGACCTCAGCTCTCCGCCATCGAGTAGCTGTCCTAGCCTCTCCGGAATTCCCTGGCCGAGCAGCAAATCCCTGATCAGATCTCCCAGCGTTAAGTCTCGTCATGTGGAGATTGTGATACCAAATTGGGCTATACCTCTACAGAAATTCTCATCCTCTTCCGTCGAGCTACTTCTTGATCTTGGTGGACCTCAGCACGTTACCGCTTCGCTACAAAGCCCGCGCAGCATGGCTAGCCGAACTCACACCCTGGATTCCCAAACATCGGCACCTTTTACATCGAGTTTGAACAATAGCCAAACAAGTTTGAATCATCAAGACGGTCAAGATGGCGGATCCGACCGGCCACCAACATCTTCAACTCGGACGCCTGGCATGTCTCAGTCTCCAGCTATGCTCGCAGGACTTGCAACACCGACAAGTTCAACGGCAGGATTGTCGGGTTTAGTCTGCAATGTACATCGTACAACTGGAAGAGAACCGCATCCCCTCGTGGGCGCCACTACCACCATACTAGGCGACAAATTATATGTTTTTGGCGGCCGCCGACTCTCCCGGACGAGACCGCAGCTTACGTCGGACTTGTACGAACTCGATCTCGTCAAGCGCCACTGGACAAAGGTCGATGCAAAAGGTGATATTCCGCCCCCTCGGTATTTCCACAGCGTCTGCCCACTTGGTGACACGAAACTCGTCTGTTATGGAGGCATGTCACCTGTAAGTCCGTCTTCTAACCAAGCAACTTCTGTGATACAAGGTGCTCCTGCCGATGCTCAACCTGAAGTGGTGGTCATGTCCGATGTCCACATCTACGATGCGCTTACAAGAGAGTGGATGCATGTCGCCACAACCGATCCACCCCAAGGTCGTTATGCACATTGCGCAACCATACTTCCAAGCTCTGCCGTTTTCAGTTCGACATCAGCCGCTGTAACAGCCATACGGCACAACCCACCTTCATCGAATCCGAACCAGGGTTCTCTTGGCGTGCAGTTGGACGGCGAGGGTGGCGCGGAAATGCTCGTCGTGGGCGGGCAGGATAGTGCCAACCACTACATTGAGCAGATTAGCGTTTTCAATCTCCGGAGCCTCAAATGGACGGAAACGAGCACATTAGGCAGAAGTTGCGGCGCTTATCGAAGCGTGGTTGCGCCTCTCACCAGTATCGACCCCAGCGATATTGGCGGAGGAACACGGCAAGCTGGCGAAGCAAGAGCACCCGAAGAGCGGATCTCCAACAAGACTGGCGAGTCATCAATGCTCATATATTCCAACTACAATTTCCTAGACGTCAAGCTCGAATTACAAGTACGGCATCCCGATGGAACCCTGTCCGAGAAGCCAATGCACGGCAATTTCTCACCACCAGGCCTCCGATTTCCAAACGGCGGTGTCATAAACAATCACTTTGTAGTAAGCGGTACATTCTTGACCTCCTCAAAACAAGAATATGCTTTATGGGCTCTCGACTTGCGAACACTAAGTTGGGGCCGCATCGAAGCTGGTGGTAACATCTTCAGCCAGGGTAGCTGGAACAGAGGAGTGTTGTGGAACCGTCGAAATAGCTTCGTTATTCTTGGAAACCGCAAGAGAAGTCTGGTTGAAGACTACAATCATCGGCGCATCAATTTCTCGAACATATGCGTGGTTGAACTAGAGGCATTTGGACTCTACGATAATCCACGCAAAGTAACACCAGCATCGGGATTCAGCTCTGTAAGCGCACCGCCCCAGCACGATCGACTTGATATGCTTGCAGGCGGTCGCACGTTATTACCCGCGGCCACCGAGCTAGGTCAGCTGGCTTTAGGCATGCGAGAACTTGCGGACATGGATTTCCTAGCCTTACACGGCGAGCGCATCCCCGTTAACTCTCACATTATTGCTCGACGCTGGGGCCCCTATTTCAATCAGCTGCTCCGCGAGAGTGCCCAAAGCGCTGAGAAAGAAAATGCTGAGGCAGCGACTCTACGACCTACTGCCACAATGCATCCATCAAGGAACTCGAGCATCACCATTACACCTTCTATCAGGACAACTTACTCAACCGCAACAACACTCACCGCCAACACTATAACGCCATCCGAGGCCACAGCCGTATCAGCGAACTCCTATTCCTCACTGAGCCCCCCAGAACCTTCATCGCACTCGCCATCGCAACGGCCTCGAACATTATTCCTCCCACACACACATCTTACACTTCAAGCCCTTATACATTTCCTATACACATCATCACTACCACCACATAACTCACCCCTATGCTCACCGCAGATTCTTTGTTCTCTACTTCAGCTGGCGCGACCATACCACATCGACGGCTTACTGGAAGCGATCATCGAGAGACTTCATATCTTATTAGACAACAGAAACACTGCGGCAATCTTCAACGCTGCAGCCATGGCGGCTGGCGGCGGCTCCGGTATCGCGTTCAAGGGTGTCAACGGCGTGTCAGGCACGAACGGAACAACGAATGGCTTCTCAACCTCTGTTTCAAGCAACAATACTACAGTTGCCGACGTAGAACGGAGCCTGGATGCTGGCCTTCGCGCACTCCGCGTCAACACTGATGTAGATCGGAATCACGATGACGAAGTCAGCTCAGCGGCGTCTGAAGCAACATCAGCTTCAGCATCTGATAGCGGATTTGGAGATGGAAGTGGCATCGAAGACCGAGAGACATGGAATGGGGAGATGAGTGCAGTAGTTGGGCTACAAAAGCGAGGACTGAGGGGCCTCATGGAGGGCCGCAGAATCAGGGAAATGGGTAGAGGAAGAGACAGAAGCAGAGACGATGGCGCCATGGGCAACGGAGATGGAGTAGGCCTTGGCTTGCAGGGCGCTTGATAAGAAGACAGAAGCGGACTGGCAAGACTGGTCATCTATATAGCGAGAAGGGGTTGGTAGAGAGTGGCGTTCGTTCTTTCTTCGATGGGAAATTTTCATGATGATATTGGAAATCTAGGGATTTGATATAGGTGAACCCAACGTAGGGACTGCTATGATTTTCCGTACCTCCATTGCCATACTCTTGGTGCCACCTTCTGCAACCGATGGCATCTTAGTCTTCGTTGCGATACACGCATAGCCGCTGCTACATGCACGGAGAGGCGGAGGGTAGGTCTCGATTGCGAAGCTCCCCGCAATCTCAGAAGGCTCGTCCTGGTAGCGATCGTGGAAGTATAGGGGCCACGGGCTTGTTGCGGAGTTCTATAGTTGTTCTTGGCCGTGGATGCATTCTCACTTTGCCTCTGGGAAGTGGCGCTGTAATGAGTCGACGAACTCGATGAGAGCACACAGCGTCCTTGTTGCCAGCTCCTCGACAACGGCGAACATCCTCTCTTGTGGACACTGGCTCACTTCTCTCAACGGTATACTCTAGCAACCTCAGGTACTCTCGGCATATATGGTGGTGGTGGTGGCGCCTCGAATGCGCCTCTCTCATCCCAACCCCCCGTCTTCCCCCTGATCATCCTTCCAGACGGTAATCTCACTGTCGCTACGCCATCTTCAGTTCCGAGCACTTTGAGCCCATTTCCCAGCCCACCATTGGCGCGCACAGCGCGTTCTCGAGCGTATCTGCGACTGCGACTTCGCACGTACACCAAGCTGAGTACGACGCCGACAAAGGCACCGACGAAAATGATGATGACGAGGATGATGGTGCGGTGCGTTGTGCAGGAAGAGTCGTAGGCTGTTTCGCAGTACTCTGAACGTCTTAAGAGTGTAAGCGAGTCGTCTAGGGTGAGAGTGTGTGGTGCCATTGAGTGAAGTGGCTGGCTGTGTGTTATGTGATGATGTTTTGTATGCGATGTGTGAAGAGCAAAGAAGTACCAAATGATGGACTTGTATACGGAATATGGCCTCGAAGCGCGAATCTACCTACTACATATCTCTTTTTGCGACCTCGCTATCTTAATCAATCAGTTCAGTCCACATACACAACAAACCCATTCGCCGGCCTAAGGCGCAGCAGCCTCACAAGATATTCGCGACTTCAAGGATCCCATGCATCCTCAACAACGCCTCAATCAACTTGAGAGAGACATTCCTACCTGTGCTCTCCTCAGGTGTCAAGGCGGGTCTCATCTTGCGGTTCCCGTTGGACGATGGCTTTGCGGGCGCCTCTAATCATCTGCATGCACTGCCCCGCACGTTGGGCCTTGGGTCAGCCTTGTCGGGCGGCTTTTGGCGTCCCAGTCCATGCGAGTGAGGCGCACTGTATGGCCATTTGGCAACCTTATCCTTTGTGAGGTTATGTGTTGAGTACAATGAATGGAAAAACCTTCTATCGCATGAGTTGATGATACCTAGGTAATGGTGACGCTTGCAGCGTGGGAGTCGCGAGGGCCGACCGCCATGCCTGTGACCCGCGACAGCACCCCTTTCGAACGCGCACAACAGGTGGAGATCTCCAAATATAATTGACATATCTTTAATGATTCAAGGCATCTGTTGTTTCAATGCCGCATGTTGATATCCGCTTTCAGCATCTGGTATTTCAGTCTTACAGTTAAGCTGTTGGACGGCGCTTCGCGACACAGGACTGTGCCACACCAGCGCACATCACGCTGGGGCTTAGCTGTGCCTTTTGGTCGCGGGATTCTACCAAAACTCCAGGCAACGTACCATTGCGTGATTGTGTAATTATGCCCTAGGCGGTCTTCAAGGCGGTTGCTGAGCGATCAGGCCCGCAGCGGTTCATGTGATGAGAGGGCGCAGAGGGCGCAGTTGGCAAGGCTGTTGCAGGTTGAGTCAAGATGATGCATTGAGGATGCGATTCGCCAGGAAGACAATTGTGTAAGCATAATCTAATGCTGACACCATGTTTCCGTCATAAAGCAGTTCCTCTTTTGTGTGTTCCATCAAGCTCTGCGTTCACATGTTGAACAGTTCCAAAGTTGTATGTAGGTTGGATGCAAAAGCGTGAAAAGGTCCATGGCCTTCTAAAAGCGCCTTGTGCGTGATGAAAGGGTCCAAGAGCGCATGATACTGCACCATTCTGGGAACGAAGCTGTACAGGAACAAGTCACTATCGTAGTGGTTTGTGTCTCGAACTGATGATGCATTTTTGGTTGACTTAGGTACCTAGGTAGTATACTATGCAAACACGTATCCCAAACTTCACGGCCGTAACAAATTCATGTCCCGAACCCGAGCCGAACGCACTCGTCTCGAGGCCGGGTACCCTACTGGCTCTTGGTCCAAGCCACGCAAGGTCGACGTGGTTGACGTTCCAAAAAAGTATACCAGAGATCCCCCGCGGGGGCCTTTCGGTATGCCCAATCGGGCAATCCATCGAAGATGCCGGTATGCTTCCCCGCAAACAAGAGTATTGGAGTCTTCCACAATCGTGCCATGCATGCAATGGAGGAAGACAGTACGAGGCCAGGCCTACTCCAAGAAAGTCCGGTGACCAGACTCTCCGCCTGGGGCCGGTTTAAAATCCACAATGGTCCCGGTTTGCGTCGACTCTACGAACCGATCTCGCATTCCTTTTCTGTGTATAAATACTTGACTTTGAGCGACCTTGTTTGCGCATACCCCGATTTTCATAATATCCCCACCTTTTATCTTGCACAATTGAGTCCAAATGATCCAAACCATGCCAAAGACTCAAGGACTTCCAGAGTTTAGCCTAGCGGGGAAGGTAGTGTTGGTGTCGGGTGCTGCTCGAGGACTCGGTCTGACACAAGCCGAAGCATTGCTGGAAGCTGGCGCACGAGGTATGTCTTTCCAACGAGCTGGACTGTCGAGAGCTTGGACAGACAACTAACACGGATCCACAGTATACGCACTTGACAGACTCGAGGAACCCTCAGCAGACTTTGCGCCAATTGCTGAGAAAGCAAAGAACGAACTCGGAACTTCGCTCGAATACCGCCAAATAGACGTGCGAGATGTCAAGAAGCTCCATGAGATTGTTGAGGAAATCGCCAACAAGGAGGGTAGACTTGACGGGCTGATTGCTGCGGCCGGCATCCAACAAGAGACGACTGCGTTGGAATACACTGCTGAGGATGCAAACCGCATGTTCGAAGTCAACATCACGGGAGTCATGATGACTGCGCAAGCGGCTGCGAAGCAAATGATCAAGTTTGGAAGTGGCGGAAGTATCGTGCTCATCGCGAGCATGTCTGGTACAGTTGCAAATAGGGTACGACTACCTCGACTCGTTACCATGTCTTGTGCTAACCAAGTCAACAGGGTCTCATCTGCTCGGCATACAACGCGTCGAAAGCCGGTGTCATGCAGCTCGCGCGCAACCTCGCGTCAGAATGGGGCGAGCATAACATCCGCGTCAATACAATCTCGCCAGGGTACATTGTGACTGCAATGGTGGAGGAGCTCTTCAAGAAATACCCAGAGCGTAGAGACACGTGGCCGACACAGAACATGTTGGGTCGTCTGTCGAAGCCTGAGGAATACCGTGGTGCAGCGGTGTTCTTGCTGAGCGATGCGAGTTCGTTCATGACGGGGGCGGACCTAAGAATGGACGGCGGCCATGCTGCGTGGTAGAATAGATAGTTGAGTGGTCATACAGCACTACCATGTTCAAAGCATGCGTCCTCTGGCTTTGTTGCGTGAAGGTGTTCTGCCCAATGCGAAGCTTCGGAAGTCCGTGAGCTTGGTGCTGAGTCAGCCGCGATTGTCGCAATGTGGGTAAGAGGGCCCACGGGTTACAAGCATTCTGGTCAGAGCGCGTCTGATCGTTCCTTCGAAGCCATGAAGACGTCAAACGGGTGATTGCAGTACTCTTGGTAGGACGCTACCTGCCATGTTCTTCTCAACCTCTATTCTATCATACTTGGACTGCGCATTCACCAGCCACCGCTCGTCTGAGTCGGCTCTAGCATGACGGCGTCAACGCCCTCTACCGTGTCCCGCTATACGCCCGCTATATTGTTCCTCACCGGTGTGTCAGCTGGATACGCGGCATATCTCATCTACAACACGGTCCAAAGCCCTGGCCCGGGCGATGGCCTCCAGCGCAGCAACGCGGTCCGCAGACGGCGCCCGCGAGAACCACCGCCAGCACCTACCCTCCCACTGAACGAGCGCGACATACCCTTTCTGGGCCGATACGATTTACTCGGTACCGAAGTGCCCCTCGACCCTCGCAGCCTCGTCACCCCAACAGAGCTGCGCGACATCATCCTAAGCGCGCAGCCAGACGCCCAACATATCGTAATCGAAAATGCCATAACAAGCCTATACAACGAGTTCCTCGATCGACTGCTGGTCATACTCTACCCCGATCGAGCCCTGTCCCCATCACAGGCGGACAGTGTCGCAACTTGGCTGAACGCCCGCAATCCGAACATCACAACACTGGATCGTGCCCAGATAGCCCGCGCCGTGGCAAGGCATGCGCAGATATTCCCTCCCGGCGACAGCCTTGCTCTCGATGATGCTGAGAGTATTGCAGCTACAGATTTGTCCTTGGGAAGCGACGAGGACGCGGATGATGCTATTGATCCCGAAGGCCAGACTCTTCAGCGCACCTTGTACCACATTGCAGAGGACCGCGCGAGGCTGGAGGGCGTTATACATCGTGGCATTACGTGCAACGGGTGCGACGAGAAGCCTATCCGAGGCACCAGGTGGCACTGCGCCAACTGTCCAGACTTCGACCTGTGCTCCAACTGCGAAGCAACCAATTCGCATTACAAAAACCACATCTTCTACAAGATTCGCGTGCCTGCGCCATACCTGAGTCTCCCAAAGCAAGAGCCCCTCTATCCTGGCAAGCCTCACATGATGAGCCCCTCAATCGATCCAGCACTCAAGAGACGCCTCGTAGCCGAAACCAAGATGGAAGCAGAGGAGATTGAGGCCTTGTGGGACCAGTTTACTTGTCTCGCAGGGGCCGAGTGGGCAGCTGATGCCAATGGGGTAGGATGGGCCATCGATCGACGCGACTTTAATCACGCATTCGTGCCTCGCTACAATGGCTTCGTCGCCGCACCGAACCTCGTCTACGACCGTATCTTCGCATACTATGATACGGATAAGAATGGGCTCATCGGGTTCGATGAGTGGGTCAAAGGGCTCGACGGCATGCACGACACTGATGCCGATGTCAAGGCCAGAATAGTCTTCAATGGATACGACATCGACGGAGATGGCTATATATCGCGCAGGGACATCCTGCGCATATTCAGAGCATACTATGCAATCGAGAAGGAAGCTACAAGAAACTACATCTCGGAGCTGTCAGACGAAGTAACTGTGCGGTCAGCTTTGGACACGATTCGCTCTAGCCAGCCCCTGGGCTCCGCATTTCCGCCCCGCAGTATGGCTGCATCGAACACGAACAATCCCCGCCTACGGCAGAAGAGAGAAGAAGATGTGACTACAGCTCTCCCGCTGCTTGAGCAGAACAGCGACGAGGCTGATCGGGCTGAGATAATATGGACGACAGGTCTTCACCATACCGAACCCACGTATTCTCCGCGGACGCCGAACGAACAACAAAACGACATTATCACCCAGAGATGGGCCCGCAGACAATATTACATTGACGAAGAAGAGGGTCTAACGCGGCCTGAAGGTTTCGAGGAGTCAGACGCTGACGAATTGGGGACCGTCAATGGGGTGAACGACAACGCTGAAAACGCATATATAAATGAGAATTGGACCCGCAACAGGAGCTCACGGTCATCCTCAAGGGTCCGTTTCCAGGATGACGTGGACATAGACACGCGCTCCAATGCCTCTTCGTCCAGGCCCGTCGGAGAGCGATGGGGTGGTTATGAAATTCCTGAGCCTGAACAAGACCTTGGCAAAGAGGTACTATATCAGGTTACACAACAGGGGTTCAACGAACTACTCAATCCGCTTTTCCTAGAGAAAGAGGACATGGCCATGGACGCACATGAGAAGCGCAACGAGCGTCGAGCCAGAGCAGCCTCAATCGACGCGCTGACCATGCACCACTTCACGGACGGTAAGGCTGCTGTTGAAGCTATTGTACAGGTTGGCGTTTTTCGATTCTCGAAATGCATCATCGACAGATTCTGCAGGACACTCAATAACGGACGACCACATGTCAGAAACTTGTTCATCAGTCATATTAACGGTAAACCATATACCGAGCGAGAGGCATGCGCAATACTCCAAGAGATCTACGATGATGTTGAAGAGAGGGTACTTGAAACCGTGAAGATATCCAGAAATACCAACGTCGACAACATGACAATGTGGAACACGTTGTTGATAAAGTGCCAGCTTCGAGAAGAAGTCCTTAATGCTATCGTGGAATGTGTACACAATAAAGGATGGCTGGCACCACCTGCATTGAATGGAAGTCCGGCTGGTACTTACAGGGATCCCACCATGCCCCAATTCCGGCCAGACTCATCCGATGAACCGTCACCGACAGCCTTGCGGACTGCCTCGGATAGCTCCTCAAAGACCAGTGTTGCCTCCGATACTGATACATCCTCGCTACCCTCAGACGAAGGGACGGATCTGAATCGTTGTTTTTTTGCGACCGCAGACCACGACGGCCTAGAAGACTACCCAGAGCGAAGATATGCCGGCGAAAGCGATTCTCCGGCTCATGACACTACTGATTCTTCCGAAGAAGCTCCACAGCTCAGCTCTTCGACAGCACAGCAAGGAGCAGAAGATGGCCTGTATGCGATCAACTGGCGATGGTACACCGACAACCCCGAAATCCACTGTCTCCTCATTCAAAACGTTGAAGGTGTGGACACTATCATATGCGCGCGCAACCAGATCAATCATTCCACAAACCCACATTATACTGAGACGAATCAACTTAAGCCGTTGCAACGCTCGATACGTCAGCTTGCTATGGACCCAAGATCACGCCTTCATCTTACCATGCTAGCCAGTCTTGAGGCTGTCGAGCAGGAGATCAACGAACGGAAAGGAAGCGGTCTCATCAACTTTGAGGAGTTTGCGGAGCACATGAGGCAGGGCAGGCTGGGGTTCCTTCAGGCTTGGATGGAATGGGTAAGCATGTGAACTGAGCAGGGATATGGGGGCCCAGCTATACCCACTCGACTCAGAACTCTGTGCTTAAAAGGGATTGCGTAGTTTGCGACTTTGTCTTGGCTCGCCATCTAACTCGCTGTGCTTACATTCGTTCCAAGCGGCTGTCAACGGCACGAGCTAGTCTTGCATCGGACTAACATCGTTTGATTAGTTCTTTCAGTTGCTCAGTCTACCGTCGTGTATTCACAATACTCCGCCTCGCGACCTGACCATGTTGATATGGACCTGACGTTGCACATATGGCGGTGTTGGTGTTACGAGGAAATCTATACATACTCATGGGAGGTGGACATGGAAAAGAGCAAAGGGGAAGGCATTGCCAGTTTTGGTCTTAGAGGAAACGACATGCACGAAACGTTTAAGAATTGATGACTACGAAGCTTCTCTATTTCATGAGCTGTAAAGAATACCCAAGGCAGAAGAATACATTATCTTCCATCTTATAAGCTTCTCAAGGTAAAATATTGCGAATGCCTTCAAAGCAAAATTTTCCCGGTACAGAGGACTTGTCATGTACATGATGGGTGGGTTACCAGCCGCGATGGGATCGTCATGTCTGCTTTGGTAGGTGCTCTGCGATCTGTCCATGTTGATTTTCGCACCATACTGTGCTTCATTCAGTTCTCGGAAGCAAGTTAACCGTATGACCAATCTTTAGAACATGCGGTGAGCACATGTTCCTAGATAGAAAGTGTCCCTACTTTACCTTGGCGATACCAACTAACCAGCCGATGTACAGCATGACAGCTACCTTCTGTCAAACACTTTTGGAAGGTAATTTCCTCTTCTTTTAAGCTCCTAGCCTTGGAAGTTCGTGTGAATGTTGGAGTCGAGGCAGGAAATCGATTAGAGAAGGGTCACCCTTTGGCAGCCATCTTATTGTTTCCTCTTTTCGACGGCGCGGGAAGGATGCCGAGATGCTCGAAAGTGGTTAGCAAGCCAGGTACTTTATCCCTTCGACACCGACATTATGGTATTGTCACGCCTCAATAAGCATTGGTGTTCGAAGGATTGTGGATGATGTGCTTCGGTAGTGAGCTGTTGAGAGTATTTGAACTCTGGGATTACTATAGGTAATATGTTCTATTCTACATCTACCTCCAAGACGATTCCACAGTAGCCTGGCACTCAAGTCTACTTGGCATCATGAAGACATCTACTATCCTTCTCACGACGACTATGTGCGTCCTCGCTACTGCCACATCTCTCCCGAGTTCCGAAACTTTGGCTACCAGCGACATCTGGATAGGTCTGAACTTGAACAAATGTCTAGTTAATGCCGAAGTCATTCCCCAGGCCAAGTGAGTTCCAGCTACCAACTACAACGTAGACTATGGAAGCCATATCTCGCCCGATACATCCTGACAATTACACACAGCCTCGAAGCTCAGAAAGTCGTTGCCAAAGAGGTCATCGATGCCTACAACGTCTGGGATATCGAAAGGATTCTCGCGTACCGAACTCCGGACTGCAAGCAACAAATCCTACCCGCTACTCTTAACCGCTCACCTAAGAGTAACGACGAGTACCGCGCATACTTTGAAACTATTGAGCCCTTGTACATCAATTTCACAGTACGAATCATTCTCTCAAAGAGACGAGATAGAGCGACTGACTCATCTGATTATAGGCCACAGTCTTCCAAGAGACGCATGACCCCGAGGCGCACACTTGTATCATACATGCACGCAGTACGGCGTCGACGCCGATCGGTTCGTATGGGAATGAATATGCACTTATCCTGACCTTTACAGAGGATGGTACGCAAGTTAGACAATTCGACGAGTTTGTCGATTCGGCATACACTCTGGAGTTCGGGGCGAGGTTGGCTGCATTCTTGGCGAATGGGACGTCGACTGATCACTGAGTTGCAGAGTCGTACCCAGCCTACATACGATAAAGAGAGCGCTCAAGATTGTAAATGCGCATCTGTTGAATAATGAATTCATAACTCTCGTCTATTAGTCTATGTGCATGGGCGGAACCCCTTCTCCGTATGCATGTCGCGCTATGGCGGCAGCGGCGTTTCTAGTGGAGGTAGTCACCCTCTACCTTGTTGCCTCGAAGGCAGTCTATCTTTCGCGTCGTCGCAGGACTTATAATCAGTCTTTAGATACACCCTGCTTTGGTAGACTTCTTGCTGCACCTCTCAGACTGCCGTAGTAGGTGCAGGATTTTGGGTCCTGGGCACATGTCTCATGTACACGTAGTTGGTGGATTTATGTCGTGATGATAGCATTTCGTTCACATTCCAAGTAGGCTCTCAGTGCGCAACGTGGGGTATCGCCAGCTCCTTCAAACTCAAATTGCGACTTCCGTTCGTATCACTTGTATCCTGGCTCCATCTTGTCGTTGGCGTGCGAGGTCGTACCACACGCGCCTCAGCCTCCATCTCCTCGAAATCCTCTGGCTGTGCCGGCTCGCTGATGACCCTTGTTGTAGTGACCAACTTGATGTCATTCGAACCAATCCCACAAAGATCGTCTGAACTTTCGCTTCCCGATGGTAGTGTTACCTTGCTTTTTGATCGTCGACCCCTTGTGTGTGTATTCATCGCTTCAATTGTACATTCGCCTCCAAAGCGCTTAGGCTTCTCGATCCAGAACGCTGCGAAAGTATCCATGCCATCGACATCAGAGGGTGGTTCATCAGAAAAGATCATGATGCGTCGAGTACAAGTATACAAGAGTACGTCAAGCCAGCCATTCGAGACGATCATGGCACCAGAGAGGCAAAGACGAGCAAGCGACGGTGGGTTACCGGACATTGACGCCATTCGTGCGGAAGCCAACGGGATGGTGCAGACAACGTAGACGAGCGGATATACGACCATAAGGTTTGCGATGGAGCGTACACGTTTAGCTTCTTCGGTTGTGTAGTAGCCGGATCGAATGCGGATTGACAAAATTGTGTAGATTATGGCGTAAATGAAGACGTTGCCAAATTCGAAAATGAAGATCCAGACGTAGCTAAACATTGGTTTGAGAAGTCAGTATATATCTCACATGCAGTTCGTGATGCGACTTTACTTACTGTGTCCACAATCGTAGGTCTTCGAGGTCATGATGGATCCAACACCATACTCCAGACCGTACGTAGATGCTTTCTCCGTACATACCAAGGGGGATTGAAGATACCCCAAGGATGAAAACCCAGAGCAGGAAGATGCAAAGGTAGAAGCTCCGTGGCTTCAGACGGAAATTCAGGATGATTGAGGCAAAGGTATGTAATCCGATAACAAAGCACCAGATTCCACTTCCCAGATCACCTGTAGATACCAGCCAGCCCTGCGCAAAGCATATTGGATTTTCGACGTCGACGGATCCCAGTCGCAGCCATTCGACGTTTAGTAGGAATGCAAGTGCTTGTTGAATATCCGCCCACAGAAGGTTGAATATCAGAATGACGAATTGGTTGCTTCGCTTCGATCGCAATTGCCAGGATACCAGTTTGTAAGTGAGTAAGAAGAGTAATGATACCGATGCGAAGAAGCTGATGAATCCCAGAACGACGACTGAGCGTAGCCACGGGTGAATATGGTCCGGTAGTACAAACGAGGCCGACTCCGCGTCCAAGGGCTCCTGATGAATGGCCATTGCAGGCGACGAACTATTGATCCAGCAATGTTTCGGAGGGTATATAGGTTACACCTAAAAAGAAAGACTCCTGTGGCTGCTCGGAACTATCATATCGAACCAGAAATCATGAAAATATCGTAGGCGAAGTAAAGTAAAAATATGGCGTTCGACCTAGCACCAGCGCAGGTACAGAGCAGATCTTAGGGCACTCCCTGGGGGGCAAACAACGATGATGTACGATTGACTGAAGGGTTCCAGCGTGCTGAGAGGGCCCGTCAACACACGACAAGGACCTTTGTAATCTAGGATCCACTATAAGCTGGGGAGAGGACAAGAGCGATGATCCCAGTCTCCACCGATTGACGTTAGCGTCGCTCGTGGCATCCATGGCCCTAGCCGCTGCGTGGGAAGACGGTTGCTAGCCCGCAAGCGTTACAGCGGCTTCTATGTGAGACTTGTTAGAGCCGGTGCGAGGGGACGCCAAAGGCTTCTATGGCGTCTTCGACCACCGCCTTGTCACCTTTGACATTAGACAAGTTTGTAAGTATGTGCTCTGCACACTAATCTCAGTCAACATCAAACTCGCCATCTATCTGGAAGAGGGGGACAGTCCGAGGAAGCGTCATCTGACAGGCATGCAACCATGCATGCGACCGACCCTAAGACCGACATGCGGCACGGCCGGCATTACTGTATCTCGAGTCTCGAAAAGTCTAGGCACCAATGGAGGAGGTCAGTGGCTTCGGCTGGGCCACGAGGAGCCCTTCCTTTTGGTTCTTTCGGTTAATATGATGGTCCAAACTCGGATCGTGGTTGGAGAAAGCCTCTGGGAGGCTTGCGGGAACTTGTGGAAAAAGACCGGTTGATTGCACACGCATAAGAAGCAAGCCGTGATTTTGTTAACGGCATCGTGTTGTTGCCCTCCTTGTGTCTTCGCTCCATGTCACGGCGCGACTGCGGTGCTGCTGAATCTGATTATTCTCTGATCTGCGCTAGCTCCGGATTATCCCCCAGGAAAAGACCTGGGGATCATCAGCACCAGGTTCTCCTAACCAGGTTCCCTCCGGCTTCAAAACCTCCGTTGCGAAGCGAAATACTGAATCTCACTAACATGATACGCTCTGAACACTCTACGTTCAATCTCACGCAAGCTTCAAACATCGGGTTATCCGAGCGCACAACAATGGCCCGCTTGCCCCCAATATAGCTGGGCCACCGAACGCCTCCGCGCACGGTTGCACAACAAATCATTACGTGCGCCCGCCGACGGCTGGCGTGTTGCCCTTCGACGCGTCCGCGGGAGATGGACGTGAATACCTTTCGGGGGATATGAGCTGCACAAATGCCCCTGTGCGCACAGGCGCTCCTGCAGCATGGACAAACACACTACCCCTATGGGACGGCACGACTCGAAACACGAAATACAACGTCTTGATTAAGCGACTAGAGTAACCTCAACTCTCTATCTCTCTATGCTTTGAGGACAACCTTCTTTTGATGAGTATCTGCGCACGACCCGCTTACCTTACTTTTACCCCAGAAAAGGGCTCTTGGCCGAGGCCCCAATGCCATCCATCGCGATCCTACTCAGCCAGCCAAGCGCTGCGCCCGATCATGCGCAATATGCTTTCTGGCCTTCCGTTCGTGGAAAGTTGCTCGAGTCGCTTCAGCCTTGTCTGACGACTAAACCTTGCGTTTCGGCACTCGAATCCCATTTTGCATTCTGCCCTTCGGCCCGCTATCCATGACATTTTACCGCGATATTTGGAACCGTCCTGTTGGGACCAGTACGGTCGCATGAGACCGCAGGATTGAGTTTGCAAGTCGAGTGCTCATGAGGGTTTTATCGGCATCGAGAGCCTCATGTTTGCTGACATGCAGCTCCGATGCATCCGAATTTTTGCCCATGCACCTGGTTTTGCAGATCCGGAGTCGCTTACCTTTGCTTCTAGAAGGCTTCTGCAACAGTTCGGATTCGTCCAGACGCCCGTTGCAGTTCTGTGCTAATGTCGGCTGGGTCGGCGTAAAAGGAAAAAGGTATTGAGAAGAGGTGTTTGCCTTGCAGGAAAAGTAAAGGATCATCGAACTTGAAGTAGTTGCTGATCCAGACGAGATGTTGTAGCTCCAGGTCCATCAATATCGACTATGTGATGTGACCTAGCTGTACCACTACTACCATACAAAAGAGATACTCAGACAAAGATTTTAGCGCCACCATAAGATATTCCATCAGCCAACCGTCATCATGAGAAAGAAAAAAGAAGAATTCATAACATAATGCCGATATATATGGCCGCAAAGTCACCACGTTATGACTATCGGTCGAGCGCACGTACAACGATGATCGTCCTTCAAATCCGAGTTTCGTAAGACGTCCAGCCCGCAAGGGTTGGGTTCAGAGGCCATCACTATGGAAGTATAGCTTTGGAGTGGCTCTTGCCTTGTGCATCCAGATTCATCTTGATATTCGATGTCTTTGGTCCCCTTGCGCGCTGTTAGCCCCTGTGTGTTCTCGAATTTTTCCCCGTTTGTACTCTTTCTCGCTTCCCAGAGTGATTCAACATGCACGTGTATAGTGCGCTGCGTACTGACGATCCCCTCTATAGCGAGTCGTGGACCGTGTATCTGCTCGTCTGTTGGGACTACGGACACACGCAGAGGCACATGATGTATATGAACCGCCAGGGCTGTAGGAGTAGTGTAAGGCTTAAGAGCTGGATTGGCATTTCCAAGTTTCGCACTTTTGCGTTGCCACACTTGACTGGAAATGGTCTCCCAAATTTTCTAAAGGCATCGTAGTGTGATTGGGATATGTATAGATGGAGCAACCTCCTTTGTTTATCGAGTGACTGGAAAGCTGATTGGACCTTGTATCGCGATGTATGGCTAGCAACACGGGAAGAAGAGGATTGTGGTCTTTGATGTCTCAACGCCGAAAGCGCTGGAGGATATCGAGCAAAGAATGATATTAGTCTCTTCGGTACGTTAAGTAAGGTCGATATTTCGTAGACCTCTCCATTGCCCTTGCAAGCTAACGGCAGACGAAGACATGTATACCAAAGGCCGGTTGACACTTGCAGCACATCCGGTAATTTCCATCGTCATCTCAGCTCTCGGTGGATTATACAAAGGCGGATTCGTAAAAATGGGGGCATAGGCGGTAATGAGAGTCAATGTATGTTAAGAAGCATGCTGAACAACTGCGAAACCAAGTATCAAATGCTGTGTGCGGCAAGCGCTATTGATTTGGTATCTACTCTTTTGCTTTCTTACATCCGCAGATTGTCCAATGCGTGATCAGACCAGGCCCACCAGAAACCCATATCCCAATGCAGACCATGCATGCATCTCTCAGCCAACAGAAAAGAAAAAGACGGGTCATAGTACATGAGTATGGTAATGAGGAGAGTGCGGAATAATGAATGCCTCAAAGCTCGCAGAAATACGTGCCAACGCAACGCTCAAATGTGCCTCCCACCCGCGCCAAACGCCGCGCATGCTCTATGCGATTTCAACCCACCGAACAACCTCCCAACTGAGGGATGGTGTTTACAAACAATGCCAACTCAGCGACGCGCCTGTGTTTGTGAGAACCAATCGTTCTGTGTGGAGTGATACTGCCGCCGGAGTTCAGCCTCTTCCTCTTCTTGGCTCGACTTGAGGATCTCCTGCATGGTCTCAATGTCCTTGATGATGACATTGAACGCCTCGGTAACCTCCTTAAGGACGAGATTGCGGTTGTAGTCTGAACGGTGCTTCCAGATGGCATCCATGAGAGCTGCATTGATCTGCTCCAGCTGCTCGAGCGAACATCCAGATGTCGAATGCACAAGCTTGTTGTGCAACGCAGTGACCAAATTGTCATCAAGAATAAGCTGTGGCTTCGGCTCTTCATCGTTGAGGATCTGGCTGAGGTTCGAGTGGTGTGGAGGTGCAGGTGCAGGCATGGAAGTAACATGCTGAGATGACTGCGACGTTTGCGATGGTTGTGAGTTTGACGGCTGACTGCTGACGTAGTGAACTTCTGTGTTGAAAATGTGGTCAGTGGTGTCTTCTGATAAGAGGAAACGGGATATTTGGAACCGTTGGTGGATGGGGGTTGGCGAACCTTGTGTATCGGGGAGCTGCGACCCATTCGGCTCTGGCATCATTTCTGAGAAATTGGGTATGCCGGATGGTGCAGCACCGTTACTGCTTTGAGTTCCAAACTTGTTGTCCGAAGACCTGTTTGAAGTCTTCTGCCCAGAAGTCGTCGTAGAGGCGCTGTTGTGATAATCGTTCGGGTGCGAGTTTGGTGCCATAAAAGTACGACCAGACATTTGCGATTTTTGCGTCTGTGTGCCTTGACCCTCGATTCTGCTTGGGGTCTGGAATTGGAAATCGTGGTGGGTGTTGACATTGAGATCTTGACTGTCTGTCATATGAGTGTCATCGTTGGACGGCGCGGTAGATCCATTCGTTGCATGCTGTGTGCCGTCACCGCTCGTACCATTAGACAAGCCTTCGGCCTGAGGTGCCCGCAGCGGGGTTACCGGCGGCATAGCTAAACGGCCAGGTACAGGCTCACCCAAAGTAATGGGCCCTGACGCCTCAGTGGTACCAATTGACTGCTCGGGTGGAACGCGTGCGACATCTTCGAAATCTTTGTTAGCGGCGATGGCTCTCTCGCGCTTCTCCTGCGCCTTCCTCTCCCGTTCGAGTTCGCGCTGGTAGACTGCTTCACACTCTTGGAGAAGGCCGGGGTTTTGGTGCATGAAGAAGTTGTCCAGATCGACCTCAACGTTCGTGATCATCTCATTACCCTTCAGAGTCCGCTCAGCATCTCCAAATGTCCTCGCATCCTTTACGAGGGTCTTGATGTCGAAGAGGTAATCCGCGGGACGCTTGTAGTAACCATTTGACAACCGTTTTTCGATAGTGCTTAAATCCAGATTGTAGTATTTGTTGCCGCTCTCGACGTGTAGTAGCACGTCCACGCCTTTGGAGTCTTTCGAGAATTCCCATGGACGTATAACACCTTGTTCTTCTTGTTGCTCAGGTGGCAGATCCGATCGCACATGGTCAGAGTCTTGCTCCTCAAGCAAATACGCGTACCAAGACTCCTCTAGGATGGGCTTGAAGAATTTTCTGTGGCTCCTCTTCAGCTGATCCATAATAGGCTGAATCACAATCTTCATCTTGTTGAGGGTAAGCCTGTCCTGTTTCTTTTGCCACTTTTCACGTGCTGCAAGCTCCTTTGGATCGATGACTGGGGCAACGATCGGTGCTGCTTCCAGTTCGGGTAGGACTCGCTTCTTACGGTTGTCCGGATCGGGGAAGTCCGCTGGAGACATGCGAATATAGTGACTGATGTTGTTGAAGAACTCTGCCCGCCCTTCCTGATCTGGTCGCATAAGCTGGAACTGGTTGGACTGCGAGAAGGAGAATAGATCCATCATCATTTGGCGATCAGGCTTCTCTTTCTCGTTTAGCAATTCCAAAACACCTAACAGCATGATCGGTTCATTCGCTCCAACACTCCGCAGTAAGAGCTTGAAAGTCTTGATCGCTTGTGCAGGTAGTGTCTGGTACCATACATCAACTGAAGGAATGTAGATGACACTGGGCTTGTGTCGTCTGACCTCTGTAAATAGCTGAGTGATGGCTGCCTCGGGCGCTCGGGTGGAGTCCTCAAGAATAGTTGGAAGATCGAAAGATTGAACATGCAGACCCTCGATCTTGTTCAACAGTGCAGCACCAAGATATTGTTGACCCATGCCTTGGAGGCCGCTGATGAGCAAACGGGGTCTGAAGATCCTGCTGCTCTCAAAGTTGCGCATGGTGGCTTCGCGCTCGAAGCCTTTCTCGTCGTCGCGGTCGTCGTACTCAGCTTCCTCCAGCGCAGTAAGCTTCTTCCTCCGAGGGATAAGCTCATCTATACGCTTCAAGATTGCAGCGAGGGGCTTCCGTAGTAATGGCTCGATATTCTTGCCTAGTGGTGCTGCGCTAGCCGTGACTGTTCGCTGCGAAGACGGCACCATCTTGTTGACCGAGATCATGAAATCCTTCGCCAGGATTTTGATGGTGCTAGGATCGATCAAGAGCTTTTTCTCGGAGGTGTAGATCTGAGGGTACGTCCCCTGCACTGCATTGAGAGCTGCTTCTGTGCACAGCGCTCGAATATCGGCACCTCCGTAGCCCTTGGTCAACTCTGCAAGCTGGTCCTTCATCTCCGGCTTCAAGGGTGGCTCCCACTTCTTCGTGTGGATGTCAATAATAGAGCGTCGACCTGCGACGTCTGGCAACGGGAAATAAAATTCGCGATCGAATCGTCCTGGGCGCCGAAGCGCAGGGTCTACAGAATCTGGACGGTTGGTGGCACCAATCACGATGACTTGTCCTCGGCCGTCCATACCATCCATGAGAGCGAGCAAAGTAGCGACGATCGAAGCATGGATCTGCTCTTGCTTACTGGAGCGAACAGGCGCCAGACCATCAATCTCGTCGAAAAAGATGATACTCGGTTGTGTCTTCCGCGCTTCCTCGAACAGGAGACGAAGCTGCCTTTCAGCCTCTCCGACCCACTTGCTCAAAGCATCAGCACCTTTGCGCATGTAGAAAGTGACCTTCTGTCCGTGAGTGCTAACGCTGGAAGCGAGAGCTCTGGCAAGAAGTGTCTTACCAGTACCGGGCGGACCGTGGAATAAGACACCTCGGGGCGGAGTGATCTTGAAGCGCTGGAACACTTCGGGATATAGCAAAGGAAGCATGACCATCTCTTTGAGCTTGTTGATGTGATCATCAAGGCCACCGACGCCATCGAAGTTGACATTCGGGTCAACTCCAAGGGGGTCAGAATCTGCGAGGGCCTTCTTGTCCTTGACCTTGCCCAGGTTCGCAGGGCCACCACCAGAGTCTTGCTTAGGATCTGCGTTATTGGTCTGGGGAAACCCGAAAGTAGGGGCGGTCGCCGTAGTAGGAGTCATGCCGATCATGCCACCAACGGGCTTGGGCATCTTTTGATTCTCATCTTCACTGCTGTCAGAGTCACCACCAGCAGCGCCCATGCCAGCCTCCACGCCACCACCAAAAGGGCCCTGACTACGCCATAGGCTTTTGTATGTGGAACGTCCGCCTCGTGCCCTGGGTCGTTCCATAACGGGCCCATCGTCGTCGTCGTTCTCGAAGATAGTATTCTGCTCTGGACGAACAACACGGTAGTCGGGGGCGTTACGGGCGCGGCGTTTGGGCGCTTCGTCATAGACCAGGTCCTTGTCAGGGTTACGTCGAGAGAGGCGTCGTCGTTTGTTGTATTCTAGCTCTTCAATCTCATCTTGTAATTCGTCCTGATCTAGCCCAGACTCTTCTGAAGAAGAGTTGCGCCTGCTACGCTGCGATTGACTCTTCTTCCCTCGTAGGCGGGTCGAGCGCCGTCCTGAACCCGATGCGCTTTCGGATGCCGAGCGCTTGCCCTTCTCGTGATCCGACTCCGACATCTCCTCTTCCTTGTCGTCGTCTGCGGGAGGCTCGAAATCGCTACTCTCGTCTGCGCCCTTCTTGCGTTTGGCGGAAACGGCACGGGTCTAGCAGAAAACGTTAGCTACGGAAGAAGTCATAAATGGGTACTTGGACATGCCCTTGTGTTGCGCCCTCCACGGGTGACTGGGCCCTCCTCGTCAGACTCTTCCTCAGCGGCTTCTTCGTGCTGAGACTCCTGGATGACACCTTCCATATCGTCATCGTCCTCGCCTTCAGCATCGTCCTGCTGGGCTTCTTGTACGGGCGAACTGTCCTTGCTAGCTTTGACTTGAGTTTCCTCGCCCGTGAGAAGCGCGTCAAGGGGACCAGGACTGTCCTCACGAATCATCGAGGTCTCTTGCGAAGCCTCCATGATGGCACTGGGATGCTGAACCCTCGGGCCTTTGCCACCTCGTGTGGCGCGCGCGATGACAGGCTCGGGGCTGCGAGTGCCTTCGCGCACAACTTTGACGTGCCGGCCCGAGTCTGTAAGCTGAACAATGGGCTCTTCAACGTCGTGCGATAAGCGATTGCTGCGTCGCGTGCCGTGTACTTCAGGCGTCTTTCCGCGCGCAAGAGACTTGCTGCCGGTGCGCGTGCGCAGACTGCGACCCGAGGCGTGATCGGGCATCTTCAGTTTCACAATGAGCGAAGGCTTCTCGACTTGTTCGATAGACGGCTGTGCTCGGCGGCGCGATGCAGGTTTGGGCGCGTCGTCCTCTGACGGCGTGTCTTCGATTTCGTCTTCGCTCTCTTCGTACTTGATCTGCTTCTTGGTGGCGCGGCGCACGCTTCTGCCTGTCGCAGGATTGATTTCGGGCTCCTCCGACTCGGAGCGCTCTGTGAAGGAATCGTCTGACTCTATCTCGTCGTCGTCGTCAATATCAGAGCCGCCGTAGGCGCGTCGCTGGCGCTTGGAGGGCTTCTTCTTAGCTCCAGGCGTGTGTCGATTACGGCGCCGCTGGGGCGCGGCGCGTCTTTCCGAGTCGTCGTAATCGTAGTCGTCGGGGTCGGATGCGTTGGGGTCGATGTCGAACTTGCGCTTTGCTCGGCTAGACATGAGGACTCGTCGCGGTGAAGCCTGTTGCGGTCCTGCGGCACAATGTGAGTGAACGGGCCCGAAGAAGCGTCGCGGTGAGGGCGCGCTTACACCGCTGATTTAGATTTTCTGAGCTTCAAGATGACATTAGATGCAGAGAGATGGTCTGCTGCATATGCGCTGATGATGGCGAGTGTATGCGCGATGCTGGCGGGCGTGTCGCCTGGACGTCGTGTTGTTTTGAATTGGGGAGTGAAGACTCGATTGCGCGATGCACAGGTGAAGACGGCGCAGAATTCAACAAAAGCGACTAACAGAAGAATTATTATCTTGATAAATGCCACCGAGAAGCGAAATGTTCGAGATAGGCAGATGTGGTCGAGGGGTGTTGGGGATGCGCTGAAGGCCGACGGGTCCCATCCCAAATACGCTAACTCAACCCGAACTCAGAACAAGGGAACACTTTTTAGATGCACCACCACAACAATAACGAAGCGCTTTATTTCTCGACTTCTGGCACTGCAAAATGCATCAAAATGCACAGAGATCGTCGAGTCGCTACTCTGCCAGCAAACTCCGCAGCTTTTCGGGAGTCTTCCGACATGTTTTGAATCACTATTTAAGCCCTTTCTTTTCTACTTGCAGCTCTTCTTGCCGTCGGTTCCTGCATGATCGACATGCGGCTCTAAAAGCTTAACGCGTTTAGAGCTTGCTGGCATGTGTGGGGAAGAGCGAACTATGCACGTGCACCACGTGCTGGAACGACTCCGGTCACCGCACCCCTGAGCATCGTCGCTAATAACGCAGAGATTCTGCTTCTGGGTTTATTTGCTGAGATTATGTACTTGTCTCTCAAATGACCTGCTACACTTAGTTGTTGTCATAGTCGTCGTTGTCATTGAAAGACGTTCGTACTTTGTCGTTGACCGACACGTATCTTATCAAGTCGAGTCGCATGAAATAACCGGTTCTGTGATAAAAGGAGGGGGGGTCATTTGTTGGTAAGCAGTGTGTGCTTAGGTGTGGTGTTGAGTGCAGTTCAGGTGGGTATTGAGGCTAGGTAGTCGCTGGGTGTCGCCGCGAACATCGATTGAGATTCAGTCCATGTTCTGCAAGAATCTAGTACAAATTCTGCATACACGGCATAATGAGACGAGCCTCATTAAATATGCTCTGATAGATGTGATGCTACTCACTCTTGCAACAGGAGTAGAGCACTGGTGTGGTCGTAGAGCGTCCTCGTCACTGCGTTGTCAGGGCCCATCTCAGTTCTCGCTAGATACCAACTCTGAACAAGGCCTGGCGAGAATCGGACGACTTTCCGTCTCAACAACGTTTAATACTAGGTCCTCCTCAGCCCAGCTCACTCATTCAGTTGAGCTTAAAGTCGGTGTGCCTCATTTATGTTGTGATAATCGCGGTCCGAACACTTTATACGCTCTTGACGCTGTATACGCCGCATACGCGATTATTCTTCCAATGGTATGCTACTTGCTTACTTGGAGAAGAAGTAAAAGTCACTTGAATATGCAAATAATTGAAAGGGAACCTCCTCAAAAAGGATCACAATATTCTTACGTTGTCATTGATCATCGCGGAGCTGCCTCCGGATTGCCCATAGCAATCCCACCCAGCGCAAGCCGAACCCCGCAGTTTGGCCATAGCTCTGCTCAACGTCATAGGCTCATAAAGCTCCACCAAACCCCATCCGAACACTAGCCTACGAGCAATTGACGTCTTCAGGTGGGCTAAGCTATCTTTATTCCCACGTGTGCCGCCTTTAGAGGGGGCGAGTCCGTTGTAGTTTATAATCGATCTTCACACCCACTCATAGACGCCATGCGCTCTTTTGTAACAGCAACTCGATCACTCGGACGCCAACAAGCTTATAGAAGTCGCTTCCAGAAGAGGCCATTACCAGTAATTGTTTCGCGAGGATACGCCAACATGGGTCATTCAGTACCACCGGTATGTTTTGCCCTCAGCTGTGCGAGCATTGTGGATTGCGTAGGCGCTGACAGCTTGCACAGCTCAATGACAAGTCTCTCTTGAAGAGCCAGACATATGTCAACGGAGAATGGATAGATGCAAAGTCGGGCAAGACTTTCGAGGTCCATGGTATTTCTGTCTTTCAAACTCTTCAGAGACCGTCCCTCTAACTGGTAGCAGATCCTGCAACGGGCAAGCTCATTGGCACCATGCCCGAGATGGACCGCGCCGACACCGAAGCCGCCATCTCAGCAGCATCTGCCGCACTCCCTTCTTTCCGCAAACTTACCGGTCGCGAGCGCTCGCGCATGCTACGGAAATGGTATCAATTAATGATGGATAACGCGGAGGACCTGGCAAAGCTTATAACGTGGGAGAATGGAAAGCCCATGGCAGATGCTAAGGGCGAGGTCAACTACGCTGCGAGTTTCTACGAGTGGTTCGCGGAAGAGGCGCCACGCATGTATGGAGCCACCATCCCAGCCTCGGTTGCTGGTAATCGCGTGTTCACTATCAAAGAGCCCGTCGGTGTTGTAGGATTGATCACACCGTGAGTTCTGCACTCTGCCTTGGAGAAACATGGCTAACGATATCAGATGGAACTTCCCAGCAGCTATGATCACACGAAAGATTGGCCCAGCTCTAGCAGCTGGTTGCACTGTCGTTGCGAAGTCTCCTGGCGAGACACCTTTCACAGCAGCAGCTCTCGCCGAGCTTGCACACCGAGCAGGAATCCCTAAGGGTGTCGTCAACTTCGTCACAGCACTCAAGAACACACCAGAAGTTGGCGAGACCATCACATCAAGCAAAACCGTCAAAAAGGTCTCATTCACAGGATCAACCGGCGTCGGAAAGCTTCTGATGAAGCAGTCGTCGGACACGCTGAAGAAGCTTTCTTTTGAGCTTGGTGGAAACGCGCCTTTCATCGTCTTCGATGACGCCGACCTTGAGACAGCAGTAACCGGAGCTATCGCATCCAAGTTCCGTTCCTCGGGCCAAACATGTGTATGTGCCAACAGGATTTACGTCCAATCAGGTATCTACGATGAGTTCTGCACCAGGTTCACTGAGAAGGTCAAGAGCTTCAAGGTCGGTGGCGGTTATGAAGAGGGAATCACGCACGGCCCACTGATCCATGACCGCGCTGTCTCCAAGGTGGATGCTCACGTCCAGGATGCCGTCAAGAACGGCGCAAAGGTCTTGTTCGGAGGACAAAAGCTACCCGATCTTGGGGAGAACTTCTACCAACCGACAGTCCTCCGCGACATGACCAAGGACATGCAGCTCGCCAAAGACGAGACTTTTGGCCCTGTTGCTGGACTCTTCCCCTTCGATACCGAAGCCGATGTCGTTAGCCTCGCCAATGCGGCTGACGTGGGACTTGCAGGTTACTTCTTCAGCAAAGATATCCAGAGAGTTTATAGGGTGGCTGAAGCCCTCGAAGTTGGTATGGTTGGTGTCAACACCGGTCTTATCTCGGATGCAGCTGCACCTTTCGGAGGTGTCAAGGAGTCTGGATTTGGACGAGAAGGAAGTCACTTGGGTATCGAGGAATATGTTGTCACGAAGACGATTACCATGGGTGGAAATGGCCAGCCGTTGCAGGGCGAGTAGAAGATATCCACAGACGGCTTTGCGAGGTGGTTCAATAGAATCCATCACACCGAACGTCGTACATTACGTATGCGTGAATATGATAATTCTTACAATGAGGGTGGTGCTCAGGCTATGCAACATAGAAAGATCCCCATGAAGTTTATGAGGATGTTCCGAGAAAAGCCGCTAGCGTGTCATGTTCGTGATTTTGGAGTTTAGTCCAACGCGTATCCCAAGGTCTACACAGCAACGCGCATCTGTACTATCGTGCCCTTTTGCCATTTTGGCACCTGGCGAACAACTCTATTTCTGCCACTATCGCCATCCTACCAGAACGATGTGTTCCAAATAACCTTGACATGACTGAAAAGAGCCAATTGTGTCTTGGCATCGTGATCAGCAATCATTATCCACCGGTACCTCATCCGACAGAGCCCTAGAAGCGCTTGATGGCTTTCGATCGTCTAGTACTCATCGCCGCCGAGAGCACATTGATATATGTAGCACATTCATACACATTTACCACAACCAATCCAACGTCTACGTCAAAGGAGAGCCCGACGTGCAATAACAAAACCCTCGACTTGCGGCCCGCAATCGTAGCTCTGTTACTCCGATGTCTGGATTTATAAGTTTCGCAACTTGTCGCGCACGTCCGTCACTGTCATCAATCGCCCGAGAGATGGCGCGCACGTGATAGAACAGAAAATCGTGATGAGTATTGACAATCGAGAGCCATTTGGTTGACTTCTAGACACTCCAATACGGTACGATCAAGCGCTTGGCTTTTTTTATTACCTTTCTCAATTGTCTCATCGGCCAATCGCCTCCAGCAGTCGCCATGATGCGATGGCTCAAAGACAGTAAGAGTTTGGGGACGGCAGTTTGAACGGAAACAAACATGTTGCACCAATGGTATCAGGAAATGGAGACATGGAGAGTGCGAAGGACGAGGTTGGATCATTGACTGCGAGTGCCGATGTAGAAGCTACTGAGGCAATCGCACACAGTGTACCCTGTCTCGCGGTCTAGGAAAGTTCAAGAAGAATGCTCCTGCCAATCGTTCCTTTGTCAAGGTAGCGACGCAAGGGCGTCGCTCTACGTGCGCCAATATCAGAAATAGCGAAGCTTTCTTGGACACAACCTAGGAAGCTACTTCAGAGGCAATGCCAAAAACCTCGGAAACAACAACACCACCGACATCACCGCATCCGGAATCCAGTGCTACCGAGAAAGAAGAGATGCAACAAAACCTAGAGAAGGCCGACGAGAGTTTTGTCTCGTTTAACAAAGAAGAAATGCCGGAGCACGTTATGTCTCATCAGCAGGCAGACGAGACTGCAGCTTTGTACGAAGCCACAACTTTACGAGAGACTGTAGCTGCACAAGAGATAGAAGACGATCATGCAGTCCAATCACCCATATCGGCATACGATGTTATCAATGAAGAGCCAGTACGAGTGGAGGTTCCCACCACATCGATTTCAGATCTAATGGCTTCCAATGCACCACCAACACAAATAGAGGCTACCACAACATCGGGTTCAACCCCAACACCTCCCAATGCAATCCCGGTAACCTCGAACCAACCAACCCAACTCCTTGAAGGCCAGAGAGGTATCCGCCCTGGAGAACTGCTCACAAACAAGGATACGGAAGTCCATGCTGTAACGTCAGCGTCACCCTTATATCACACCTTGTCAATCTCTGCATACACGGCAGAACGAAATTCTTTAAAACGTCAGCTTGTCGAAGACAAGAACGAAGAGCCAGTGGGCTATATTGATGAAAGATCAGCAAAACGCTTGCGATCCATGGACAGCCGTAAATCCATCGGCGATCGCAGTACACCAGTTCGTCGCTCATATTCCAGCACGTGGGACGGATACGAATGGGCGCTTGTCAATGAGAACATGAGGCATGGGCCGGATCGAGCCTTGGATCTTGATTCTGAAGATAGGCCAGCTCTATCGATCGTTGACCCGTCTATCATGGATCGGAAACCTATCATCAAGCAGGAGCCTGATGAACTTCCAATGAATGCACTAGCTTCTTCACATTCAATCACTCTGACACCAACTCTGTCTGTCTCATCAATCATACGCCAGCCACCAACAGGACCAACTGCAGCAACAGAGCATGTTGACCTTTTTTCTCTCTGCATACCATGCACTGGGCCCAATGGGACTCCCCTTCCAGCGTCGGAAAACGAGCTCAGCCTTTTAGCAGATATACAAAGGAAGGCAAGAAGGATATTGAGTGGCGAAAAGGATAGAGTTGACATTCGAAGCCGCATCCCAGCCTGGATGCGCAATGGTCTATCGGAAGAGCAGAAAAAAGGCATTGTTAAGATACAGAAAAAAATCAACACAATGCAAAAGAAGATCAGGGCTTCACAGTCGGAGAAAAAAGGTGGCAATGTGAAAGCGAAAGGTGCCAACACCGCCCCTACTAGGCCTAGTCCAATACCTACCAAATACACATCTGCTTCGGTCATGCACTGGCAAACATTTCATGCGGTCGCACCAACGCCATCCCAGGCCCACCCTTTGGCACGTCAACAAACTCTTCTGCCCTTTGGTCTTGAACCTCTCGACTATGGCAATTTGTTCGGCCCGGCCTTAGTATATAGTGCACTAGAACAGGTCAACAACATGCTCGAAATGTTCGAGGCCAATGTAAGATGTTCTCTTTCCGGCCTCGACTTGATAAACCTACAAAAGAGCACCGGAAGAGTACAAAACCTACCTCCGCCGGGCTGCGCGTCCCTTTCACTTGCGAATCAACCTTATCCCAAACTGGTCGGTCCGTCTCTGGTACATCACGCGCTACAGGAGATAAACGAGATGATGAGATCTTTTGGGCTTCTTCAGCAGTTCGCCTTGTGTTGGAAAGATCTGCGACAGGTGCAGCATTAGGTCTTTGCCTTGTCTCCAGATTATCGTTGTGATGCTCTGGATCACACGGTGAGACAGACGTAGTATGGTTTCTTTTCCTGTACATTTATTATCGTGCTTGTGCGCAAGCAGCTGCGCATGGATCCTCAGAGTACTTTAACATTCCATGTACTATTGTGTAAACTTCAGTCACGTGTGGTGATGAACTGAGCGTATCTAGCATTATCACTCCCAAATACATGCACTTCAACTTAGCGAAACCACGTGGAGTATCATAACTTCAAGGTCATCATTGAAAGTTGTTCATTTTCATGCCGGTGTACCCAGCACTATCGTTGGATACATACGTGAGGTCCTGAATGTAATACCCCGCGCCATAACCCTTATGCTAGAAAGAACCCAAAAACAAACCCTCTAGTACCTCTTACCCTCACGGAGGATGTCGCTGTACTCCTCGAGCGGGGATGGGGTAAGCTTCTTCTCAGCCCACAGGTTGGGGGTGAGGAAACCGTAGGTGTGTGCGACAGCTACGAAGGTAGCCTTCAGGGTGTTCTCAAGAGTCTTGGTTGAACCGGAAGAGGCAGTGTAGATGTCGGCGACACCAGCCAATTGCAAGAGACGCTTGACAGCGGGCGATGCGACAAGGCCGGTACCACGGGGAGCGGGAATGAGACGGACAGTGACGGAACCGCACTTTCCGCTCTCCTTGGTGGGGAGCGAGTGAGGCTCACCAAGGTTGGTGCCCCAGTAACCTCTTCGGATGGGGACAACGGAGAGCTTGGCGATGATGATGGCGGCGCGGATGGCGGTAGCGACTTCCTTGGAGGTCTTGATACCAAGACCAATGTGGCCCTCGGAGTCACCGATGACGACGATAGCCTTGAAGCGGGTACGCTGACCGGCACGGGTCTGCTTCTGGACAGGCTTGATCTTCATGACCTCGTCCTTGAGCTTGGGGAGGAAGAAGTCGACGACCTGGTACTCCTTGATGGGGAGAGAGTGGAGGTAGCTGTCCGCTGTCAGTACAAATTCCTTGCCCAATCCCGCTTGAGAACGTACATCTCCTCCATGCTCTTGATCTTGCCGGCCTTTACGAGACGGCCGAGCTTGGTGACGGGCTGCCATTCCTTCTCCTGTGCCAATTGTCAATTTCCTGCTATTTGTCCCTCCACAGCCTTCATATGCGCACCTCAGTCTTTCCGCCACGGCGGCCACGGCCACGTCCGCGACCACGTCCACGGTCACCACCGCGGTCTCCACGAGAACCGAATCCGCCGCGAGCGGGGGCAGGAGCGTCAGCCATGATGTATGTTGGTGGGGTATACGGCTGCTGGATTTGCGATTAGCGACGGGCTTGAGAGTGAGAAGAGGTGGAAGAGCGTACGATTGAGAGTTCCTGGGAGTTAGTGCGTGCTGTTGTCGCGGTCGCACTTGCAACTTTCGATATTGAAATGCTCGCTTAGGTCGTGGATGTCACTAGCCGTATTGGGTTTGGCGCACCTACGCTACATGTGGATGAGTTGCAGGTGGTTCACCAATGACCACCACAACTACAAGGCGCAACCTCTGCAGAGTCCAGTTTGTATGCAGCTGTGCCTGTTTTCATTCTCGTGAGACCTTCTGCACAGAGATCTGACATGAGAAGTGCCTCTGACAAGTACTTGAAGCGACTGGATCACCTAAGGAGGCAAGATCGGTATGTCAATGGAGCGCAAACGTATCGCATTTCACAGGACATCTCAAGTGTGACTGCACCCAGTGCGCTCCTTGGTCACCAGACGGAAGATTGTCTTGCGCACCGACGCTGCCTATCGCGCTGTCCAAGCTGCTCGGAATGACGTGGCTGACTAAGGGCGCTTTGAGCGCGCATGACTCGTTCACATGCTCGAGGTACCAACGATATCACATGCACGAACACTTGTCTCCAACGCTTCGACAATAATTTCACGGGCCACGCTGCGAGATCGTGGTTCATTACAATGTCTATCTTCAATTCAGTTCTCGGCTCGTTCTCGCCTCCGCCGCGGTTTAGAAAGTCCTTCGAAGACCCGCACGCGCGTGAACATGAGCTACCACTATACAACTCTCCGCCATCTCCGCGAATACCACCGCCTGTGACTTCGTCAGTACTATGGAACGCTCCAAAAACTAGCCTGTCTCCGCCTCCACGCGTTCCTGACGGCCTGCTAGCTTTGCAGCGGCGAGCTAGATACCTCGAACAACAGCTGCAAGAGCTACTCGACGCACAAGCCGATGGTCTAATGGGTGGACGTGGCGCTGGAGATGCTACACCGGATGATCTTGTATCGAACGGAAGCACTACACCAACTGTGAGCAGCGTCCGGTCGAGCGATCGAGGTGCGGAGAACGGTAACGGCCATAACGGAGCACGGAGGAAGAAAGTGGGGCTAAATGCAGCGAGACAAGGCATATCTAGACGGATAAGACAGCTTGCCAGCGTCAAGTCTGAGGAGCTTGATCTTTTAGACGAGGACCTGAGGAAGCTGCAAAGCACAGTAGAGAAGACCGACGGGTGGAGTCAGAAGCGCATACGGCTGGAAAAGAAGATCAGAGATATAGAGAACGAGGACGCTGGCGCAAAGGCACAGAGCTTACAGACGGAAGCCTCGAAGCTAGAGCAGGAGATTCGCCAGAAAGAAGAGGAACTATGGGCGCTCAAAAGACGACATCGAAAGGTCTTGGACGAACTGGCTGATACAGAGAACTCGGTGGAAGCGAAGTTGGCATCGTACAAGACATCGTTGTCACTGTTAGATCGTGAAGTTTCCAATTTCCTTGCGCGACCTCCAAACGCGGATCACGTTCCAATGTCATCATCACCGTTCCTTACACTACCTGCAAAACGGCGGACGCTCGACATGGCGCGCGAATTCTGGCAAGACGAGTACACAAGACTGGCTGAAAGGTGTGAGAAGGTTGATACAGATCGAGGTGCGCTTGACGAAGGTGCACTTTTGTGGGCAGATGTTTTGAAGAGGGTCGAAGACTATGAAACAAGCCTACAGAACTCTATGCGACCAACGACACGGAAGAGCACCCCTGATCCCACCAGGCTTCTCGAGCAGATGGACGCAACCATTACCTACCTAGAGGAGAAGCTAGAGTTTGCTTCGTCGCGAAGTTGGAATTTGTTAGTTTGCGCCATTGGTGCCGAGCTCGAAGCTTTTACACAAGGCAGAAACATGTTAGAAGAGGCTCTTGGTTCGAAACGAAAGGGTAAAGAGCGAGCTACACAACCGCTGATAGACCATGATGGCTTTGAGACCAAACAACCAGAGGAGATGACAGGGTCTGCTATAAGGATTGGTCGTTCTCCGCCGAGACAACCTACGCCGCCCAAGCAGACGTATTTTGACTCCGAAGATGAGGATCCAGATCCCGAGCTTATGATTTCGCATCAGGATACCGATACTGACTGAGCTGGAAACGCGGTCCTTCCTCGGCGTATCTTTCGAGATTAGATATTCCTCCGAGTAGCCACACTCTGTGTAATTGTTGAATCATATCAAATCTACTCACTTGCTTATCAAGTAGTGCGCACTTAACTCGAAGGAGCTTGTTTCTCATCAATGGTGCCCTATCTCTGCAAATATTGGATAGACCCAAAAGATGCATACTGCCATCTTCTCTAGTGGAGCAACAACGCAGAATGCTATATATGCTTTCAGAGTAAATCTCCATATACAAGCTACAACCTATGAAAGAAGAGCTTCTTCATGTGCGGAAGTCCGTCTTGATCTATCGATAAGAGTGGGGCGTTCGGAGATAATCCTATTACCGCGACTACTACAAAGCTCCCGCCCATTACGAGCATTGCTCTTATATCGCCTCGGCACATCTTGCGACATCTACAGAATAACGTTTTCGCAAACATGAGTTCGTCGCACGCCCCAACTAGTCCACCCGCCGAGGATGACCCAGCCAGAACCATTGTATACGATCCGAGCGACCCGTTCTGGCGAGAAACCGACGACGAGTATGATGACGACATGGACTTTGTACCTGCAGAAGAGGGCACCGACGATAACGATGAAGGTGAAGCTGATCTGAGCTTTCACGGTATACTTGGCTTTATGATACATAGTCTGTGATCTATCTACTAACATAATTGTAAGATGCCGCAGAACGATTGAGCAATCTCAGCGGAGTGGAGATCGCATTCGAATACACCGATGATAACGACGATGACGACGACGATGACGACGAAGATGAAGAGAACGGAGAGGACGACGAAGATGGAGACGAGAACGAGGAAGAGAACGACGATGCAGAGGAAGACGAGATGGACAACCCTCGCCAGCCAATTATGATTACGCGCGAGCAGATAATGCAGTTGCTTGGACACGCTGGATTGGGCCGCATATTCGCCACCGATTTCATTCCACGATCCGCGCTCCGGCGACGCAGACTCGATGAGGACGACGAAGACGAGGACGAAGACGATGGCTACGACCCTCTCGGTTCGACGAGGACCTCTGGAAGGAGGCGACGACCACGAGGCATAGATTTGTTTGAAAAGGTGCCTAGCGAGCAGGGTCAGGAATTGATGCAAGGGGGCAACTTCGGAACAAATCCTCGATCGCAAGACACACTTAAGCGAAAAAAGAAGTTAGCTTACAACATCATGCGACGAGAGTTAGGTATTGGTGGTGACGGTCGCCAGAAGAATTCCACGAGATTGTTGAGGCAAGAAATGATACCAGAATCAGTGGCCGACACAATCATTCACTACAATGCGCGATGCTATTCAGGACAGTTTTCAGACGATGGCAACTTCTTCTTTTCATGCGCTCAGGATTTCAAAGTACGCATGTATGACACATCGAATCCATACGATTGGAAGTACTACAAGGCAAGCAGCAATCTCAAACTCGAAGCTCCGCAAAGCTAATATATTGCAGACTGTAAGGTATGATGGTGGTCAATGGACGATTACGGATGCATCATTAAGTCCAGACAATCGCTTTCTGGCATACAGCTCCATTAGGAGTATTGTCGCACTAGCACACACCGACCCTGACAACGATTCTGAACCACACTATCTTGATTTTGCAGACCTCGGTCGGCCTACCCCACGTGGGTATCGCGGATATTTTGGTGTAAGATGTGTTTATCAACATTTGAGACTGTGGCTGACCCATCCAGATCTGGTCGATAAGATTCTCTGGCGATGGTCGCGAAATTGTAGCAGGAACGGGAGACAGTTCTGTTTATGTATACGACATTGAACGTCGTCAGTCAGTGCTACGCATACCAGGTCATCAAGATGATGTGAATGCAGTCTGCTTCGGCGACACTCAATCGCCACATATTCTTTACTCTGGCTCCGACGACACAACGCTCAAGGTCTGGGATCGAAGAAGTATGGGTGACGGTCGCGAAGCCGGTGTTTTTCTGGGACACACTGAGGGCTTGACATATGTCGACAGCAAGGGAGATGGACGATACGTGCTTAGTAACGGCAAAGATCAGACTGCTAAGCTGTGGGATCTGAGGAAGATGATGTCAAAGGAGAAGGCAGACGGCATTGATCCCAATGCATACACCAACCGCTTCGAGTACCGATCCAACGCATACGACTTTGATGAGTACCGTCCGCATCCACATGACTGCTCACTTGTTACGTTCCGCGGGCACAAGGTGTTGAAGACGCTTATTCGATGTCACTTTTCGCCTCCTGGTAGCACAGATTCGCGATATGTTTACTCTGGCAGCTACGACGGCTCGGTCTACATCTGGAACATGGATGCGACAATTGCTGGCAAGGTCGATGTTCTCAAGGCAACCAGGAACTCACGACCACGCGACCCAGATCTTCTTGCTGGAATGTACGAGCACTGGGGTAGAAACGAGGGCAGATGGCAGACGTGTGTTCGTGACGCGAGTTGGCATCCCAACGCACCTATGATTGCTGGTAAGTATTTGTACACTCCTAGTTTTGGTGCATATGTTAACTTTTACTAGCAACCTCATGGAACGGCTGGGGTACCTCACAGGGAACTTGCACAGTCCACACTTGGAACGATGGCCTTGAAGAAGATGAAGCAGAGCCTAAGATTGGGAGGCGGGTCAATGCACAACTGCAGCATGATGAACGGCTTTACACGAGTCCTGAGGGCAGGGCGAGACGACACCCCATGTGGTATGAAGACATGATGAATGAGGAGTGAAAGCTCCTGCATCGCTGACCCTTCTAGAATTCCGACGGATGGGTGAATACAAGTGCTGCATATAGGGATTTGGTGAGAAGTTGGGAATGCAATCGGATGTTCACAGGGACTTCCGATCTTGCTCAACATCGCTGTCACAGCGTTACAAGCACCGCGTTATCGTTCTACTCCACATACACCGTTCACACCACAACACACAGTTCGTAGACCAAATCAAGATGAATCCTGTGCATGCCTAAATTTGGATATAATCAAACTCCCGCTGGCCCAACCCCATACTGTACAGCCGTTTTGAGTATGCCATATTTCCTCTATGGAGCCCACAAAGCGAAGGCCGGTCTGTTCACCTCCAATGCCCCTAATACAAGATGATATGATGAACGGACCGGTGTCGTGGTCGAAGATGCAAAGGGAAGAGAATCAATGGTTGTGGCGTAGTAGCGTCTACGAGCCGCCGACGAGGATGTTGTTTACGGGAATGTGGACGAGCTTGACAACGTAGCCAATGACTCCTGTGATACGTTAGTTGCATGGACTTTGGGCGTGCATGCGACGTATCACTGACCCATGATCAAGAAACCGATGCCGACTGCTTGCGATATCCTGATGAACTCCTTCTTGTCGGGCTCTGTAGTCATGTTAGGCGTGGCAAGGCCGGAATAGAGAGGCGATCGTACTTGTGCAGCGGTTCATGAACAGAGTACCCTCCTTGAGGAACTCAGCGGGCATACTGCGCAGACGTTAGCCATCGCTCCCTCATCGTGCAATTTCAGTGTGGCTTACTCAGCGAACTCCTTGACGTTCTCCATGGCGACTGGTGTGCGGGTGGTGATAGGTGGGGGGTGACTTGAAAGGGTGGTGAGTTGAGTTGTCTTGGAGAAGTATCGCGGGTTGGACAAGTCGCGGACTCAGGGTAGCAGCTGCCAAATTACCAGACGGACGGCAATCTGGCCTTGCGGAGAAAACCGACAGGGGTAGGTGTTCTGCCAAGCACGCTAACTTTCACGCTAACTGCGAGCTATCGCATCCGCGTCCTCGATTGTCGCTCACCCTCACTCGTGCTCGCGCCGACAAGTCGTCTCTACCCGCTTCCCCAGGTTTGTCACCGAACGCAGTTACTCACTACGCAACAGACCGGCCAACGAGACGTGCGAGCGCAATCCGCTTTCGCTTCGACAAACACGCAGAGTCAAGGGTGGAAAGGGATCGTGTTTGGCATCTGCATCGAGTTGTCCTCGTTGCTCTCCATTTCTTCTTATTACTGGTAGCGCACGATTCAGCGCCTCATCAATTCGAAGGGACATTGTATACAGCAACTTCGCTTCGCGCAAACTGTACTGGAAGCTAGCAAAAGCGAGCGCAGGAGGCAGGCTGAGGCTTCACACACACATCTCTCACACCACATCCTGTACCTTTCACATCTCCGCATCTGCCAGGGGCGATCGGACTATCCCGTCTTGCACTGAGCTGTCTTTCTGGACCTTGTCACCACGCGCCGACAGCGGCACTGTACGTATGGCCTTACTCTACGCTGTTTGTCTTTTCTCTCGACATCGCATTGCAACGGACTGCAAGTCCACACTTTCTTTTGCAACACCCTCTATCTCATCATGCTGATTTGTATGCCAATCACAGAGTTGCGTGTACTTTGGCTATTGATACTAGCACATCAAGTACCTAAGAGCGAATCTAAGAAAGAATACCGGAACAAACCTCATCGCTTACTGCAGTTGACTTAACATACCACAGCAGATATGGCTGACGACGACAACTTCGATATCGACATCTACGGCGATGACTCCTACCAAGACTCGAGCGTGCAGCAAGACACTACCATAACCGACTCCAACACCCCGAACACAGAGGCGAATGCTGCGACATCGAACCACGTACCGGATACTACCAAGACCGAGAACGGCGATCAATCGACCAAAGAGTCTACAGACGAGGCGACAAACGGCGAGGGTCATCATGACCAGAGCACCCAACAGATCGCATCCACAGGAGGCTCGGCTGGCCTTGACGTTCACAAACAAGCACCTCAGCAACAGGGTACAAAGCGCAAGCAGGGCGAAGATGATGATCGCCCAACTGACCCCGGCGCCACTGCAGCTCTTATGATCAACGATGTAAATTGGTGGATTAGTGAAGAAGACATTCGCGGATGGGCCAACCAGAGCGGTTGTGAAGATGAGCTTGTTGAGGTAACCTTCAATGAGCACAAAGTCAATGGCAAGAGTAAAGGGTTAGTTGCACTTGATGCTTCGAGGCACAATATGCTAACCAACTTTTGAAGTCAAGTTTTCACTCTTTTGAACTCACCACAGGCAGCTACTGCTCTGAAACACCAAATCGAGAACCTCTTCAGAGACCAAGCCCACACGAAGAAGCCGACCGCCATCTTCAGTCCTCCGCATGTCAACCCATTCAAGACACTGCCAAAGGATGTTCCCGCGCGAGACAAGGGTCGGAACGACCGCGCTACCTCTGGAAACTACGGCAATCAAGGTGGCTACAACAACAGAGGTGGATATAACAACAACCGTGGCAATTTCAACAGGGGCGGCATGGGTTACCAAAACAACCGCAACTTTTCTCCTGCTGGTGGAAACGTGGGTGGCAACATGGGAGGCTACGGTGCCCAAGCGCCGATGAACAACTTCGGTAACCCCATGGGCGGCATGAACAACTTCGGTGGCGGCTTCAATCGCGGCGGCATGATGGGCGGTAATATGCGTGGTGGTATGGGCAACCGTGGCCGTGGCGGCAATATGGGTATGAATCCTATGGGCACAAACCCCATGGGCGGCATGAACATGCCCATGGGTGGCAACATGATGGGCATGGGAGCCAACATGATGGGTATGGGTGGTGGTAACATGGGCATGATGGGAGGAATGGGTACGTCGAGAAATTTTCATACTCCGACTAGTGACTTACCCCCATCCTTTTAATTCCCTAATGGGACGATTACTAACAGCGAGGCTATAGGAGGCGGCTTTGGTGGCAACCCAGGATTTAACCCAGGATTCTTCCAAGGCAACCAAGGCGGCAACGATGGCAGCTGGCAAAACCCGCACGGCGCGAAGAGGCCTCGTCCTGAGTAGGGTTCAGATTCGGAGCATGCGAATCACGTACCGACGCGCCTATGCATGCTGCCGCTTCCAGGAGATCCATTCTCGACAGCAGAGCAAGCAGATTATGAATGCAAGTTGACGCAACGCCGTCTCGACGCGCTTGAGTGCAAACATCTACGGAGTCTGCATGGTCGTGCTCTTGGAGACAAGATGTCTAATGCGGCCCTAGACTGGATGATAGAGGGCACCTTTTTGACTGCAGTTCAAGCCTTCTATGCGACACGCTGTGGGCTGATGACCCACTTGGTATTTGGTCCTTCTTTTCTCGGCGTTTTAAGGGCAACGGGGCAACTTCCAACAATCAATATCTCTTCTTCACTTGTCTTATTAGCTTTTTCTCTTGTTTTGTTGAAGGGAATAGTATATCCTCTCGGAATTTGTAAGCCTCCATTTTGTTGGTACATCCTTGTTTTGGATGTTTCACACGAGTATGTTTAGCTTAGGAGTTTTGCGGTTCCATTTGGTACATGGAGAAACATGCGCTCGCATTTTTATTATACTGGTTGCAACCCAAGTACTTTGCCCGAGATCCGGCGCTATCATGTCGTGTTTTTACCGAACTGTTTTGGGCACGGAACACTTGTATTATTGTATCTGGAAGATGGTGTGTCTTGGGCGTTCGCATGTGAGCAATAATTTCATGACAAGTGGAAGAGACAAGGTGTGATCACCATCTGAAGTATTTTAGTCTTTGGTGGAAAAATACCATTGCCCTGGGTAATTTGGAGATTAGGCCCGCGGGGACCTGCATATGAAATCGGGCTGGGGTCTACAATATAGATCGAACGAGATGGCACGCTAATCATGATGACGGCCAATCACACTTGCCATTAAAACAAACCCGTTGTTTTCTAAATGTCTTCCATGCTTCCGCTTCCACCTTGGGAACCGGGTAAGCAGGAGAGTTTGCAATTAAACTAGATTAGCAAGGAAGCTTGATGGTCACGCTAGCCGGAAGGTACCGCATCCTGGGGTAACAGTTCATTAATATGTGAGGATTATAGAGAAATGACGAGGGGATAGTGGATGAGGCTATATGGAAGATCTCCGTACCGAGGTGAAGGAACCTGGCTGATGGTCGACATTGTATATCTCTCTCCATCTCCTGAGGCGAAGGTCACGCAGAACGCTCAACAGTCGCAATGAAGATTTCCTATGCAAGTGCAGCAGTGCTGCTAAACAGTACCTTCGCTGTTGCTCAATGTTCGTTGCTCCATGATTCCAATACTATGGCGACAGCTAACACGATGAAGCGACGAATGGCACCGGTGTAAAATGTCCTTCAACTTCAAAGTTCTCTGCCATTTCGGCTGGTGCCTTCTTCGAAAAGTTGAACCCAGGCTGGAATGTTGGTAACACGCTTGACGCTGTAGAAACCGAAGGCAGTTGGAACAATCCGCCAGTCGTCGGCAGCACCTTTGACGATGCGAAAAGAGCTGGCTTTAAGAGCATTCGGCTACCCGTAACCTGGGCGTACCACTTCACTTCTCAATCACCAGACTGGACCGTGGATCCCGTATGGCTGCAACGTGTATCGGATGTTGTGGACATGATCACAGACCGAGGGCTGTATGCGATTGTTAATGTTCATCACGATTCCTGGACTTGGGCCGATCTTACGCAATCCAGCACGAACGTAACGGCTGTTGAAGAAAGGCTTGGAAAGCTTTGGAAGCAAATTGGAACCAAACTGGCTTGCAAGAGCGAGAAGGTCGCTTTTGAAACGATCAACGAGATCCCTGGGACTACCGCTGAGCATGGCGCTGTCATTAACCGCCTGAACGATATCTTCCTTCAGGCTATTAATGATGCGGGAGGCCACAACCCAAAGCGCGTTGTTACTCTCGTTGGTGCTGGAGAAGATGGATTGAAAACGATACAGTGGTTCAAGAAGCCTGACCCCAAGTTCAAGAATCCATGGGGCATCCAGTATCATTACTATTCGCCTTGTAAGTGCCCTTCACTCATTCGAAGTTCATCAGAACTGACCCAAGAGAAGATGACTTTGTTTTCCAAGCTTGGGGAAAGACCACATGGGGCTCCGACGCCGACAAAGCTGCCCTCGAAGCTGATATCGCCGCTGTCCGTGGAAACTTCTCTGGCATCCCACTCGTAATTGGCGAATGGGCAGTATCACCTGTCGCCACCGAGACAGCAGCACGCTGGCGATACTTCGATTTCTTTCTCCGCACAGCAGCGAAATACAACACCACAACTGTTCTCTGGGACAACGGAGCCGATTTTCTGGACCGCGCAACACATCTCTGGCGCGACGAGGTAGCTCTGGATATCTACCGTAACGCAGTAAAAGGCATTGCAAACGCGCTACCAGAGAGCACAACCGATGGCTCTGCAACAACACAATCGAGTTCCGCATACATCTACCACCGCAAGAACGAAACCGTAGGGGACGTTACGCTAGGCTTCGCTTTCAACGGAAACACACTTAGCAAGATCAGCAGAGGAAGCAAACAATTAGCCAAAGGCAAGGACTACAGCGTCTCGGGCGAGAAGATTACGTTTGCAGCATCATATCTCAAGACGATACTCACTCCCACTTCGCCAACCGGTACCCTAGCAAACTTGACCCTAACGTTCAATCGCGGCGCCGCTCTTCAAGTCAACGTTCTCCAATACACCACACCGACCCTCTCTAACACCTCCGGTCCCTTGCCAGCAGCGGGCCAGGACTTACTTATCCCAATCACGTGGTCGGGGCAGAATAGGCCTGCGGCTGTTAAGGCTGTCAAAGCCGATGGAACATATCTGGTGGACGATTGGACACAGTACCTAGGGCCGTTGCAGCAGGGACGCATGACTTATGATGGTCAGTGGAACTGGGATGCAGGACATGTTGTTATCAAGGTGGCAGCTCTAGATGCTGTGAGGGCAGCGAGCATAGACACTACATTTACCATTGAGTTCTATCCTAGAGAACCAGGAAATGCGGTAGAGTATACAGTTACTGTATAAGAGGGCTGTAGATGTGTTACAGTCGAGATAGTCATAGTGCAAATGAGCTGGACAGGTTATACGGGAAACCAAACGTGCCTTCATGATATAGTGGGTTCGTCTTGCATCGATTTCAATACCGTTACGTTAGGATATGTACATAAGTTCGATAGGCCATCATTATAACAACATGATCCAATTCAAGCAACAGCGCTAGATACCTGAATGGTAGTCTCATCCCGGAAACGACCGCCGCCAATAAAGGTATGGATAGACAAGGGTGCTGATCCATAGACAGTCACGCCGCTATCAAGAGTCTGTTGGACGTTGAGGGCTACGAGTGTTAGCTTTTGTCACCAAAGTAATTCAGATTCAGATTTGAACTTACTTGCTCCGTCATAGGAAAAGTCGAACGCGGCACGGTCGCACCTATGGGCAACAGGAAGCTCAGCGTTGGGTGCTTCAACACAGCTGCTCCTCAGCTTGTGGTCTTCGTCGTATTCGTCTGATGTGAACTCCGCGTAGAGGTACAGTTGCTCAATGTCGGGGCCGAGTGTCATTTGGACGAACCACTGACCCTTGTTTTCGGTACGGGGGAGTACGGAGGCGGAGGTGGTAGCCACGAGAGCGAGGAGGACGGTAGAGAACTGCATCTTGGTGGAAACGATAATGATGGATATTGAATGATACTAGATTAGAAGGGAATGGATTGGAAGCAGTGGATGCTGGTGATGGTATTCTGCCTGAAGAATGTATGGGATTATATACATAACAGGACCTATGTAGTTGCTGAACACTATAGTGGTGCCTGTCTCTCGTGATAACGGATCCGATAATACTATTGCCATAAAAAGCATTGGAATTTTACCTCGTAACGCGAGATTCATCCTAAACCAGCGGTGTGGAGTTACCTACGTTGTTCGCACTGATCGGCTGAGTGCTGATGTACCATGAAGGAACCCTGAATTTCCAATATCCTGCTGGAGCATTTACGAGTATCCCTGTGTTGATTCCCCCTTAGTAGGCGTTAGCTACTTTATTTTTAGAGTTGCATTAGCTCCCGGCGGAAGGGGCGGTACCTGGTTGGGACAACGTCCTTCATCTAAACCAAGAATTCTTTTGGTAAGTACTGTACTTCAACGCTCGAAGCTCTGGAACATGTAGCAATCACAACTAAATACTGTTCCTCTCTTTTATTTCCCATATGTTGCTTTTCTGTATGGCCTAATACTTACTGATCTCGGTGAGGTAGGAGTCCAGGCCCCTTCATCCACCGGGTGAATCGCTTATGAGCATGAGAGAGAAAGTGAGGAAAATCTCCGAGCTACCGTAGTCTACGGCGCCGCCATACCTGAACAAGCTTTTCAGGCCGAGAACACGATATTTAGTATAGTAAGGTATGGTTGTAAAGCATATTGGGAACACACATGCGCCGAAAAGGACTATGCTACGCTCACTGGAAGACAATACTACTAACGGACACTACGCCAGAACGACCTGACCACTACTGCCGAGCGGGACTATTAATGGGCCATCTCATAATACTGCCGCGACACTATACTCGCGTATTAACCCTTTCCTTTTTCGACAATTATCGACCTCCACATCAGCATTGGACTTATGGTGATAGAAGGTTCCTAACACGACCGCCAAGGCGTTTGTCAGGTTCACAAGCGAAGGACCGGATAAGATACCTAGTCCGAAGACATAGTGCCTTTGTTAGGTATTGAGCTTTGAATTTGTGGATGGCTGATCTCGACCGATGGAAGTAGCATCGTAGCTGTACAGCCAAGAATAAGGGCAAGACTATAACTAACAATTGCGTTGGCATGTTGGTAATATGTCCATCGTTCTGGCTCCTGAAGAGCGGTCATCTGGTGGTTTTGTGTAACAGTTGTGGCTGTTCGGCGATGAGTATGTATTGTGATGCAGCTACGTCGTCGTCAGGCACCTTCTAACAACAGAGAGGGTAGCTCTAGCCTTACCGACTGATACCTGTTGTATTCTTGTGTATCTTCCTGTTCATGGTAAGAGCTCCAACTTATGCATAGGCTATCACCATGTCTGCTGTATCTACTCAGTTTATCTTGTGACCACTCTTCACTCTTCTGCACCAGCAATCTCTCTCCAGCAACCTTACACATACAATCAAGATAGCCTATGCCTGTGAATCCAATTGCATTGCCTCATCGTACTGCGGATTCCCATTCTTTCAGCGCAGATCTTAGTCTTACTTCGACGTCGCTCTCGATCCAAAAGTGCCCTGCGCCCACGACTTCAACACTGGTGAAGCGCGATGCTGGCTCAGCTTTCAATTGTTCTGACCAGTCGCGAATCCTCTTCGCAGAAGTGAAAGCGTCTTGATCCCCGAAGATGGCTAGAGATACGTGCTTACCAAGCACGTCCTGGTGATCGTCCTTGGACTTGCTCCAGAACCTATGTATCAAGGCTGGTGCAGCAAGTGTAGAGATTGGCGGTGTCAGTGGCGAGATAAGAAGATAACGGACGTCGGGCATTGTGATTGTCGCACTCTTCGCTTCCGATCGTGGCATTGGTTCGTGGCTCTCTCTCCGCCTGTGGCTAAGGCTTCTCAACCGTGTTTTGATCTCATGGCGCGTACCGCCTTCGAGACTTCTTCGGACATCTCTGCTACTTCTACGCTTCTCTGGGCTAGTCTCCTCTCCGCCCATTGTAACCGGAGGTCTCGATTCATGTCCTGCCCTGCTTTTCCTCCTAGCTCTAGTCTCATCTCGAGCTAGGTTGATCCATCCTAAATTGCTCTGGTCTGCCAACCTGCGAGCGCGCAGGACTATTTCATCGGCTGCAGTACCCGTCACTGGAGCTGAGAATGGTTGTAGTATGGTCGGTACAGGTGGTAGATGTCTAAGGATGAGGGAGCCGTATGAATAACCTCCTAGTATGACTATGGGAGATTGGTCGTCATGCGCCGACGATGATTCGCTTTGGTTTGAGGGGGTCGGAAGCTGATCGGGCGCGAGATTCAGGTCGCAGGTAATGCGTGGACGTAGGTAGGACATGTAGTGCATGAAGAATGCTGCAAAGGATGTATAGTCATCTAGTTCGGGTCTTCCAGACCAGCTAGTACGCCCTTTAGATCCGTGCGCACCTCTAACGTAGCTTAGTCGGGCGATTCTATGGTCAAGATATATCACTAGACGTACCTGAAGTTGAAGGTGCCCACCATCCAACCAGCACGTAGGAACTCGTCTACCACGATACCAACTACGCGATCGTCGTAACTACCTCCCATTGGTGCATATGGATGTGCCATGACAACACCTCTCCTCTTCCATTCTACGATATCGCCCGATTCCTTTGGCTTGATTATAGTATCTGGATGGTACACGCGGCAATCGAGCGTCGTGTCATCATGGATCGAGGGTATCGTGAAGCTGTAGTGGGCGTCTGGTGGGCGACGCATCTTCTGGGCCAGATCGAGACCCAGTAACAATTCTCATTGCATCTTCGAGAGACTAAAATGCTGGATAGCAACTGGCACAAACGTAGACAGGATGGTTTGACTATGCGATGATGGAGGAGTGTGGGGTTCAGAGTCGCGGAAAGCGCTCCGCTGACGCGAGCCCGCGCTTACTAGCGAAGACACCCTAAGACGCGCTGAAATAGATGATGACTCCTTCAATACACGACTTCACATCCCTATCAAAGGACACAGTTTACACATATATCAAATTCTAATCCTCCGTGTTGACTAATCTGGCGCTTTGGCGACATGCTTGCAAACGTGGGTAGCAATCACATCTGAGATGACCGCTGTCAATCACCCAAGCGAGTCTGGGCTGACATGCAGGATCCCAGATAATGTTCAACCCTACAGCCTGGTGAATGCGACTACCATCCAGTCCTTCGTCTCTGAGTCTGACAGTCAACCGGATTTACGTTGGAAGTTTCCAATCGTCATGGAAGGCTCCTGAAGTTGGGTGATACGATATGGGCTGTGAACGATATGGACATATCTGTGATTCTTCGACAAGTGAATCAGCACTATATCTTGGTCGCGCTGTGCTATCTCCATAGAGCAGCATTGAACCGTGCCTGTCATGCATGCGGGTCAGTGTTTGAACCGTGGCCTGTGAGAGCCGCCATCATTGATATCGGGCGACATTTTACTGCTTGATGAGGGCAAACTCATGCTTATATCGTAAGTGTTACATCTATCGTCAGAGAGTTAAACCGGGCATAGAGAGCGGCTCATGCATGCGGCGGGTGACTGGCCCCAACCTTGTGGCATCAGCCGTCATCCACTAGAGAATCAGTGTAAGAGTAACAAGAAGTGGCGATTGAAGATTATAAATTATCCGCGTCCATTTACATCCAGAGTATAATGCTCTAGATAGAGTGAAGCCAATGACCACTGCTCTAGAAGCATAACCCTGCAACCAACTACTACCAGCATCAAGGATGCCATGTACAAATCCTAGAGCGGACGAAGCGCACCACTCCGGTCTTCAGACCACCTGCCAGCGATGGCCTGTCGCGTGCTCTTACCCCAAAAGGCAACTGGCATAGCCACCAGCCCACCCAAGACCTGGAAGATCATGAGTTCAATACCAACCCACATGTATCCGTGAGCGTCGATCCAAGGCACAAGCGCAAAGCTCATGGCAAAGGAGAGGATGTAGCATCCTCCACCAACAACAGCGATAGCGGGTGCAGCCCATCGCGGGAAGGCTTCAGTGACCCAGAGTGTGTTTGCGATCATGAGTGTTATGAAGGAGAAGCCGTTGATACCGTACGCGAAGTAAATGGCAACAGGTTGCCAATGAAAGTGAACAGCAAGACCATAGAGCACTGAGCTGAGCGCGCCGGTGATGACGGGTAGGATGTAGCCGACAAGATAGTGCTCCGCCTCTAATACCCCTCGATTGCGGCTTGAGAGGCGTTTCAACACCTTGCAGAAGAGCAAAGCAAATATGGGCAGACCACATAGGGCTCCGAATCCCGATGCGACATTGACAGTGCCAACAACACTCGGCGACATGTTATAAGGCGGTGCGATGAGAATGCGCGCGTACGTCGCGCCGATGAAGATCATGCTTGCCGAGTTGAAGGCAGAGGCAACGAAGACCCAGAAGATAAGTGGGTTGGCAGCACAGTAGGCCATTTGGATGATGCAACGACCCGCCGAAGCCCATGATGCAAAGGGTGAGCGCGATAGACCGGCCTTGTCACGAAAGCCTGCAAAACCAGTGCGCAAGGGGTATTCGGGCAGATCGCGATATATCTCGGAGTCCTTCTCGCGATCTTCGTAGACCGTCAACTTCTCGGTAGCACTTTGCAATAGGATAAGTCCATTGAAAGCTACAGTTGGCCTTTTGAAGTATGTTTCGGGATAGAGAGCGAAGGTGACAGCGAGCGAGACGACAACGGGAATGGTCCAGTAATGATAGAAATTTCGCCAGTTGTTTCCGTGGTCTGCTAATACAGGCACCAGTGCAACGCCAGAAGTGCCAAAGCATCCTGCCATGCACCACATGAGTGCTACTGCTGCCGATCTCTGGTTGATGTAGGTAAGGTCAATGACCATCAGGAAAGCCTACGGTTGTTAGCGAATGAGATCGTAGTTGTCTTGAAACACTACTTACCAGGGACAACGCAAGCCCCTCGCCGAGACCAAGGAAGCAGACTGCGCCTACGAGCGAACGGAATGATCCTGCCTCGCCGGCCCATAGCATAGCGAGCAGTACGACAAGTGTCGCGATCAACATTGTAGGCCGGCGGCCCAGACCAATGGATACCGGCACCCACAGAAAGCATCCTAAGCCCATGAATAAGGTAGGAGCTGTTACTAAGGCTTTGAGTAGCCATGCGGGTATATCCTAAATGCAACATGTCAGCGACGCTTACCCCAGTGAGTAGAATTGAACGTACCTCGTGTGCGAAATCTCTTTGGATGTCGTCAAGTACGACGGACGCAGCTTGTGCTGCAGTTAGACAAACAACAGAGAAAAGGGCTACAGAGAACAATGCTCCGCCTGTCTTCCATCTGTTCCAGTTCAGAGGGTCGGCTTTGGAATTCGAGGGCATGGGAAGCTTGAGCGTTCTCCCATCGTTCGTAATGAGGAAGGTGCTTCCAATGAGGTTGTATGATTCGCGTCTCGAACGTCTGGCGGTCTCCGCAGTCATCGGTCTGGAGTGGTGACCCAAAACAGAAGGCACTGATGGCCTCTTGCCGGGTGTCTCATCCGGAAAGGGTGGGTATATGGGATGTGGTGCTGAGACTGGATGAGCGTTTGGTGGTGGAGCCAGCTCCACCATAGGATGCGGATCTTTCAGGGCAGATGAAAGCCTGTTGGAATATGTTTCCGACATCATGATGTCCATGACGAGAGAAGAACAATGAAGGAAGGAATGGCGACACGAGTCACCACACAAGTGGATCGTGAACGGACAGAACTAGCGATGAAGGAACGACTGAAGGACTAACAACCTAGAACCGTGGCTAACGCCCCGTTCTATATCCACAACCGTTCGGCTCTCGCACTTTCGGCCGTTGCGGGTGTGACCGCACTTCTGTCGATCCCACCTGGAGTTGAGGCTTGAATGAAAGTCTAAGCTCCCTTTTCCACTCTTGATACTCCTCAAACAGACCAGATCGCACCGAAAGTAAAGGTAATCAAGGACACGTCGGCATAACTTGGACGCATCGTCCGTAGGACGTAGATCATCGTTCCTATCGAGCAGCGTGCGTGAAGTCCGGGAGTTGCCTTGAAATGGCCGATTGGTCTGATCGATTATCACGAACCCGATGGCCTGGGGTCTCGTGTTGGGCCTCAAACCTCAAGTAGATTTCCAAGAGAATGGGTGAAGCTACGGCCGAACTGCGGTATCATAGCGTTTCATCTGCCGTTCTGATTCAGAGTTGGTGACAGCGGCACTCAACGGCTGCCTGTGCACCGTGTCCGGAGAGTGACCGATGTTTGCTATTCGTCGTCCACTCACCGCGTTTCAAAGGCCCCTAGGAGAGGTCTGCGAACAGGTGCCTGGGCTAAAACATCGCTGCGTTTGAAGAGTGGCTAGTGAGCATATATGTGAGTTTATTCCATCATGCAAGTGAAAAGTGACGGTGATGTGACGGCGGTGTTGAAGGATTCCGATTTTCCTCGGGGTGATACTTGCGAAGATCCGGGGAAGCGAGATCCACGTCATCCTTCTCACCGCAGTTGCGAAGACTCCAAGTCTGTGAAACTCAAGGAAGCTTGTCGATCAAGCATACGTACAACGACCGCATGCGTACAACGGAGAATTTCGTAAGATGAGGCTGGCGTGAACGTTGAAGACTTGGCAAGCTAAGGGGCGCGCTATTGACCAAGGGTTCCGCATCACGTGCCATGACCAGCCGAACAGGCGTTTGCAATCTCAACAACGCCCAACTTTGTGCTTACGGCATCGCATCGCTCGATTACGTTGCAGACATACGGAGGTGACAGGGCTGAAACCTCCAAAGGCTGTACAGTGAATTTAGGCAGATAAGGCGTCAGCTGATGCTGGAACATCCCGTCTGGAACATTTGCGACTTGGAGTTGATAGATGCCAAGCATCGCGACATCTATTCGTCCGGAATATTGCCAAGGTGGACGCAAGAACCAACACCCTGTGCCCCCTTATCCCTAAGTTCCACCAACCTTAGAACAACGTTTGCGTTGGCGTGCCAGATAAGCTCTGGGCTACAGGTACTGCCACAACAAATGCGGGCCCTAGAAAAACGTCAACTCGGGCCGAGCCCGCGTGTCATAACAACCTAATAGCCCTACGAAGTGTACAGTCATCGTGAGCAACGGCTGCCGACTTCCTGAGCACGAAACAGGCATAGTAAAGCCAAGGAAATTACTAAACTCCTCTGCTGACTTGAGTCTGGGTCGGCGTAAAATTACAAGACGGGAACCCAACCACCGGCGTGCTAATCCTGTCGATCATCACCTGCCTACTTGGGAAATGTGCATCAAAACTGCTCGAGCTTGGGAAGCTCGGGACTGCTTGGTGTACTCGAAAAGCCTTGCCTGTCCACGAATGCTTTTATGAGGCTGACACGTCGGTTTCCTGTCTGCGGCTGTTGACATCCACCAGTTAGGCATACACAAAAAAGAGTAAGCGCCTCGAGCTCACACTGCTGATAGCTATGTTAAACATCTCAAGTCCGGTGATGATCGCGGCCAAAGTCTCATTACGAAGGGATCAGATCAACAGTCCCGCCTTGTCAAAGTATAGTGGCCTGATATTCAGGTATTGGCGGGCACGTTAGGCTGGAACATACGTGGCAGTGGAAGGAGTGGATATTGGCTACGCCAAACGATGGCAACTCTGCGAACCACTAGAGCCTCGACATGTGAAAATTGGTCATGGACTCAGTGCATCAAGAAGTCTTCTGTGTGCACATGTGGAGCCATCAAAAGTCCAAGTAGAAAACTTGGCCCCGAAATATCATTGAAGGATCGCAAGTAAGAAAATCACACGGCACGCTGTCCATAGTCGAGAATTGCTGATATCAAGTGCAGCTGCAGTGACGCGTCCAAGAAAGCACCTTCAAACGTCTACCAAGTCCTCCTTATGCGCTAGTCAAATTGACAAATTTGAGCTGGTTGGACAGATGGACAATACCACGGACGCAGGTCAGAAGATGACACGTGAAGATGCTGCATCATGGCATTGAAAGGGCTCAGAGGCAGCCGAGAGCGGCGACCTCTCGGAATGGATGGTGGTGAGTTAGGATCGTATGTTCTCTCACAAGGGTCACGGTGAATATGAATGTAGCCGGAGCTTTATGCCGACATTCTGGGGCTATCAGCCGAGGGGTTAAGACGAGTAGGTGGAGGTTGGTACTGGGATGAGTGTGGGCGGTGAGGTATAGCCATCAGCAGACGCTGGAGCCCAACATGCGTTTGCCATGACATGACCGACTGTCGAGATGGAAAGCATAATAAGCTTAACTTCTGGTCTTAGTTTCATCTTTTAAGTTCCATACAGGGGATGCGGAAAGCGCCAAGTTAAATTCAACTACTGACGCCTCTTGAACATCCAACAAAAATCTTGGGGTATCATGTGCGAAAACTTAGAGTAAATAGAGATGCCGCCGAAGCACGGCAAAAAAGATGAAAAAACCAAAGTTTGCAGCATGGGTATCACCCTCAATCATACATCGTGTCTATGACTGACTTATTCGAACGCCGCTCAGAAAAGATGACGTAGAGACGGGTGGTAGGGAAAGGAGAAGATACCGAAACTTAACCCACTTGGAAGAGCATGTGGTATCTGTACGAGTGGAAGATAGAGTGTGGAAGCAAAACGAACACTAAAAGATACTATGCGACCAAGACTTATCCGGTGTACCAACCGCTGGCGGCGACGGTTGAATCTTCCACTTGACGTTGTGGAATGAGCGGTGTCGTGATATCGTATGCTTCAATGAACATTCGCCACGTAGGGAAGTCGATGCTGAAGATGGCTTGATGCTTTTGGACGTCCCTCTCTCGGTGTTCCGAGACGGCGCTAGGGTCTGCTGGTTCTGGTAGTAGTTAGCAAATGTATAACCCAGTGTGACTCGCAGACTTACGCAGGAGCGGAAGCCCGTGGGCATCTTTGATAATCGCGGCATTGCCCTCCCTCACTAAGAAACTAATATAGAAGAGATTCTCTACCGTCTGCGCAAAGTCGTGGGGATTGATAGCGAAGTCTAGTAGACTAACTGCGGACGTTCCTTCAACCGTCATTGCTAATCTATGGCGTCTCAGAGCAGCAAATTGATCTTCTTCCGTGATTTCGCCTTGTATTTCCTCGAGTTCTTGTTCAACCAAAGGTTCCACGGCGGTGATGTGATCTACCAAGTGTTTCCTGATGGCTTTGACCAAGGTCAGTTGAGTGTCTTTATTGCTCTGCTGCGTGTCCTCGTTCAGAATCTCTTCTGGTCGAGTTGCCGGGCCGACCGGTTGTCGTTGAGATCGGGCTCTTCGTTGGGTTGCACGAACGCGCTTTTGTACTGACAAGGGACCAAGTAGGAAACTTGACGTTGGCGGTCGCTTGTTGCAGGGGAAACATGCTTGCCGACCGAGTAATGCCCAGTCAAGACCATCTGGGTCTTCATCGTCGTTGTCGCCTACGGGTACTGCTGGTGCGTCTTCCTCGCCTGCAATGTGGCCGCCAGATTTCATGAAGTAAATGCACTTGGAGATGAACTGATCGAGATCAACGCCCACCCCAGAGTTGCCCAAGCTGTTGTTGAGCTTCTTGCCTGCGAGGTCACTGGCGTTGACTAAGAAGCGAGAGTCGACAGTAGCATCAGCTGTTTGTCGCACTTTGCCGAACAAACTGTTTTGTGTCTTGAGTGCATCGAGCAGTCCGCTGTCGTGTGATTTGACGAGGTCATCGCGATTATCTGCGATGGTTAGTGATGTTTATCCCATATGCAACAATATGCTGGACTCACCATCTAGCATGCGCTGGTGTTCACGCATGTTTGCACGTAGCCTCCTTCGCGCCTCTGGGTCTTGATTGGGGTTGTAAAACTTGAGGTCGCCCTCCTCGTCTGGCTCGGGCAGCTGTGAGGGCGTTTCCGCTTGTTCGTCGTCGTCTTCGTCTTCCTGTTCCTCATCTTGGTTGCCGTGTGCATGCTCGTGACTTTGTGAGTCGGCCATGTTGTAGTTGTCGGTTCTCCTCCTCTTACCGCCGTTTCCAGATGTTGAGCCAGAGTCGGGTGTCGGCATACGCACCGATGCGCTCCGCAGGCCACTGGCCTTGCCTCGCCGCGGGGTGTTGTCGCGTGTCTCAGGCTGCTCATTCTCTTTGTCCGAGTTCATTGAGCGTGTCGGGCTGAGGACCGAATAGGACGAAGTGCGCGCATTGCCGTCGGTTCGGGGCGCTACGGAGGGGTCGCGGTACAGAGAGTCGACGGTGGAAGCGCGTGTTTGTGGCGTAGCAGAGGGGTGGGTGTTGAGACGCGCCATCCCGCCCCAAGAAAAAGCGAGCCGGGAGAGAGGGTGGGCGAGGAGGGGTGTGCGTTTGGATGGTCGTGATGCGGGCGTTGACCTGTGCCTGGGACGCGGTTGCCCCATGTGCAGAGGCGGCCGCTTAGCGCGACTTTGTTTGAGGCAAGTGCGACCGCGTCCGTCAGCCAAGCCTAGCAGCACGCGAAAGCGCAGCTGCGATTCGCGGACCCCTGCATGCGCGTCGGCTTGTGGAGCTTCTGACCCGCTCGGCTTCATCAACTGTCTCTCCTTCACCCCGCCCAGAGACGCGATGAACTGGTGTTCCTGCTAGGCCGCATCGAATCCTGTCATGTGCTGGTAGGCTGTCAGACTTCCACATGCCTCACATCCATGGCATGCCGTAGCCACCAGCTTCCCCACCGCGCACGATGGAAGCCTTCAACTTCGCGACGTCTCTTGACCTGACCGAGCTGTCGGTCCATGTTCGCATGTATGCCTCCTTGTACGAGAACTCGAGCAGTGCTAAGTAGATATCTAGAGATCGTCTCGATGGAAACCAAAAGCCCATACCCTACTCGGTTTTGCTCAAGCGACCGGACCTAAGGCACCGAGCTTCCAATATCAAGTGGGTCCCCCTTCGCCAGGTGCGAGAGAGAGAGAGAGAGAGAGAGAGAGAGAGAGAGAGAGAGAGAGAGAGAGAGAGAGAGAAACTAGAGTGCTGATGTAAAGGTGGTAGCCCACACTTCGAGCTGTACGTCACTGCCCAAATATGGGCAGATAGCAAGCCCCTCACCGTCCCCGTTCAGACCGCCTACAAGTCCTTCAAGAACGCGCGCATGTGGAACGAATGGCTCCAGCTACCCGTCACGTATGCGAACCTCCCCGCCTCGGCCCAGATAGCCATCACAGTATGGGATCTGTCGCCTGCCGAAGATACCGACTCGAATCTCCACGCCGTGCCCTTTGGTGGCACGACGATACCCCTCTTCGACAACGACAACACGCTGCACAAGGGTAGGCAACGCTGCCGGATACACCGCTTCAAGGCAGCCGATGGCCTGACCAACACTACAACGCCATGGGTAATACCACCGGCGCGAACAAGTAGAAAAGCCGAGGTGGTTGAGGATACCATGGACGAGCAAGTCGCTGAGATGGAAAGGCTGGAAGGCTTGCTGAAGAAGCAAGAGATGGGCGACCTGCCAACTAATAACTGGCTCGACGCTCTTGTATACAAGAAGATGATGCAAATACGGAAAGAGTCGCTCAAAGCCGAGGCAGCAGCTCTGAATCGGCAGAGCAAGACGAACGGCACGAATGGCTCCACAGATAGCGAAGACCAGGAACTCTTTTATCTCGACATCGAGCTCCCCCGCTTCGACCACGCCATCGTCTTCTCCGATGTCGAGTACCCACCGCCCCCCGTTTCAGACTTGCGATTACCTGCCGAAGCCGACGTGAGGCTGCGGCCCCCACCTGAAGTGTCCTTCGGTCCGGGCATCAACATTGATGGGATCGGATATGGTGATGCAGATGCAGGTCGGCTTATCAAGATCTACGATCCCGAAGTCGGTCGAAGGGTCAACCCCGCCGAGGACAAGCATCGCGAACTGATGCGCAGCCAGCAGACCGATTCACTTGACCGTGACCGCAAGCCCAACGTGCACGTTCGAGATAAGCTTAACCTGCTGCTTTCCAAGGGACCACTCGAAGAAATCACATCACACGAGCGTGACGATATCTGGAAGTTCAGATACTTTTTGCTACGAGACAAGCGAGCTCTGACCAAGTTTGTCAAGTGCGTTAACTGGAAGAACCCGCGAGAAGCGCGACAGGCTGCACCTTTACTCGATAAATGGGCAGAGATAGATGTCGACGACGCACTCGAACTTCTTGGACCTCACTTCGACCATCCTGTAGTGCGAAGCTACGCTGTGGAGCGACTGAAGAAGGCAGATGACGAAGAGCTCCAGCTCTACCTCCTTCAATTAGTGCAAGCGCTCAAGTACGAGGCACCAGGCGAAGGCGATGACTCGTCGTTAGCGCGCTTCCTGGTTACTCGTGCAGCCAACAGCTTTACATTGGGCAACTTCCTGCATTGGTATCTCATGGTGGAGATCAGCGACTTCAGCACCGATCAAGAACCAGAACATCGTGAACTCTTCGCCAAGGTCGAGTACGACTTTATGGTCGAGCTGGAGAAGACCCCTGAAGGTGTTGAGATACGTAAGACGTTTCAACGTCAAGGCGAACTTCTCACCATTTTGGCCAAGATTTCAAAAGACGTGCGCTTCGGTGGGGGTGACCGAGCTGCAAAGCTTGCTCGTCTCAAGAAGGCAATCGCTGACCCAAAGAACGAGCTTACTAACTTTGATCCATTACCTCTACCTCTGGACCCATCTGTCTTCATCACTGGTATATCGACAGAAGACTGCAACGTCTTGAAGTCGTCTTTACTGCCCATGGTCCTCTCCTTCAAAACCACGACATCGAATCCATATCCCATAATCTTCAAGACTGGTGATGATCTACGTCAAGATCAACTCGTCATTCAGATCATCACGTTGATGGACCGCCTCCTTCGCAAAGAGAATCTCGATCTAAAGCTAACACCATACCGTATCTTAGCTACTTCTACCTCTGCTGGCGCTTTCCAATTTGTCCCATCGATGAGCATAGCAGCAGCGTGCCAAAAACACAAAGGTTCGCTACTCGCCTACCTACGCGCCAACAATCCTGACGACAGCGCTCCCCTCGGTGTACGCAAGGACGCTATGGACACCTACATCAAGTCTTGCGCCGGATACTGTGTGATAACATACCTCCTTGGAGTTGGCGATCGCCACCTTGACAACCTCTTGCTTGCTCCATCGGGCGCTTTCTTCCATGTCGACTTCGGCTATATCCTCGGGCGAGACCCGAAACCCTTTGCACCAGCTATGAAGCTTTGCCGTGAGATGATTGAAGGTATGGGCGGCGTGCAGCACCCGAACTATCTTATCTTCAAAGAATACTCATACACGGCTTGGTCCACGCTGCGCAAGTCTTCGAACCTCATACTCAACTTGTTTGCTCTCATGCAAGGGGCGAATATCCCAGATATCAAGATTGAGAGGGAGGGCAGCGTGAGGAAGGTCCAAGAGCGTATGTGGCTGGGAAAGGGTGTGGGTGGGGCCAAGAACGAAGATGAAGCAGCGAGAGAGTGGGAGGGGCTCGTCGAGGAGTCGCTAGGCGATTGGAAAGCTGGGGTAATTGACTGGGCTCATGAATTCGTTCAGACCTATTGGCGGAAGTAAGGTTGACTTCAAGACAATATAATAGGTGGAGCCTTAAGCACAACGCAAAATGCTTTGTCCGATCGAGTACGCATAACGTGCGTCGATAGCAAGGCGCTCGTCGTGCCAAGGCTGACCCCGCCAGATCGACATCTCCATAGCTAGCACACGGGCGCGTGTCCCGGTGGAGACACCGATGGAGAAGCCCATTCTCCACTTACTCTCCACACACAGTGGGTGTAGCATGACCTCACCCATGATGTGTACCACCGGAGGATTGCAGATGGCGGCTTTCCCGATTCTGAGTAACCGCAGCTTTGGTGCATTCGACCTCGAGTGTATGAAGTAGCTACAATGTAAAAGACAGCCTTCTGCCCCTCTAGGCTTGAGGCGCTCTCACAGATCCGTGAACTTTATGCAAGAGACCCATCATGTTCGCGTCTAAAGATAACCGCCTCGTCTACACATACGATGCCGAGCAACTATGGATCGAGCCTTGGGGTCAAAACGCAGTTCGCGTTCGCGCCACCAAGATGCATACTATGCCGCAGGAAGACTGGGCGCTCCTACAACAGCCCAACATCACTGCCAAAATTGACATTGCCAGCAACGACGAGTCAGCTACCCTGACGAACGGCCTTGTCAAAGCAACCATTACCAAGCGAGGCAAGATCACAATCTCAAACACCAGCGGCAAAGTCCTCTTGGAAGAATATGCCCGTCACCGCCGCGACATCATCGATCCCAAATGCAGCGCTCTAGAAGTCGAAGCCCGGGAGTTCAAACCTATCTTGGGTGGCGACTATCACCTCACTGCTCGGTTCGAGAGCCTTGATCCCAAGGAGAAAATATACGGCATGGGTCAATACCAGCAACCTTATCTTGATATCAAGGGCACCCAGCTGGAGCTGGCGCACCGAAACTCTCAGGCTAGCGTACCTTTTGCTGTTTCTTCGCTCGGATACGGCCTCTTGTGGAATAATCCATCCATTGGCAATGTGGTATTCGGAAAGAACGTCATGAGTTTTGAGGCTTTATCGACCAAGGTCCTGGATTACTGGGTTGTGGCTGGCGATACACCTGCGCAGATTGTTGAGTCGTATGCTGATGCAACTGGAAAGGTAAGGCTCAGCTCACACGCTGCTAAAGATTTGGTGGTTAATGTCTTACTATTCAGGTGCCAATGATGCCAGAATACGGTCTCGGTTTCTGGCAATGCAAACTCCGCTACCAAACCCAAGAAGAGCTCCTTCAAGTTGCACGAGAGTACCGGAAACGAAACCTCCCAATCGACCTTATTGTGATAGACTTCTTCCATTGGCCCATGCAGGGGGACTGGAAATTCGACGAAAAGTACTGGCCTGACCCTGAAGCCATGGTCAAAGAACTGGAGGAACTTAAAATTGAGCTCATGGTATCCATCTGGCCAACCGTAGACCGACGATCAGAAAACCACGAGGAGATGGTAGAAAAAGGCTTGCTCATTCGAACTGAACGTGGTGTGCGCACAGCCATGACTTTCCAGGGTCAAACAATTCATTTCGATCCGACAAACCCTGCGGCACGGGACTATGTGTGGAACAAAGCGAAGCAGAATTACTACAAGAAAGGTATCAAAGTGTTTTGGTTGGACGAGGCAGAGCCAGAATATCGACATTATGACTTCGATCTCTACCGCTACCATCTGGGCCCAAATATAGCAATTGGTAATATCTACCCCCGAGAATACTCCCGCGCATTCTATGAGGGTATGGAGAAGGAAGGCCAAAAGAACATTGTCAACTTGGTTCGATGTGCATGGGCTGGTAGCCAGCGGTACGGTGCCCTCGTTTGG